GGTCGGCTGGTCGGTCGGTGGCCTTTGTGCCGAAAGCCAATGAAGCTCAACTTGGCATCGCCTTTCGGGGAAGCACCGCGCAACACGCAAAGCACGAGCATGAGCATCAGCACGGCCCCATCTTCCTCCTCCATGGCTGTTCCAACATACTAGGCAATTAATCATATCTTTATTGCGCATAGTGCAGTACATACTACTTCGTTCTCCATGTAATAAGTTAGTATCGCATCGGCAGGCGCCGAGACCAAACACATCGCGGCGCTGTCCGCATTAACCAGCTCATACCCGTCCAACGCCTGTTCCAACTCCCTGCTTGGCTCCTTGCCTACCCCAAAATCGACGAGATCCTCGTCTTGTCGCGGACTCGGTCCCGGTCCGGGCTGTCCACCGGCGTCATTGGGTTGCTGCCTCGCTGCGGGCAGCAGACGCCCGTCTTCCACGCGTGCTCCAGCGCCGCCGGCGACGTGCTCCGTCCGTACTCGTCCGCGACGGCCGCCCAGAACTCGTTGCGGTGCGCCTCGTAGATGGAGTGCAGCCGCGAGAGGTCCACGTGCGCCGCCGTGTGCACCGACGCAGATGGCGGCGGCAGTCCCGCGCAGTCAAGCCGAAGCCCTGGCGCGTATCCTTGCCCGTAGCCTTGCGGCTGCAAGTTGACTGGCGGCAGGCTCTGCTCGCGCGGCGCTTCCGCCATGATGATGGGGTACCCGCGTGGAGACTCGCTCGGGCGTGTATAACTCATGGGTTCAGGCTTGGGCAGAATCGCCGGCAGCCGCGGCGAGGTGTCCGTCGTCATGATGCTCGGCAGTTGGACGTCGTTGCCGCCCATGGTGCCTCCCGTGGTCGGCATGGGCAGGTACCCTGCCGCCCCCTGCATCGGCGATAGAGAACGAGACTTGCTCTTCTGTACCGGGCTGCCCGTAAAGACTTGCTGGCACGACGCAGGATCCGAGGACCCAGACGAGCACGACGCCGTGCGCTTCCGCCGGGTGCTGCCGTGCGACAGCTGGTGGTAGTGCAGCCTGCACGCCAGCTCCGTCTTGTTGAGGTGTGCCGCGATGTGCTTGTACGGCATCTTCTGCAGACGCGTCTGCAGGAGGTACGCTTCCTGAAACGGGGGCACAGCCGAGTCAGTCAATCACTCTTTCGGTGGCATCTCGCGTGCTTGGCTCTCACCTCATCCTCTCTCCAGGCTCGCCCGCTTCCCGTCAGCGCAGCCTTCTTGGCCTTGGTCACCCCTCCCTCATGGCGTCGTACGGCATCTCCAACAGGCGAGTAGCGCGCGTGGACAGAAATCATCTGCGTCCGAGACATCGTGAACGACCGAGATTCCTCAACGTTACGTGCAAGATGCCCTGCAGTCATGAACAGTGCCAAGTTTCCTCAAGAGCACGCAAAGTATTAATCCCGAGTCGAGGCCGCAGAGTCCGAAAAAAGTGTTATTAACAACGAGTGTTGGCAAACCAGGCCACGTGGTGAATCGAAGTTCCGATGCAAAAGATGTCCGTTGTTCCAGCTTCGAGCCGAAAGCAAAGGTAGTTCGGAACAGATAAAACTATTGGTCTCAAGGCGGCGGGGCAAGGGGTCTCGTCGTACAGAACTCAGCAATGTTCAAAGGAGCGTCAGCAGCCAAACCAGTTGGAGTCTTTAATGAGAGTGTGTAACTGGCTGCGAAGAGGAACAAGAGTTCAAGGACTGGAGAGAATGGAAAGACGCAACCTAAAGGCGCGATAGTGGCAAGATGAAGAAGATGGACGATGCCGCACGGACAGACGACAGCACGGAACGAGAAAACAAGCGGTTGATAAAACGTCAGGCGCGGAGCGACAGATGCCGGTGGGACCCGCGCAACAACGTTGTGCGAAACAGCTTGGCGGCGTTGACGTTCCGATTCTGGGACAACCAGGGCCAGGGGGTTGCCACCCATGACAACTGCTCCGCAGCCCTGTTCCATATCACTTCGGCCGACTCCTCATTATGACATGGTTCAGCATTAGCATGAAGCCGCATATTGGGTAGGCGTCATCGCCGGCCCCATACCGCCACAAGGACAATCAACTGGACACTCTTGAAACCTTCAGGTGGACGGGACGAGACTGGTGCGTGCGCCCCCATCTGATACTATGTTCCAGTCGGCATCAACCCGTTCGCATGACGAACTGCCGGCTAGGCGGTCCTCTTTTGGACCAAATACGACAGAGGTCGCCTCGGTCGTCCTTGACCCATCGCAGTCCTCGGCCCAGGATCCCACGACTTGGCGGGCTCTTGCTGAGCACAGTGAGATGCCGAGCCAAGCACGAGCTGTATATGCGGGACGATGGGTCTCGGACAGAGTAGGGCCACCGCAATGTCGGTCGGCAAGTGATGGCTCATCAAAGGGCGTACCGCACCTCTTGAGAGACTGTGCTTGGCATCCGAACAGGGCCAGACACAAGCTTTGTCTGACGGCCGTCTTGAAGGCGCGGTCGTAGCGGGTTCCGGTAGGGATGCCACAGGCTTAGTTGCTTGCTCGAGTCTTGCCGCCCCGATGCCAGAGGTTGCCGCCAATGTGCCATCCTGAGGTTGCCGCCGCAGCGGATCCAGGGACGGAAAGGGGATGCAGGGTGCGACGGCGACACAGTAGCGAGACTTGGGTGTTTAGTTTGAAGCGGCCATATTGAAACGCGGATTCCGTTTCTTATGCTCATCCGTCCAGGGTTAACCCCGGTCACATAGACTGGCGCGCGTGGACGGCCGGGCAGCCTCAAGCCGTCGACTACTGCATCAAACACGCAGGGCGCGTCCGGATGAGTGTGGCGGCGGGTTGCTGAAGAGTTCATGCGTCGCTCCCGCCAACCAGCCGTCCAACCACGCAACCGCAACAGCGAGGCGCGACCAACAACCTTGGGCTCGCAAAGATGAAGCCGACGGATGGCGTCGTCGGTGCTCGGCAGACAATGCGCAGCATGAGCCTGAGTCGTCTACTCCTCGTATGGCCGGAACGCTGGCGGAAGCATGCGTGGGTCGGATCAGGGACCCTTGAAACTCGCTAGCGCACGGTGGCAATCTCAAGTCTGTATCAGCCCCGACTCAAGATCCGGACTGGGTCGCGCCAGTAAGCGGATGAAACTTGGAGCCAATGCAAACAACTCTATTCCGTTTGTCCGTTTTGCCTCTCCAGGCGACTGGCGCTAGACGGTTGCGTGTGTTGCAATGGGCGATGGCGGCTCCCGAGACGTTGCTGACACCGAGCCGACATCCTTCGACCCCCTTAAGAGACGATGGAGAGCAGCCGCATCTTAACTTGCCGGCTCGAATATTTCAGCGACATATGTCCCCCGGATTGCTACACCGCCGCGCAGAAGAGCAGACGTCTGTAGCGGAGACGCTTGCGGTTTGAGGGTGAGGTTTCACGACGGACGAGTTCGGGGCGGCGCAGCGGCGGGAGTTTCATGGGCTCCCGACGCATGAACTTCTCCATAAGCATGAACGCGTAGTTGGCTACATGCACACAGCCACGGCGCTTGAAGTCTTTGTCCATGGCTCATTACCCTCGAGACGGATTTTGAAATGAGCATCCGCGAGGAGCCAGTGATTGCCACGTATGTTTGGCTGAGCAGGTTGTTTCGGCAAGTTTGACGGGCTAGACGGTGATCTCGCGGTCTCGCGGCTCATCAGCCGCGTCCTTTGACCGCCTCGCTTGGCGTGAAGCAAGTGTGTCGCGAATAAATCGCTGTCATCTCGTCGGGGGCGCAGTCTCTGGAGGCTGATCGCAAGCCCGGCAAGACGGCGGGCGTCTGTGGCCTGGGTGTCTTTGTATTGCCATGGCTCTAAAGGGAACGGCGTGGGTCGCGGCGAGATCGATCGTGAAAGATGCTGTCCCTGTTCGGAGCATTGGCCGGGCGAATTATAGGTCGCGAGTGAGGCGGCCGGGGGTGACATGACGGCCAGGTACTCGTCGACGGCCAGGAACCTGCTCGAGGTGTCCCAACGCGCAGGGACGGGCGGTGGAGCTGCTGACACGGACGAGGCGGATGCGGAGGCGGCTGCGGCTCTGGCACAGGCACAAGTATCCGTGACCTTGCAATCCGCGCCAAGGCAACGGCTCCGACTGGTCTGCCCGGGGCGTCGCAGGGCTGGATCAAGGTTGCGGCTCACGGACAGGAAGCATCGTCGAGACAAGCAGACGAACCAGGACAGAAACGGACGGCTGGCGGGCCCCAGACGCAGACGTGTCGCGTGGCAGCCGCTGCCGTTGGCTCTTGCCATCCGAGATGAGATCTGTCGATGCAACGACGACGCGTGTTTCTGGCCTCAGGCACTCACAAGCAAGATGAGGTAAGACCTGGAATCTTGGGTTTAATTGTGGATATTTCAATCTCCCTAATAATCCGTGATGCTCTCATAGTACGTGAGCAGGGTGAGGTACGGATGAGGCGCGTCCCTCTCCAAGTCTCTCCTTTTCTGTGGTGTTGGGCATCTACATAATACAGCGTGGTCGGTACTTTGGGCAACGGGGACACGCGGTACCTGCGTGTACTTGTCCGTGATTCATCACGGCAACGCTTCCGGACAGCTAGCTTGTCAGGGACTGCCTGGCCCTGCAGGGACGTCTTCAAGTACTCGTACTCCGTGCACTGCACTTTGCGCGAGTACCAGAACATGAAAGTCTTCAAGGCCGGCTGGGGCTTTTTGCCGGCGCCAGATCACCCTCCGGCCTGTCGACGGACGGGCGCCAGAGGTGTTCGCGCGTGGGCTTCGTACAGTACATGACAACACCATGAGGAGGACGGGCGGGCAGGCATGGCTCGTCCCGCCCTGAGAGTGCGCGCTGGCGTCTTTTTGGCGCCCCAAGGCGCCCCTCAGGCATGGCCAGGAAGGACCGGGGGCCTCAGGTCGTGCAGGTGGGGCGCTGCTGGCCTGTACTGTACCTGCCATACTGTACTTGCAGACGGTGTGAGGGCGCGGCGAGTACCTCGTACTGTACTTCGTACTGTACCTCTGGTACTTGAGTTGGGCGCGTCACTGGTGGATGCAGTCTGGCACGCGCTGGTCCACGTGCCCTGGGTTCCGGCGTCTTCGCACTGTCCACGAGCTTGGCAACTGGCAGTGCCCGCACAGTACCCTGACAAGCTGCAGACTGTCACGCCACTCTCGGTTGCGGCCCAGCCACCCCTCCACAAAAAGTGGGTACAGGGAATTGGTCTGGCCCCTGCACGGCGGCAGGCCCTCGCGCCGCCCAAACTCCGGGTCCCTCGCGTCCCCCCGTCGCCCGCTTCCTCCCCCCTCTCACCCGCAAGACGCCAGCAGCCCAAAGTCCAAAACACGCACACAACACCTACATACAGGTACTTGGCCCGCGAAACCCAACCAAACTCCCCCGAGTTACTTGGGCTCGAGGTACAGTACGCTCCCGTCGCGACCTCGTCACTCGTCCATCCACCTACCGCCCATCCTCCAGCTACCTGACCGCTACCGCGTGCTTGCCGGTCGCTCGCGCTGCCAAACGCGGATCGGATCCACAGCTACCTTGAACTCCAACGACGTTGGCAGGCCTGCTGGCATTGTCGACATCCGCGACGCGCCGCCTCAACACCAACCGTTTGTCCGCCGGGCGGTTCGAGACGCTCTCGTGTTGTGCCGTGTCGTGTCATCCCGCAACCGCCGCTCGGTACCACCTCACCAGCGGTGCCCTGTCCTCTGTCGGCCGCCCCGTCGTCTGTCTTCCTGGTCTGGCCACCAACAAGGCTCGAGGCACTCGCATCGTCAGGAGCGCCGTCGCGTCAGCTGGAACGCGGGCTCATCTGTCGAGAGCCGGAGAGAGAGAGGCGTCATCGGCCTTGCCACTATTAGAGGCCTTGGAGCCCAGCCACCACCAGCAGCGGTCGTACATACACTGAAGTGTACGGCTCACCAGCCCGTCGAGAAGCGGCCGTCTCATCGACCGCACACGTGTTCCCAGCCCCCTTTGCGCGCCCATCACACGCCAACACGGTCGGCAGCAGAAGCCGTCCATCGGACGCACTCACACTCGCACTCACACGCATCCACCACCAACACCACCAACACCAACACCACCAACTCACACATCCGCGCTGCACTGCAGTCTCAGGATTGCCGGCTGTCAAATTACCCGCCGACGCAGCACACGCGCACGCGCCAGAACGGCCCAGAGCATCGGCTCGCCTCCAGCAGCGACGCTCGATCCAACTGCCGCATTCGCTCCTAGCCCACCCCCAGCAGCCAAGGCGCAGCAGCGCAGCGCAGGTTGCAGGCCCCGTATTACGCAAACCCGTGGCTCTGCCGCCGTGGATTATTACTTGCGACGAATACTACCTAGTCCCGAGGCTCGGACCACCTGTGCGACCTGACCTTGTCTCCCTGCCACCCCCAGCTCTCCCTCGCACAACCAAGCAAAACCGAAGACATCCTCTCCACGTCGGATGTGCTTTATGCCACCTCGCTGAACCCAAGGAATACATTGCCCGTAAGTACCTTGCCGCTCCTCTCCTCGCCCTGCCCGTCCTCGTCGCGCATCCCGTCGTGTTCGCACGACACCGGCGGCCTGGCGATTGCTCGAAGCCCGCCGCGTCATTTTTTGTCGCCTGCTGCTGGCCTGCCCGGCGTCGCACGCGTCGCCGCTCGCCAAAGAAAAAAAAAAAGCTCGCTTGGCTACACGACCCGCGCGTCGCTGCAGAACCACACCAGCCCCATGCCGGCGAGCTGACGGCCAGACACAGCCCGCCTGCCCGCCTGTCTGCCTACCTGGTCGCGCGTGCGCGCGCTCCCGTCCTTCATCAATCAGCGGCGCCGCCATCGCACAGCTGCCTGCCTTGTTTGCCTCGCGTTGCGTCGTCTTGTCGCGCAGCTTTTGGCTCTCTTTTTCTGCCAGCACCGTCTTGATACTGACTCCTCACTCCCGCCACCTTCAGATCATGCAGCAGTGGCAGGTCGGCCCCGTGCCGGAGTACGTCTACTCCAACTCCACCCATCAGCCCAACGACATGCAGTAAGTACCTCTGCCGCACCCTCTTCTTGTTCCCGGTACCTCGACCCCGTCCTCCCTCCCTCCGTCCTGGCCCTCCTCGCCCTCGCCGGCCTCTTGTCCTGGCTTGCCTTGCCTGGCCGGCCCGGGCCTGTCACGTCATGTCACCCCGATGCATGCCACTCTGCATCCATGCACTATCTCATGGTCGCCTCTCGCCGTCCCCCTCGATCCCGTCGACCTGAGCTGCCCGAGCACCCCTACGCCATCGTCGGCCTATCGTGCATCGCACGTCGTCGCTCTCTCTACCTCCCTCTCTCCTCCCCGTCCTTCGCCTTCACAGACCGGCTCTCGAGGATGCCCTCGGCCGCCCACCCAGCAACAGTCTCCGTTTGCGCCGGGGTCGCGGCCTTTCCCGGCGCGATACCATGACGTCTTCTCTGCGTGCCCGGGCGTGCCTTACTGACCCGACTGTCCTCGCAGCAACCACCCGTACCAGACAGACATGAACCGCCGCAATGAGCGAATGGAATTCCCGTACGGAGCTCCTCAGCCCAACATGGGGCAGCAGCAGCACCACCCCACGCCGGTCCAGCCGCCGATGAACGTCCCGCAACCTCCCGCCGCTCAGGGAGGCTCCCAGCAGCAGACGCCCACGCAGACGCAGGCCCAGCCGAGTCGGCAAAGGAAACGTCCGGCCCCCAACGCGGCTCCCTCTCCCGCCACCGGTGCCCCCGCGGCGCCCATCACCCCGAGCCAGCCTCCCGCGCCGACACCCCCGGCGCCGCAGTCCGCGCCGGTCGCTCAGCCGCCCGCCGCCGGAGACGATGTCAACTCCACGCCCGTTCAGCCCCCGGCGAAGAAGAGCAGGACCAACACCCCTTGGACCCCCCAAGAAGAGCTGCGCCTGAAGCAGATGCGTGACGCGGGCAACAGTTGGGCCGAAATTGCCAAGGTACGTCGCCTTTGCTCACACGACAAGGCTCCACGACTGACGATGCGCTTGGTAGACGTTCCCTACGAGAACCGAAGGTTCAGTGAAGAAGCATTGGTACAAGGTACGAGGCTGTTCGCCACGGAAGTTTGATGCAGACCCTGACAGGCGCTTAGGACATGCACTATGCCGAGTTTGCGGAGGACGAGGTAGGATATGCCCGCAATTGTCTGTTCGTTGCAGCCGCTTAACAAGAAATGCAGAGCCAAGCCTTGTTGAATGCGATCAAAGAGTATGAGAACAACAAGTGGAAGGTGATTGGCCAAAAGGTCGGCAAGCCGGCTAAGGTATGCACCGCACGATCTCATAGTAGTGGATCGCTGGCTAACTCGCGACAGGCGTGTGAGCAGTATGCAAAGGAACATTTTCCAGGTGGGTTTTGAACACACTATCATCTTGACGCCTTGGCGCTGGCCTCCGTAGCTGACATGCCACAGATCTCTTCAGCAGCACCAAGGGAAGGTAGGAATTACCCAGTGCCAGCAAGCCCTGGAACGGAAAGTTGTAGTGGGGTACCGATGGGTCGGGAGCGAGTTTCTAATCACGGATATATCGTTCGAGTATAATATCGGGGAAGAGTCCGGCACGCCTGGCGGCGCAGTGTTCCAGACTGTACTCCGCGGGCCTGGCGCAACGCCAGAACTTCCTCTTTCAGCGAAATTTGCACAGAGACGGAGAGGGTGGGCTGGAGCTCGGTGAATTTTTTTTTTTGGCGAACCCGAGATTGCTTTGGTGTGTTTTGCGTCGGGCCGTTCCGTTGTGTGCTTATTACTCTTTGTCTCACCTTCGCGGCTATCATGGGCCTCAAGTCTTCCAATTGCTGCGTCGTTTTGAGCTGTTCTCTTCAGTGTCTTGAGATCCGCCGGGGATGTCGAGGTTCGCAATGCTCGGCGGGAATGAGGGGCGGAATGAGAGATGTTGGAGGGGGTTACAGGGAGGCCGCCGCCCGTCAGACCAGGGGCGCGCTGCCACGGAGCGTCGACTCGACAGAGGACTTGCGGGACAGATTGGCCACGACGGACCAGGGACGATCGCAGTCCCGGCGTGATCTCCTCGGGCGAAAATAGGCGACCGAGGCAGACCGCTGTGGAGAGGGACGTTGTCGCAAGTGAAGCCGCTGTTGCGGGACACGCGAGGAGCCTGGTTTGATTTGGAGGACCGTTCAGATAGTTATACCCCAAATGCCCAGTTTCTTTGTTGACTTTTGTGTGCGCGTCGATGACTTGTGCGCGGCCGCCAGGAGACGACTGCAAGCCCGGAGACTCGACTTAGACGGGTTGGTACTTTACGAGCCAAAGTGAGTGACTGTCGAGGTGCCGAACGAGGTACCTCGTTTGGACCTCGTCGCGGTACCCCGTGTGACTTTGGGGTCAGGTACTTTGGCTGGCCGCGATGGCCTGCCCCACAAGGCGGCTGACCACGTTGGCGCCCCGCGAGGAAGCTGAGGAAGCCCCGGGCCGCCGTGGTAGGTACAGACGGGAGATGGCAAGAGTGAGGTACGAGTACATCCGACACACACTGCGGCGCTAGTAACGGCGACAGGGTCCGCGAACGGGCAATGGAGGGCACGACGCCGGCGAGCAGGGACGTTGCTCAAGACACTTGATTCGATGTATTATGTACATTTGTAGCCTTGACGTCTGGCGGCCCGCCCCGTGTTCCATCTCGACTCCAATGGATGGATGCTTTCCTGCCGCACCACGTGCTCGTGTGCTTGTTGCATGGCATAGGCTGGAGGGCATGGCCACGCGCTCTTGGTTCTCGGACAGATACCTCGTAGCTTCTGTCCAGTAATGCCCGACGCCCTCTAGGTGCTGTGCTTTTGTGACTGAACAAGAGCAGCGTAAAGTGGCTTGGGCCAGGACGTGGCTGCAGCCCAGCTCAAACCGCAGCCAGGCCAGCAAGTATCTCGGCCCAACAAAACGACCAAGGAACATAAGATAATACATTGCTCTTACTACGAAATTGAATGAAGCCAACCAAGGCACATCAGGACAGAGAACGTCGACAAGCCAGATTGTATCCATGCTGCAGGGTAGCCAAGATAGACAAGTCACCGAGCGACGCTCCACTCACTGGCGGGAGCAGAGATACCCCACCAAGATTCGATACAGTGGAGCGCAGGTACGTACCACGTAGTCGAGCATGGGCATTTTTTTTTCTTGTAGTCCGCCTCTTCAGATCCTCTGCACATGGGGATATTTTCCTGTCGACACAGCACAGCGAACGCCGGACTTGCAATCAGTCCACCAGCCAGCAACCATGAAACGCAAGCTCGACCAGAACGACGTGCCGTCGCCGGGGCCAAAGGAGGAGAAGCCCACGGCCAAGCCCAAAGTCGCAGACGAGGACCTCACATTCGCCGACCTGGGACTCGACCCGCGATTAGTGCAGGCCGTCGCGGAACAGAGCTTTCTGAAGCCGACGCTCGTGCAGCGCAAGGCCATTCCGCTGGCTCTGAATGGGCAGGATGTTCTGTGCAAGGCCAAGACGGGCTCCGGCAAGACTGCGGCTTACGTTCTCCCCGTGCTCGCTGGTATCCTGAAGCGCAAAGCTGTACGTGCAGACTCGAGAACATGTGGTGTTGTCAGTCATGCTAACTGCGATCTAGACGGACCCGAGCGCATCGACAGCGGCACTCATCCTTGTCCCGACGCGGGAACTCTCCGATCAGGTCTTCAAGGCCATTGAGCAGTTCTCGGCGTACTGCGCCAAGGATGTCCGGGCCGTGAAGCTGACCGACAAACTCTCCGACGCGGTACAACGATCGCTGCTGTCGACGTCGCCCGACGTCGTCATCTCAACCCCCGCCCGAGCCTGGTACAATGTCAAGTCGAATTCGTCGGCGCTCGACGTGAGTAAGCTGTCGCACCTCGTCCTGGACGAGGCAGACCTGCTCCTGTCATACGGCTACGAAGAGGATCTTGAGAACCTGTCCTGGTCGATCCCCAAGGGCATCCAGACAGTCATGATGAGCGCCACCCTGACGGACGAGGTCGATTCGTTGAAGAAGATCTTCTATCGAAGCAACGTACCCGCCTTGCTCGACCTCGAGGAACCGGATGCCGAGGGCGAGGGCGTGACGCAATTGGTGACCAAGTGCGGTGAGGATGAAAAGTTCCTGCTGGCATACGTCATCTTCAAGCTGCAGCTCGTCAAGGGCAAATGCATCATCTTTGTGGGCGACGTCGACCGATGCTACCGGCTGAAGCTCTTCTTTGAGCAGTTTGGCATCCGCAGCTGTATCTTGAACTCGGAGCTGCCCGTCAACTCAAGACTGCACGTCGTGGAGGAGTTCAACCGCAACGTCTACGACATCATCATCGCCTCGGACGAAAAGGAGATTCTCGGAAACGAGGAAAAGGCAGACGAGGAGAAGGGAGGAGAAGAAGCCCAGGAAGAGGGTGAAGACGAGGATGGCGAGAAGCAAAGCCAGCGACCACAGAAGAAGAGGAAGATGTCGAAGCGGGACAAGGAATACGGTGTCTCGCGAGGCATCGACTTCAAGAACGTGGCTGCGGTCATCAACTTTGACCTCCCCACGTCCGCGTCGTCGTACACACACCGCATCGGGCGGACGGCGCGAGCCGGCAAGGCGGGCATGGCATTGTCCTTTGCCGTACCCAAAGACCTGTACCGGAAGCACATGCCGACGACAACGGCGACGGCGGAGAACGACGAGAAGGTCTTGGCCCGCATCACGAGGCAGCAGGCCAAGAAGGGCAAGGAGATTAAGCCGTACAACTTCAACACGAAAGAGGTGGACGCATTCCGTTACCGCATGAACGACGCGCTACGAGCGGTCACCAAGGTGGCGGTGCGTGAGGCCAGAACGCGGGAACTGCGGCAGGAACTGCTCAAGAGCGAGAAGCTGAAGAGGTAATTATGCCCTGACTCTGAACCATGCTCGTTGACATCGGACCCCCTGACTAACTGAACGCCACCAGGTACTTTGAGGAAAATCCGTCGGAGATCAACCACCTCCGCCACGACGGCGAGCTGAGGACGGCGAGGCAGCAGGCCCATCTGAAGCACATTCCGGACTACCTGCTGCCAAAGGAGGGCAAGAAGGCGCTGACGGAGGACGACATTGGGTTCGTGCCGCTGCGCAAGGGCGGCAAGGCACGTGGGCATCGCAAGGGCAAGGGCACTAACAAGCGCGGCGGGTTCCGGGCGGGCGGTCGCAAGAGCGATCCGTTGAAGACTTTTAAGGCGCGGCGCAAGACGAAGTAGGCGCTGCGGATAGAAGAAGAACTTGGCACATGGCAGTAGTACGTACGAGCATACCATGATGGAGAGCGTGCATGGCGGCGTCTCTTGAAATTCCACAAACAGAATCCATGACTCCCGTCACAGTGCCGTCCCAGCAAGTGAGGCCCAAAAGTAATCAGTCATTCCTCATGGACCGTGCGGGGGCAGTGCTGTGCTGCCACATGGGGAGTGCCGCTCGACCCGGCGCAGCGGCAGCAGCTGCAAGGACCAACCTAACGCAACAGCAGCAGCAGCATGGAGCCCACCCCGTATTGAACGTTGATCCATAGGCAGGCAGGCATCAGGTACGGAATGCTCCGCACATACATACGCGCGCAGCAGGGCAGTCTATTTTTGTGACGCTCCTCGTGAGTGAGTGAGTGAGTGAGTCGTGGTGCGTCCTGTCTCGGTTGGCATTGACTGCCGCAAGGAGAGCCCGAGCCCGAGACGGAGACAACACGGCGCGGGCGGTGATGGGACGGGGCCACGGTCAGTCATTGACTCGTACATACGAAGCTGGATCGTGCGATGGGCGAAGAAGGGGGGGCTTGGGGTGCCACCCGTGGGAAAACCAATAAGCGGGCGACGCGGTGCGGAGGAGATGGCGCGACGGTGGCTCAACGGACGAGCCCAGGCGTTGCCAATGCAAATGCAATGCCAGAACGCCAGGACGCCAGGCCAGCGCCAGGTCAGGCAAGGCCAGGGCAAAAATCTGACAGCCCGCCCGCAACCTAAGCTCGCTCGGCGCCCGCCCGCCCGCCGGGGGCTCGTATTCTGTACGTGGAGCGGGCTGTTCCTGAGGGGGTCGCATCCGAGCTTGGGGGGGGATCCAGGCATCCAGGCTGGTAGTAGTGGAGGGTGGAAGTGGGTGTCTTGTTCGGCTGGGGCCTGGATGGGCTGGCTGGGCCTGGCACCTTCGCTCGCCCACCAATTCCACAGGATCCTCGAGTCCAGGCCCCCGGTTTAATTGCTCCTTTGGCTTCCTCCGCGCCGCGCCCCCCTGGCCCGTCCCATCTCTCGCCGCCCAGATGCTGCCAATGTCCAGCTGCTTGTTCGCGCGTGGATCCTGCCCGCCTAGGATGGGGAGAGGGGGGATGGTGGGCTGCTCTGCTTGCTTGGTTGTTTGCCTGCCTGCCATTGAGAGGATGTCCGCCTGCCCAGCTTTCGCCCCCCCCCGTCTCCTCCCGTCTTTCCTCCTGCCGAAATTGCTCACGGTCGTTTTACGCTACCCAGCAACTCTCTCTCCCTCTTCAACCGTTCGTTAAAGAGGAAGAAGGAAAGTTTCAGCGAGAGGCCGAATTGCGCGCGCTCTCTCTTCCTTCGCCCAGTCGCTCGCTTTTTCGTTATCGACGGCCCGTTTTCTGTGTCATCCCCTTTGTCTGGAAGCACACACGCGCGCGCAGCACACACACACACCCCCGTTATTAATATTCCCACCTGTGTCGCGAGGGAAAACCGCCTCTCTTGCTTGCTTGCTGCTGTGACCCCCCGCGGGCCAAGCTTGCTCGATCCGAACCCCGTGCGACGTTGCGGCCGCCGCCTCGTCGTCCCAGATCGAATCCGCATCGCAGCGCATCGCATCGCATCACCGTTGCGTCGGAAGACTGCATCGCAGCGTGCATCGTCCCGGACCCTCGGCGCCTCACCAAGTCCCGTCATCGTCGTCGGCGGTCGTTCATCACCACCACCGCACGCACGCACGCACGACAAAGACGCCGCACCCCCTCATCACGGCTCTCTGGAACGCGTCTGCGTCAGCAGCACAAAAAAAAGCCCCCTCGGCCGTCGCCTTTCCCGCATTCCTGCGTCGCGGCCAGACAATCGGAAACAAACAAGAGAGCGATTTAGGTGGCGACTGAGACAGGTTCATTCGCTTCTTGTTCTTGTTCATCACAAACAAAGCACTACGTACTGTGCCGGCATCTGAGACGACGACGACGCCCCTGCATTGTTCTCGGCCGTCGTACCTTCCCGCTGCCACTAACACCCTTTTCGACTCGGACGTCTATTTTCGTGGTGCTCACCTGACGGTCGCGTGCTCTCCAACTGTCGCGACCGCGATCTTTCTTGCTGCAAAGAATAACAAGGCGACAAAAAGGTTCGCATCTCGAAAGTCGAAGCAGAGCTCCCACCAGGAGGCTAACACCACCATCAGCTCATCATGTTGCGCTCTGCGGCCCTCGTCGCCCTCCTGGGCGCCTCCTCCGTCCTCGCGGCGGGCACCAAGTGCTCACTGTCCAGCAAGTGCCCCAAGGATTCTCCCTGCTGCTCCCGTAAGTGGTTATCCCTGTCCCCGTCCGTCTAGTGCATCGAAAACCGTTGTATGCACGATGCAATTTAAACGGGGGAGTTGCGTGGTCTGACTGGCTGGCGTTGGACAGAATATGGCGAATGTGGCGTCGGCGCCTACTGCCTCGGCGGCTGCGACCCGCGGTCGTCGTTCTCGCTCGACGCGTGCGCCCCCGCGCCCGTGTGTAAGAGCTCGACGACCAAGTTCACGAGCATGGACAGCATCATCAACATCGGCGACTACCTCGGCGACGCCAGCAAGGGCGAATGGGTGGCGCAGGGCGAGCCCGCCCAATACAAGGACAGCGTCCTCCTGACCATGCCGAGGAAGAGCGTCGGCACGGTGCTCGCCTCGACCGCCTACATGTGGTACGGAAACGTCAAGGCCACATTCAAGACGAGCCGCGGCAAGGGCGTCGTGACGGCCTTTATTCTGCTCTCGGATGTCAAGGACGAGATCGACTACGAGTTCGTCGGTGTCGACCTGAACACTGCCCAGACCAACTACTACTTCCAGGGCATCACGGACTGTAAGTGAAGCGCGCAGAGACCAAGCGATAGACCTTGCATGTAGTGCGGCGGGCTGACGGGAGGCGCGGGCAGATCACAATTCCGGCAACATCACTGTCAAGGACACCTTCGACGAGTTCCACACCTACGAGATCCGCTGGACGCCCGACAAGATCGAGTGGCTCATCGATGACAAGGTCGGCCGCACGAAGCTGCGCAAGGACACGTGGAACGAGACGAGCCAGCAGTGGATGTTCCCCCAGACGCCCGCGCGCGTCCAGCTGTCCATCTGGCCCGGCGGCCTCGCTAGCAACGCTAAGGGCACCATCGACTGGGCGGGCGGCGAGATCGACTGGGACGGCGAGGACATCAAGAAGGCCGGCTACTACTACGCCACCTTCAAGGAGGTCAGCATCGAGTGCTACGACGCCAAGAGCGCGCCGGGCACCAACAAGGGCAAGAGCTACGTCTACACCGACTACGCCGGCACCAACGACACGGTCAAGGACGGCGACAAGGACACCATCATGGGCTCCCTGCTGGCGTCGGGCCTCGACATGGACAAGGGCAAGAAGAGCTCGTCGGCATCTAGCAGCGCGGAGAAGCCCAGCCAGACCCAAAACACCATTCCCGGCGGCAGCAACGGCAGCGGCGGCAATGACCACAGCGGCGATAAGGGCGGCAGCAGCAGCGGCGGCAGCGGTGGCAGCAGCAACAACGGAGGCAGCGGCGCGCAGCCCACGGCGGGTGGCTCATCGGGCTGCAGTGCCGGCAGCTTCAACCAGGACTGCAGCAACGGCTCCAAGGACGGCGGCAGCGGCGGCAAGAGCGGCAGCTCCAAGGCGAGCGCGAGCGCGCTGGCCATGATCATTGCCGGCGCTGCGCTGTTTTGGCTGTAAAGGCGGCAGCTTTCTAATGTGTGAGGTCGGCCCCTTGCGGTGCTTTGGGTGGTGTACCGGCGCGCGGAGCAGCTCGTCGTTGAAGTAAGGGAGGCACTCTGCGAGGAGCATCATCATCATCATCATCACACCGTGGGAGGGAATATTGTCACGTCTGCTTCGATGTTGTATCTTAGGGCAATGGCGCCCGCCCCGCATCCTTGTACTTATGGGCTTTCTTCTTTGGCATCTTTTTATCCTGGGTTGGTTTGGGTGGACGATAATGACCCGTCGCGGTCGTCCGGTCCCTTTTTTCTCTTTTGGTTTGGCGGCATGGCTTGAGCAACAAGAACGACAACGAGCGTGGATGCGCGCGATGGGCGGGGAGGGGAATTGATTGCTGGGAGGGAGCATTTTCTTGGATACATACGTAATATGAAGTTGGGATGGGGTTCATCGAAGATTGCTGTCTACTTGCGCTGCTGGTGATGTCTGCCTTCCCGGGTTGCGTGGCGCAGGGGATGCACCATGAAGCTAGATGTCGTGGTGTGTGACGTTGGATGCGTGATGAAGCTTGGCAAGGGTCTTGATGTCCATACGAACGACCTGCGGGGGTCCAAGCCATGTGTACGTGGGGTAACACGCCAGAAAGCCATCGTCGTTCCTCAAGGATCGAGCAATTAATATACCGCGCGTCACATATACTACTACTCACGCGCCACCTGCCTGCATCAGCAACGCTGTAGCATGGATATCCCTGGATGGAGGATGACCCTCGGGTGCACACGGAGACGTGTCTCACCCAATCCCAGCCACATGGTAACAAAAGAGGCATCTTTCAATCAAGGAGCCATGGGGACTTTTTCGAATTTTGAAATCCTTCTGGGGTTGAGAGAGATACAGGGGAGGGGGTTGAGAAGTGCTGGGTAGGATTGTTCGTGGCTTGTCGTGGGATGATGGTGATAGGCGCGGCGCGGCGGGCATGGGGAGGCTATAACTAACACAGACGTGGGGGAGGGCTTGTAGGGGGAGCAAAGCATTGACGAGCGATAGCCGAAGGCAAGTCGTCGGCCGGGCAGAACCAAGTAAGGTACGTGGTCGGCCAGTCAGTCAGCCCTGTCAGGGCAGAGGCGCAAGCCTGTTCCATTCTGGCAGGATGAGGTGGAAGTCGTCCCTCCCCCTCCGGGGATACGACGGGGTCGGATAGATACGTAGACTGAGGAGCAGTTTCTAATCTTGGGTGACGACGGGGGACGCAGATCCAGACGCAGCCAAGACGGCCTTCGGGTCGAGGAGCCGAGATGGGCGGCGCGCGCCTCCTCGTCACCACGAGGTTTGATACGTACGTACTACTAACGTTAGGTTGACCGCGACGATGGGACTGTTGTGTGACTGGTGCGATGGGCCGCGAGGAGTGAGAATGGCCAAGGCGAGTGGTGCCGCCCGCGCCCGCCGGCCCGCGTGTGCTGCTGGGTGTGCGGCTCTCGCTCGCGCGACACACACAAAAGGATCGAGCCGCAGCCCGCAGCAAAAGACGCGAAGGCGCGAGGTGCAGAGGGCGACGGGGCGAGCAGGCTCGCGGATGCCCCACAGGCGGACCAACTGCCCGACCGCGGGACCTCTCCACCGTTAGCGTTCTGGAGACCCGGAGCTAGCGAGTACTAACAGGGCTGAGGTACTCGCACCCTGGAACGTGGCTTGCAGCGGCCGGGGGCTTGGAAGCGCCGCCGGGGGAATGGCCGCGAGGGCGTGGCGCGGCCGACGAGGGACGGAGGAGGAGTGGAAAGCGTGGATGCCATGGATATTGTTGGGGCCTTGGAAGAAAAAGGGTGTTATTGCGTGTGATGTCGGCGACGACGGGCATGGGATATAAAGAGCTTGATGGTTTCCGTCGTCATCATCAGTCTCATTCTCATTCTCACCACCAAACATCGCAATCTACAGCAACATCATCACCATCAAGAACACCAACATCAAAGAACAAACCATCAAATCAACAACCATCACCGAGCAATAACAGCTGCTTCTTTGCCACTTAGACACCTAAACACCAGCCACTTGGCCGATACTTCATCACCAGCCCTACGACTTACACACCAACGCTTGCCGAACCAACTGAGCATACATCCCAGCTCAACACCACCACACACACACATATTCAATCTCATCGAATATATCCCCCAAAATGTCCACCAAGACCATCGCCTTCCTCGGCGCCACCGGCGGCTGCGGCCTCTCCGCCCTCCGCCGCGCCGTCGCCGCCGGCCACACCTGCATCGCCCTCTGCCGCACGCCCTCCAAGCTCGCGGCCCAGTTCCCCGACCGCCCCGCCAACCTCATCCTGCGCGAGGGCAACGCCCACGACGTCGCCGCCGTCGCCGCCTGCCTGTCCCACCCCGCGGACCCCGCGCGCCTCGTCGACGCCGTCAACTTCTCCATCGGCGGGCCCGTCAACATGGCCAAGCTGACCATGGACGACCCGGACGTCTGCAAGAAGGGCATCGCCGCCCTGCTCGACGCCATCGCCGCCGTGCGCGCCGAGGAGCGCGGCGGCACGACCTGGCGCCCGCTCGTCGCCGTCGTCAGCACCACGGGAATCTCCCAGCACGGCCGCGACGTGCCCCTCCTCTTCGTCCCCTTCTACCACTACGCCCTGCACGTGCCCCACGAGGACAAAAAGGTCGCCGAGCAGCGCCTCTTCGACAGCGGCGAGCGCTTCGTCATTGTGCGCCCCAGCCTGCTCGTCGACGGCGAGAAGCCCGACAGGGCCATCCGCGTGCACGTCGAGGGCCCCCAGGGCATCGAGCGCAAGGAGGTCGGCTACTTCATCTCCCGCGACGACGTCGGCCGCTGGATGTTTGAGAACCTGCTGCAAAAGGCCGGCGGGGGCTGCGAGTACGAGGGCAAGGCCGTCGGCCTGACGTGGTAGGCTCTGAGATTGTAAATGCCGGGCATCGGATTGACGGGCGGGGGAGAGATTGATATCCTATAGATGATGAGCGAGCTGGCGTTTGGTTCTGAAAGTGTCCTTTTCTTCTCCTTTGTTTAGAGACTATAGAATAATGAACATCCCGAATCGATCAAAAGCCGATACCTGAATTGTGACGAATGGTTACATTGCGAGACTCCAAGTTGCCAAGATGCACATTGCCACATTGACACCATCCGGGATATCTTGACCATATACTGTTACAATTTTGGGTGTTGGGCGGCCCTTGGAGTAACCAAAGGCCGCCGAGTAGAACGTCGAGACAGCCTTGTAGCTGCCGACCCCAATGATGATTTATATGCGTATGCGTTAATGATGCTTCCCAAATCTCCAACCGGTCGACCATGCACCCCTGAAAAACATTGACGAAATAAGGCACAACGCCCGTCTACAACGCCATCGCCATGCCTAGCCCTCTAAAATGCAAACAAGCCGACCACCAAAGCGCTACAGAGATAAACCCAACACGCACCGTGTCGTAGCCTCGCGCCCCCGCTGGGCTCCTTGCCCCCCGCCTTCTCCCCGTCGTTCGACCCCCCGTTGACGTCCGTGGGCCCCCTGTTGCACTCGCCCACCAGGCTCTTCAGGTCAGACGACGGGGCAATCGTCCTGACCGTCGAGCCGCAGTTGGTGTACTGGGCCATGTACGTCATGTTGGCGTCGAGGTCAAACACCACTGCCGTTTGTATGTCAGCCAGAGCGTTCGCAACAACATGTTCGAGACCTCCAGGGAGGAATGATTGCCCACACACCAACGAAGGAAGGGGAGAGGAGGAGGACGACTCACCGTACGCAGACCGCAGAAACGTATCCCCCAGGAGCGCAAACATGTCGCTCGGCATGACCCCCAGATAACACATCGGCGGCTCCATGCGCACCTCGCGTATCAGTTCCCTGTACGGCACCCTTACCGTCACGCCCTCAAACGCAAAGTCGACCGACCCATTCCTCCCCGTCAGCGCACAGTCCACAATATGGAACCCGTTCAGGTCCATCGTCGTCGAGCCCATCGCGCTCGCAATCCCCCCCGCCACCTCCGGCGGCAGCAGCGTCAGCGTCGCCCCCGTGTCCAGAAACACGGGCATCCCCTCCGCCTCCCTCCCCTCCCTCCCCCCCTCCGTGTTGGACGCAGCAAGCAGGTCCGTCGCCGTGCCGTTGGCGGCCACGTGCCTCATGCCCTTCATCCGCACCCAGTACCGCGCCACGCCGTCCGGCGACTCCCCCTTCGGTATGATGGGCAGCTGCGCGAGCCGCCCCGCAAACTTGGACGTGTCGACGCCGCCAAACACGACGACGCCCTGCCGCTCGTCCTTGGAGCCCAGCGCCACGCTAAACGCCTTGGTGCGCGTCACGTTCTGCCGCGCCAGCTGGTCGACAAAGTTGTCGTACCCGATGTTGAGCCCCCTGCCGTACCCGAGGCCGAGGATGCCCGAGAACTGGTCCTCGCTCGTCGTCGCGACGCCAAACTGCACGCGCTTCATCGTGGCGGCGGACGAGGCGCCGGAATCAGAGCCGCCGCCGAGGGATATGTCGTCGAGCACGTACGTGATGTTGGCGGAGCCGATGCCGTAGCGCAGCGACGTGCCCAGCTCGCTCACCACGGCCGTCGACGAGTTGGACGGATCGTACCGTCCGATGGCCTGGCAGAAGCGACGGTCCGTCACGGGCAGGCCGCTGCAGTTGGGGTTGACCCAGAGCTCAAAGGAGCCCGTGTCGAGCTGGGCAAAGACCTTTTGCGGCGGTGTTCCGATGCTGACTGCCTGCGTCTCAGCAAATATCCCACATTAAACCTCATAGAGCAAGGCACTCACGCTGGGCATAGTAGGCTACGTCCGAGCGGTTCTCGAGCTGCACCTCGAGCGCCCTTTTGCCTATCCTAGGCGGCTCGGCATGTATGACTGGCAGAGTCAACGTCCCCGGCTGGCCGCCATCGGCGGGAAAGTCTCGTCGAAAGATGTCTTCGCTTCTTGCTTCCGGAGGTTCATCTTGAGCTCTTACTCTCGAAACCTGTAAATGCGACGGTTCTCTTCGCTTGGCAGGCAGCACGGGCAGCGTCCCCATCGACGTATCGTCCTCTATCGCAGCGGGCAGAGACCGCGATGATACTCTCGAGTCGCGTACAGGAGGCCATGTGAGCGCACCCGCCGAGAATCGATCATCGTGCAGTGCCCGTGGCCGCGACTGGACGGAGAGGACAAGAGAAAGGAGAACAAGGACAGACGGCGGTGCCATGGTACGGCCCCCGGCAAGCAGATCAAAACGGCAGATCAATCATACGCATATGCAATGACACCGTCCCAGGGCTTATGTTAAAGGAAATCATGGACACACACACATGATGGCAGCTTCAGCTGAGCTGTTACAGCACTGACCGCGTCAACTGCCAATCCGGCTGCCATTTCAGTCTCGGTCAACACAACCGGCCCGACACGACAAGTTTTCTTCAGCGGCCCGGCACCAGTCCATGCCGGGCCGCGGCATCAAACCTTCAAAGGCCAAGCCCAGACCCTTCACGTCTAACCCTGCGCGGATGCGAAACTCGACGACTGGGGGCCTGGCTGTGAGAGGAGACGGCATGCACGCCGCCTGAAGCTGGGGGGCACGAAGGAACCGGCCAGGCACATTACCCAGGTGATTCGCACGAGGGCGCATCAATGCGGGGGTGTCCGCCAAAAACGACGAACGCCAGGCGAGTCGAGTTACAGCGGGGGTGACGAACAGGAACGGGCTGACCGCTTGTGTCGGGACATGAGGCAATGGTGTCGAACGGTCGAGGCTGGAGGCGTCTCAGGGCGCCCGCGTTTGAGGCGCTGCAGGGGCCGGCCGGTGTTTTGGGTCTCGAGCCATGGGCTTGTCGGAGCCGAGTGCTACTCCACAAGGACGATCTCGAATTCTAGACGGTCCTAAATTCATGGCTTGCCGAATTTGGATCAATACTCGAGGCTCGTTTGCGTCAATTTTGGTGTTCCTCTGGTTCGTTCATGCCGTGCCGGAATTGAACTACACTTAAAGTGCATGAAAAGTCGATGTGTAAAGGCTATAGTGACGCCTTGACACTAACTAGAACGCCTAAGCTCTTGAAAGGTGCTCCTCTCACCGTCGACTCAATGGCCGATGAAGCTACTGCTCAAATGTAATCGCGTTCCAGGACCAGGTCCATGAAGAGGCGACCCAAACTCGGGGACGTTCCCACATCCTCCATCGCAAACCAGAACGGTTCCACAGGGCAAACACACCTCAGGCCTATCCCGGGATCAAGCCTCCCCATACATTCGCGGATGCCTTTCCCTTTGGGCGCTGCATTTGCTCGGACAGACCAGTGTACTTGCCGGCCGTCTCCTGGCCCGGACAACAAAGCACGTGCATATGCAAGCCCATCTGGCTCAGCCTTCCTTCGCATCCTGGGAAGTCCAATTAATTCCCCGGCCGCCCCAAGTGAATTTACTGTCCTCATCGAAAAGCAAGTCGACATTTGCAGCGGCCTTATCCAAGAGCTTAACATCAGCTGAACAGGCTCCCAGGATCACCGCGACGAAATTATCTGGGAGAAGGCCGTATTCGGGTCCGTTTCCCCAGCTTACCCTTTTAAAGGAGACGATCTTGACAAGCTCCAAGACAAGATTGGCAAGCTCAACAAGAGCATCGGCTTTGCGCTGCATTCGCCCCAGGCCGGAAATCTTACGAGTGGCCCACAGCTTCGCTGGGTTCATCGAACGATCACCGCTGGCGTTGATGATTCGGCCCGGGGCCGGACCCGCCGTGAGCTGGAGCCAGCGCCGGACTGGAGCCGGACCCGGACCGGGACTCCCGGAGGTGCCTGGCCGTGCCGGCGGGCCCACCTGCCGGCTCGCTTCCCGAGTCGTGTCGCTGGCGAGAACAACATAACAGATGCGATTTGTGCCTAGACTTTTTTCCCGACACAGATGCCGCTGTCAAGCGCCGAGCTCGACACCCCCTCGGGGACTCCAACAGTCCCTTGAACGGCTGCGCGCTCCCGATGAGGACCCAGGACGCTTACACCCCTCCCATCGAACAGGCACAAACCGATAGCAAGCAGGATGGGTAAAGAGGAAGGAAAGGGAACGAACAAGTGATTGCCACCTGGTCCCTCCACTGATAGAGCACCAGCCGCCCTTCCTGCGCCATCTGATCACACCCGCCTACATAATACACGCATCGACTTTTGCCGGGGCCGATCGATCAAGTCAGGTCCATCTTGGGCCGTCCCCTCCTCCACCCTCACACTCAACCTCACCCCCAACCCCCTCAAAAAATCCTACCCAATTTGCACCCAACGCCGGCGCCTCCCATCCGGTTCCGCCGCGGGTCGACTCCACGTCGAGAAAAGCATCGTGACCATCGTTTATCTGGGTGCTAACTAACTAGTTAGCGCCCGTCCCCCCCGTCAGTGATGCCCAACCTGCCCCTCCATGGCCGCCGGATAACTATGGCCCGCTCACATAGTGCGAGACAGAACGACTCAATCCTCTTGCAACAAGCAGTCACATTTCCTTGACTTTGGCTCTAGCACACGAAGAGGTTCAAAGAGGAGTTGGCAACCGTGAATGAACACTCTGGCCACCTTTCTGGGGGTCCAAGAAAACCCCAATCCCATCCCCACAGCGACCGTCGGCGCTCGGATGACCTGATGCGTTGTCCCGCATACACGCTGCAGCGTGCCCACGCATCGTGCATATCCCCCATGCATGCCACAATCATCGTACATGTAGGCTCTGTAATGTACCCTCCCCCCTAGCCCTTCCAGGAGAGCCGAAGCAGTCCGACAACAACTCCCTCCTCGCAAGCACGTCGCGCAGCCCAAGCCCACCCTATAAGCTCCCATTCCCCCCTTCTCTCCCGTGCGCTCCCGCGTTATCAACTTCGTACTTCGATCGCACCTGGGCTACTTATGTAGGCACTCTGCAAAATGGTGTGCCGGACCCTGCGCACCATCTGCAATTGGACTCATCAGTCGCAGGTGGCATACATGTCCCAGAAACGGTACGTGCAAGGCGCGCCATCCCTCGTGCACTGCGAAAGCCCATCGGCGGTTAGCATGTAAGCCTCTTCCCTTCGACCTTGGTTTTGGAGGAGAATCGACCGCGGTAGGGGATGGAGTTGGCGAGAGGGATTGGAGGGGTGCTTACCTCTTCGCCGGGTCCCCTTTCGGTGTTTGGCCTGCAGTCCTTGAAGAACACGGCTGTATTGCCGCTCTTGCCTCCACGTCCGGAGGCGCCGCCGTTGCTCCCGGCTGGCATCTCGATGCGACAGCTGGCGGCGCTGGAGGCGGTAGCCTGGTAGCATTTCTGGAAGCGTGACAACTTTAGCAACCCTCCACTTGCTGTTGACGGCATCACGGATTCGTTGAGCCTCTCACGTACCCCAGTCACGCTCTTGGGCCGTCCCTCCGCAAGGGCGCCGGCGCAGAGCGCAAATAGCACGAGTCCGTGGTTGAGCTTCATCGTCGAGACTTCACAGATTGGTTATTCTGTTGATTGCACACCGCACTAGGAAAAAGAAAAAGCCTCTTCTTGCAAAGTTGCCCGCCGAGAGATAACGTCGAGTACTTTATATATAGTTAGAGCCTGTTTTTCAACAACTGGGTATTACTCTCTCGAAACTGGCCGACCAGAGAATTCAAGTAACAGTACACTACGATTGATTGTAAAAACGATGAGCTCGGCGCATGTTCCCAACGGAGCTGCGAGTCATTATCGTATACAAATTGTTTTGTCCTCAACTAGGCAGCACATTCCGGGCGTACAAAGACACGAGCGCAGGCAAGCAAACGGCCCCCGGTCAACTTCGCCCAACGTACGAAAGTAAGGGGGAACACTGGCTCTCGTCTCCCGGCAAAGTGCGTTGCACAGGGTATTAGCGCCCAGCTGAAGCTTAAAAAAAACAACCGAACGTAACACCCGTCGCCCGATGCCACATCATCAACATCATCACCGTCACCACCACAATCTCCAAAAAGCGGAAGCACATGCTCACAGACTGCTGCCATCGTCGCCAGCATCCCCTTTGCCGCCAACACCACCTCAACGACCGCACCCCAACGTCCACCACTCCGTCTGGCCATCTCGCCCGCATGCACGCCGTTCGCCTCAAACCGATTGATTGGAACTCGAGCTGCTCCCCCCAGCCACTCTGCCCTCTGCGCCTCCCCCGCGGCTGGCAGCCAGCCCAGCCCGATTCAGCGGCACGCACACCCCTCCCCCCTTTTTCTTTCGGTCCCCCTGTGCCTTGTGCCTGTGCCACGCCAACCACGTCTCAGCCAGCCTGCATTGCATAGCATAGGTACAGCGCATTACATTACATGACCCCACGGGCGCCGCCCGCGGTGCACCACCTGCACACCACCCCAGGTCTGGTATGCTCGCGTTGCGGTACTGTATGTAGTCCACAGACGCGCAAAGGAACCGAAAAAGAAGGCCGGGGAGTGGAGATCGTGGGGTGATGAGTGAGTGAGTTGAGTGATCGAGACGAGTGGCTGGCTCATGCAAGTCGCACCCTGCAGGCTATGTGTGTCTTGTCTTATACGGGAGCCCGACATCAATGGCTCGCCCCCCAGTGCAGTCACCAGTGCATGCAACATGCAACGCATCGTCGTCGGCGTCGTCGTCGAAAGTCCAGAATTCTCCTTCCGCGCAAAGCAAAGTCCACCACACCCCCCTTCTTCGCGTGAACCTTCCCGGGGCTCCGCTTCGGCGCTGCTTGCAGCTGGTGCCCGTCCGGTACGAGTCCCTCTTCCGCCGCCGCCGCCGCCGCCGCCTGCGCGATAGATATGCCGCCGGGGCCCTGCAGGTTTAAATATGCGTGCCCCCTTGTCCAGACATGCCCTGTCCGGCCCTGCCCTGCGCAGTCTCGTCCTGTCCTGCGGCGACCCGTGTATGCTTCGCGTGCCTTGCTCCCCCTCTGCAAGCGGTCAGTCCCTCGTCATCGTTTCTCGCTTGCGAGACAGCGGTGCAGTGCAGTGCAGCGCAGCGCAGCGCAGGGTTAACTACTTCTGCATGGCGGCGCCGGGGGCATGACATTCTCGCCCGACCTCTCTTCTCCCCTTCCAGTCTCCTCGCCCGCTCCTTGACGTGGCCGCGACCCCATTGACTCTCTGTTCCAACTCGCTTCCCCCTCCGTACGTAACCTCTCTGAGTCAGAATTGGTCCTGAAACGCCCCTCGGGGCAGAAAGAGGAAGTAGTTCCCAAGCCGTGCGGAGAGACCAGGTGGATGCATGTATATCCCGCTCCATCATCGTCGGGGCGGCGGCGGAGGATGGCCCGGCCCGGTCTCAAACGCCGAGCACGTCCCTGTGACGACACTCTTCTCGGACCAGAAAGATGGCTCAACCGCGGCGTGGAAACAACTCAATGACGACACGAGAGCACTCATACGCCGCCAGTTCTCAAGCAACCCGAGCGACAACACGAACATTCAGATCGGACTCGTCGTCGGCATCGTGCTAGGCGCTTTCATCGTTGGCCTCTGCATCTTCCTCTACATCTACCGCCACACCATCCGCTTCCGACGCCGTCGCCGGCGGAGCGTCCGCAAGACGTCAAGCAGCAAGAGCTCTAAGAGCTCCGACGCCGAGGCACCGCCTCCGCCGGCCGACGCGCCGCCGCCACCGGATGCGCCGCCGGAGGGGGCTTGAACGGGGCGTCAGAATTGCGGCCGATATCAACCCATGATGATACGATATAACAGTGTTGAGATTGAGATTGGATTCATCAGCTGTGGTTCTGTCTTGCTGACTGCTGCAGTCGCAAGGTAGACCATTCAACTCGTGTATATTACTGGCGTGTAATTAATCTGCGACCAGGATGGAGGGGCCATGATATCTGCTTGCATTGAACGGGGTTTGAGAAGTTGGAACTTTTGAAACACGGGCGCTTGAGAGAAGGAAAAGGTACGACGGAACGACCACACGATCTAATGACTTTGGGAATTCTAGTCTGCGATTCAAACCAGAGGTATTCTTCTCTTTCTGCGGAGCGTTGTTTGAATCATGCCGATGAACTCTGTGGTCCAGTTTACAGCGTGCAAGCCAGACAAGTGATGGTTTCGAGTTGCTACTCCCATCGTCATCACTCTCCTTGCAGTATAGGATTTGATCGAATGACCATACCAACGCGGACACACTCATACCCTCTCAACGAACCTCCTTACCGCAGATGTGCACGACGAGGCCTCGCCATCTCCAAGTCGTCTCTCAACACTGTCACAGGCTCGCCCCTCCCACGGTCCACCACATCATAGAACTTGAGAGGCGATACCCTGCCGCTCTGCCGAATACCATGGCGTAAAGTGTGCCCGCGGCGCATATCCCTCCTGCCACGCGGCAGATGGCGCCTCTCGAGCGAGTGTCGCGGACGCGACCTGTCGGCGTGCTTGACGTAGATGCCCACAAGCAGGGCGACGAACCCGATCACGACGCCCACGATGATGACGCCGACGACCGTGGAACTGGGGCCGCCGTCGCCGTCGCGTCGCGCGAGTTGCCTGAGGAAGAAGCCAGCCCTGTTCGTGATATCGCTCGCCTGTTTCCTCGACGCAGACATGCCGCAGTGTTGGATGAGAGAAGGGCGATGGTCATCTATGTCGACACAGACTGGTGCTGCAAAACAATCTCAACTGATCTTGGACTTTCGACGACGGCAGGACGCTTGTGAGGGGAGTTGCAGACATCTCGACGGGAACTGCATCGTTTGCACTCAGTTTGAACGAAAAACGCTATTTATCCTGTCACAAGCAAATCTCGTGCGCACAACGAACCTGTTTGTCTTCATGTTCGTCGCAGCAACACCCTTCCCCAGCGATGAGCGTGGAGCGGCTGCAGTCGCCCTTGGACAGAGTTGCCGTCCCTCCCGTATGAGCAACATGGACATCACTCACAGGAGGCCGCGCGCGCAGTCACTCCTTCGGCTAGCAACCAACTTGGGGCTGACTGTGGATGACGACAATGACAACGGGCACGCAAACTGCACCCAGCAAACTGGCAGCTGAGTAACTGCAACGCCGTGTTTGCCCCCTCCCAAGCCTCCCTGGAGGGAAAGCCGCATCGTGAGCCGTCTCATCGGTGGGTGCGATGCGATACAGGTGAGGCGCATTGCTGCCACAAAAGACGGTTGAGAGCTTGAGTCCATGGCCAGGTATATCCAACGTTGCATGAGGAGATGAGAACCACAGAGGCAACTCCGAGGGTTTGTCAGTAACTCAGTCAGTCAGTCACTCGCCCAACAACACCAGTGCTATGATCAAACCAGAATCCAAGTGAATCGTGCCAGAGCATCGGTGTCGGTGCAAACAGCTCCCTCCCCAAGGCAGCAGGCAGCCAGCCTCATCCCGCCCGGCTGGATCGCCAGGCAAACGCGGACGGAGAGCTCGGGTCGCACGTCGTTCCTGCCCAGTGCCATGGGCCATGGCACCAGAAAGAGCGTCATCTGTACAACCGGGACGACTTGGCCGAGCCTATGGCGTAAATACGACCATTGGATCTACGTAGCATCTATCCCTCCATCTACGTATGCAGTCCGGAGCCGCTTATTGCCCTACATACGAGTAGTTACCTCGTACACGTGCTCCATCTTTTTTGCTCTTGCCGCCTCATCAACGGCCCGTCGGCAATTGCCCTGCCCGCCCGGGTGAATTGCAACGATCCATCTGCCGTCGCCTTACTAGGCACGTCCGGCTCGGCTAATTGCAGCATCTGCCGTCCGTCGCCGTCCGTCGTCCGTGGCAGGCAGACGGAACACACACACAGGAAGACAGTAACTTAGTTACTGTGTAGTAACCATGGTTGCGCGCACAACAACACCATGGGCGACGAGCGACGACGACGACGATGCCCCTCCCTCATACGTACCCGCAAACTCCACCAGATGGTAGATGGGCCCCCCTCCTTCGGCGAGCCCCATGGAGCATAGACCCGGAGATAAAAAGGGAAGACTACTATGTACTACTGAGGATCCCCCTCCAGGAACGTGGCAGCCACTGCGCAGGCGAGCATGGCGGAAAAGGACCATGTTGTCGGACGACGACTTGCCTAACCCTCCAATCGCTCGTCGCGCCCCAGCGGATAAAACCCCGTCTTCCATCGTGACCACTGACCAGCACACAAACACACACACACAGACACTTCTCCATCGCGGTGGAGACCAACCGGCACGAACGATCCGCGATTGGTAATGGCCCATGGGGCAACGAAGAGGAGCCAGAGCCCCAGGCAGGGCCAGCCAGGTTTGGCCGCGACTCCGCGACGGTCGACACTCACCCTGAGAGAGAATCCATTCGAAGCTTTCTCGCAGAGGAGACAGGAGTCGAGTCGAAAAAAAAAGGTTGGGCCGTCTGTGGCTTGTCGGCCGCCCCGCCGGTTGCGTCTGTGCAAGCCCCTCCAATACATCATTCCTTTGCCCCTCGCTCGCGCCTCTGCCCCTCGCTCCAGTCTTTTTTTTTTGCCCTTCCCTGCTGTTGCGCTTGCGCCTTCCCTGGGGGGAGGGTGGCGGGGCTCCGGTGGATGTGGATATGGCGCCAGTGTAAGTGGTGATGCTCGAGGGCGATGATGCAACGGGCAACAAACGAGCGGCTCCCGCTCTCTCTCCCTACCTACCTCACCAGCCTTTTGCGTGATGCAATCGAGAAAACGTTGCTTCCCAGGACGTGACTCATAAACGGGGGCCTTAACTCCGAAGGGGTCCCTTCAATTAATAATTCCAAACACACAGTGTCCTCTGCTGTAGTGGTAGTAGTAGTAGTAGTGGGACGAACCCTGAGGGACTGGCGGGCGAGTCGCGCGACAATGCGCTCGATTCCCACAACGGGGCATCTCTCGGCCGCGCCTGTTTGTCTGCAACGCCAAAGCTAACCAACGTAGTCGATGAACTCGATCCACCACGCAGCTCCCCATCTCCACCCGGGGAGATGGCCGTTGACCTCATATGAAAAGGGCCATGTCGTCGCCTCTTCTTCACTCTGCTCTCCTCTCCCCCCTTTCTAGCTTCCAATTCCTCTCAACTACATCACCATCATCACCACTTACACCCACCACTTACACCCACCTCAACCACCAACACCCGTACGCGGATTTAGAAAAGAAAGAAAAGAAAAAAGAATCACAGCTCGCCCACCATGTCCACCGGCCGCACCGTCACCCTCCTCTCGGGCCACAAGATGCCCCAGATCGGCTACGGCACCTGGCAGGCCAAGCCGGGCGAGGTCGGCGACGGCGTCTACGAGGCCCTCAAGACGGGCTACCGCCACCTCGACCTCGCCAAGATCTACCAGAACCAGCGCGAGGTCGGCGAGGGCATCAAGCGCGCCCTCGCCGACGTCCCCGGCCTGCGCCGCGAGGACATCTTCATCACCTCCAAGCTCTGGAACAACAAGCACAACCCCGAGGACGTCGCGCCCGCCCTCGACGACACCCTCGAGGAGCTCCAGCTCGAGTACCTTGATGTGAGTAGCTGATACGAGAGAGAGGCGCCTCCCTCCGCCGAGGTTGATCTTTGCGGTCATTGGGAGGCCCGCCCCGCGCGCGCACGCAGCAATAGACTTACTGACTGACTTTTGCGTGTGCCAACAGCTCTACCTCATCCACTGGCCCGTCGCCTTCAAGCCCGGCAACGAGCTCTTCCCCAAGACCAGCGACGGCAGCGAGCTGGCCCTGAACCGCGACGTCTCCATCTCCCAGACCTGGAAGGGTGCGTTCCGCCCCTCCGCCTCTCTTGCCCTTCTCCTCTTCCGTTGAAACTGACATCCCACTCCAGCCATGACGGAGCTCCCCAAGTCCAAGGCCCGCTCCGTTGGCGTCTCCAACTTCTCCATCGAGCACCTCGAGGCCGTCATCAAGGCCACCGGCGTCGTTCCCGCCGTCAACCAGGTCGAGCGCCACCCGCGCGTCCCCAACAAGCCCCTCGTCGACTACTGCGCCTCCAAGAACATCGTCATCACCGCCTACTCAGCCTTTGGCAACAACGGCTGGGGCGTGCCCCTCCTCGTCAACACCCCCGAGGTCAAGGCCGTCGCCGACCGCCTCGCCAAGGCCCAGGGCAAGGACGTCACCCCCGCCCAGGTCATCCTCGCCTGGTCCCAGCTCGGCGGCCACGTCGTCATCCCCAAGTCCGTCACCGCCTCCCGCATCCGCGAGAACTTCCAGGAGGTCGAGCTCGACGACGAGGCCATCAAGGCCATTGACAAGCTGGGCGAGCAGCCCCAGCGGTTCAACATTCCTTATACTTGTACGTTTCTCCCTCTGCTCTATCCCAATGTGGCTCACGGCCCCTATGCGAGACCATGATGCTGACCTGCGCAGACGACCCCAAGTGGAACGTCAACGTCTTTGGCGACGACAAGGAAAAGGCGGCCGTCAACCAGGTTGTGCTGTAAAGGGTGATAGACATGGTGCTGTAACGAATTGATGGATAGAACCAGGATACCAATAGAGTAAATGAGCAAACGTCAACACGTCGCTTGCGTGTCGTGCTGTGGTTGTGTTCCGAGCCATGTTATACACCGATGCTATTTGTCTGCCAACAATGATGCCTCCCACGAGCAAACGCCTGCACATGCCATGCTTGTACCAGGTAGAACAAATGTCGATGCGCCTCCTTTTCTAGCCCACACCTTTAACTCAGCAACTCCTTAATATCTTCAATGCGCTGGAGCTTCTTCTCCTCATCACTCATCATGCCCAGGGAGGTTGCACTGTCGGCAGGTCAGCAAAGTTTGCGTAGGGAGCGATCGCGTCACTCACATAAACTTCTTCCTCTCCTGGATGCGCAACATCCTCTCCTCCACGCTCTCCTTGACGATGAATCGCTTGATCACGACTTCACCCTCCTGCCCGAGTCTATGCACCCGGTCGATCGCTTGCGCCTCCACGGCGAAGCTCCACCAAGGGTCCATCATGAACACCCGCCCGGCGCTTGTCAGGTTCAAGCCTACGCCGCCTGCGCGCAAGCTGATTAGCAGCACCATGAAGCCCTTCTTCTCCTGGAATTCCTCGAGCACCGCTGCTCGCGCCCGTTGCGCCATGCTCCCGTCCAGTCGGAGGAACTTGATGTTGGCCCGCTCCAGTGCTGGTTCGATGAGGGACAGGAACGACGTAAACTGTGAGAATATGACAGACTTCATCCGCGGTTGTTCTCGCCGCAGAGTTCGCAGATGAGACATGAGCGCCGCCACCTTGGCCGACGAGTGGTTCGCTCCCAGCCGCTGGAGACTGATACGAGATTTGGAAAAGGCGTCTTCCTCGTCATCGTGTCGCACCACTTCAAACAGGTCTCGTTGGTTCAGTGGCGCGCGGCAGTTGAAGCACTTAGCCACAACCCCACGGTCACTCTCGTGCTTCATGAAATCGAGGAGACACTTCTTGCATGCCGAGTGCCAACAGCCTGTGACCAGCTGTTCATTCATCGGCTCCTCGAAGCAGAACGGACATTCCTTGTCGGACTCGTTGCGAATCTCTTCGAGTGCATGAGCGCCAAACGCAAAGTTGCTTTTGGCGTCGTCGTCTGTCGTGGCTGTGAACTGCGCAACAAGGGATTCCAAGTCCATATCATCGGCAAGCCCTGCTGCTGCGTCCGCCGCGGCTCCTGCCTCCTCTTCCTCCGCAACAATGTCTTTGTTGCGCACGAGCACGGGGTGGCAGCAAGACTGTCGCAGTCGTAGAATTTGCGCAAAGATGGTGGTGAACGCCTTCATGACTGTACCCGCCTCCATGTTCTTTGAAAAGGTCCGCTTGGCTTTGGTGAAGATGTAGTCATATACTGCCCGCTCCTCTTTGGACAGATCCACGTCCACAATGTCAACCTGCTTCGGCGGCAGTGGAACCAGGGGCTGCCCGTCTGGTGTCTTCATGTCTTTGGTGCGTCTCATCACCAGCGGCTCCAAGACCGTCTGCACCACGTTCAGCGCTCGTACAAAGTCTCCCGACTCGAATGGCACGGTGATGAACGTCTTCCAGAAAGAAAAGTTGTTCCAGGGCTCAACGCCAAGGAAACGCACCAGGCTGAACAGGTCCTCCAACCTGTTGACGATTGGCGTGCCCGTCAAGACCCAGCGATGGGTCGATGCGATGTCGTAGCATGCCTTGGCAGTCTTGGAAGACCGGTTCTTGATGTGGTGCGCTTCATCCAGGATGACGCGAAAGAACTTGAGTGAAAACAAGCCGTTATGGAACGATTTGTCTCCGTTTTTGGCGGCAAGGCTGCTGAACTCGGACAGGACAACGCCGTAGCTCGTGATGACGAGGTCGGGGGCATTCGACGCATTACCACTGCAGCAGAGTGCCTGGAGGTTGTTGGCCTTGTCGTTGCCGTAGTATAGCTCAATCTTCATGGTCCCCTGCTTCGATGCTTTCTCGGCCTCGCTGTGCCACTGGGCAAGCAGCGACATGGGCGCCACCACCAAGGTCGTGCAAGGTGCATCGAGAGGGGTGGCAGATGTCGTTCCCAACCGGGGCAGCTGGTTGACGCTTGAAATACCGCCAGCCGACATGCGGGATTTGCGGGCCAGTTCCGATCTGTGGCTGTGAACCAAGCTGAGCATCTGAATCGTCTTGCCGAGGCCCATCTCATCAGCAAGGATGCCGCCCAGGCAATGCTGCTCCTGCACTGGAAATTCGAGAGACAAATCTCCTGAGTAGGGGTTGACGTAGAACTTGGATTGGCCGCCCACCAGCGGCAATTCCTTGTCATCCATGTCCTTGACGGGCCAGGTGTATTCTTCCCAGAGGGGATGCATGGATGGCTCCCTGTTGCCCCTCTCATCTTTCTCTTTCGCCATCATCCAATGCAACGATTGCTTCTGATACGGCCGCAACGTCATGGCAAACGTATCGGCGGGTTCGGCCTCGGGGGTGTTGAAGTCAAAACATTGGGCTTTCTTGTATAGAGCGTCCAGTTGGTCTTGTTCCAGCTCCTCGCCTTCTTCTGCATCTGACGAATTGGGCGGCGATCCCGAGTCCTTTCCATCTTTGCCGTCCTTGCCGTTCGTCACGGGCTTCTTGGCTTCACGCTGCTTTTGTTCGTCCATCTCGGCAGCTTTGAGAAGGCCGGCTCGTCCGTCCTGGGCTGCAGAGTTGGCGGCCGTAGGCTGCAAGTTGATCTCTTGAAACAATCTCACAAGCGCTACCTGCCGCAGTCTCAGCTCCTTTTCGTCCGATGTCTCGCTCTGCTCAAAGTAGGTAGCCGGACGGTCGTCTGCGAGCTGAAATCTCCTGCCTTCAAAAGCCGAGCCCAGAAGGGAGCAGCGCAGCTGCAGAAAAACCGTGTCGTTGGTACGAAGCCGCTCAGGGGCATAAACGCAGGTGCCTTCAAACATGCAGACTTTCTGGTCCATTAGCGTCGACACCCAGTTGGCCGTGTCCTTTGCAAGTCGTCCAATCTCCAAGCCGGACTGATTTGTGAACCGGACGATGACGTCGACACGTCGGGACGCAGCAGTGTTGTTGCGAACAGGAGTGCTGGGGCCGCCGAGCTTTCCCTTAACCTTGGGCGGCTGGGGCGGTTGGATCTTCTGACGCTCTATTTTGACGACGTCTCCGTGCTTGATGATGTTGGAACCGCTTCGAGTCGCCCAGCCCTCGACACCGAACGCGCCGACGTATCGTGACTTAGGAATACTGCGACGAGGGGCGGCAGCAACGGGCTGAGGCGTGGAACTTGATCCCGCTCGACTTGGATCTGCAGGCGAGGGCCGGCTCTGTGGGCTATTCTTCAATTTCTTATAAGTCCCATCAAAGTACATGTTGACCGCTCGCTCGAGGTTGTCGCCGCAGTTGTCTTGGATGATGCGCAGCACATCCGGGGTGACCTTGTCGCCAATGAAGCTCTCAAAAGTGTCCTGGTCGAAAGTCACGGACGACGACTCGTGCTTGAGCTCTGGCGCGTTCTGCACCGCCGCAGAACGATCGGGAAGGCCGCCATTCTCGGGGATCTCGGCCAGAACGGCGCGCGCCTCGTCTTCATCCTTGAAGGAGGGCTTGTCGTGCGGTGGCGAGCTGCTCGGCTTCGGGCTAAAGGCAATCGGGTCCGACGACTCCTCAGCCCGGTCCTTGAAGAACCTCCGCTTCTTGGCGGGAGGTTCCTGCGACGGTCCAAAGTCCATGGCGGGGCGGCAGCATCGGATTGTCAAGGCGCGGGCGGCCCTGGTCGTGAAGGTTCGCCAGCGACTGGGAAAGGGCGTCAGCGGGGAGACGCGCCTGGATTTCAGCGCTCGCGCAGGCGCGACGCACCCGCGTAGAGGGCCACGTGACCGCGTTTGCCCCCCCAGCTTCGCCTGGGCTGTTCACGCCGGGATTAGCGGCGCCGGAGTTCAGCGGCCGACCCCTCCACTATAATTTTTCGTGGAGCTCCCAGCTCCAAAATAAGGTGGTGAATCCACCTCGTCTCATCTCGTCCGGAGGCTGACCCCGGGTTTTCGAATCGCAATCGCCATGTCGCCCATTGGCTCGTGACGTTTTGCAGAGAACGGCCGTCTTGCGCGAATTCACTCGCTCAGCCCGCCGTATGCATCGTCCACAGTTTGCGCTGGGCCGCGGCCTGAGAAGGCTGGCGCCCTCGCCCTCGTCCCGCCGCGGCTACGTCACAGATGCAGACGTCGAGTCGGCGCGGCGATACTGCTTGACGCAGCTCCAGTACGTATGCGACGAAATCGCGTGGCCATTGAGGCCGGAAGTCTGACTTTTCGATAGCACGAGCGACTACGATGCGCACCTCATCCGCCGTTTCGTCCCCCCTCCCGTCCAAGACGCCTACGCCGCCCTCCGCGCCCTCAACCTCGAGCTCGTCCGCCTCCCCGAGCTCGTCTCCAACCCCACGATCGGGGCCCTGCGCATGAAGTTCTGGCAGGAGTCTCTCGATAACACATTCGCGGGTCGACCTCCCCGCGAGCCCATCTGCCTTCTCCTATACAAGGCCTTGCAGGATCTGGAAGAGAGGGCCGGCAGCGCAACCAAGAAGTCGATCAGGTTCTGGGTATCGCGCCTCGTCAAGACGCGTGAACGACACATGGATAACAGACCGTACACGAGCCTCGGGAGCTTAGAGGACTACGCGGAGAACACATACTCGACCATGATGTATGCGACACTGGCGTCGATGCCTCTGCGGTCGATGCACATCGACCACCTCGCGAGCCATATCGGCAAGGCCTGCGGCATCGTCGCTGTCCTGCGGGGCATCCCAGTCTTGGCGGCACCCCCGCAGCCGGTCAAGACCCCATCAGGACTGGACGCCCCGATAACAAGAGAGCCGTCTCTGCTGCTCCCCCTAGACGTCATGGCAGAGGAGGGCGTCAAGGAGGAGGAGGTGTTCAGGCAAGGCCCCAACGCGCCGGGTCTCCAGGACGCCGTGTTCAAGGTGGCGACGCGCGCCAACGACCATCTCATCACGGCACGTGAGATGCTCAAGCGGCTCAAGGAGGGCCAGGACCCGGGTCACGATTTTGAGCACGAGGGCGAGGCGGAGCACATCTACGGCGAAGAGAGCGACACTGTTCGCGAGATACGCCAAAGCTTCGGCGTCTTGCTGGAGGCAGTGCCGGCGGCGCAGTTCCTGGAGAACTTGGAAAAGGCCAACTTTGACCCGTTTGCCGTGAAGAGCAGCGGCTGGAGGTTGCCTTGGAGGATATGGCAGTCCCTGTCCAACGAACGGCTATGATGTCACGGGCCGCGGCATACCGCAGGGATGCTCAGTCATGTACCAATATGATCTGTATTATACAAGTACACACCGCATGAACGGCAGACAGCAGGAGACTGTCCTAGATCAATCCCACACTGCGGCCCGGTGTGGCGACACTTTGTACCATTACCGCGACGAGGAGTGGAGGGTGTTCTGCTGTGCAAGGCTGGCCTTGGTTCATCCCGCATTGCAGCGTGGGATGGCAACCATTTACAAGCCATCCATGTCGAGTGAGTGGAGGGGGGTATGTCGTCAAGACCGGCACCTAGCTCCAGTCACCGCCCAACACCGTGACGGCCCCATTCTCGTGCTCGTCAACCAGCGTGTCGATGCTCCAGGGCGCGTACACCATCCCCGGGGGAGTATTGGTGCTTACAAAGGGCGTGCCATGCTGCAGGTGGCTCAACGCCTCTTCATACTTTTCCGCAGCGTACGCCTCCGGATCATGCGCGATGATCCAGTGCCCCAGCTCGCCCAGCGCACCGCCCTTCTTCTTGCTCGCCTGGTTGTAGATGCCAAACGCCTGCAGGCAGGAGACTCTCTCGAACCTGTTCCACCATATCAGTCAGCCAGTCCCACGGTCGTTCGTGCCGGTTCGAGTCTTGGGAGATGCACTCAATGGAAGTGACATAGACGGAGTCATCGAGAGGGAGAAGGACAGAGTGACACACCTCAGCAGGTTGGACACGCGCGTCGCCCATTCCACGCCGCCCTTGCCAGCGATGGACAGGCACTTTGCTATCGATACGGCATCCTCCACGGCCTGCGTCCCGCCATTGCCGGAGCTCGGGTGGAACGTGTGCGCCGCGTCGCCGAGCTGCAGCACCCGTCCGGCCGGCGACGTCCACGTACGCTGCGGATCTCGCCACATGATGCGGTAGTCGACGAGGGTCCCCTCCGGCGTGGCTCTTATGACACGCCTCACAGCTTCGGGAAGCTCCTTGTGATTCTCGAGAAGCTCGAGGACTTTCTCGACGGGAGGGTGGTGGTCCCACGACTCCCGCGCGCGGCCGTCGTCCTGACCATAGTGGTCAGCACAATATTTGAGGAGAATACCCTTGTTTTGGCAAACCTTATGAGCTAGCGACCAGCTAATCTCATCGTGCGTGCGGGCGATGAATAGCTGAATGTCAGGTCTGTAGTGAATCTGTCAGTTCACACCAGCCTCATGGCAAGGGCTGAGGCAAGGCCTACCCAATGTACCCATTCACTTGAGGCCTATCGCCTTCAAGAAGGGGATACTCGGCATCAATAACAGGGTCTTGCAAGCCGCCTCCAAAGGGGTATGAGACGCGAAACATGGCATCCCCGCTCGGCCGCGCAGGCACCTCCTCACCCAGCACCAGTTCCCACGACCTACCATGGACACCATCCGCAGCAATAACCAAATCCGCCTCACGACGGCTCCCATCCCCCAGCACCACCCCAGCACGACCACAGTTCTCATCCTCAAAATACTCCCGCACCTCCGCGCCATGCTCGACCGGCACGCCCACTCTGCGCAGATGCTCGAGCATAGCCACGTACAACCTTGGCCTCGACTGGCGACTGAGCTTACATCCCGGCACAGCAGCCTTGGCCCTCGCGGACAGCATGTCCGTCCGCTCCATCGGCCCGCGGACCAGCCTTCCCCCAAGATCACGCATGTGCATGACGGGGTCCCAGCTCAGGGCGTCGACCTCGCGCTCCAGACGAGGGAACCTGCTTAGCGAGCGCCGGGCCGAGGGCCCAATGGTGAAGGAGTCGCCTGGCGCAAGGGAAAAACAAATCAAAGTCTCAACGTTCTGGACATGTGGCACGGCTTTGGGGAAGGGCTTCATGATTGGGGCACAGCCATCTGACCTGTAAGAACCTCGCTGGGCTGCCGCTCCAGCACCGTGACATCGCAGCCGATGCGCCAGAGCTCCCTCGCGGCGCTCAGCCCGCCTATCCCGGAGCCGACGACGAGCACGGAGATGCCGTTCCGGGCATGCAGTCCGATGACGTCCACATCGTCGCTGGCGACTGCCGTACCGGCTTCTTGGACCTCCATTCTCCGTAAAGTCAAGAACCCACCGGCCGACAAGAAAACGATGGGTGTAAGTCGAGCTTGGGGTGTTGCCGTGGTGTTGGCCAATAACACCACAACAGCATGTCGCACTGCAGGACCGAGCTCCGTCCCAGCTGCTTGGCGGAGCCGGACTCGCCCCCACCCTCCCGCGACGCCTGAGGCGCCGGTCGGCCGGTGGCGCCGCCCGCTCTCACCGCGGCAGATTCTCGGCTGTTCCGGCACCCCTGCTCCAAATTTCGAGACTGCGTCGCCTCTGCTGCGCGACGCCCGCGAAACGAGCCCTGCTTGCGACGTCCGGTCCTATCCTCAACCCTCTCCATCGTAGATGCCGTCGCCAAGATGCTCTACGAACTCATCGCAATTGTAAGCAGTGGCCATCAGAGATCCATCTGCCAATGCTTCCTTCGTGGCCGAGCGAGCTGACAATGCAAACCAGGTCCGACCGGGCAACCTCTCCGAGGTGAAGGAGTACGTGCCACCAGCTCCCCGACGACAACCGCCGCCTCGAAGCTTCCCTCGCCGCCGACAGCGTGCCTCCTCCATGTGACGATACTGACCGCTCGCCCTCGCAGGATCGCACACACCGTCGGCTCCCTCGTACTCAAGAACGGCGGCGTCGTCCGCGGCCTCTCCAACTGGGGCGTCTTCTCCCTCCCCAAGCCCGTCTCCGTCCACCAGATGAAGCACACCCACGGCCACTACTTCGTCATGCGCTACGACGCCTCCACAAAGGTCCACGGCGACGTCCGAAATACCCTGCGGCTCGAGCCGCGCATGATCCGCGCCGCCCATGTCAAGCTCGGCGACGGAAAGCTTGAGACGCTGTCCCGATTCGGCGCGCCCAAGTGGAGGACTCAGGGCAGCGAGGCGTGAGCAGCCAACCGAGGCTATCACGAAACGAACGACGATATACCGAGACCTCACGGTCTTTTCTGGGTTTACCATGTGTATGATTACGGAGGTCAAGGGCGGAATCCGGGGGAAACGTGCCCCGGTGCAAATAGCATGGCGTCATTTGCGGTTATATTGTACAAAAGTACCCGCTGCTGCATAAAGGAAAGCAGCAGATGAAATCGACTAGATTTTCGGCTCCCAATATCATGCATGGCCTGGATCACGACCTGTGGTGGGCATGCGTAATGCAAATGCCAACAGCCATATAGCAAGTGGTTGGCTTATATATCTATCATAAGTCGTATCTGTGGCTGATGCCCTCTAGCCATCGTGCAAAATGCGCCAGGATCTGCCAGCCTGGTCGGTCCAATTCCAGCGTCTCACAGATTATCAGCCCCCTTTCATCAGGCATCGGCATCCACATCCATGGACTCGGACTTTGTGATGCCCTTCACTCGGCACCACTCGACAAAGTCGTCAATGACGCTGGGCCATGCGCCGTCCTCGTTCCAGAAGGATAGCGTCTCGTCAGCCATAGCCTTAAGGGCGAACTCGAGAGTCATGTTCCACATGTCCTTGTTGACGGACCGAGTCCATTTCTCGTTGAGAAATGACTTCCAGAGTTCTAGCCAGTCGTGGTTGGCCGTCTCCCAGGACATCCCGGGGGGAGAAAACAGGATACTCCAGTAGATCATGGCATTTTCGAGGCTGAGTGCCTTTTGATCCCGCTCGCGACCGGCAACAAAGGTATACCGATATACCTTCTTGAAGAGGGCCGTGTCTGTCGACAGGCTGGACTTGAGCTTCCGGATGTGGGCAGCGTGCTCCTGGTGCGTTGCACCGACTCTGGAAACCGCATGAGCATCGCACGGCAGGACCTGAGCATGATGCAGGGATCTAGCGGAGACTTACCCAGTAGCTTTCCATCCGTCGACGTAGCCCTTGCGAGTGATCTCTCCCACGCTAGGGGCCTGAACCAGCTCCAGTGCAATGAACAGTTCTGCGTTCTCAATGCTGACTTTGAGCTTGTTGCTCAGGTACTCCATCGTGGACTCCAACTCCAACTTGTTCTTCTCATCGTTGCCGTCATCTATGGAGCCAGTCAGCAGAGCGATTCGAAGCGGTTGAGAATATTGATCTCGTACCTCTTAATGAGTCGAAGAGGCCATCGAGTTTAGTCTCCAAGGCCGAAGTCTTGGGCTCATTGCCGGCGGCGTAGAACCTGTAGCCGAACCGTTAGCCATCCGTTGGCCGCATTGAGTCAGTGTCTGGATGATTCGGATATAGAATAGAACAAGGGTCAAGCCCGCAATCAACTACAAGTACGGTGGGCGTTGGAAGTGTGGTCGCCAAGTCTGTAAATGTACCCTTCATGATGGCTGTTGGCCGCGTTCGTGGGCGCCTCCGCCGTCCCTTGCTTCCTCTCGGCCCTCCGCGACGACGACCAGAAAGGTGCGACCTTGGATGGAAAGCGACGGCCAATGCCCTTCCAGCCCATCATTCCAGTTGGGAGGGGTATGGACGGGCGACTTCAACGTCCGGCCTCGGCTGGTCTGGGAGGAAGACGGTCCGACACCGAATCTGCAGCAACGTGGCCCCCGCGTGCCCGGAGTTGGCGGAGGGATGATGGCGAGGGCGAGGCGCAACAGGAGCCTCACTCGACGGTGGTTGTAGTAGGGTTGAACAGCAGTGAGGCAAGGGCTTTAGATGGGCATGAGCTCGCGAGGCATGTTTCAGAGCCGTCGGCGGCACTCGGCCGTACTCTGTTCGTGTGTAGATGGGATGGGCTGGGCCGTCTAGCGGGACCCCACCGCCAACCCACCCATGACACAATGCATGCGGGCGTGAGATGCGAAAGTGGCAGTGAAGCAATGCGGTGCAAGGATCCATCATGGCATCGCGCCAAAGGTGCGGCGCGGACGAGGCAAAAGAAGGCCTGAAAGACGGGCGGCAGACGCGAGGTTCGGGGGGCGGCAGGGCAGACGAAGCAAGCAGGCAGCAAAGAGCAGCAAGGGGCCAGGGGGTTCAACTCACGCATCGACAGCCTCGTTGATCTTGAACCCGGTCGACTTGAGATACTGCAGCGAATCAGAATTAGCCCAGCGCTTCATGCCATGCCGCGGAGGATGAGGGCGTGCCGCGAGCCGATAGGAGGAGAATCTGCGGGCGCGGCTTTGTCCGTGAAGGCTGAAGGATCGGCTCCGGGCAGACAGAGAGACGTCGACTGCTGCGCATGTCGTGACTTACCCTGGTGGCTTGCCTCTCCGACGCTCCAGTCAGCGACACGAACTGGGCGATGAAGACCTTTTGCTGGGCCGTGGACGGAGGCGGCATCTCGGCTGCTGACGCGTGCGCTCGTCACGGCGCGTCGGGGATGGTGCTCGGGCGCGAACCGTGGTTGCAGCTTGCGAGGGGGTAGCCAGAGATGCAGACTCCCGATGCAGTCTGGCCGCGACCCGCGTGCGCTAGTCACAGGGCAGCGGCGAGGAGGGGACGCGGGACGGCGTGGAAGCGGGATGCGCCAGACGGTGCTCCGGACGCACAGAGGACGGGTACGAGGGGCCGTCGACAGAGAGGCGCGAGGCAGCTCGGCAAGCAGGTATCCGTGGCAGGCAGAGAAGAAAGCACCGGTGCCGAGTGGGGAGCTGCTGCTGGCGCGAGGCTGCGATGGTGGGGTCGGAGGTTGTGCCGCACACGAGATGCGCTCCGAAGAGGTGCGCTGGCGGGCTGGAGCTGCTCACGTACACTGGCGGAGTGATGGGTCAGTAAAGTACTGGGTAGTCGTTCTGCTTTGGCACTTTTGGCAGCCGTTTTCTGCCAAAAAAGCGGTGGCCAAGGGCGTGAAATGGCAGCCGCGGAGCTTGACGAGGCGGCAGGAATAATTGCAAGTTCAATGAGCCCCTCTGGCCAGGCCGGTGTGTCGGAGCCCAGTCTGCCCCGCGGCTGTACCAGTGCGGGCGCGCCTGGCGAGGAGCCTATTTGCACTGTATTTGTTACACCTTCAAGGCACCTCGTAGCGGCCCAATGGCCCCAAGAGCCCGCCGTTCAATCCCCGTAGAGCACTGCAGCACAGTGTGCACGCGCCTACCACATCCCACTTCGGTCCAGCCCAGCGCCCCCGGGGCCCCAATCAACAGCTGGAGCCCTGGAGCGCTGTCCACTGTGAGTTGCAGGCAGCGACCTACCTTACCTAGTCTCCGCCGCAGTGGCTAGCGCCACAACAGCTGGAGCGCCAGTGGAAGGCGAGGGCACTGCTGGATGACGTTGCGCTGCCTAACTGCTGCGGGCGACACGCGACTGGACTCCTTCGACGCGTCCCACTTCCGGCCGCAGGACGACACTTCAACCACAGCTGCCTGCGCGCAGATCCTCCTCGACGGCCAACGTTCCTGTCTGCAGTCCGGCTCGCGGGGACTTCAGAGCGGTTGAACATGTCCTCGTCACCGCCTGCAGATCATGACCGTCACACAATCGACCCAGCGGAGCCCTTGAGAGGCTTCGTCCTCTGCTGCACTAGTATCCCGCCCGAGCAGAGAGTGCGTCAGCCAGCGACCCTCCCTCCTCCGTTCGTATAATCTGCTAACTCTTGCGTGCTCTCATGGCAGACCGACATCGGGAACAAGGTTGCAGAACTTGGGGGCATACACAAATACGACCTCACCCCTGACTGCACGCACCTAATCGTCGGTAATTATGACACTCCAAAGTACCGCCATGTCGCGCGAGAACGCCCCGACGTCAAGGCCATGGACGCCGCTTGGATCGAGGCACTGTCGGAGCTTTGGCGAAACGACGACGAGATCGATTTCTGGGCCCTCGAGAAGGAATACCAGCTGAAGGCTCTGGAAAGATGCGGTGCCAGTCTCTCCTCGCCCGAGGCTCGCCAATCACTCCTGGTGTGCCTGACTGGCTTCGGCGAGCAGCGCGATAAAATCGCCGAGACTATAACTGCGAACGGGGGGCGCTACACGGGCGATCTCACGCGGAAGTGCTCCCATCTCATCGTGAGCAAACCCGAGGGCAAGAAGTTTTCCGCCGCCAAGTCGTGGGGCGTCTACACCGTCACGCTGGCCTGGCTCGACCAGACCATTGAGCGCGGCATGATACTGGACGAGGAAAAGTTTGATCCTTTGCTGCCTGCAGAGGAGCAGGGCGTTGGCGCATGGATCAAGAAGGACCTCAAACGTACCTCGCTTGGTAAGAGGTCGAGGTCGGGAACGGCAAACCCCGGAGAGGACGGCGGCAGAAAGCTGCGCAAGACAGCTAGCATGAAGCTCAATTCGCAGCGAAACAGTATCTGGGGCGATATCCTGGGGCGCTCAACCTCGCGCGAGTATTCCTTTGCCAAGGAATCTCCGGTAGATGAGCCGACTCAAGACGCCACACACAGCGATCTAGCCGTTGGGAGAGACGAATCTGCTGGCATATTCTCCAACTGCATCTTCACGACACACGGTTGCGACGAGGCGAGACAGAGAGTCCTGGAGGAGAGCATAGTCCCTCTTGGAGGTTTGATGGTCCGCACTCTCGACGAAGTCGTGTCCTATCCCGCGCCGGCGCAGCCCTTCTACCGTTTCCTCGTTGTTCCACAGCTCTCGCAACCCGACACCCACCCTCAAGTTCCGGCCGACAAGGTCCACGTTGTTACACAGTACTACATCGAGCGTTGCCTGCATAGCAAGAGCTTCCTCCACCCGAACAGCAGCGTGTTCGGACGACCGTTCCCGCGGTACCCAATCCCGGGGTTCTCAGACCTCACGATATGCAGCTCGTCGTTCACAGGGATCGAGCTCAACCAAGTCGCTCGAAGCGTGGCGCAGCTTGGTGCCAAATACGACGAGGAGTTTAAACGAACGACGAGCTTGGTCCTCTGCAGGTCGCTGCCTGCCATGCGCAAGGACAAGCGCAACTTCGCCCTGGAATGGGGTGTGCCGGTCGTGTCTCTGGACTGGCTCGTCGAGTGCATTAGCACCGGCTACAACGTCCCCATCGACGACTACATCTTTCCAGAGTTTAAAGACGCGTATGCTTCAAGGAGGCGCGGAGACAGGCGACAAACCAGCAAGAAGCCGGGGAGAACATCACAGTCGCGTCCGTCCGAGCCCACGCCTACAGTGGTCAAGCCGGATACGCCGGCGCTGCCCAGAGGCCAAGGGGTGGATTCCACCGGCTTCGAGCGCGACTCCGACGAGAAGAGCGACAGCTCCAAGTCGATTCCCGCGGTGAAGCAAGAGGACACTTACACGTCGGCGGACTTCATGACGGCTAGGAGCCGGCCCGTGGACACCTTTGCCAGGGACTCGGACGCCCCTCTGAGCGAGCTGTCCTCGGCGTCCGTCAACAAATCCCCATCGCCCCCGAAAATCGCAGGCGGTGCGGCAACCCGCACGCGCTCCGAGCCGTCAAAGAAGCAGGCAGCGGTGGACAAACCAGCGCGAGCTAGCCGACTTCCCTCCGCGCCTCCCGTCGATCCAATCGGGGAGACATGGAAGGATGCAGACGCAGACAGGACGCCCCGTGAGCCCATGGCCAAGCCAACCCGCACGCGCTCCGAGCCGTCGACCAAGGAGGCAGACGAAGACGAACCAACACGAGCCCACCGCGGACCTTCAGCGCCTCCCGTCGACCCAGGCGTCGAGACGAGGAAGAATCCACAGGCAGACAGGGACACTCTCAAGGCAGAAGAGGAAGCCAGGAAAAAGGCCAAGGCAGCAGAGCGCCAAGCCCTCGCCTCGACCATCAACTCCATCCTCTGCTCAACCACCTCCGTCGCCGACGCAGACCGTCCCGGCGCACACACGCAGGCCCCGCCGTCACGCATCCGTACCCGCCGCATCCTCGGCCGCGCCATCAGCAACGTCTCCAACGCCAGCAGCGCCGCCAGCGTTGACGGCCCCGGCGGCCCCGGTGGTGGCAGCAACGGCGCAACGCGGCCCGCCCCCGAAACCCTCCGGGCAATCGCCGCACCCCCCGTCGGCGACGCAGATGCAGACGACGACGATGTCGACGGCGCACGCGACGCGCAGCCCCCGCCCGCCACGCAGCTCGAGTACGGAGACGACGAGGCGCGCGGCCACAAGCAGGCCCTCATGGACCGAATGCGCGGCGGCGGCAGCGGAGGCGACGCCCTGAAGGCCGCCTCCGCACCAGCCGCCGTCGCCGCCATGGTTGGCGGACCAGTTGTCGCAGAAGGGCCCGCGAGTTCAGGACGTAGAGCGCTCCGGAAGCGGTGAGGGCACACGTGCGAACAGTCGATGGATGGTTTGGCTTGGCTTGCTTGGTTTGATGGATGATGTTTTGATGTTTCCAACCACATGGATGGGATGACCTTATGGGCGACGAAATCTGGACTGGGCATACGGAGGGGAGGATCACGGAATACCACGAAACACATAGGCAGCGCAAGGAGTCGGTCACGTTCCACACACACTTGGCATGAATACACAACGAGTACCTCCGATATTGAAAAGGCACATGATATAGGCATCATGTCATCACATGTGAAAGTGCAGTCACGGCTCTACGCTCAACATCCCCAGCTATGCGGCAGACAGCGCCCGACTCGGACATTACGATTCACACTATCTCATCCCTATCTACCTAGGTAGGCATGCGGCATGTGTCTCCGCGGAGTGAGCAAAACGTCACCTCGCCCCGACGATGCCATCCCGCATCCTCCTATCCCAGTGCGAGCCCCTCCCTTTTCGAGTCGTGCTCTGCTCTGCTCTGCTCTGTCTCTCTCTCTCCCGGTTGTCGCTCTCCGTACCGTGCCGTTTCTAAACAAGCCGCCCATGGGGTATCTCTCACACAATATCTCTGCCACTCTCTGTCTCTCTCTCTCGCGCTCTTCGCCGCTCGCGCTGCGGCGTCGCCGTCTGACCCCGCAGCCGCTGCACGCCATGTCGCCAAGGCCATGTCCAGCCCGCGCGTGCGCTCCATATCTAATAATAAAAACCCAAACCCTGCTCTCTCGTGCGTGGGCGACGAGACGAATACCAGAAGAAGGCCGCCTAGCCTAGGCCGCATTCCCTGCTCCCGCCTCCGCCCAATGACCAAAAGGAAAAGACGCCGTGATGAAAATGAAGGTGACAAGCAGGTGTAACCGACGAAGAAGCAATAAAGATGAAGAAATCTGAGCGGCGAAGCAGGCGTCGCATGTGCCAAACAAAAGGTTGTGAATGGTGAAAATGGGCCGTCCGCACCATGCGATGGACTTATCCCGGTGCTCGCGGCCACTGTCCTGGTATCCGTTGCCGAGACTCACTTCGGTCCGGAAAGCTATTCCTTCAGCGAAGCGCCGGCCTCTTCACCGGGTCCAGGCAGCTGTTCGGATTGCATCTTTCCCCACTCGGACTCCATGTCCTCTCTGTACTGCGTCAGTATTGCTGCTGCATCGTGGACAATGAGCAACGGGGAGTACTTACGGAGCCACCTCGGTCGTGCGGAGTCTTCTCGCTCTGCAAAAGTCAAGGAAACGACGAATGGTTCGCTCTCTCTTGAACGCGGCCATGACATCTCCGCGCGGTTCGCCGTCCTGTTTGGCAATCGCGGTGCCCCATTGGCTCATCACAATGTGCACTTGCAGCACGTCAATGTTCCATCGCACCTCGACGATGTCGTCGAGCCGGATGTTGAAGTCGATCGGGTCTCGGTGCACCCCCCAGGTGATGGGATCCGTGTCCTTGAGCAGCTGGTGCTCGAACATGCGCTCCCTCTCCTTCCAATTCCAGTACTGCGTCACCTGGATGGAGCTTGTGAAGAGCCTCGTCTTGATTTGGTAGAGGCGCCAGTCGTGGCTGGCCAGGGGAGCTCCGCTGAACGAGTCCGTGTCGGAATACTCTCCGACATCGAGGGTATCGTGAGCCACCCCTGTCGGTGGGGACAGAGTTTTGAGTCGCTTCCTCGAGAACGTGTCGAACGAACCCGACTCGGTCTGGACAGACGTCGCGTGAGTCAGGGCCGGGGACGCTGCGTTCTCTTCCACATCCAGCGGAGACGGAGCACGGGAGGGAGTCTCGCGAGGCGTGCCAGTCTGGGAGTGCATGCTCTTGCGCTTCTTGACCGAGCCCTGCGGCGTCTTGCTCTGGCCAGGCTTGTAGCCCGAAGGACGCCCGATGCTCTTGTAGCCGTTCTTGACGCGCAACGCCGTCAGCTTCTTGTCGTGGTAGAAGTCATGGATGACCTTTGCCACGTTGAAATTGACGCCCTTCTGCATCATGATCTCGTGCAGGCGGTGGCGCATCCATTCAATCGGCGTCACGTCGAGCTTGAACTTGGCCAGCTCCGCAAGAGTCTCGCACATGCGGAACAACGTGTCGTACGAGGTGATGGCGCCCTTGCCAGTATGGATGAATTTTTTGCTGATGAGCTGGTAGGGGCTGATCTCGCCTTGCTCCAAAAATTCGAGGATCTTGACACCGCGGTTGACCTGTCGCCCGGTCTGGAACTTGGCTGAGCCTCCCTCGCCACGGCTCTTGGCTTCGAGGGCCAAGGTGTTCTTGTCGCGCCAGGTCGCCAGCTGCGCCTCGATCTGCGACTTCAGAGGCTTCCAACCCAGCTCCCAGTATGGATGATTCTCGTCAATCTTGGCCAGCGGAACGCCTTGGACAATCTCGGGGTGCGTATAAACGGTGCCATCGTGCTCCAATACGAGATTGGCGCGGGTAATCTCCTCGAGCGGCTCGGATCCGGGCGGTGTCGGCTGCGGTGACGTCTCCACGGACATGGCGGAAGGAGTGAGGATATCGCGTGACGAGGGCCTGCTGTTTCGGTTGTTTGCCGGTGTGAAGCCATTGGCAGGAGTGAAGCTGCCAGTGGAGGGGAAGCTATTCGCAGCCGTGAAGCCGTTGACGGCCTTGAACCCTGCGCCTCCAGCGGGTGTCGAGTTCACAAAGGTGTGCTCCTTCGGTTCCTGGGGTGTCGGCATCTGCACGGGCTCCGGGAGAACGGGGCTCTTGTGCTCTATCTCGGTGTGGTTCACATAGAGGGACTCTCTGAGGCTGGCAGCAGGGAGTCCTGACGCCTTGGCCAGAGCTTCCCGAGCAACCTCCGCTCGTCGTGCCTCCCAAGATCCTGTCGTGTCGTCCCGGTCCATCTCCTCCGTCTCCGTATTGGTCTCGCGTGCCTTTTGTGGCGAAGCAGCAACGCTGGATCTACTGGCCGAGGGCATGTGGCAGCCCTGACGGTTCCATTCGCAGTTTCCGCACTTTTGGAACATGTTGCCACCAAGGACGATGCATTCTTCGAACGCCCCTTGGTTCTTGTCGCAGGAGTGGCATCGCCGAGGCGCCACCTCGCCCGTTGCCTGAATCATGCATGACAACCACTTGACGCCCTTGCTTTCGGAGCGCTCGTAAATGGTGCGAAGGTGATCGGGTCCAAACCGTCTTCCGCGACGGATCTTGACGGGGCGCTTGATGGGCATATCCTGAATCTCCCTGACCCACTGGTTCCAGCCGTCAATCCTCTCCACGGGTCCGATGACGTTGTCGTCCGCGTCGACAACATTGACAAGCACATCGGCAGAATTGTGGTTGCCATTAGCCGGGGTGACAACAGGCGCAGGAGTCGAGGCGTCTGCGTTAGCATGGCCGTTTGTGCGCGGTGCATCCTCCATCGGGGTGTCGTCGTCGTGATTCAGGATCTGGTCTCGCCATGAAGGCGTCTTCGCTGTTGGCAGAGGCTGGCGCTTAGGCGGCGGTGGAGCGCGAGAGGCGCGTCCGCTGTCCGAGTCCTCCCCGCGTTTGGTCTTGAAGAAGTGCAGCATTTGATTGTAGATGTGCTCGCGCTTCTCCTCCCTGTCATGCTTCCTCTTGCCGTACTCGTGCTCCAGAGCATTGAGTTTCATGCTCTTGTCCTCGCAGGCCTGAGCGACTTGAGCAAGGTCTTGCTCGACTTTGGCCAGCTCCCTTGCAAGGCGGTCTCGGGTCTCGGCAAGCTGAGATTGCCTGCCAGACAAGGTGTTGAACTCGAGCTTGAGGTCCAGGGTCGCATCACGGTAGTCCTTCTCGGCGGCGGCGCGCGCCTCTTCCTGATCTCGCTCGAACCTGCTCCAAAAGTTGTTCTCCGTCTCGTCCCATACTGAGCGCTTCTCCTCGGCAGGGAGCGCGTCCCACACTGCCGTCTCCTCCATCCTGTGAGTAGGCGCGGCGAGCCCAAGATCTGTTGTCGGGGGTTCTGACGGGGCGATGACCGCCAACGTTGATGTCATCTCGCTCAACGATGAGGTGGTCCGAATGCCCGATGCACTTTAAAGGGAAATTCCAGCGAAGTGTGCTCTAGAGGGTATCGTCCTCAGGGTTGGACAAATGAGAAAGTTAATTTCGAGAGAAAAGGTCAAAGGGAATCGGCCCATGGAGGAGATGACGAGGTGTGCCGAGAATAAAACCACGACTGCCTGCTCCTATAGGAAAGCGCCGTAGAATTGCGTCAAGGCCGGCAATCGCGGTTGGGTTCGTCTATGTGACGTGCAGATAGGTGCCTCAGAGAGATGGGAAGCACGGGTGGATGGGTAACCCTGGCTGCAGTCTCGCACGTCGCCAGTGCATGAGCATGCAGAGTCGCAGGCAAAGCGGCGGGTTTGATGCAGCACGGTGGCCGGCGGTTGAACAAAGGCAAGTAGAGGTTCAACGAGGGCGCGGGGGTGAAAAGGAAATTCACAGGTGGCTATGTGTTTGCCGACGGAGCTAGACCAGTGAATCGGTCAGTGAAAGTGTCGACGGGCGAGGATGTGGCGGCCGGCGACGTTTAGATAAGGCAAGGCAATGAAGCGTTCGCAGGCAATGACACCACTGAAGGGGACCGCTGCCACGGGCTGGCCGACGAGGCGACTGGCTCAACGATATGACACAGGGCTGGGTGCTCAATGCGAGGCTCGGGGGCTGTCAAGGGCGCAAGCGAGCGTGTTCGAGGCGACTATGCAAGCGAGCCGGCGCATGAATAGCCGTCGACAAAGGGCTCGTGGCAGGTGTGGTGGGATGCCAGAGGAGAGAAGGTTTGCCGGTTCGAGGTGTGTGGATGGCGCTGGATAAAATGGGGGGTGGACGGACGATGCAAATGGCAAGGGAACGTGGTGGGCGCGGCCGGGGGGGAAGAGGTGAAAGAACGGACAAGCAAGATTAGGCTAGGCGGAAGCGGCGAAGACTAGTTCGCGAGAGCAGAGAAAGAGGAATAGCAGCGCACCGTTGACGGGAAAAGCGTATTAACATGTCTTGGCCATGGCCAGACTTTGGGCGTGTGGTGTGTGTGCGTGTGTGTGCGTCTGCGTCTGCGCCTGCGCCTGCGCGTGTCTGGGCGGCTCCCAACTAGTCCGGCCTGGCCTGGCGTGGCCTGTCTGGTTTGGTCCGGTCTGGTCTGGTCTGGTCAGGTCAGGTCAGTCAGTCGCCTCTGTCTGTCGGTCTGTATGTCATGCGGCGCCACCTAGGCCGACTTGGGGCGGGTGGGCTTCAGAGGGAAAGATAAGTCGGAAGGGTAAACCATACGAATTACCCGAGGCGGGCGGGCGCGCGAGCAGGGGGAAAAAAGGGTGCTGCTGGCTGGCCGGCTGCCCTGTCGACAAGGAGGGACGGGACAAGACAAGGGAGCGAGCGTGTGCCTGCGACGGGGCTTGCTGGCTGCTGCAGCACGGAGAAATGGCCGTACTGTACGAGGAGGAGCAACGACGATGATGACACACGGCCGGTTGGAAGGAGTGTACGAAGTATGGTACCAATGGCCAAGGGCTGCTGCGGCGCCGGGATGCTGTGCGAGTAATGATTTAAGGTCGTGAGCAGGAGATCGGCCCTGCACTGGGTCTGGCTGGGGGGGTCGACGATTCGCGATACCCGGACCCGTTTTAGCACCGGCCAGCGTCCGAGGTGCGAAGCAAAGGGGCGCGTCCGGCGTTGCTCTTGGGGTATTTGGTCTTGGTCTTGGTCTCTCGATTGTTGCAGCCGTGCAAGGCTAACGCGGGTGGTGCCGTTACCAAGAAAGAGCTGTGCTGCAATGATCAAATACGAAAGGATCGAGGGAGGGAGAATCGAACAGAAGGCGCAATGAGCGAACGCCAGAGACAAGGGCAACCGCCTTTTTCCCCCTCGGGCCCGTACGTATTCGGTACGGAGTACCTAGGTAGTTTACCACAAGGCAGGTACGAAGTACGAAGCACGCAAGCTAAAGGTATTTGGCAGGAAGGTCCTGACAGGCAGGCAGGTGGCACCCAAGCTGCGATCGAAAGACCAGACAGACAGGTTGGCAAGGAAGGAAGGGGAGACCATGTCCACATCTTGGCTCCTTCCTTTGCGGCTCTGCTGGTGCACATCGCTCGTTGCTCGTTGCTCGCCGGCTCGTCATTGTTGCTTCGCGACTTCCTAGCCTGTCAGTCCGTTATTAGTCCGTCTATCCACCCTGCTGCCCTGCTCCCCGTCTGTCCCACCGGTCGGCGGCCCTGCCTCGCCCGCCTGCCGCGCCCGGGGCTTCCTTGGTTGCTTCCATCCTTCCTTCCTTCCCGTGGGCACTTTATTTCCCGTGTGATGATGAAAACTCGCCCATCTGGTTAGTCGGCACGCACTTGGGGTGTCATGGCCTTTGCCAGCGCGCCAACGCGCCAGGAAGCGCAGCGACAGCAGTAGCAGCAGCAACAGCAGAGCAGTCACACTGGGGCTTGGCTGGCTCCATTTCCTTTCGTGGTCCCACGCCCACGCCCGCCGCCCGCGCCCACGCCCTCCCATCACCTGCGACCGGCCACGCCCACGCCCCCCTGCCCGGCAGATGAAGTTGCTCGCCGCCGACCCTTTTGCGAGCGCACGTTATTATTAGGTACGAGGTAGCAACCTCGCGGCGTAGCGTACTTTGGCACGGTACAGTAGCGCGGGCCTTGCGACGATTGCTGTGCCCAAAAAGTGCCCCGATTGATGCCTCCTCCCCTGCCCTGCCGTGCTCTGCCGTGCCCTGCCTTGCCTTGCCTGCCGTGCTGCCCTTGGTTCTGTTCCAATGCTAGCCGCACCTCGCGCCTGCTATACTCTTACGGACATAGAGTGAGCCCGGCAGGGATGGGGAGTGCGACAACCCGGGGGGCGTTTCCTAACAAGTTAAAATGGGCGCATAACAAGCTAAGAAACTCCCTGGGTACGTACGTTATTTCTACTGGCCTCGTGCGAGAAGGGCATGCACGACGTGCAAAGTGAGCTCGTGGGGCGGAGGGGCGTCCGTCTCCAGGAGCTGCTGCTGGAGACGTCCACTGTGGGTGACCGGGGGGGCGTGCGACATGCGCTGCTGGGGCCCGGGCATCTCTGCAACGCACTGCCTGGAATGAACTAGCGCTCGCTCACGTGCTGTTGACTATGCGCGCCCACCATGAATCAACTGACTTTTTTTTTCTACCTCTGCTCGCTCGCTCTCGTTTTGGGCCATCTGGCCCGTGGCAGCAACACCGCCGTCGTCAGTCGCCTGTTGCTTGCTTTCCACTTCCGCACATCTAATATCCTTTCGTCATTTTCTGCGCGCCCCCCTCCCCTTCCTTGCCTAGCACGATCTCTCGCCCAATGCCAGGGTTGCCCTCCTGCCACCACCACCATGCCCACCCCCCCGGCTCATTTCGCTTCTCGCTTGCAAATTGTCTTGTCGGTTGAAACGAGCATCTCCGGGGCGGCGGCGCCTTGCGGCAACGAGGGGATGATGACTCCTCCAGCGGGGGGGCAACCAGGCAAAGCAGAAAGCAAGTAGACAGCTGCTTCGGAGTACAGTACAGAGTAAAAGTGCCGTCGTACGGCCAATGTGGACGCGACAGAGCAGGGCAAGGGAACCCCCATCGAACGGACGACCAGGCTGGCTGGCGCCCTATCCAATCTGGTACGACTACTAGCCTGCTTATAGTACGATGGTACAGTACGGGCTATGCTTGGAAACGCAAATCAGTCCTATGGATGAGACAGCCCGAAGAGTTTGCAAGTGCATCCCGCGCGCACTCAAAAGCCGCCGCGTCAGATCGGGCCCCCCCGTCAAAAAGGTTGGCCCTTGCTCCTTCCGGGCCGGAACGTTTTTCTACATCTGCGCGCGCTCGTGCACACGCATCCTCTGGCTCGGCATGTGGCAGCTAGTTCGAAGGCCGCAACGGAGTTAAATCGCTGCATGCCCAAAGGTAAGGTTGTTGGCAACGCCGATTACAGTAGTAGAGACAAGTGTCTTTTTTTTTTTTTGCCCTCGCGCCAAGGATGAGACGAGACGGGGGGGAGGGCGACAAATGTGGCCAACATGAGAGCGGACGAGGCTCGGCGTTTGCCATCTTGTTCACGAGTGCTAGGTATTCTCTCCTGCCTCTCGTGGCCCATGCGAATGAGCGACGGACGGCGTACCGGGCAATACGAGCGAGCAGGTTGCCTATCTGAGATCAAGCTTGGAGCGCGTGACACGCCGCCCATCCACAATTCCAATGCATTCGAGTCATCCATGGGGCGCGAGCCCGTCATCTCTTCTCTCTCTCGGATTTGCTCTCGCAATGCGCGCTCTCTCTTGCCGGTCCGATATCCTCAAGTACTGTGGCTCTGCGCGCAGACCGTCTTTCCGGCTTGTCCTTATCACGGCACACGCATGCATGGCCGCCCGTCATGTCCATGTCAACGCCCGCCTCTCCTTCTCCCCCTTGGGCCTAGGGGCCCCCCAGCGCCGCGCGATAGCCACACGCCCAACACTCGCAGACTCCTTTTTTTTTTTTGACGTGCTCGACGTAATACCACCGGTACGTACCTCCCGTAAGATGTATATTCGCACAGCCAGCCATCGCAGCACGCAACCCAACAAAGGCCAACCCGTTTTTGTCATTACCGGGCCCCCCCCAATATGAAGCGCAACACATGCACGTACGTACTGTACGGAGCACGAGTTACATTTCGTAAGTATGCATCTGCCTTGGTGCAGTACTAGTCCGTACCGTGCGTAAGGTTTGTTTTATTTTTTATTTTTCGTCTTTTAGTCTTCTTGCAGCAATGCCGACCTGGTAACCGAACCGAAAAGCCCGATCGGACGAGTAGGAGGCATAACACCGAAACCGAACGATTGCCTGCCCACCGCGCGAACGCTGTTACGTAGTCGCCGGACCCAACATCGGAAACGACAGCCCGATCAAGCATCAAGCTCGGCGCATTTTCATGTCTTGTCCCCCATGCTGGGTCCATGCCATGTCTTCATTTGTCCCACTTTCTTTTTTTTTTGCTCCTCCTCCTCCTCTCTCTGGTACTATTTTTTAAACAGTCATGTTTCCGCCCACGCCCCCTCACCCCCCTTGGCTGCTGTGCCCATGCCATGCCAAAGAAGCATTTTCCATCGCGCGCAGTCAGATCTGGGCGAGCAGGGGTGTGAGTGTGAGGGAGAAGGGGGGGTGCGTGAGGAGGGGTGTGTGTGTGTCTGTGTCTGCGGAAACAGTGATGTGTGATGGTGGTGGTGGCCCGGTCACCTTATTTCCCTCCAACGACAAACCTCCCTTATTTTTGTATGTGCTGGTTCTTTCTTTCGTTGTCCCTTTTGTCCTCTGGCGGTCATTGCCGTGTCTTGCTTACGCCCTCCGAACATATGGCAGGCAGGCAGAAGGAGGAGGGGAAAACCACGGGACCCCCGCCCGCCACAGAAGCCACTAGAGGGCGATCGTCTGCGAGTAGTTTCTGCGTTAGCAGTTGGGTCCTCTGCAAGCCCCCTTGTTGGAAATGGTGCAAGTGGTGGTGGTTGTGGATGGCTGGACGGGCGAGATATTGATGGACGACTTCTTACTGTATGCATTGTCGGCGTCTTCCATTATTACCCATTGCCTATCCTGCAACGCCGACGACGTACTAGCTCGCTTTTTCCTTGTCCCCGCCACCGCACTGGGCACGGCAAATTCCATGTGTGGCCCATGTGACGATCGTGGTTCGACTCGTACTGCGTCCCGTCGTTTGCCCAACCCGCGGGCAAAACGGACAAACGGCACCACCAGGGCGCCGCCTTCCCTGATAAAAGTAAAATACGGACGAGCATACTCCGTACTCCGTGCAGTCGTCGTCGCTCATTGCCGCATGGGAATGCGCCGGCCCAGGCCGCTTTTGCCGGCCGGCCGCCCGCTAACTGGCCCGCGCAGCGTCACAGCACAGCACAGCACAGTCGACGACGATGAGCGGCATCCGACGATCAATAGCCCTCCTCCCCTCCTTTGCCTGGCGTCCAAGAGCCGGCGTCAGGCTCATGTTTCAGGACCCCCTCTCTATCCCACGCTGTGCCGTAAATTCATGACACTCACAACTGACTCGACGCAATCTTGCGCAGTATCGTATCGCGTCGGAGCGGCAGCTGCTGCAACAATACGTCCATGACCACTTTGATGATCTCCTCCTCGTCCCTCTCAAGCCCCAGCCCCAGCCCCAGCCAGGCTAGCCAGCCAAGCACCCAAGCCAGCCTATCCCATCACACCGCCCCAAGCCAACAAAGCCCAGCAGGCGGGGACAACAGAACCCAGCCGTGTGGCGCGCCGCCGCTCCTCCATGCAGCGAGCGCGTGGGTAAAGACAAAAAACGATAGGTAAACTTCTGTTGCCTCCAACAAGGAGCAGACGTATGCAGCTTGTCCGCCGCAACAGCATGCGTATCAGTCAGCCTCCCCCCCTCTTCCCCCCAAGCGCGGCGCCTCCGCCCTCTCTCTGGTGAGGTGTCCATGCCTGGTGCTGCTCTCCTGCGGCTGTCTTTCCCCCCCAAAACCAGCTTTGGTCCCAGCGGCTGAACCAGACTCCCGGGACTCGTCGCGGCCAGTCGATCAGCTCTTGGGCCCCATCGGCGCCGTCCCCTTCGAGGCAAGCCCGGAGATGCTCTGTCCTTTCGCGGTCCGCCCTCCCACCCCCCTTTTCGTTATCGGCTGGGTATTCAGTTGCTCTCCTGCAGCGTTTGGCGGGAAAACCCAGCGTAAGAGAGACAGGCCGAGAGGCTCAGCCCGGCCTGGCTGCAGCCCTGCGTGCGCGCGCGCAAACAAAACCGACCTTGGCGAGGCGGCGCATAGAACCCCGTCAACACGAGTGAATGCGAAACCTGGGCGCACTTTGCCAGGAAAGAGGGAAACCTGTGCGAGCCTGTCACATATCTTGGCTTCCTTTGCCTTCCTTGTCTCGTCGTGTCTCTCGTCGTTTCCCCTCCCGCCGCCGCCGCCGTTTCCTCCATCACGGTCCCCTCTCCTCACACCACACACCGTCGTGGCAGCAGCGCCGCCTGTTTACAAATCCAATTGGAATCATGTGCCCCTTCTCGCCGCCTCCGGAGCGGCCAGAGCCCGTTCGTTATGCGCCATGCCTTTCCCCTGCCCTGCCCATCCATGCTCGTGCCCACTGGAGCAAACAGGTGACAGGTAAGTTAGTTAGTTAGCCGTACATTTTAGTTAGTTGATGCCCTCATCCCCCGTGCCACGGTGCGTTCGGAACGGGAAAATGGAATCAATGTTGGGAGGAATAGCGTCAGCCTTGGCGGCGACTTCGTTTGTTGGCCCGCCCGCCTTCGCTTCCATTTACCTTCCTACCTGCTCACCCAAGCGATAGTTAATACCGAACGTGGTCCGTACTGTGCCTTGGTGCTAGCTCGCACCCCCGACTGCTAGTGCTGAAAGGGCTCCTCTTTACCACGTACATCGGGGAAATAATCCCTGGGCACTTTCTCCCACGGCCGCCGCCATGCAAGTCGCCCCATGCCCGTCCGTCCAAGGTCAGTCCATGCTCACCAACACACACAAAAAAACTGCCTCACGTTCCCCTTCTCGTCCTTGGCCGAGATCAATAGTACAGGCTGTCAACGACCTTAGTCACGGCGACTCCGTGTCACGGCCGCGTCCCAATTGGCTGCCGGTCCGCGCCCCGTGGCTTTAACCTGAAGGGCTGTATGTTTGAAAGTTCCCACGCTACACCTTCTCCTGCACCGACTATTTCTATCGGGGCCTCTAGCTTTGCGTATTTTGTATGTTTGCATGACGGCCCATGAATAAATGGCCGCCCGCTAAAACTATTTGCCTTCGCTACATACGTCAAACGAACAAGTATCCCGGCCATCGATTAATAATGGGATTGATGCGCATCGCCCACACGCCCCCTCGTCGACTTGGCCACCCCCTCTCGTCACTGTCCTGGTCGCAACCGCAATCCCACGGTTTGGCGACGCCTGGCATTCGTGGTAGCGCTCGCCTGTGTTGGTCGTTTCATGGCATCGTGGCTCGCTTCCGCGGACCTGCGGTTGGTCTCGACAACGATGGTCCGTCACTTAACAGGCCAGCATGCGCTCCGTTCCGCGCAACAAAACCAAGGGATTAAACCCCAAGGCCGAATCATATACCCCATTCTCGTAAAAAACGCCATGCAATGTCCCATGCAGAAACAAACGCGCAACCGAGCACCCTGCTCGTGCCAATGTCCCCCTGGCTGCCAAGCCCCCGAGACCGAGTCGCACCGTTGAAAGAGAGATTGCTCGGTTCTGGATAGTCTGGCCGCCCGAGCCTGGCGGAGATACGGCCGCCAGAGTGCAGCAACCAAACAATTCCGCCTCTGAGCCAACAGTCTACGCGTAATTGACAAGTGTTCTCAGTACTTGGTCGAGTATCGCTGTGCCGTGGGCGAGTACGGCATGTCGTAGGCGCTCGAGTGGCCGTAGGGATCGTCCGTGTACACGGTGGCGCGGCGCTCGTCCTCGGGGAGGAGCTCTTTGACCTCCCAGTTGTTCATCCTAGTGCCCACAGAGAATTCAAGGTCCTCCCTCGTAATCGAATCCCAGTACTGCGGAGAGTAGTTAGGTTAGCACGTTCCTCTTTCGGATTCCGCTTGCTGCGCTGCGGTCGACTGGGGTGCGTCGGAGCATCAAATCTTACTTTGTACACCATCATGACACCAAGCAAGTTGCATACGGTTGCAAAGAAAAGGCCGTCCAAGTAGTGGCTCACGGCCGTGCAGATCTTGGCGCTGAACGCGTACAGGATAACCTGTCCCACGACGAAGAAGAAGACGCCAAACGCGATGTCCCCCAGCGGCCATCGGTCCCGCAGCGTCCTCGTCACGAGCAGGATCTGCATGCCAACGTAGATGAAGAGTTGTATGGCGTTGAGCAGGTAAAGGACCACGAACAGGCCGACCGTATTGGTCGGTCCCAGTCCGGCCCAGCCTTTGAAGGTGGCGAGCGAGACCAGGAAGCTGATGGCGAAGGCGACGAGCGAGCATATCCGCAGCAGCCACACCGACAAGGGCGTGCCGTCCTCGTACAGCTGGAACCCGACGAAGCCGTTGATGAGCAGGCACGTTATCAGCGCGTTCGAGAAGCCATTCTGCACGCTGACAAAGTACGGATACGGCCCGCTGCCGGGGGGAACGACGCCCGCGTCCATGATGAGCGAGATGAAGGTGGTGAGCATATAGATGTAGAAGAAGGTGAGAATCTCCCGGCGGCCGACGGCTGTGAACTTGCTACGGACGTGAAGAATCATGACGACCGTCATGACGAGCGCCACGATGTGCATAGCGGACGCGGCGCCCTCGAAAATGATGGTATTGGCTAGCTCGATGTTGCGAGCATAGCAGTCGGGCTCAATGCCCACCCGGTTCGACGCCGACAGCACGGGGCCAACATTGGAACACAAAGGGAGCGGCGCATTTTCGCAGATGGCCTTGAAGTCTCCGAAGCCCGACATGGCGGCGGCGGAGAGGATGAGTCCCTTGGGAAACCCTCCGTCGTTGTTATCGTCGTCGCCGTGCTCGTCGCTCGATTTCGCTTCGGTAGGGAGGCTCGAAACGTTCGTGCCCGACGGTTCGATGCCAGCGTCCGCGAGAAGAAATTTCCCTCGCTGGAATTCAGCCGAGCGTAGTAGACTTGGTCCTACAGACAGAAGTGCCGTCCAGGTCCCTTGTCGAGAGTCGTGGAAACGGTGGCAGGATGGTAACCGCCCACCGCACCGTGGCTTCGGCTCGATGTCTCGGTGCGCGCTTTCTCAAAGGCCGAGGGCTCTGTGCCGCGCCTCGCCAACCGATTCGATGCCCTGGCAAAAGACGACGCACAATGCCTTGTGCGCTGTCCCGTCGGCGCAGAGGCGAAAAAGGAAGCAGAAAAACACAAGCGACGGACGGGGCGGCGCTAAAAGGTGCACACAATTTCCTCGACTCGTGGTGTCAGCGGGCGGACAGGCGGCGGCGACAGTCGGTCAAGCGAGCGTTGTTGGCGAGAGCCGCTGTAGGCACGGCCGTCGTCGTCGTTGCGCGGGGCGGATAGATGGGATGCAAGCGAGTGTCTGGGGGCGAGTCGTTGGGACGGCGACGGCGACGTTTCGATGGGATCGAGGGAGCGGCCCGATGGAGACGGTGATGGGGTTAGCTGGCCTGGCAAGGGAGGACGACGTCGACTTGGCTCGTTGCCGCGGAGAGGAGCGCACAGCCACTAGGGGGCGGTCGATGCACCAATGAGCCCGCCGCCGCAGTGGCGCAGCACCCACCAGTCAATGCTCATGCCTACCTATGCGGCTGTGGTAACAATACGAGGTACTAAAGGATTGGCCGTGTTTAATGTGCTTTGTGGTTGTCCATCCATTGTCCTCACGAAGTGCGATGCAGCACCGTTGACATAATCGGGATACCATAGCATCGAGTGGTCCGCCTCCCATCCCCGTCCCGGTCAAGTGACTCCTTGTTGTTCTGCGTGAATGTACGGATACTTGTGCCATTTCAGACACTCAAGCCCCCTTGTATTGACGACGTCCACCCTGGCAAAACAAACACCACAAGAGCCAGGGTAGTCCGCCCCCATGACCAGCGCTGACGAAATGCAGCCCATGGCCCATCGGAGGCGCCCTTGTTACGAGTAAGTTGGCACATAACATAAACATCGTCAATGCCGCGGCGTATACGCCCTCTTCCCGTTGAAAGTCGGCGTCCAGACCACGACGAGGCGGGCCAGAACCTCGTCATGCAAGGACGGGCGAGGTAATCTTGCTAGATCAGCGGACCCGCCCGCGATCGGCACTCCTCATCTCGTCCTTCAAGGAACTGCCGCATAGCAAGGGCCATCCTAGTCAGTATGAAGACAGTCACATTCAATCACAAGGGAGGCGGAGTGCTGCCAAGCTCCATTGCGAGTGCGTCGTCGCGGCCACCAACGTGGTCGCTGCTGTGCGCGCTTCATTCCTTGCTATACTCGTTCATAGGTTGTCATTGCTGACACTGGCATCTATCCCGCCTCGGTCCTTGGGACGGACGGTTGCCTCGAACCTCGGGCTCCGCCTGATGGTTCCATTGAATGCTGTACCGCCGCTCATACCGCCCCAGCCTGTCCTCCCTCCTGCCCAGCACCTGAGCCGGGATCAATCATCCTTTCACCTTCGCCTTCTTTTCGAAAGGCGGCCCGCGGTGCTAAACGCCAAGCGTGATGCATTCATTGTGACATGAGAACTTCTCATTGTCGGCCATTCGCGGCCAGGTGGTGTGAGCTACGACGCATTCGCGGCGTTGCCCGGCACCGATAAAACGACAACAAGAAGAGGAAACGCTAAAAATGATATCCGTCCTTGACCTAACCAACGCCCAGCCATGCCGTACCGTGCCATGCATTGATCTGAAAACTCGCCAAAATGGCGAAAAACGAAAAGGGTCCGAAGACCTAAAAACACCAAGAGCCCCGGTCTATGAGGTAGGGCGCAGTCCACCTCAGAGCCACCCAAGGCTGTAGTGTCTCAGGCTGTAAGGGTTGTGGGAGCGCGAGCTGTGATGGCTTGTTTGCCAGGCGTAAGAGTTCCACTCCGGCCATTCCTAGGAGGGGTAGTGGCCCTGATGCCCGGGTTGCGAGCCCATGTGATGTTGTTGCTGCCCACGCTGGTAGACGACGAACTCGGGTACGATGCCGGTGCGCACGTCATGACGTCGCCCTAGGGGCTGATAATGCATCTGGCTAGGAGCCACCGGCACCGAGAGGTGATACTGATCCAGAGACGCCGACGGTGGGTAGAGCAGCCTGTTGACGTGGCGGACCGGCTTGTACGGGCTGGCGCGCTGCTGGAGATAGACACTCGGGGAGTTGGATATGGGCGTGTGAACGGCCGATACAGGGCCCAGATGCTCCACCAACGGCGACGAGCCAAACGGAGCCAGATTGCCAGGGCTGTGATGCTTCGTCGGGGTCCCGTAGTTCACAGCCGGGTGAACAACGGGGGCCGCCGCCTGGTATGCCACGGCAGGTCCCATGCCATTACCCGACGTGACGGGCATCACAGGCTGCTGCTGGACCAGATTTGCCACCGGGTTGGGTTGGTAGACCGTTGTCATGGCTCGAATGCCGGGCTGCAGAGGGGGCAGAGAGACGACTTGCTGGTGACCCGTCGCGGGCACCTGCGGGCCGTACGCATTGACTGCCGGATAGGGCTTCGCTGCGTGTTGCGCCGGATTCGTGATAACCGTCAGCTGCGGAACCGGAAGCCGCGCTGCTTCGATAGGGACGGCGGGCCTGCAGCTGGCAGAGGTGACGGGCGGCACCTGTCCGACTCTTGTGGGAACGTGCCGCTTCGCCGGGTGGTCTGCCAAGTCCTCTTCTGGGCTCCGCTTACGTGTCGCAGGAAGATTCATTGCTCGCTTCGGGCCCAAGGGGGATGTAGTGTTGGTTTGGTACGCCGAGAAGTTCTTCGAGTGAGTTGACGTTGGCGAGAGTTGAATGGCCGCTACTGGAGTGTACTGAGGCATGTCCGGAATACCTGGGTGCGTCATCCCTGTGGGTGAGGGTATCGGCGAGTTGAAAGCCTTGCCCAAGGGCGAGGGTACGTGGACGGGCGAGGCGGGAAGCTTGAGCGCTCGGTCGTAGTAGTCGTGGAAGCACGCGAGCTTCACGAGCCAGTCCTCCCACTCCGTCTTGGATGCAAGAAGGTTGTACCGCATGTTACTGAGAAACTCGACTTCCATCACGTGTATCTCCTGGACAGCGAAGCACGACACTTCGGCCCACGTCTTGTTGGTGTAGGTATTGTCATCGAGAACTACCGTCGCCTGTCAGCGTTGCGTCCAACCGCGGGCAGGGAATTGAAACGCCGTCCTCGTACATTTGTTACCAAGCATCAGCGCCACAGTAAGGAGACGGTATTCGCTACCTGCCCGTCCCTTGATTTGTGGCGTAGACATCTTGAGGCGGTAAATGAACAGCAATGCCAGAAAGATGACATTCTGCGTCACCTGGGTCGTTGAGAGGACATTGTACACCCATTTCTGGAACTGTTCGTATGGCTTTGCCAGGGCAGGCAGTCGAGGTACTGGGGCATTTGGCGGCCTTGATCGGACGGACTCGGCCAGCTTAAGGTTGTCGACGGATTCGAACCAAAAAAGGCACGTCATCTGTGGAAGGAACGTTAGCAAGCCTGGCAAGCGCCCATAGAACAAACTACCACGCTAACCTGAGCCGCAAAGTCGGACAGACTTCCACCGTTAGGGCTGATGCACTTGGGTATTTGGAGGCTGTGGTAGATGAGCGTGTCAGAGCCTCTCCTGGTCGCCGTGTTCTCCCCCTTTGCCGCTTCGAAGACTTCGGGCGTTGGCGTGGACGGCCGAGTGGAAGACTGAGAGGCGGTATGGGACAGCTGGGATGCTGATAGAGAGGAGGCGTTGTTGCTCCTGGCGTGTCCGACAGAGGCCAGCTGTGCGGCATGCGGAGGGTAGCGGTGCGATTGCGTACTCCTCCCGTCGTCCATGACGGCCTTGGGCCGAGTAGCGTGCGGAGCCATGGTCGGGTAGCCGTGGATGGCATGGCTGTCGTAGACGGGTAAGCTGGAATGGTACGTGGTGCTCATGTCGCCGACTGGAGGCGTCTGAGGCCGCTTCCCGCAAGCACGTCTTGTTCGGTCAACGAGAGAGGCTTGCTTGGGGGTGGGCAGGCGGCCTGGGGGCACGAGTCGACCACGGCACCCGAGGATGTTGGTGGGAGAAGGCGGGAAACTCGACGTCGATTGTTGGCCCCGAAAAGTATATGGGTGGGAGACAGGTGAATCGGTTCGTCTGGTCGCCCGGCCAAGCAGGAGAGAGGCGTGCGGTGACCCAGGATTGGGCTGTCGGCGGTCGACGGGGAGGTAAACGAAAGCGACAGGCGGCGGTGATGCGTCAATGGGACGAAAATGGCAAAGCCAGGGCCGCCTCGATAGGCGAGATGATGCGAGCGCAACGCCGACAGATGGACAAGGTCGCAGGTTCGGGAGGGGGGAGGGAAAGAGAAGGAGAGAGGGGATAGTAAAGAGGAGGATGACAGAGCCAAGCACAAAGTCGACGGTGTAAGTGCGCTTGTCTGGCTGGCGCCCTCGTGGAGCTCCGTATCAGCTGGCGATGGTTGCAGGGGTTGTGTTGCCCCTCGACGGGAGACGCCACGCTTCGCTGGGGAGCATGCAAACGCCGTCTGTTCAAGGCCGGAAACCGCAGGCCAGACACATGACGGAGAATGGAAACAATGAGAAAGATGCGGCCCTTGGGGGGAGGGGACGCAACAGGCCGGGCCGGCTGATATGAGAGGAGAGGGAGAGGCCGTCTCGGCGGGATGGTGAGGTGGAGGGAGGATTGGCGATTTCAAGGTTCACGCGGGCGCTGGTTGGCTGGCTCAGGCGCCCCCAAGGCGAGGCAAGGCCGCAGGGTCAAGAGGGTGTCTGCGACGCGGCGTGTGCGTGCACCTAAGCAGAGGGTGCAAGGTAAGGTACCTGCGGGCAGGCGGGTGGGAGGTTCCAGGTTCCTTTCACTGCCCGCTGGCCCCCCGCTGGCCACCCACTGGCTCCAGGGCTGCTGCCCGGCTGATGCGGCGGCGGCGGCGGCGGCAGACGGTGGTGGCACGCCCGCTGTGAGGAGCGCTAGAGGCGGTGGCCCGGCGGCGGTCGGGAGCGCCAGACCAGAGTGGACGTCTAGGTTGATCCAGCGTCCCGCTCACTGTCCCCATGGCACTGCCAGTGGGGGGAGACGGGGAGGTACTAAAACCCCCTACTGGAGGTACCTGCGGGGCCGCATGCCCAGCTTGAGACGAGTCGAGTCGAGGCGCCGTGTTCGTGATGGGCTCGCCAATTGGGGCTCGGTGGCACGGCAGGACCGGGACCACAGGATCGCGGCTACAAAAGGGAGAAGAGGACGAGACTTTTTTGTTGTCGTCAAGCCGCGAGACTCAGTTCCGTGCCATGGGCCTGCCGCGGGCTTGCCAGTCGGGTGTCGTTCTGGAGACGGGCCTTTGTCGTGGGTCCCACGCCCGGGCAGCTGGCTTCCATTTGGCGTGGAGGTGCAACGCACTTGGCACGTTGGTTTCTCTCTCAGACATCTGCTGGCACACCTGCTGGCACACCTGCTGGCACACGCGCGCGCACGAACGGACGCACGCACATTCGCATTTGGGGGGGCCGTCACCCACACACTGTCGCCCACACCTCACCTCCCGTCGTCTCCAGCGCCCCCTGCCATGCCATCCTGTCCCAGCCAGCATCCATTCCCATGCCATGCCATGCCATCCCAGCCGGGACCTCAGGCAGGCGGGCGGCACCCACTAAAAACCCGCGCCAGAGCTAGGCCCAATGGCGACGACGGCGCCGCGCCTCATGGAGCACACGCCCAGAGCATCTCGGCAGGGACGGAGCACGGAGTTGTGGCCGGAGGACGGAGCATGGGGACCGTCTCGGGTGTGTCGCCCTCGACTCTGTCACGGTCGCCTCCGTTCCTTTCCTGTCCTCTGTACAAGTACCTGTAGGACATGTTGCCAGCAGCCCGTCGGCAGAGACGGTGGTACGTGGGCGCGGTTCGTTCATTCCACCGTCGGCAGGTTGCCCGTCCAGCTGCGGCTTTCGCCCCAGCGATCGCACCAGCTTGTGTACCACCCCTGGTTTGACCTGCATGGCCCTTGGGGTCCCGGATGTGCGAGATGGCAGTGCTCCCTCCGCCTCGGATAGGTAATTGACATGAAATAGGAGCCAGACACCTTGCCCTTGATCGAGGCCCTTCCCTGTGTTAGATTACTGAAAGACTCGGGGCCGCCCGTGCGAAGTACTTCAGCCTGGAAGTACCTACAGCGCAGTACGGACGGTGCACGCGAGTAGCAAACGTCGTCATGCGAGGCACTTCTGGAACGAGATACCCACACGTCGTCCGAGCTGGATGGAGGCCGGGCGGTGCCATCGCCGGGCGGTACATACGTACTCCGTGCCGTAGTACGAGGCCTTCCAAGGTCGAGGTGGAGGCCTTTGGTTTGAAGGTCCCCTGCAGCGCGGCACCAGGGCTTGAAGGGCGGCGGGACTGCAGCGGGGCCTGGCTTGGATGGTTGGGTGAGTTGGTCGAGGTGGACTCTCAGGATGGCTGCCAGGCATCCGCATCCAAGCCGGCCCCAGCAGCCACACGCAACCCCGGGGCCGGCGGCCCAAGGCGGCGGCGCTCTGGCAGGGCAGGGCGGGACTGGACAGGACAGGGTACCTAGCGGCTCGCACGTCTCCCCAGCCCGGCTCCGGATGGCAACTTGGAAGTGGTGAGTGTGGTGAGAGTGGTCAGTGGTGGTGCGTGAGGTGGTACCCAGCCGGCCGCCCAGCACCAGCTGACACCCAGGCCGCAAGAAAGACTGGGACCAGGCCTGCAGCCGTGGTCACTGGCGCCGCCCCTGGTGGGAACCCTGCGCCTGCTGGTGCCCGCGCGCACACCTCGCAGGGAGCCAACAACCTCAGCCGTGGTGCCGCGCAACGACGCAGCGGCGGAGCACCGGAACAGCGCTACCTCGGGCGTGCTCTGGCGGTGGTGGTTTGCTTTGCCGGGATCAGTGAGTGGGTGCGGTGCCGGCTCCACGATGGGAAAAGGTATTGCGGCGCCGACAAAAGGAGGGAGCGGTCATGGTCCGCTCTCTCGGCATGGCGTCTTGCTCACCTTTGCATTGTCAGTCCGAAGTACGGGAGGCTCTCTCCAGCGGCCAAATAGGCTGGCCGGACCGAGCTGCGTCGGCACTGATACAGACCGGGATGGAGATCAAGAGTTGTGGCCTGGGCGTCGGTGCTGGTCTGATACAGAGGCCAGCGACGAGGCTCCAATTATGGTGCCATGCGAGCACCATCACATTCGCATGCACCAAAGCCACTGGCCCATGTGGCCTCGTGCAGGAAGCCTGATGGTCAATGATGAGAGAGGACCAGCTGGCGCAGCTGCAACAGGCCGGCAAGGGCAGGGTCGAGGCCCCGAACGCGAAGTACCTCCTTACCATCTGACCAGAGGTCCGTGGAGCGAAATCGGTGACGACGACGCGGACTTCCGACGCACCTTGCTGCTTCTGTTTGCCTTCTTGCACCTGCCCCTACCAAGGCTCGTGCCTGCCATTCTGCCATCCTGCCAAGTATGGCCAGGTAGAATTACTCGTACAAGCCGCAGCGAATGACACGCAGCCCACCCGCTCGTCAGCGTTCCTGCCACTGGGGCCTGGCCCGTCCTGTGCTCAGGCTTGGGACCCCATCCACGGAGGAACCCGCTCCTTCAACCCCAACTCGACGGCACCATGTTGCAATCACCGCGACGAGTCCCTCCGTGCCAACGCCAGGTTGCCCCCTTCGTCGGACCGCAGTGCTATTCCCATTGACCACCCGAACACGAATCGCCACTTGCACTTGATGAATGGGAAAGACATGGCGGCACGAACTTCGTACTTTACCTCACCCGTCCGGCCACGCGGTCACTGGGAGCTGAACAAGGGGCCGCCGTCTCCTTCAATCGCCCCCGCGCTATTGCATGCTTCCTTGAATATAGCACGGAGTACCTGTTGTACATGCAGGCGCCTAGCAAATACGAAAACTACAATCCTCATGTACCAAGGTACAGAGTGACCGAGCAAGAAGGTCGACAGGGCCCAACGCGGCAGCCGCGGGGCGCTGCCTGCACCTGCCGGGCACGACCTTCCAAGCCTCCCGTCTTGTTAAAACCCTCTCACTGCTTTGGGACGTGCCTTTGGCAACCTCCACGGTCTCCCCCTCCATATGTTCATCACGATCACCATTTCCCCTTCTCCGCGGCTCCGCCCGCGGTGTTCGCTTGCTTTCATAAGTGGTACAGAGCTTACCTGCCAGGCAAGTTCAGTCCCCTTTTTCGAGGCGGGCGTCAGGCAGCCGGTGCCACCGAGCCAGCCAGTCCTTTCTCGGCGCCCTAGCGCCACTTGGATCACCATGAATCCAATGCCATGGCAGGTGGCTCCAGCAGCCATGCGAGAGCCATTGCGCGGCCGCGGCCAAACCTTACAAGCGACCATGCCTATTGCCTGCGCTACCAAAGAAGCCATCCATTCTCGTACACCTATCCGCGCCTCCCAAGACCAACCCACNATCCCACCCCGCCAGCCCACCCCTGCGTGCTGTGCGCAGCGCGGCAACTGAACTGCCATTTCGCCTGCCTGTTCTGAGCTTGTCTCGCTCTTGCGTTGGAGACGGATTCCTCGCCAGGAGCAGGCAGCGTTCGACCTCAGTGCGTCCGGTGCCCTGCCCCACAAGCATGCTCCGCCGAAAGGTTCGTCGACGGCTTCCCTTTTACGTGTTGAGTCTGTTGACGCTCTGGCTCATGGGCTGCCTAATTGCCGCCTCCATGAGCCGACGAACGCTTGTCATCGAGTAGTCCGCAAATGTCACCAAGTCACGTCGTCTTTGACACAGCGAGGTTGGAGGACTGGGGCCTGGGCTTCCAAACTCAACCACGGCCAGATGGTTCGAGCCGACCCAATCCTGGATGCGCCCTTCTTTGATACGCTTGCCCCCTCGAAGACACAAACGCAAGATAGGTGGTGCTGATGCGGTCAAGGGCAGTGTCTTGTTTCGCTAATGCCGGGCGAGCAGGACCTCTTCCCTGGCCTGGGGCTGATTCACACCGGGGTTCCACCTGGTTCAAGCCATCTCGGGCTCTTGTCAAATTAGCACCCCCAACGCAGTGGTTTGGGTACTTCGCTCATGATGGATAACAGCATGTCTGCAATCCCTGGTTCCGCCCTGGCTTCGGGTGCCTGTACTCGGTAGCTTCGACGTCGCGCCTCGAGACGCCAGGAGGACCGGATGGTTGCGTATGTCTGGTTCCCAACAGGGTGAGAAGTCGGCATTGACGTGTTTGTTGAATAGCCGCAGGTTGTGTTCCCAGAGACTCATGGGCTCCGCATCTTTGCGGCGCTGGGCAAAACAAGCTACCTAGTACCAAGGCATCCCAAGGCGGATCGGCCTATGACGCCAACCCGAAGTCGAGCGCGTCAGTTGCAGGACTGCAGCAAAGCCCAAGACGTCAAGCGTCCCCATGGTCGCCTATCGGCTTGACTCGTCGACCGCTGCGGAACTCGAGGGGCAAAGGTTTTGGTTGGAGCCGAGACCAGACCAAATGGAGCAATGAGCGGCTTGGTCCACGTCGAATGCAAAGCACGACGACGCCGGAGCTTGGCGCCAGCAACACGAAGTAGGCACGCGAGATGCAGCCGGGTCGTTGAATGTCAATCCGAAGCTACCGTCGGATGCCAATCAATCCGTCACATCGCAATCATCACAGGCGGCCGAAGGGATAGCGTTGGGCCACATGTCTCAACTAAGAGATGCAGGCTTTGCTTCCTCGGGCCACCACAAACATAACGATATCGTCGACCGGTCCAGTGACAGGTGGCTTTGCCGTGTACCTGCACTGTCGAGTGAGCGTGGTGCAGTGACTTGCGGGCGGCTCAGCAACCCAGCAGCCCACCCTCGACCCTTGCCTAGGCTTATGGGACACCACCAATCGCCGGCCCCGGGCCTGTGGGCGTCTCGTTGCTGGATGTCCGTTTGCTCTCGAGACTGTGACCCTCGCGGGCCGAGAAAAGAGGCCACAAGATCCTCGACCAAGTCCGTCCCGGCCCAGAACGGCTAGCTGCCTTCGTCCACTGCTGCCGCGAATCTCGTGCAACGCCCGTGTCTCCTGACCAGAAGGCCGTGGACGCTCGACATGGATAATGTGGGCGTCTGGTTCCCAAGTCCACGCCAGCCCACAGGTGGCGGTGGTGACTGTGGAGCTCTGGCAGATATCACAGCCTCTTCCAGAGGAAACCAGGTTCGGCGCCTTGTCACTTCCACTCGGCAGTGTTGTTGGGAATGCCAACCAGGGCATTCGCCTGCCACCACCAACCATGGTGAACCTTGGCAGCAAATCCTGGAGAGACACGACAGGCTGGGCGACAGCAGGCAGTCAGGCGTAAGGGGTAACACATTGCCAGGTTTGTCCATGAATGCGACATCGACCGCAAGTGGGAAGAGCTGCTGAAGGAGAAGGAGGCTCGCGTCGTCGAGCGCACCGTTGCTCCCAGTGGTCGTGAATCGCGGGGATCACCAGGTGGCCCGGACCAGGCGGGCCCATCAACCCATGTCTTTGTTCGACAACCACGACTTGGACTATTCTCGCGCATCGGGCTCTTCTGGCATGCGATCGTCAAACCGCCACAGCTTCGACCCGTGCGGCGTCGCGCAAGACGAACCCGCCTCATCTACATGGAAGTTGACACGAGCAAGCCGGCCTGTCCATCTGACTGATGATTCGGCAAGGGCGGACTGCGCACGCTACGCCTAGAACGCGTCTTGCGTCTTCCGCGTTGCGTTTTGCTGTGCAATGCATGCTCGGTAAGTACAAGCCGTGCTCATGTTGCCCCATCCATGTGTCTCCGTTCCGGTGGCGCGGCTGGGCCGTAGTGGTGTTCGTTCGCGCATGGCCGCAAGCAGAAACTGCTGACCGGGGACCGAGACCCAGCAAGCAAGCGGGACGCCCCCATGCCCTCCAACAGGCCGTCATCTTGAAAGTGCTTGCATGACCACCTAGCCGATCAAAGCAGCTCCCGTGGCAAACGAGCGATGGCTCCACTAGCCGGGTGGCTTTTCGTATCGTCGCCGCCTGGCACTCAATGCATGGATACGGTGCTGTACTTGCTGCAGAGGGGGAGACACTCGTCTTATTAGCCGGTTCCGCCGTGGAGCGACTGGTGGGCATGCCCACAGGCAGGCATCTCACGAACAAGGCGCTCGCCGATGGGGGAGCGACATGCTGTCTCGACTTTTGTCGAGCATGAAGGGGGGGCTCGCGCCCAGTTGAGTCAACGTGATCAGATTCATCGACACACATTGCTCGGCTTGCTGTCACTATGGCCATTCTACCACGACGCATGCTCTCTGAGGACCACGCAAGGGACGGAGCCTTTGGACCGAGGGGAGCGCATTGGCCGTCGACATGAATGAGCGCCGCATCACCAAAGACCACACTGTGGCTGCGAACAAGGAACGGGCCCAACCCACCGGAACGCAAGCCCTGCCCAGGCCGTTGAACTCAAGAGAGCACGACGCCGCACGCCAGCCTGTAGATGAGGGGTCCAACAGGATCATAGGATTCTGGATGTGGTGGTGCCCGGTGTGGGCATCCCGTACTCGTCGCCGACTGGTGTTTATCATGGCGCCGGGCGTGCTCTGGGTTTCCATCCATCATCATGCCGAGAGTGTCAGACAGCGGGACAAAGACGGGCGGGCTTCGCTTCGGTAGCTCGCTCTGCCCCTTCCTGGTGACCCTCCCTGCTATAAAGCGGCGGCGATTGTCGTCGCAGCGAGAAACGCCTTGCGGGCGCTTGTCCCGTGGGACCGTGACACAGGACCGGCCAAGCGTTTTGGAAGCATGGCGATCCGAGCAATGGAGCATGGCCCTGGTGCCCGAGCCTTTGCAATAAAGCAGAGAAAAGGGTCCCATTTTTGCCCTTGATTGGGCGGATCACAGCTCATGTCCCCCATTCCTTGCAGTAACTGCGTCAGCGTCGGTCTCGAGCGCCCCTCGAGAGAGGCGTCCGGATGCCTTTCCCTTTGGATGACCAGGCCGGTGGCTGGGATTGTCGGGACAGCGGTCGCGAGACGCCGTCAGCTCGGACCTTTCCAGCTGTATCAAAGACATGTCGATCGCCTTTCTTTGCCTGATTCACAGTCTGGTCGGAGCTGTGGTTGCAAGCGATGAAACGCACGGTCAATCCAGCCTCCAGCGAGCTGAAAGACTGTTACGAGGCCGTCCTCTGCCCGGGCCGTGCTCAAACGGTTTTCATGGACTTGAATGCCGCCAGAGAGCTGAGCACGAAGTATTCCCGAATCAAGCAAGCCCCGGTACGAGGGTGACACGGCACCGCCGAGCACAGGACAGCTCCCATGTGCAGTACTGTACTTTGGTGGTAGGTACGGAACCCCCCTCCGTCTCCCGTGTGGGATGCATTGCTTTGGTGGACAAGTTGACAGGGAGCACTGCACCAAAGTTCTTTTTCTTTCTCCAAGCCCAGACCCGTCCTTCATTCTGCATCGGACATTGGCCCTCGTGGTCGACAGATCATCTGCATTCTCGTGCGAAGCCAGGTCCGGAGCAGTCGGTGGGACGGCTCAAAAGCGGCAGGCATCTCATCGTCGCCGTCCATCCGTCTGACTCCTACCAACGCAAACATGGGAATGAGCAAGACCACGGAGCACGATGCAGTAAATCGGGTGCAAACTGGAGCATTCGGTGCCATCGGCTCGGCCAACGAGAACAAGTGCATGATGGCACCCTTGTCGTCGTCTGTTGGGCTGTTGAGTGAATAAAAGACGACACCCCTCCTGCCCGCTTGGCTACCGCGGCCAATATTGTCAAGTCAAGGACGGGCATGCCCGCCCTGGCAAGCCACTTGGCCAACAGCATAATCACGAATATGCAGCATCGAATCCTTGATAGTGATGTCGGTGCCGCGTATGGACGTTGCGGGCACGGCGTTTGCCTTGCTCGGCGTTTGCATCACCCGCCCTGCGTTGCCATCCGATTCGAACCGAACCAGATTGTTTCCTCATGTCCCAACAGCCACATGCCCTGCTTGTGCCTGCACTGAAGCCAGGCTTGCCAGGCTCGGACGGAATTCGAGCAGCGGAAACGACGGCGGATATTACTTGTCCCCCTGCGCTCGCCTCGACGCCGCATGCAGATTGGCCAAGTTTCTCATTTCGCCTGCGCAGCGCGACCAGCGCGCCTGTGGCGGGCATTCTGAAACTAGCAAAAGGCACGGCTGGTTTCCGTTGCCCACCAGCTGGCTGTCTTTGTTGCTTGCTTTCTCGGTCTAGATGTGGGAAGTATGGTACTGCAATCACTGCAAGTATCACGTACCACTGGCGTACTTGGTATGTGACTTATTACTGTACTTTTCTTTGACAGTGGTGTAGTGAATGGACGTGGCGGACCAAGTCGCCAGGTGCGCCATGCCATGCAGTGAGGCAAATGCCCGACCAGAGGTGACGCTTTGCCCCCCATTGTCACATATCGTGGCTGTCGGGGGGCGGGCCGGACAAAGCACAATACAGCATGTACGAGCACGGTTTGAGCCGTGGGCCGTGGTGGCGGCGGCGGCGGCGGCATATCAACACAGCACCCAAGTGCTGTGTGCGTAATACCGAGTTGCTCGGCACGGAGCAGCAACAGATACAGTGCAGTGCTGTACCGTACGTACCAAGAAACCCCCCTCCGCACGACGATGGATACGCATGTACGCATGTACAGTACAGCTTGTCCCGCCAGGGAATGATGGATAATAATACGTGCGCACCAACATGCACGCCACTCCCTTCGGCAATGCTGGCACGAGTAGCGCCCTGGGGCTGGGACCATGCCACCGCCCCAGCTGACCGCCGGACATGGTCAGATCATTAGCTGCTGACGCCGCCGACAGGCTTCTTTGGCTTGATGAGACTGATCCTTCCCTTTCGTCGTCGGCGACTCAGCGGCCGCTGCTGCAGGCCCGGGGACATGACCGACCGATGATGGGCTGGGGCTCTCTATTCATCCGACAACTCCTGCCGCAACTCCACAACGGAGGGCGCTTGACCTCGGGGGGCCCTGCGAGGAAACCACAGGTGACGGTACTAGCGTCTGTCTGTGGCACTCTGACGACGAACGTCGCGGCCGCGCCGCCCGTACGGCCATCCTGGATACGCGGTCCTCGGCTGTGGTCCATCCCGGTCATCCCTTGTGCGCTGCGCCCTGATCATTTGCCCGAGAGCGTCAAGGAGGATCAGTGACGGACAGACGAGCAAGCGCTGGTCGGAGAGGCAGTCTGGCAACGTCGAGGGGGTCAGCACGGCGTGGGCTTTCTGGCGATGCTCCGTTGTCGTGGCCGGCTGTCGTCGTGAGTCCCGGGTAGGCCACCCGGAACGACGTCCGGACGGTGCCGGGTCATGGTGTGGGATGTTTGGCCCGAGCCCCGACGCGCGCCGCATCAAGTCGTTCTTTAAAACGCTGTGATGATGAAGGGACAGGAGAGCGGCTACTCGGCTGCATCTTGCTTGGCCAGTCGGCTACTTGACGTTGTCGACGCCCTCCGTGTTCGGCAGAGGGAGGGCCGAACATCTGTCGGGATGTGTGTGAGCGAGTGATGAGTGACTCAACGAACGTCGCGCCTCGGCCCGACGGGCTCAATCGCAACGTAGGTATATGATGGCGACGTGATCCCCTCCAGACGATGACCTGGTAGCCTCGTGAGTGACTATCGTCTTGCAAGATATTCGGCACGGACCCATACTACCCTCACTCGCAAACGGAAAACGCACACCAGCAACCCGAATCAACATCGATATCGAAATCATCACCACCGCCCTCACCGCAATCATGAAGACGGACATGTCCACGCTGTACCCCAACCACAAGGTCGCCGAGCGCGTGACCGACTACGCGCGGCGGCACTCAACGGCGCTGCCCGCCCACATCGTCGACTACCACGCCTGGGTCAACGAGAACCACCCGCGCGCGGGCTACATGATCTCCGACTTCCAGGGCCAGTGCCACGTCTTCCTCGCGCGCGCCCTGGGCGCCAGGCGCGTGCTCGAGGTTGGCGTCTACGTCGGCTACTCGGCGCTCGTGTGGGCGCACGCCGTCGGGCCCGGGGGCACGGTGACGGGCCTGGAGTCGTCGCGCGAGTACGTCGACATGTCGAGGAGGGCGTTTGAGCGGCATGGCGTGGAGAATGTTGAGGTCATTGAGGGGGATGCTCTCGAAACGTAAACTCAGACCTTTGTCCTCATTTTCACCCTCACTGCCTCTCACTCACTTGCTCACTCACTCTCACACCTACCTACTCCCTCCCCCCAGACTCGTCCCTGTCCCTGCCCGAGCTGCTGGCCTCGCCACGGGAACAAGAGACAAAAGTCACTGACGCAGAGTCCCTCTTCATATACACAAGCCTCGCGAAGCTGCAGCCCGAAGAGCCCTACGACCTCATCTTCATCGACGCCCAAAAGTCGGGGTACCCGTCCTACCTGCGGGACATACTCGCCGGGTCGCAGTCGGGAGGACGGCCGCGGCTGCTGCGCCCGGGCGGGCTCATCGTGGCGGACAACGTGCTCCGCCGGGGGCTCGTGGCCGACGACAGCGATGACAACCCGTGGGCGGCGGGGGACCAGAAGGCGCGGACGCGCAGCGAGTACGAGTCGGACCGCGACATTGAGTACCTGCGTGAGTTCAACGACCTCGTGGCGGGGAGCGAGAGGCTAGAGAACTTTCTCATGCCGCTGTATGACGGCGTGGGGTTGATTCGCCTCGTTGACTGAGGCCTCACGGGATACTGCTGAGACGACTGGGGATGAACGCCAGATCTCTCAGGCTTGATTGACTACGCTCTGTGATGTCTGTCCGTCCTCTGGATGGAAGGCGGCAGGAGACGTCAAGATCATGTCATTCATCGTTATATTTTCCTCCATAAGGACTCGTCAGGTCGATGGGCGGCTTCAACGTGAAACGGCGAAGCAGTCCAGTAGCATGTTCGAGTATATTGCGGCGAGATCAACTTGCCAGCATGGTCTTCTTGGACCGTCTGCCATGAAACCATCTCGCTTTCCTGCACTCTTAGCGACGCATGATATATGCACCTTGTTCGCGCATGATACGGGACAAAGTGAACCATAACGGTACCTATCGCCGCACCACCAGTAGTCGAAGAGAATTCACGCGGGATGTCAGATAGGAGAAGTAACAGAGAATAGACGGTCAGAGTCCCCTGGGCATCATCGACTGTCAGGCACAGGAGACGTCGACGCCGCCAAGAGCACGTTATCCTCGGCGAGTTTGTCTCGGCGACTGCGCCCATGATTCCATATTCCCGACTTGCAACGTGCGGCAGCCTTGCTTTTCGTCTACTTCGCCAGGAATCGTCACATGAAGAAAGAGACAGGTCGGCTCGCACAGCGAGGCAACCCAGCTTTGGGTGCGCGCGACATGAACGACGACGCCTTCTGGTTCGCGCCCAACCAGAGCCGCGCACCGCCTACCAGGGACCAGGGATCGGGCTCCGGGAGGTGGCCTCCGCGAGGCTGACGATGAGAGGTTGGGAGAGCAAAAAGACTACATATCGTGCATGTGACTCGTGAGCACGATTTACTTGCTACATTTCTGTCAGATGCGGTGCAGCCGCGTCCAACGGACGGGTTACCTCGGCCGGCTGAGCGGGAGACGGAGAGACTGCAGCGGCAGCGAAGCAGGCAGTGTCTTCCATGTAGCCGCAGCAGCGCGGGAGCCGCATCGACCGCCTCACTCGGCGAGACACACTTGCCTGCCTGCAGCGGAAACAGATATGAGATGATGGCTGCTGCTGTTGCTGCTGCTCGTGGGAGGCGAGGACGGGGCGCAGCGCCGCCGGAGCAGAGCCGCCTTTTTGCGCCCGGCGGTCATGCGGCTTACACTTGAACACTCAGCAGGGATGCAGGTGCGCGGGACAGAGGAACCCCGACCCGCGAGCCATACAGAGAGCCTAACAAGACGGCCGCGGGAGGAGATGGGAGGCGGCGAACTGGCAGCGCCCGCCTTGGCTTCAGCAATCGGAAAGGCTGTGTGGGTGAATGAGCTTGTTCTCCCCATTGACCATGAGGAGTTGCCCCCGATGTCGCCAATGTCTCCAGCGGTGTGGTGATGGTGCTGGTGGCGGGACGGGGGTGAGGGGATAGGGCGGGCGGTATCAGCACCGACGTGGGCGGCGAGGCAGACTCGTTCGTATATTGACTTGACATCGGATTTGCTTCGTACGTAACATCTAGCCTGCCGTGCCCTGTGATGGACTGGACTGGACTGGACTGGACTGTATGCACTACGAACGTACTGTGATACCCCATCGGCGTCATCGTCATACGTTGATGATGTGCAGTTATTCATCACGTAGTTGGTTACGGAGTAGTTGGCCCTGTCAATGCTCCATCCAGGCCGCGATGCCCGCCGACTTATCCGACTCGCGGCCCCCCGCCGCAAGAGCCAGCAGGGATCCCGCGATCCATCCCATCCATCCAGCATGCCTGCCAGTTGCCCTGCTCCTCCTCCCGACCCTCCTCCTCCGGGCTCCTCTTTGGGAACCATTCGGTCAGCGTGTGCCTCATCAGTCACTCAATCCCCTCTCTGGCCCCCAGGCGGACTCTTGTCAAATTGTCTCGTCCCGTCGCCCCCCCGTGGCCCTGCCGCCCATCTAATACCCCTCGCCATTTGCTCCCAGCCAGCCCGCGCGCTGCCGCTTCTGTCAAAGACGCGCTCGCCCAGACAAACAAAACAAGGCACGGAGGTAATCAGGCTCGGTGCACGGAAACGGGCCACCGAGGACGGACGCGCGCTGCGCATGCACGGGGACTTGCTGCTGCGCCTGAACAGGGCGTGTACGCACTGCTAAATATACAACGCCGGCGAACAGACGCCAGACGGGGGCCTCTCTGCCCGGCTAAGGTGCTCGCCGTTGCGCCAGGACGAGATCAGGACAGGAAGAGGTGGATTCAGCGTCGACTATTTGGCTCTATAGCTGCTGCTTGAACGGGCCTTTGAGTCGCGCAGCCATTGAACTTGTCTGGTCTCAACAGCTGGGGGTTGTGGGCAGCCAAGCACGACGACAACCAACAACACGGTCTCTCAACCCAACTTGCCCAACCTCACTTACAAGCCCGATAATAGCAGCACGCACGGGCACGAACCACGCAAAGTCTTGGGGAACCGGACCTGAAAGGCAACTCTACTTTAGTCTTTGCTTTCGAGCAGTCGAGCAATCGCCGCGGGCCCGCATAGCCCAGCAGCCATGGACCGCTCACGGTCCCAATCGCGCCACCCCCGACGACGCCGCCGCCCATCGCCAACCTCCTCACCCTCCCCGTCCGCGTCCCCCTCGCCGCCGCCCCCGTCGCGGTCCCGCTCGCAGTCCCGCCACCGGCGACGCGTGCCCTCCCTCTCGCGCTCTCCATCGACGTCATCGCGCTTCGCCCGGTCCCGGTCCCGAGCTCGCTCATCCAGCAGCAGTAGCGGCGATAACAGCCAGAAGCGGAGGGCGAGGAAGCAGCAGCGGCACAAGGAGAAGAAGGAGGGCCTCATCAAGGGCTCCGCGGGGCTACTGCTCGGCATCGGCGTGGCCGCTGTCGTGGCGCACAAGTTTTGGCCCAAGGGCATCCTCTACGGCGGCAAGGAGGAGTGGGAGGCTGAGGTCAAGGAGAAGATTGTGCAGCGGCGGCGGCCGAGGTCCGGGGAGGGGAGGAGGTTCGCCGGGCCGGGGACTGACGAGGACGAGCGCGATCGACGGCGGAGCCGTGGCCGGAGCAGGGACGGCTACGGGTATGGGTATGATCGCGGGGACGAGTATCGGCCAAGGAGGGTGCGCAGCCGCGGCGGGGGGGTCTACTACTATGACGACGCCGACGAGGAAGCCCAGGCACACGCGAGGGGCCCTCGCGATGGACGTCTCGCTCCCGACCCCGGCCCCGGACCCGGAGGCGGAGACGACGTCCGCCGCACGCGCAGCACCACCCGCCCCATCTTCCGCCCCCGAACCCCCAGCGAGGAGCGCTGGCGACGCGAGGACGAGCCGCTGCAGCGCGCGCGCGAAGCCCGCAACGACCAACGCATGAGGCGCCGCGTCCAGGCCGGCTACTCCTCCGACGGGCCCTATCCCCCTCCGCCGCCTCCTCCTCCTGGCGTCGTCATCCCTCCGCCGCCTCCTGCCGGGTCCAGTTCCTCGGCGGGATACGCCCAGGAGAGGTATTACCGGCGGGACCGGTCCATAGCACACCCGGACGAGCCGGTCTACGTGGTGGAGAGGACGCCGTGGTGAAGCACGAGGCCCGCGTTGGCTTCGACGACGATTATGAGTTATGACGGTGACGGCTATCACGTCCGGCGCTGTTGATTTTTGTAAGATGGAACATGTCTTTGTGCACAAAGTACCCAGTAGTTTTAGAGCAGTCATGCATACACCCCAAGCCTCGACTTGTACATGATATGCAGCATCGCCTGTAGCTCTTCATATTTGTGCTCTATATAACATCCGTTCCGTTCGTAAACAGCTCCTTGGGCTGAGCAGCAGATAGCAACTGTAGTCTACTGCTACTCTGGTGTGTATAAGCCCGTGTGCACCCGTCATGGCGACCCGGCAGATACCGGGCTGCTCGTGACCGTCTCGTCCACGTCGCTCTCCCTCACCCGCACGGGCAAGGCATCCTGGAATGAGGCCGCTCCCGTCCGCATCACCAGCCCCGTTGTCAGGCTACCCCCAAAGTACTTCTCCTTTCGCGTCAGCCGCCTCTCGCCTCCCTCGAGCGCCGAGTACGCGCTGCGTGTGGTGCGCATCCGCTTCCTTTTCCCGCCTTCACTGAGCAGGCTGCTGAGCTTGAGGCGCTCCTGCATCAGCTGGTGATCAAACGCGACGATACCCCGAACCCAAGGGGCAACATCGAGTGTGATGAGCTGCATGGTGCGGTCAAAGACGGATGGATCCAGATGAGCTGTGGGTTGCGCTTTCGGCGACACAGCAATGGGATCGAATGCGTGCGCCATGTCCATCCTAGTTAGCGCGCGCCGGCGGGAAGAAAATGAGGCGTCGAGTATCGAGACTGCAGCACCCTCGTCCACCGGCCTTAGCCAAGAGGCGTCACATGAGCCTTTCACGAAGCTGTGCAGTGTCTGGCGTGCGAGAGACTGCAGGGCGAGTGATATGTCGGTGCGAGGACAGGCCGAAGGCGCCGCAGGATCGGCCTCTAGCAAGGAGCGGCCGATGATGAAGTCGTCCTTGACGGCGTTGGTAAGCTCTGGCAGCGTTGGATCTATGTGCTCCTGCAACACCGTGCCGAAGGCTCCTGCGGAGCAAGTGTCGGCGTCGCTCAGTGCGGCACATAAATCGTCGTATGCCGTCAGGGCTGCCAGGCGCTGCCGCGACCTCTCGTTTGACTGCGAGAGCTCTCTCGCAGGGCTGTCCATGTTCAGCGAGGCGAACCAGTCGCCCATCTCCAGCTGCCACGAGTCCCATGACTGGCGGAGAATCTCTTCTTCTGCCAGCAGTTTCTGAGGTGTTGCGGCAACCATGTCGCGGACAATCCAACCCATGCCGTGCAAATATGTGCCTTCACTGACGACCCGGACCACCTCGCCCCTTTCGTCCAGGTCCGAACCCCTGGGCCATCGTGGGTAGAACCAATCGAAGCCTCCCTTTCGATCCCCAACCCCGAGTTGGCACCAGTAGTTCAGCTCTGTGATTGTAGCCCTGAGGTCCTCGCCGCGCGACTGATACAAGGACTCGACAGCTGATCTCGCAAGACAATGACCCTCGTTGGCGGCGATTAGGAGACAGACGTCCACCGCGGCGCCGGTGGGCGGGGCGGAGAACCGGAAGATACCGTGGAGGTTGAGGCTTTGTAGCGGTATCAAGCTCTCGTCGTTACACGTTATGATGAATGGGCGCTTTGACTGGCTCATCAAAGTCAAAAGCGTCGTCCAAAACTGCTTGTCTTCCTCGTACAACACGTCCGCTTCCTCGAGCAGAATGAGAGACTGCTTTTGAGCCTTTGGCGCAGCCGGCTTGCTCGACTGTTCGACCTTGTCTTTCGACTGCTTCTTGACTTGTTGCTTGCCTGTCGTGGCGGGCTTTGGCTTGAAAAAGGACGTCATCATGCCCTGCTTGCCTGACTCTTGCTTGTCGTTGAGGCCCTCGCTCGCCTCGCCAGACATGGCAGGTTGGGCCTTGTGCTGCTGGACAAGGTGGTTGCGCGTCATGTCACCCACCCTTTCCAAGATGTCCTTGCCACTTCTCCGGCTGCTTGAGTTGATCTCGAATATCTCGAAATCTAGCTGCTTTGCCACGGCGTAGACAGCGGCAGTCTTACCGCAGCCATGGGGACCGCTGATGACGATGGCGTTCTTGAGCTTGCCTGGGTCCTTGGTTGACACATCGCCCGAGCGAACGACGGATCGTTTCTGTAAAGTCGGAGCGACAAAGTTTTCATCCTCATCGCATTCCGTGAGTTCGTCCAAATCGCTCTCTTCATCGCCGCTGTCCACCACAAAGTCGTCCAGCTTATTCTTGCGCCTCTTCTTCTTTGGCGCCGTGTCGGTCTTGCTCTTGGACTTGTCTCCATTTGCATCTCCACCAGTTTCGACGGCTTGAACCTTCATAGCCACCAGCCATTGCTTCAAAAGGCCCGTCTCTTTGCCACTTTGGAGAACCTCCTCTGCGGCTGCCGGCGCGTACTTTTGGGTCCAAGCAAGGCTCTCGCAAGTCGACTTGTCGAAAGCTGAAAGATGGGTTTTTAAAGAGTGGTAATGACGACGAATGGCGGGATGAAGAATGACTGGCTGGTCGTTGGCCAGCTCATCGCGGTCCGGTCTATCAGCATCGGCCAAAGCCGCCAACGTTGACCTTGCCAATTGTTTCCGAACTCTGGCCTGAAGCTTGCGCCCACTCTCGAAGCGCCGCTCGGGGAGCCGCAATTCGGCAGGGGCAGGCGTAAAGCTGTCCTCGTCCGCAGGGAGGTCCCGCCGAACGGAGTCAAGGTCTATTCGCGCCATTAAATGAGCCAGGACCGACTCAGGTGTCGTGACGGCCGTAACATGTCCCTTCGATTTTCTTGAACCTCCCTCTTCGTGCTGGGTCACCGCTATAGTATTGTCGCTAGTGTCAAGTCCTCGTACATGGCTCATGCCAGCAGGCGGCCATAAGGGATGCATAGCGCCCGGAATCTTCGTCCCCATTGACCTGATACCGAATTGGGGAACATTGGTAGGTTTGCTTGAAGTAAATGGGTTCCTAGGCTTTCTTGGGGAGACAGGCGTCGACATGAAGACAGAGTTCTTCCTCGCAGGTGATTTCTTGGTAACTTCGGTTCCTTCGTTTTGACACGTCCCTTTCTGGGCCTTGCCACGGAAGAAAGGGTGAGTTGACTTTTGAGCAGACGGTTGCTGCGAAGGCGGAGCCTCGATAGCTCCTGTCCCTCTCTTTGCGCGCCGTTTTGTCGGGGTAGTCGGAATTTGCAACTTCCCGTCCAAGATCTGGGTGATCCTATCACCAATATCCTTGCGGCTTCTCTCATCTCGTCCATATGGCATTCGCACGATCAAGGATGGGCTTTTGTTCGGCTTCGGCTTTGGTGGCGACCCAAGAGTACCTGTCTTGGGATTGAACTTGAGGACTTTTTTGGCAGGAGCTTGGACGGCGGCAACGGCTGGGGTCGAAGCCCGGGGTTGTGTGTCTGAACCCTGGCTGAGTTGCTTGTTCAAGGTGTCGCTTGGAGGCGGCGTCGGAACGTGCGACGCAGGCTCTGGTGGCACCGACGGAGCCGTAGCCGTGTCCGGCTGCAGCCTGGTCAAATGTCCAACTATACCACCGTCCATTGAGGTCGCGCCGGCAGCTCCATTTCGCCTTCTTCGGTTGGGTGGTTTTGGTTCAGCGTCAGCTTGGCCGGAAGAAGTCTCGGTTTTTCGTCGCTTTGGCCGACGGCCGTCTTCTATAGGGGTATCGTCGACCTTGGTCTCGTCTGCGTTCGCGTGAGAGCTGGGCGTTAGGCTCTCTGCGCATGGAGCTAATGATGGGTCGCCTCCGGTGGCTTTGGTAAAGAAAGGGTGAACTTTTTCAGGTGGTCGCTCCCCGACGCCTCCCTGTACCATCGTGGCGACCAATACCGGGCCCATTGACATATGAGCTTCTCCGGAACCAGGTGTGCGGGCGGGCAAGAATCGCGCGAGGACGGGGGGGGGGGCGCGACAAGGGCGTAGGCGGGTGAGTTACGGGCGTGACATGTTCTTCTATGCTGAGGAACAACAGTAATCAATTAAACATTGAAGGAGAGAGTTGTGAGGTTTGTAGCAGCAACAAGCCGGCGGCGTCCAGGGATAGCCGATGCTGGGGTTGGTGTTGCGGTCGATGTGTGTAACCGTGGCGAGGAGGATCGCGTCACGAGTCCTACGGGCTGCTTCCCGCTGGGACTGGAGGCGTCACGCGTAAAGACGCGCCTTTCTGCCAGGCGGTGGCTGCTAGCCGCGATACGTCAGGTCCAGCAATCGCTCTTGCCGTTGAAAGCCCACCCGCCCGCTTCAGTTGGTCCGGCTGGCGCCTGCCCGTGTGTTTCCTGCCCCACTTGCGCATCCAGTCCCAGTCGCACCTGCCGTCCGCCCACAGGGACCAAGACGCCCCACCACGGATTTTTGCGTCGGCCCGCTTTCCAATAATTTTTTTTGGCAGGCGCCCAGAGCTTCAAGTTGCGCCGCAGTTCAACATCACGGCGGAATTCTGGCCTGCGACTCTACCTTTCGCGGGACCATTCTTGTCTCGGATCATTGCCTCGCAGCCACCATAATGGCGTCCGAGTACAGAATACATCGGCCGTACGTCCTGGCGACATTGCCTCGGCCGCTCGACCATACCGACGGCAGGATCGCTGCGCGCGAAGTGTATGGCCAGCGAGACGGCCAGAAGAGGAGGAAGCGAACCGAATTGGCTGTTGGTGTCGACGGCGAGACGGCCAGCATATATGATGTATGGAACCAGGCGCTGCGCTCAAGCCTTCATCGCTAACATACGTCCAGGTCCCGGCATCGCGGCTCATCACCTCGTATCCCATCCCACCCCAGGAGTCCTTCACCTGCTCCCCATACTCGGTCAGGATCCGACAATCGAAGAGCAACGACGTGATGCGCTACACTTTTGTGGCGACAAAGGACGCCTCTTCCAACAAGATCACTCTTTTCAAAGATGTCGTTCACCCCGACGGCAAGACGACGTCGTCCAGTCTCTCCCAGCCGCTGCAAACCTCGCCGGTTAGGTACATCACTGGCTCTTCCTCCACATCGCAAACGTCTGCCATTGGAGACATAGTGGCAGTTTGCGAAAATGGGGACTTTGTCTATCTTTCTGGCGAGACCTTGGCCGTGCAGTGGTCTTCCTCCTCGCTCTCGACTGTCCAGGATGTGGTTGCGGGAACCATAGATGACTTCGAGGTTCAACATGTGTCGTCCGGGAGCATGTCTGAATTCAGAGAAGGCATGTTCAAGGGCCGATCCGAAGTCTTTAGTGCACTTCCACGGGCACTCGACTCGGACCCGTCTCTGGTTGCCATGGTCTCCAAGAGCGTCAGTCAAGGGCAAGCAAGCCGCCATCTCGTTGTGCTCGCGGCGATGCCTGCGGGCTCCTCGTCTTCTGGATTGCAGAAGTTGATACCTCTCGATGTCAGCCCAATCGGGGCGCCGCATGGAAATACCGGCGAGGCGCCGACCTGCCAGATTGACATTCAATCGGGCCTCTTCCTGGAACTTGTCGCTGGAAATGCCAGCATTTACGATCTGTCGGGCGCTGTTCCCAAGCAAAAGTCGACAGTCCAGCTGGAGGGCGCCAAGTCCTTCATTCGACTTTCGCGACCGTTTATCTTGTCGACCTCGCCTACGTCGATCGGCATGTACAACTACCAATATCGCTCCATACACGCGAAGAGCGCCCTGGACTTGTCCGAACTGCCACCTGAAAGCCAGGGGCCGCGGTCCTGCCAGCTCATCACCTACTTGCGCAGTCAAGACCTTGTTGTGGCATTGGTGGATAATGTCCTCGTCTGTGTGCAGGTTGAGCCGCCAAAGAGCCACGGCAAGAGGCGCAAGGATGGTCTCCTGATTGATTCGATCGGCCGCGGTGCTGCGACTGAGGTTCGAGCAAAGAAACAGAAGCACGAAGTCTCCTCTATGGAGTTTTCTCGCCACGTCCCTGGCACCATGACGGAATCTTATCTGGCAACCTACAACCGAGACATCCAGACTGCCGACCAGCTCCTCGGGAGCAACGAGTTTGCCAAGTGGGAGGATCTGTTGCGTGAAAAGTTTGGCATGGAGCTGCGAAAGGACACGCCCATTTCGAATGGGGACACCACAAATGGCCAGGTCTCGAGCGATTCACAAGAACTCCCTGAATGGGATTGGCTGTCCGAGAAGTCATATCCCGCTGTCGACCGCCGGTGGGTTATTTACGCCCTGAGCCAGGTATTCTCAGTGGAGCCGGCCGCGACTGAGGAAGAGCAACCTCGTCTACGCCTCATCCTTCCGGATAGCAATGTGACGACGTATTTGGTCGTCACTGGCAGCCTCACCATGTCCAATATCAAGCTCGCTTTCCGAGATGACTTGAATGCAGAAGAAGACGACAAAGCACTTGCTGGCGACTTGATCCAATGCCTGGCCGAGGCAGACCCTTCAATGACCCTGCTTCTCAACTATCTGCAGGCCACGAAGCTTGGCGAGGTGGAGTTGCTCTTGGCCATCAGAACGCTCATGTTGAGCATGGACCTGATTCCGGACACGAAGAAACTCAACAGCATGAAGCTGTTGACTTCAGAAGCGCATGACAGTAACGACAAGTATGAGATGGACCTCGACGACCTGGAACGGGAGATCGCTGTCACGGAGCACTACCTGGGAGACGAATCGAGCAGCCGCTCACGTGGCTTGACCCTAGCCTTTACCAAGCTTTGGCGGCTCCCTACCGTATCTACGGTCAAGGCTCTCCGAGCGACAGTACAGACCGAGGAGATACTGGCACTCATCTACCTGCTAAGAGTCGAGCTGGTGCGCGGAGCTTGGACGACCCTGTATGTCGACCCGACCAGCTTTGAGTCAGAAGGCAACGACCCACCACCCGATGGAGTCATCACGCTTATTGCCGACCTGCTCGGGCGGTGCTTGGATGCGGTCGGGGCTGGTGGCTGGCTGTTCAACGACGCCATGTCGTGGGCGGACAAGGCAGAAGCCGGCGACTTCTTGACGGCGCTCAAGCTCGAGGTGACGGCGGCCCTGGAGGGCATCGAGGAGGCCGTCACGCTCAACGGCCTGGTTGGCGAGGCGGTCCGGTTTGGTCTGACAGCAGAGAAGAATTGGGCAGCACGGCAGACGTGGAACACCAACAAGCCTATCCAGATGCAGCTGGACTCAAGGGAGTCCCGGCTACTGCCACTGGGCTTGAAGACAAAGCAGCTGCCTACCAAGGAGAAGGTGGTCTCGGGAGGCGAGGTCGTCTACCGAAGCATGCGAGAAACCGGCCACCTCATCAGTCAAAAGGTGGAGGCTTACTCGTTGGAGAAGCTTGCATTTTGAGCCGCACGATCGGATGTGCTGGTTAGGCAACCGAGCTTGCGGGACTGTGTCAGGAGGGAGGGAGGGCACCGAGAAGCCGATTGCGGCTGACTATGGGGGGAAAAGTCGAGGGCTGTCAAGGCAGGTTGAGGAGACAAGGTGCTCTACCGATAGGCTCGGTGTCCAAAGATGTGGTCGCCATGACGCAAAGGCGGATGGAGATTGAGGCGTCTTACGGGGAGGGGGGCAGGTACCGCGCGTTGAGGCTGTTGCATAGCGGTTGCATTCATGGAGGCCGGAGAGCCACCCAGGCGTTACGGTGCACATGCGCAGGTAGTTTGGAACCATTGCAAATACATTGAGTTCTAGTGCAACACATTGCAGAGCAGCTGGCATGCTCGTCTCCTGAGGAGGAGGAAGTTGGCTCTGGGAAATTGCCCTGTTACTTCTTGAGCGCATGTCGTCATGGCGTGGTGAGACGACATCACCAGTGCCAGGTCCAAGCGTTTGGCTGTATTTTGATCGCCGGCAACCGGCAGCTACCTTCGCCCGCGGTGCAACATTGGAGAGGTGAGAGGCTTTCGATAGCCTTGTTGCCTCCAAGCACTGTAACATTGATCTCAAGCATGACATCGGCCATGTGGTTTGCACGCGCCATGTCTCTTATCGCCCACCAGTTCATGAGGCGGGACCACCTGCCGGGCGAAACTTGTCGGAAAATGCACTACTGTGCAGTTGTGCTAGAGATGTGCAAGACTTCAGGGAACGCGCTCCAGGAACGCCGCGGGAACGCCCATAGGGATTGGACCCGGTGCGCTAAAGTCTGACTCGTGGGGAGCCGTACGAGGCGGCTTTGGCTGCGGCCTCGCTCAGGGCCGTTTCGAAGCGCGACAAGATGGAACGCCCTGATGTCGGGCAGGAACACGGACAGGGGGCCAGCAATGCTTGTTGCCTAAATGCGCGGTCCACTGCGGCCTGCACCTGTGAGGCATCGATGAGGCTCTGCGGCCCTTGGGGGTGGAGTTGGCCAGATGGTGGGGACGAAGCCACGATGCGCTGCCGGGCTGGATATGTGCATGTGTAGACGGCGCCAGGAATGATTCGACATGGCAGCTTGGCTTTCTCGTCGGCAGACTCGAGACGGAGGCTGGCACAGCGCCTGGGTAAGTTGCCGTCGGCCTGGTGGCGGGTGCTAATGCAATGCGCTGCATGAGCAACAGCCTGGCCCATTGACTGAAGCGTTGCGCACAGGTTCCAGGCGTGGGTCACAGCCTCACGCGACGGGCCCGTCCGACGCAGCGGCCGCCAAAAGTGGCCCCCAGTGGGTGCGCGTGTGTGCCACTCGTCGGTGCAGGTGAGCACCCTCGAGTTTGCTGTGCGCTGGCACAGCCCCAGCATCGATAGCCTCCACTCTCCGGCATGGCGAGTCACGACCCTCCTCGCTCGTACCCGGCCCAGATACGAGTGCGATGGCAAAAGCAAACGAGCAGAAAATTCTCAGCAGAGCTGGTCCAGGCCGAACGGGACGCAGACGAGGCCCAGCCGTCGCGTAGCACCCGACACCCGAGGCGGCTCGTGAAACTGGGACTGACGGCGTAATGGTGACGTGAGTCGGACTGGGATGACAAGCCGGCTGAAGCTGGGGCTCATGTTCATCAATGATCAGTCAGTCTGGCCTGGGCGCAGCAACACCTCCGTCAGGCCTGGTTGGGACATGGTCGCCGCGCCGCGCCGGGATGGGATGGGGAAGAAACGAGCGCGAGCAGAGCATCCGGGCAACACGTGCGGCAGGCATCGGTGGTTGGACAGCCCTGCTGATGGAGGGGCCAATGATGATGTTATGACCGACGTCACAGGCCCTTTGAAGAGGACAGCGGGCCCCGTCGCTAGCGGCCGTGACCGAAGCGTCCGGGATCCTTGCCTGGGAGCCTGGCGCCTGGGAACCAAGCGTGTGGAGGCAGAGGCGCGAGACTCCCGTGGTCGCTCTGGCGGGACAGGCCCGGGGCGCTGCTGGGGAGGGGGAGCAAGGTCAGGGAGGGGACTGGAGGGAATGGAGGGCGAGGAGCAGGGGCGGGAGGCGCCAGCCCAGGCCAGGGTGGCGGGGCGCCCAGCGGAGGGGTTCGTTCGGCCGCCCTGCATGCATCATCGCCTCGACGTCGTCCTTTGCGCTTGTGCTTGTGCTTGTGCTTGTGCTTGTTGTGGCGTGGCTTGCGCTGGAGGATGGAGGATGGTGTGGTGGTGGACGGCGGACGGACGGAGGATCAAGCTGCGCTCCCTCCCAGGCTGGGGAGAGGAAGCGACAGTTGAGCCAGCGCTTGCAACGTTTTGTGCCAAGGGCAGGGCAGGCTTGGGCAGGCACGTCGGCGACCGAACCGCGCCTTCCCAACCCAGGCCAGGTAGGCAGGTACTTGGAATTGGTACAGCACAGTACGTACTTCCACGTTCGTAATACCGGGCAGCGCAAGCGCAGTTTGGCAGTGTTGCTTGTTCTTTCCCCCATCCAGGCCGTGGGCTGTGGCAGGTGCAGCCCGCCCTGTCTTGTCGTGTCTTGCCTTGCCTTGCCTTGATCTTCGGCAAGAGTCACGCTCGCGCTTGCCCGCCCACCCTCTCGGCAGCCCAGCGCCCACAACACCACCTCTAGTACCCAACGTTACCCTTCTTTTACTTTTCACGGCTGACTGACCCTCTTTCATTCCTCCTCTCCCTCTTCATCTCGTGTCCTCACATCCATCGAAATCTTTCCCCGAGACTGCCGTCGTGGGGTGACGCTGCTCGTCGCGACTCGCCACTCTTTCGCACTAACACGAGTGCGACTCCAGCCGCGTACCCACGAGTACACGTACACTTACACCCAGCTCGCACCACGATTAGGCATCACAAGACCCGCCGCATTACGTGACTCGACAGCGGGAACGGGACTTGGTTCCATCGCCTGTAACTTTCCGCGCTTCCGAGAGCAACACTTGCAAGAGGACTCGAATCTTCGACACGTCAACGCCTGGGACAAGATCGACACATCGTCTCCAGCATCACATCGGCATACCTGCGCCAAGGGGGAACCACGATCCCCCGTGCACTTTGGCCAGTCATGAGCGGTGGCAGCACTCTCGAGCACATCGACGCAGTCGATGCCTTCGCCAGGACCCTTTTCATCCGAGCCAAACAATACCCGAATCCGTCTCTGAGCGACGTTTCTACTGCCGTGCGCCACTTGCACCTGGCCCTGCGCCATCTGCGCGTCGAGGCCGCTGATCCTGACTCCCTTCTCAACAGAGGCACAGACTCCTCGGTGTATACCCGCCAAATACAGCCTATTGTCCAAGACAGCGATTTCGCTCTCAAGCAGCTCGAAACCGTTCTTGACAAATATGACGCCAACGGCGGTCGGGAGGTAGATGGCATGGCGGACCGGTTGGCCACCGTCCGATCACGACTCGTCAATGAAAGGACCACCGTCGACATGTTCCTCGACACTGTGCAGTTGCACAACCCGGCAAACAAGCCTCCTTGCAATACCATGCAAAGGAGTGACGCTAGCCTAGAGGGTATCAAGGACAAAGTCGACAAGATTGCAACCAAGCTGTTTAGCCGCCGCGACAGCACCGGCATGGCTGATGACGAGGATCGGCTGTGGCAAGAGTTCAAGTCGGAGCTCGAAAAAGAAGGCTTTTCGCCCGATGTCCTCCGCCAACACAAGGTTCGTCGTGACCCGCGAGAGACAAAAACGCTTGGCTGACGCACATGTTCAGGAGATTCTGCGGGCCTACATACGCGAACTGGAGACCATGTCAAGTCTCAACGGTGGCGCCCCGCCTACCGTCCGCGGGATGCTTGAACAGCATAGCCGCGCGCTTGTGCCACCGCCTGTACCACCAAAGATTCCCCAAAAGGAGGTGGCTCATCCCAGTATGGACAATGAAAAGTGCTTCGTGAGCATGAAGGACGAACGGCGCATGCCCGGCGACGCACCAATCCCACCACCTCCTCACACCGAACATTATTCGTTCTCGTCCGACGATGCGGGAAGCGACTCAGGGGAGTCTATGGCCTTGATTTCTACTAAAGATTTGATGGCCATGGATAGCATCCACTCGGGCATGGCTGGCCTGACTCTGCATCCGCCCAGTCCAAACGGCTATGGAGCCTCGCCGAGGAGTAGTCAAAAGTACCTCACGTCCGGAATCGCTGGCACATTGCCGCCACCGGGTCCTGCAGAGCTCTCTGGCTCTCCTAGCTCGCAGCTGGGGTCATCGCCAAACTACGTCCATCCCTTACCACCATATGGGCTTGCCGGTCAGCCGCCACCAACGTATGGTTCCAGTCCAAGATCCATGCCGCCCCGCCTAGCCCCTGACCGTTACGGTCAAGAAATCCCGCTGGACGCGCCATGGACCAAGATTAAGCGATCCTTGGTCAGTCCCGAGGTGCTCGAGCGAGCCGGCGTGAGGTATGAGGCTCGCCCGGAGTATGTTGCTATCCTAGGACGACTCAGCCGCGAACAGATTGCCGCATTTGCCCAGCAGAGCGCCGACTGCCGTGCAGCGAGGTCCGGCAAGTACGCGCCGCCTAGACGAGATGGCAAGTATGAGCGACCCAGGGCGGATTCGAAAAGCAGTCGGGACGATGATGATGACGATAGCGTCTTGTGGGATGAGAGCGATACGACCGACTATGATGACGACAAGACGTCTGACAAGGGCACCAAGAGTTACCCCTACATTGTCAACCCACCGACAAAGGACAAGGCGTCTCCATCTAGCACTGTTATGCCCAAGCCGATACTGAAGAACAAGAACGAGAATCATGTCCGCTTCGACCCGGAACCCCACGAAGTGGACTCAAGAAGCGGCTCTCTCAAAGATGAGCGCGATCGGCGACGAGACGGAGGCTCAAGGAGATATCGCGATCCACGCGACAAAGAGGGATCGGGCCGCGGTCGCGACGGTCATCGACGTGACGGTGACCGAGATCGATACAGCGACAGACATCGCGGCTATGACGGTGACCACCACCGCCCCTACCATCGGGGCGACCGTGAGCGACGAGGCGACCGAAAGGAGGACCGGACAATGAAGAAGAAAGCCTGGGGTGAAACACTCGGTGCCGTGGGTATTGGCGGTGCCGCTGCCAGTCTCCTGGGCGTCCTCGCTGAGGCAGCCGTGGGCATGTAACGGCACATGAGATTGTGACAAATATCGCGTCATTTCGAACAACATACCCTGGCTCTCTGATACACGACGCTGCGCATAGGCCACTTGCATTTGGACCATTTTTACTGCGATATACTGCGGATGACTTCAATTTGTATCTATCCTTCTTTTCTTTGGGGCAAGGCCGGGGAGGCCAGGTGGCACGATACCGGGGACTACAGCACCCTGAGGAGGCCTTACTTCATGTACACGCTGATACGACTTGATGAGACGAAAAGTGAGCCTGGATAGATGGGACGTGGACCGCTGTTGTAGGTTAGTGTATGCATTGGACAGTGGCTAGATACCCTGCGGCGAGTGGCAATAAAGCATGAGACGTACATTCAGTGGACACGACCCTGAAGGGAACAAAATGAAAGGGTGACGTGCAAAGATGTAATCTTGCCAGTATCTGACATTTATACTAAGTATATGCGTAGAGATTGCACTCTACTCTACCGCATCAGCTCTTCCTCTAGCCTATCCCACCACTCCCTCTTGTCCTCGTCGGCTGGCGCCCTGCCCAGCTTGCCCAGCCTGGTCTTTGGCCTGCGCCGCCACTCAAGGACCCTCATGGTGGGCACCTGCGGCCAGGGGAAGTCGGGCTGATCGGCGCCCTCGACATCGCGGACGTGAATGCCCGCCTTCTTCTGGGGTAGGGTGGTGCGCCAGCCGCGGGACCACTCGAATCGGCGGGTGGCCTCGGGGCGGGCGAGCTGGACGAGGCCCTGGTCGGTGCGGTAGCGGAGCTGGTGGTGGAAGAAGTCGGGGAACTCGGCGAGGAGGTCGGGGATGAGGACGCGGGCGACGGGGCCGGCGCGGTGGCCGCGGTTGGAGGAGGCGGTCTTGAGGAGGCGGTCGAACCAGGTGGAGATGCGGTGGTGGGCGTCGTCCTTGCGGAGTTGGGCTTGGAGGCGGCGGCGGTGGGCGGGGGAGGTCAGCGGCGAGGAAGATGTGCTGGCCGAGGAGGAGGAGGGTAGCGGGAGGGGAATGTCGTTTTGGAGAATCTCGTCGAGCAGGGCCTTTTCGTATTCCTCGACGAGGGAGTTGTAGTATGGCTGGATCTGTTGCCGGATGATGTCGAGCGCGCGGCCGAAAGACCGCTGCGTGATGAGCGTCTTGATGTAGACGTCGAAGTCGTCAAACGAGGGCTGGACGTTGTACGGCTCCGACGTCATCACGTCCCAGACCTGCCGCACGTCGGCGGCCGTGGTGGCGGTCGCTTGCCAGTCGCCATGGAGGCGTCGCATGGGCTTGAAAGGCTTGGAGGCACAGAGATACGTCCAGCTGAGGATGTTGGACCACGTCTCGGCGGGAATGGGCACGTCGTACCGGCGGGAGACGAAGTCGACGAGCTTCATGCCGAGGGGGATATGCGACATGGAGCCAAAGGCCTCGACGATGGCGTCCAGGAGGCGCGCGGTGGGCCTGATGGGGGAGTCTGGTGGTAGGTCGACTCCGCCTGAGACGTGAACGCGCGCGGGCTGGTCGGCGGCCTCTTCAATGTCGATGCCGTAGTAGTTTTTGAAGATCATGGTCTTGATGGAGTGCAGGGAGCTGGACCGCGCAAAGGCAATCATGGAGGTGCACAGGAGCGCCTCGTCCATCTCGTGGCCGTAGTACAGGGCGCGGATCCAGTGTCCCTTGTAGCCGCGGAAGTCGGCGCGGCGGCGGAAGAGTCGCCGGAGGTCCTCGTCGGGCTCGTCGGGCCTCCGGTTCCAGGGCTCGCGCTTGAGCGCGTTGATGCTGAGGCGCATGCCGTCCATGCGCTTGAGCGTCGCCATGGGCAGCGGGGTGCGGTTGCTGTACATGTCGCGCGCGAGGTTGGCGACGCGGGAGCGGTCGAACTGGTAGTACAGGGCCTCGGTGATGAAGCGCGCCTTGACGAACTCGTTCCAGGTCTTGGAGGTGCGCGACTCCTGCGCGCCGTGGCCGGCCATGGACGTCCAGATGGCCTTGGCGGCCTGGTAGTCGACGGCGGCGCCGGCGCAGCGGAGGCACACTTCGTAGTCGGACGGGGTGAGGCCGTTTCGCGAGGCTGCCCGTAGAGCCATAAGCACCTGCAGTGCTGGGAGGAGTCTGCGGTGTCGCGTGCGCACGCCAAACTCATCCACCAAGTCGCCGACGTCGGTGAACTGAGTCTGACCCTGCGTTACGTTGAGCCCGTGGGCGACATCGTGAGCCTGCGATGCCACCGGGTCGAGGCTGCGCAGTATCTCCGAGAAGGTCGGCCCTGGAAGATCCTGCGCTTGCCTCACAGCAGCGTCATTTAGAGGCGACGACGTGTCAGCAAGGACATCGGCCCAGGCCAAGAAGGCTTCGAGGATCTGGCTGGTATCTTTGGTTTGAACAGCGCTCAAGACATCGTCCAGCTCCGTGCGGTCGCGCGGCGGGAGAAACTCTGCGAACTGGGGATGCTGGACGGCTGCTTGCGAGGCAGCCTGAGATGCCAGTCTCCTCCGACCAGGGGTCGCTGATGAGCTGGAGACGGCATTGCGCCGAAACGGGGCGTCCTGGCGAGGCGCGCCGAGGGCAGAGAGCGTGCAGAGGCGCGGCGGCTTCTGCCACAGCTGTCGCCTCAGCGCCATGGTCCCGCGATGCGATGCACACGACGGGTCACGCTCGTGTCGAGGGGATTCAGGGACGCGAGAGGGGGGACCCGCGAGCTTGAGCTTGACAATGGGGCATCGGCCGCTAATCTGAAATCCGTCTGGAGTCTGGAGCCACAGCGGAGCGGCGAGACCCATTGACGGCGCCAAAAAGTTGGGGTAGTACGGGGGAGCATATCGGCTACGCGCATCCCGGGTTTGGTGCCTGCCGCCCCGCGTGATGCATAATTCTGGGTGGGCTTGTCGCCGAAGATTTCCCAGGCTGGGACCCAGTTTGCGTTTTGCGAGACAACAACCGCCCTGGTCCGACTCATCGGTGAGCTAACGCGCCAACCACACGCACTCACTCACCGCGCTCGCACCTCCCGCAAGCAGCACGCTCTCGCGGTCGATCACGACAGATCAAGCATACGACGCGAGGGATCATCATGGCCGATGCCGGTGCTGAAGAACCCGGCCACGTCGCCGAGCCCCTCGACCTCGTCCGGTTGCTGCTCAACGAGGTGGTTTTTGTCAAGCTCCGGGGCGACAGGGAGCTCAAGGGCAAGCTTCACGTACGTGGCCCATTCAAGCAAATGGAGACCAAGTCATTTTACTGAAGCTTCTGCAGGCATACGACAGCCATTGCAACCTGGTGCTCGGCGAGGTGGAGGAGACCATCTACGCCGTGGAAGATGATGACGAGGACGAGGATGTCAAGGTGAGGAGCTCATTGGCGACAACTACAGCCTAACCATGCATATCTGACAGACGCTGCAGACGATAAGCCGAAAATCAGAGATGCTGTTTGTAAGAGGTGAGTAACGGATTCTCACGCAAGCATCTCCTTGCCGACAAGGGGCCTGGACCGCTGACATATTGGCACAGGAGATAGTGTCGTCCTCATCTCCCCGCAGGTGCCGTTCTGAGGATGTTTTCGGGACATGAGATGAGCGCTGTGCTGCTTCGATGCTATCTAGACGCGGGGTGTAGCTGAGTCGGAGCTCGTCAAGCCGTCACGGGGATACCACGCGGCGGCTGACTGACACGGTGGACAGGGCGACGCCTTTGGCAGCTCCCGGTGGGTCTGTACGCCAACGGCGATGTCTTGCTGCGCAATGCGGATACGTGTTGGAGCATGCAATCAAGGCCTGGTGGTAGATGCGCAGCCTCCACATGAGCAGGCGTACGTTGGGTCTAAGGAAGCTTGGCGTTGCTGAGAGCAGTCATCGCACATATCGCTGCAGCAGGCGGGCGGAGCACAAGCATATGCATGAATAGCAATTACCGTCACTGTTGTCCCTGGCGCCATGCGTTGAACGTTGATATTGTGATTTGGATAACGGCGAGCTCTGGCTAGTGGCATCGCCCCTATTGGCGCATGTATGCACATAGCCGAGGGCCGTACCCAGAGCCGCTGCCCGCTGGACGCACAGGCCACCGTTGACCCGTCGAGTGACATGCAATCCATGCTCGCTCCCGCCCTATCGATAAGACTCGCCGGGGGGTGAGTAACAGTGACCGCCTGTCGCCCCGCGGTCATTTGGGCGCGACTGATCTATGACTCTTGTTCATCCCGACCAAAGCGACAAGAGCCCTGGGAGTCAGTCGGCCAAGCTGCAGCGCAGCGATTCTTCGACCCTCGCCTTTGAGCGCGTATATATATATACATCCACCATCCCGTCCGGCCTCGCTTCAGCCGACGCCCAATGATCCCTCGAATATCCAGGTAATGCAACTGTCCGTGTTGCCGCTCCACCACAATGTCTACCAAGACAATAAAAGCCCAGCCGCACGAGAAGCGCAAGGGCGAATCGGTATGATGCGCGAAGGAGACATCTTATCAATCAAGCATCTCACAATCGCATAGGCACTTAGCGACTTTGCCGAGTACGTCGAGCAACAGCAGAATCTCCGCTTCCCGACTTCAAGACGAACCGCCGGCGCGGATGCGACGACGAGCGCCGACGCCGGAGAACACCACGAGGAGCTGGACGAGCTCTTTGACAACCTAGACCTCGCCGACACCGCGCCGAGGATACCGCTTAAGAACCTGCTACTGGCGAGCGACGATGGCGCCCTCAAGAAGTTGCAGGACCTGGTGGCGGAGAGGATAGACGAGGGCATGGGTGAGACTGTGTTCGAAATCGGGTACGAGAACAACGGAGACTGCATGCAGCTATCTCTGGACGAGTGGAACACCGCATACGCAAGATTGGTGGCCGCCGCGAAAGGAGCCCGGGCCGATTGCGAGCTCCTCCTGACCAAGAACGTTGGTGGCGAGGTCGAGGCAGCAAGCACAGCCACTAAGACGAGCAAAGACACGGCGTGTAGCGGAAAGATTCTCATACGGAGAGTGCCCGCAACGGTGGAAGATGTGATTGAGACCAGAATAGCGGTTGTCGGAAACGGTAAACTTCCTCGCCCTCACTGCACAACCACGTGCTGACAATGGCAAAGTGGACGCCGGAAAGAGCTCCATGTTGGGTGTTCTCGTCAAGGGAGACTTGGACGATGGAAGAGGCAAGGCTCGAGTCAACTTGTTTAGGCACAAGCATGAGATCGAGACTGGACGAACCAGCTCCGTCGGGATGGAAATCATGGGTTTTGACAGCGTGGGGCGGGTCATTACGTCTGACACCCCCGGCCGTAAGTTGACCGTTTCGTCTCAACGTCGGCCCTGCTAAGGACGTCCAGGGAAACTCTCGTGGGAAGACATCGGGAAGCGCAGCGCCAAGGTCATCACCTTTACCGACTTGGCAGGCCACGAAAAGTACCTGCGCACGACCGTCTTCGGCCTCTTGTCTAGCAGCCCCAACTACTGCTTGCTCATGGTTGCCGCGAACAACGGGCTGGTGGGTATGAGCAAGGAGCACCTGGGGATTGCGCTCGCGCTCAACGTGCCCGTCATGGTGGTCGTGACCAAGATTGACATATGCCCGCCCAACATCCTGGAGGAGACGATAACGCAAATCACCAAGATCATGCGGAGCCCTGGAGCTCGCAAGGTGCCGACCTTTATCAAGAACCGGGAGGAGTGCATCAACACGGCCACGCAGTTTGTCAGCCACAGGATATGCCCCGTGTTCCAGGTGTCCAATGTCACCGGCGAGAACCTCGACTTGGTGCGGACGTTCCTGAACATCCTCCCGCACCACGGGCGCTACAACTCGGACGCGCCATTCGAGTTTCACATCAACGACACATTCTCGGTGCCCTTTACCGGCACCGTGGTCTCGGGAATCGTCAAGTCGGGTGTCGCGCATGAGGGGGATAACATCCTTATCGGGCCCGACTCGCTGGGCCAGTTCATCCCCACTGCCATTCGCTCCATTGAGCGCAAGAGGATACGGGTGCCGGCGGCGTCTGCCGGACAGTCTGCCTCGTTTGCGTTGAAGAAAGTGAAGCGTAAAGACGTCAGGAAGGGCATGGTTGTACTGCCCAAGATCGAGGGTCAGCCGGCGCCCAAGGTGCACAGGGAGTTTATCGCCGAAGGTCAGTACGCTCTTGCCTGATGCGCGTAACATGGACTGACATGGCTGCAGTGCTCATACTCTCCCACGCGACAACCATCAAGAACAAGTACCAGGCGATGCTCCACGTCGGCCCCGTATCGCAGACGTGCGCTATCATTGACATTGACCGGGAGCTCATCCGCACTGGCGACCGTGCCACCGTCGCCTTCCGCTTCGTGCAACGCCCCGAGTACCTTGCTCCCGGTGACCGGCTACTGTTCAGAGAAGGGCGAACCAAGGGGCTCGGCATCGTCAAGGCCGTGGGATACGATCCCAAGCACCCGCTGATGGAGAGAGCTGCCAACGGCGCTGCCAATGGCGCTGCGGAAGGCGGTGGCAAAGGGGGCGGCCAGCCCCTGGCTGATACAGAAGCTGAGGCCGGCTCATAGCATAGTTGACGTACCTCTGGCGTTTTGATTTGAGAAAGTGGGTGTTGCGTGAGAGTCACGATACCAAGGAAGGCGATTTGCATCGCAAGGCGTCTTTGGCGACCCGCAAGATGAGGTTGTCTTGTTTGATGGAGCTCTGTTCTCCTTTATATGCATTGGAGCGTTTGTTACTACACGCAGATACGGGACATTTGGGCGACCCCTGAGGGGCAGCCCCATATTTGATTGATATTTACGAATGAATTGTACTTGGACAGAGGTTGCCTTATCACTTGCCATCACCAGCACGTCGTGTCCCGGGCCTGCACCTCGAGCAGCTCGCGGCGCGGCCACTCGAGCAGCGCGACGACATCCGGGCCCGCGGCGTCGCAGCAGCGAGGGCCGGCGAGGTAGTCGCATATGGCGAGCCCCTCGACGACTGAGCGGCGGCGCACCCACCACGAGGGCCGGCGCGCGACCTTGGCGTGCCAGTACGCGAGCAGCAGCAGGGCGCGCGGGTCCCGGCGCTCGAGCAGCCGGCGGAAGGGCGCGGGCAGCTGCGCGACGAAGGTGAGGAAGCGGGAGACGTTGCGGTCCGAGGCGCGCTGGGGGAAGAGCTGCGCGAGGATGGAGAGGGGGACGTGGTAGGGGTTGGTGATCCCGCTGCTGTCCCTACTGTCGCTGCTGCTGTCGGCGCCGGTGAAGGAGGAGGAGTAGGATGAGGAAGTGGAAGATGGGGAGGTGGATAATGATGATGGTGATGATGATGTCGCTGCGGGACTGAACACGCGGGCAAACAGCGGCGGCAGCGCGTCCCAGTCGACGGGCAGATGGCCATCCGGGGGAGGATCCCGGGCGAGCGACTCGCCGAGGCGGTGGAAGACGCTCTCCGGGCGGGACGGGTCGGCGACGTGCCAGACGGCCGTCTTGCCGTGGCCGAGCTTGAGCCAGTCGAGGTCCGAGGGGTGGCTGCCAGGACGGAGCGGCCACACGAGGTGCCGCTGTCGCTGCCGCTGCGGCTTCCCTTGCGTCTTTGTCCTTCTTGTCATCCTACTGTCCCTGGCCCCGGGACGCTCGTCTGTTGAGTCGGGGATCTCGCCGCCGCTGCCGACGTCCGCATACGCCGCGGCGCCGAGCAGCGCGGCGGCTACCCACAGGGCGTCGCGCGCCGACGAGGAGGGCGCCTTGCTGCCGTCGTAGTTGCACGCCGACATGACGGCCGTCACGGACGCGAGCTGCCGCTGGAACAGCGCCGTGCCGTGGTACCAGTGGAAGGCGAGGCGGGCGCGCTGCGCGGCGGCGGCGGCGTCGCCCGTGGAGGAGCTGGAGTTGGCGGACGCGCTGGCGAGGTGCATGTCGTGCAGGAGGGCGACGGCGATGAAGATGTGCAGCAGGAAGGGGTTCTGCGTTGTTGTTGTTGTTGTTGTTAGCCGGCGCGTTGCGTTGGAGTAGACGGGGGAAACCCATGACATGTGTGTACGTGGGAGGAGGGAACACACGTACCGAGTTGCCCAGCCCGAGCGCCGCCTCCGAGTACCAGTTCCGCCGCCGCCCGCCGCCGCCGCCAAAGGGCACCATCGCCATCTCCTCGTCGCGTTCACCCCCGTAGCTCGTGTCGCCAAACGTCCAGGCCGTGCGGTCGATGAAGCGCTGCAGCGCGGCGAGGTCCCGCGGCCGCAGCTCGTAGCTGCCGCCACCGCCATCATCCAACGCAGATGCTTTGCAACGAGGGGCGGAGGAGACGACCGCAAGAGGCAAGACGACGGGCACGCGGCGCTGCGGCTCGAGGGGCGCCCACACCATCTGCCTGGCTTTCCTGCCGCCGCCAAGGGTCAGGTTCAGGTTAAGATCCAGGTCAAGATCCAGGTTGAGCTCGAGCTCGAGACGCAGCACACCGGTACGATTGTTTGCTGCCGCCGCGGACGACGAGGAGGAGGAGGGTGATGAATGCCGCGACGGCGGGGACAGGGATGAGCCCGATGCCGGCCCCGGTGGCGCTGCTGCTGTTGCTCCTCGTCTTTGCGACGCGCGGGAGGATGGTGGCGAAGCGTAAACGCACGCGAAGCCCGAGGACGCGCACCTCACGCAGCGCGGCTTCGACTCGTCGCACTGCAAAGCCGCATCGTAGCCGGCGTCGTCGTCAGAATACATTCCCGCGAGAACTGGAGGGTAGGCGAAGCGTGGGAAGGGGGACGACCTGCCTTGACGCCCCGGAGCTTGCAGTTTGCGCACCCGAGGCGGGACTTGCGGTGCGCCCTGCGCTGGCGGGCCGCCCGCGGCTTGATGCCTCCGTCCTCCTCCGCCGCCGTCACCGCCGTCGTCACCGTCCCCGATACGGACCCGGACCCTCCCTCCGCCAAGGACGCGGCCGGTCGAGGCATGGTATCGCCTCCCAAGTGACGTTTTCTTTCTTTACTTCTGCGTAAGATTCGCCGTTGGGAGGAGGACACGCACGCTCAATGTGAGAGAATGAGTGAGTGAATGAGTGAGGGTATAGCAGAGTAAGCGAAGCCGTGCCTGTAGTCGACTTATACGGCCCGTGTGGAAACCCCCCACCACACAACGGGAGCCGGGATTCGATCCCGGTGGCCCCGCGCCCCAACTCCGCAATCTCCGGGCACGGGCACCGGCCCGGGCTGGGTTCACTCACAACACAACCGGCTCCGCGTGGCGATCGGGGGCTTGGCTGCATTGACTTCGGGTTTCCTCCGTGTCTCGGATAGTACAAGTTGAACCTTTTGCTCTGCGATGCCATGGAAGGAAATCAGAATAGAATCGATTGCTAGCAATGGTGCATCAGGCTGCTGGGGCCTTAAGTCCGGGCTCCGGAGTCCGGAGACATACCCAGGCCACGACCGTACTCTCGCATAAGCTTCCGCCAATTATTCATCATTTGTACATTCTAGCTCCGGCCTGAATGACGGTTTCGCATCTTGATGCCGTGATTTACATTTTGTACCAAGTGCGGCACGCATGCCTAGACGACCTCCCATGCTTCCACACTCTGAGCGCCCTCCCTCGGGGTATCCGGTACCCAACATTTGAAGCCGCAACGCCGTCCTTTTCAACACTTTGACTCCTCACATACACAAAATGCAAATGCAAAAACGCCGCGCGTGCCCAATGCTTCATGTGCACATCATATCCCTCGCCTCGCAATTCGCGTGGGCGATGCCGCCCCCGCGCGCGGACGTCGTTGGGGCAGAGCCGCTTACCCGGCAGCGGCGGTGCCCTATACCGCCGCGTTGCGGGCTCCTCCCTGATTCCGTGCTCCCGGCAGATCGCTCAGGTTGAGGTCAACCGTCGGGCGCCGAATTTCCATGCTTCGGCTGGGCATGCGCCCGCCCGGCGTCCGAGGGTGCGACACGTTGACGCGCCCCGAACGCTCCAGTATCCTCGCCGGCGACTCGTCCGAGTCGGAACCCGAGTCGTCGTCGTGGTACCCGTAGTCGGCCAGTCGCGAGAAATAATCCGCCAGCCCATCCACGCTGGGCGTTCCCACCACCACGTCGTACTGCGGCGGCGGCGTCTCGGCGGGCGCCTGCACCATAATGGCTGGTGGCGCGACGTCGTCCTCAAAGGCCGGAGGATTGAAGCTCGGATGCCGCATGAGGTGGATGGGACGAGGCTCCACCTGCGTGCCGACCCCATGTGCCGACGCGCGCGTTGGGCTTGAGTCGCCTGGGCCAGACAAGTGCGCCGCCTGCGGGGGTGCAGGCAGCACGTCGTTTGCCGAATCAGGCCCTGCAGAGAGCGTGCCCGTCGACGAATTGGGCGAGATGTCCGTGGCAATCGACGCAGCGTCCGGGCAGCCACACGCCGACTGGAACGGTGATGGGTGGCTGGTCGGACCAGCGTATGCCGGCAGGTTCGTGTTGGCCTGCGTGGCACGGCAGTTGAGCACCGTGAATGGAGAGTCGATGCTAATCTCAAAGTGTCGTCGTTTGGTGCCCGAGGGGTCTTCAGGATCCAATCGGCTGATTCGCATGACAATCTGCATCGTGTTAGTCTCCCGCGCGTGTCAACCAACAGATGGAGGGCGGGCGGTGTGTGCGTACCTTGATCCAATGGTACACATTGACGTTTTTCCAGCTGCAATCCGGATGCAGCCGCAGGTCCTTGTTCTTGGCCATCATTTCGCACGTCGGAATCTGCACGTTGGCTTCAATCTCTGTCGAACCCCACATGCTCTCGAGGCCCAGGTCGAGGTCGCCGAGGAGGTTCGCCGTCGGCTCGGGCAGTGGCTGCGGGTGCCTGTGCGTCCGAGCCGCCTCAGACAAGCGCCTGCGGTGGGCCATGTCGCGGGCCTCGCGACGCTCAGACGCTCTGAGTTCGCCGCCACGGATTGTGGTCACGTCCGATGAAGCCCACGAGGAATCCAAGGGCTTGCCGGCCACCTTTTCCAGCAGCAGAATTTTGCGTCCCGGGTCTTTCCTTGTGACGCGTCTGTCGTTGGTCCAGTACTCGATGGATTCGGTCACAAAGACTTTGATCTTGTGAACCTGCACCTTGGCTAGCGGCGTGAGCTTGAACGCGATGGGTATCTTGGACCCAATCGGGAAGCTCTTGCCCGAGATGATGATGTCGTAGTGCAGCTGGTCCTCCCATTGCCTGCTGATGGAAATCGGTTCTGTCGTCTCCAGGGACATGGAGTCGGGCAATCGGACAATCGACACCTCCTTCATCCCATGGAGATTGGGCTTGAAAGCGCCGGCGCGGTCGACCGTGGCGTGAAGCTCCCACCTCACAGAGCCGTACTGTAGCTTCGTCGTCTCCAATTGGTGGTGGTCGATGGGCAGCTCGAAGGAGTAGTCGTATGTCCCGGGGTAAAAAACCTTGAAGCCCTTGGCTTGGGTCGGAGAGGCGACGCCGTTGTCGCCCTTGCCGAAGCTGCGCGACTGGACGCTCTGGAGAGACAGCCTCTTGAGCTCCTTGGCCGTGAGTCCGCTCCGTTGCGACGAAGAAGACGGCAAGAGGCTAACGGGTCTCGGAGGGGCGGCGAGGTTGACGGTGCTCGAATTGGCGGACCCCGACTTGAGCTGGTAGGCGCATTGATTGCCGTACTCGGTCTCCCAACCGCCATTCATGGCGTTGAAGAAGGTGAGGACCTGGGTCCGCAGACTCTCCTCCTCGAATATTTCCTGCTTGAGCGGGGGGATGCCCTCAGGCCACTCGGTGCGGGCGCGACCGATGAGCTTGAGCTGGACGGCCTTGATCTTGACATTCTTGGTGACGTTGATTTGCAGCTTGCCGCGGAGCAGGGCGGTGCCGGTCTGCAGCTCCCGCTGGGCGTGGCTGTCGTGGTGGTCGAAGCCGGAGAGGAAGATGTTGGGCTCGGCGAGAAGGATGGAACACGAGACGCCGCTGCCCGAGGCGACGGGCTTGGGGACCTCGGTGACGAGCGACGAGACGGCCGACTTGGCCGAGCGTACCGACATGATGCTGTTGCGGTTGCTGGCGAGCTGGTAGGGCGAAGGGCGGACGGGACCCCCTCTGGCCGTTGCGGCAGCCATGGTCGCGTCGGCGGGGTTGGATGTCGTGGTCGCGCGGGAGGCGGCGGTCGAGGCGGACGAGGTGGAGTCGACACTGGGCTGATGGGGCTGGTGGTGGCTTCGGGGGATTATTTGGGTTTGGGGGTGGTGCGATTGGTTGCTGGCGCCTGTCGCCGGATCTGGACGGACGTCATAAGCTGGGGGCGCGATCCCTGCTGCAGGCGTAGCCGCAGTAGCAGTCGCGGTCGTGGGTGCGGCGACCGACTGACTCCTGGGCGTCTCGAGCGGCGTGCAGAGCGGAGGAGTGACGGCGGCGGTGGCCGAGAGGCCGGTGGTGGTGCGCTTTAATGAAAAGCTCGAGAGCAGCTTGCCCAGGCTGGGGCGTCGCAGCGCAGAGGCGACGTGAGACGACGACTGGTCTCTGGCGGCAGTTGCAGCGGCCGTCGGGGCGCTAGCGTTGCTGCTACTGTTAGCGGCAGCGCCTGTGCTGGCAGTCGGGCTCGCAGCGGTGGCGGCGGTGGCAGTGGCCGCGGCGATGATGCTTCGACGCAGCTTGGCGGCTCTGTGATTGAGCGACTGCGTCTTGCTCTTCTTGGGACGGGGGCGCAGTTCTCGCGGCACGTAGCCCGGCGGGTAGGTGATGATGTGGATTGCGTGCGGCCGCGAGCGACGAGGGCCGATCAATGGCGCCGGGAAACGCGCAGGCGGCGACGAGGACAAGGCGGCGGTGCCGTGCCGGCTTTGTCTGTTGTCGGTGCGGTAGAAGATGTTGCCCGTGTTGGTGATAGCCCAAGAGCCGTGGTGCGGGCGGTCTTGCCGGCTCGACGCTGGCATCGTGTCCTGTCAACTGCTTTGCTCTCCAATGCTTTGTTCTGGGGGTCCGGGGACTGCTGGACCAGCGCCAGTGTGAAGGCAGTGAATGAGAGGGTCAAGGACGGCGGCGGTGCTGGACATGGACGACGGCAGGGCGGGCGATGGGGAGAGGAAAAGGCCAGCGAGCCCTCGCGAGGCCAAGTGTGAAAGGGAAGGGACAACGAGCAGAGGCTCACGCCGACGGTTGCTTTGTGACCTGTCGGGGCCGGGCGAGGCGGGCGAGGCAGGGGTGGTGCTGCGCGACGACGTCCAAGCGTCACGATCGCATGAAGGACCACAGATGGGGGACGAATGGGTTGCCGTTCCGCTCAGGCACCGACCCGGCAGTCAGTCGCGACACGCAACAGGCGGATAGCGGCAGCGGCAGCGGCAGCAGCAGCTCGCTGCGAGAAGAAACCCGTCGTCGACTAGCGCAACAAGAGCGCAATGCAGCTGGCGAGGCAAAAAAGAAAACCACCCGAGAGCGCGATGCGGCGAGTCGGGACGACGAGAGCCTCGTATAGGCAGGTAGGTGCAGTGGGAAATAACACAAGGAGCGCACGGCAGGGGTCAATGTCGGTCGAGGGATCGAGGCCGCCCTGATGACGGCCGAGTCCGCATCCAGAGGCGGGAGCGGAGGATGGGACAAAAAAACCAAGGCCAGGGCCGCAAATAACTTGGCGGATGCGTCGTGGCACGGGGCGCAACGACAGACGGCGGCAGCGGCCAGTGTTGGCGGTGGTGGTGGTGGTGTTGAGGACGTTGGGCGGCGGCTCGTCCAAAATCAAGGCAGGGCAGGTTGAGCGCTTGCACTGCAGCACTTGCAGCATGAAGGACGACGAGACGGGACCAGGGTGAGACGAACAAAACAGACGACAACCGAGCTAGAGTGTCTTACGACATGCGTACTTACTGTGGCTTGTTCACAAGGCCGGGGAGGATGATCCCTGGGCCAGGGAGAAGGATCCAGCTGGCGGCGTCAATCCCTCGCGGTGGGTGTGCGTGCGCGTGCGGGCGCGTGCGTGGGCGGGCAGGCGGGCAGGCTCGCAGGCTCCTAGGACTCTGGACAAACTCTTGCTACAAAACTCTGGCTTCTCGCGCGCAGACGGGCGCTGCGACTGTCTGCTGCTTCTGTCCCGGTGACGGCCCTGAGGCGGCGTGGTTGGCGTCGAGTTTCAGCTGGTGCGTGTCTCACACAAGCACCCGGCGCCGGAAAGGTAATGACGTTGGTCGGGTGGCCCGCTGGGGTCGACGAAAGCGGCGGCGGCCTTGGGAAGGGAGTCCAGACGTAGGCGCAAGAGGACTGCCGCAATGAAAGGGCCAAAAAAAGGGAGGGTTCAGAGATCAAGAAGAATGATTCATGGGAAGGGGGAAAAACCACACAAGACGTAATCACGGATGCGAAAAGGGCGGCCGGCTGTTCCCACATGTACTTTGCACAGAGAGACTGCCGCTGACTGCTGATTCCGAGTACAAGACAGAGTACGAAGTACTTGCACGCATGCACCGGCAAAGCAGGCAAGTAACAAGTGCATGTGCAGGTTCTGCTGCTGCCGTTGCAGCCCTTTTTTCGCTGCTGCATCCGCGCCTTCCATGGATCCTTCCTGCTTCTCCGCCGCTCGCTCGGTCCGGGGGCCCGGAGTGTAAGCCCGTGCCCTGTCGAGCCCTGTGAGGAAGGAGCGCGGGCGGGCGGCCAGGAGCAGGGTTCGCGGCTTCCGGCCTGCACCTTGACTGGTGCCCAGCCATCGAGGGCCCCTCCAGAGCGACAACCTGCCGTCTCCATCTCCATCCACGGATCCCTCCCGCCAGTTATCCACTGTCCACTGACTCGAATGACCGCCCGCCCGCCTCGCCCGCCGCCACTCGGGCGATGCCACCACCGTCCCCAGCGCCCCCGGCAGCCCCATCGCCCGACTTTGGAGCCGAGGGAGCACGGACGCCTCCTTTAGGGAACATGCCTGCGGGCTAGAATCTGTGGTCTTGTTGATTACAGAATAGCCCATGATCGCTTGGGACGCCACGCATCGCTGTTGGTGTGTAGACGCCCCGTGGCTTGGATCTGGCGCTGCTCGTGCTCGTGGATGACGGCCAGACAATCTCTCTGCCGCGTAACTCACGTCCACCCGGCGGACGATGCACGGCTTTGGCGGATCTTGAGCTGTTGCCGTTTTCTACAGGGCAATACCACGGGCATCGGCACTCGATGCGCCGGCCGGCTGTCACGGGGACTGGCAGCGGCCCAGATAGAGAGGGTGATGACGACGCCGCTGTTGACGCCACGTCCCGGCCGCCGCGACGGCAGCGACAGCTAGATCCGGGGTCCATGGGACTCGGACGACAGGACGGCGAAATCGAGCCCGCAAAACTCTATTCGGCGAACGCGTCCCCGCGCCTCGGCAGGGCTGGGCAGTCAGTCTGGTCTGTCCTGATCCTCTGACGCTGGTCCATAATGCGCCTCGCCAAGTCTGCTGGTCTTGGGCAGGTCACCAGTCTGGCCTTGGGCGGGTCACCGGGAGGAAAGCATGCCGCCCTCGAGACCCCGGCGAGGCCAGCAGCCGCCATGGCGATGGAAACCCTCTCTCCTCTGGCCCTGGCCCGCCCAGCCCGCGGCGGTGGGGGATGCCGGACTGTCACTCTGTGGCCTGCGCGCTGTCACATTCTTGCTCCCCCACAGCGGCGGCGACGGTGTCGGTGACTGACGCCAACGAAATCTTATGTCATGCGGGCCACCCAGTGGCTTGCGCTCGAGACCTACCACTCGTTGATGGTTCGATACTCGAGTGCGTGGACTAACGAAGGCTCGACAAGCACGAAAGCCACCGTCCGCCATTGCCGAAGTATCCGCCCGCCGTGCTGCTTCACCTGCCGACGCCGAGTTTCCTCCTCGCCGACTCCGACCCCGGCCCCGACCCGGCGACGAGCCTCTGCGTTTGCTTGCCAATTGCTGCGGGTTGATTACGCTGCGTTCCGGATGAGCCGTTTTCGCCGCGTGCCGGCTCGCAGCCACAGGGGCCAACGCAACAAACCCGTGTCGGGTGAGACAAGACGAGCGAACGGTGGGCGGACGTGAGACACGCAGCGGTGCAGAGAACAAGAGGCCGTTCATTGTCTTTTGTGACGGGTAGCGGGTGGTCCTCGTGCCGCATTCGGCACTTGCCGAATGCAGTCACGCACCCGTCTGTGAGCTTCAGTCACCTCGAGCAGGGACAACACAACAACAACGCCCAAGCTTCGGGCCACTATACGGATGTTGGCGCGTATTCTTGGGTGCGCGCGTCATCGGCATCTATCCCTTGGCTTGGCTCCAGCCTGCGGTGAGCAGCCAGTGTAAGTGTAGACGGGTCACCGGCACATGGCGCCTCTTGTGGATGCCGTGCCTTGCCCTGTCTGCATGGCTTCGACGCCAGCCTGCGTCCTGCCCGGCGTCTGGCGGCTACGGCCATTCAAGGATCATGCATGGCTGCCATGCCAGCCCGTGCTGGACCAAGCGCGAGAGCCCAGCGTGCTGCTTATTTTCGACGCGATCACGATGTGCCGTGCTGCCACGGTGTCACGCTAAATTTGGAGGGCGCCTCTGTCCCAAGTCGAGGCGTCCCAGTCGCATCCGTCGCTCTGAGACGATGGGAATCTGAAGCCGTGCGATTCACCATGGCCCCGCCCCTTTCACGGCCATCATTCGTTTCATCGTCAAATTAAGAAATGCTGCGAGTTCAGTCCTGACCTCGCAGGGATTGCCGGTGGAGACGGTCATGCCCGAAGACTTGGCTCGGCCGGGGTGGGATCTCCAAGCCGACGCCACAAACGTCATGGGCTCTCGCTGCCAGGATTTTCCACGTCCATCTTTCCAACGCATGTTCACCACCGCGACAGCCCAGCTCTCGGGCAACACGTGCCTGAATATCATTTCCCCTGGCCTGGCACACCATGGCGCGAGGGGCCCCGTGTGCAATTTCGAGCCGATGCACGTCGTTAACCCCGCGCGCGTGACTGCGCCCTGATGCCATGGTGATGCCATTGGCGCGCTCACAACACAGCGGCATCTGGGAGTGGGCACAGCGCCCGGGGAGAATCGCATCTCTCGTCACGGCCACACGGCGATGTCTCTGGCCTCACTTACACGGGACAAGGGGCCTCGTCATAGCGGAGGGGGCCCGCAGCAAAATTATGTCCGGCGGCGCGGTGCCGCCTCCCCACCTGGCTGATTCTCGAAGCTGGGGCGGATCGTTCGACGTTAAGCGAGGTGGATGTTCCTGCGTGCTTCGCTCCGAGAATAGAGTCAACTACGAGCATCTGGACCCTGGTGCTTGGTCCTTCGGTGTACTTGCGGGCAAGCGCCTCGCTGGGAGAAGCTCTAGGTCGTATGTGTTTCTTTGGCTGTTCCCCTACTTTGCAATGCCATTGCAACGACAACGACTAGCTTGGATTGAGACAAGGAGCCCTTAGACACTCGGGTCACATCGTTGTGACATCGATGCCGAGAAAACAACGCCCCCGAGGAGATGTCGAGTCGGGAACACGTCCATCGTTCCAGCTTCCGGCGAGGCGGGGCCGTAGGTCGGCGCCGATGGCCCGAGCATCTGGAACGCCACGCCATCTGGGGGAGCGGTGCGACGAAGGTAGTCTAGCGATGCAAGCGTTTCGTCACTGGTCCGTACCGAAGGCGTCAGGCCGGGCCGAGAAAGGCACTGCGCATCGGCAGATCAGTCGCCCCCCTGCCTCATCGTTTGCCACGCATCGGGGCGGACCCCTTGTCCGGCGATGATTCCACGGCCACAGAACCCTCGGCATTTCGGAGGGTTCGAACCCTGGCCGCGCTTCCGGTGTGTCATTCTGTGCCTTTCTTGGTGGCTCCTACTGTAGTCGTTTTAGTGTGCGGGTTTCGTGTGTTGTATTCCTGGCGTATTAGCGGTAAGCGTGAGGTGAAGGGCGGCCTACGACTCCCGGAGTCTCATCACTTGCGGCAGTATATTGACGAAAAAACATCTCCCAGGTTTTGAAGAAGGTAGATCATGTGCATTACGACGCAAGAGCCAAGGGCCCAAGTACAATTAAGACAGAGCTCAACATTCAGCGATCGGGTGAGATGACTCGCTTGAGCTCTGGTCATGTTTCTGTGGTAGGCCATTAACTGTAGTCGAGATGTCGCATAGTCCCTTCTGAGCACGTTTGAATGCAAGCGCCTGTGTCTCTTTCACCTGAAAGTGAGTCTTCTTTTCTTGAATATTTGGTACATGTGAAGGGAAGAGCAAGAGTTGCAAATTGATACGCCTTGCCCTACGTCGGCTGGCTTCCTCTTAAGATTATCTCCATGGCCCCCCATCGCGTCCAGTTCAAAGACTGCCATAAGGTTCCTCCAGTATCCTCGAGTTTCTCGGTGGCGGCACTCATCCCTTGCATGTAGGCAGCGAAGATAGTCACGCCCTACCATCTCCCCAATCATGATATCGGAAAGAGAAGGCAGTGCAATGCCCGCCCTTCGAGACCACTGTGGCAGGAGAAGGTGCATGGGGCCCATTGACCACGCCCGCCCGTCCCTTAGGACATGGCGACGCCAAAGACGACGAGTCCCGCGGCGAGCGAGACGGTGATGAGGGTCGAGTCGGCGGCGCCGGCGCCCCGGCTGCCCGCGCTCTTCTTGGTCGTGCTGGCGCTGGCGCTGGCGGACGCGCTCGACGACTTGCGGGTGCCCGAGGCGGACGCGCTGCTGCTGCCGGTGGTGACGGCGGGCGTGGCCGTGCCCTTGGCGCCCGTGGTCGACGCCGCCGCCGAGGAGGAGCTGACGGACGTGGAGCGCGCGGTGTTGCTCTGCTGCGCGGCGACGAGGCCGAGGAGCATGAGCACGACGGCGAGGAAGTTGCTGAGCTTGGGGGCCATCATGTTGGGCGGTTTGTATGCGTCGGCTGCGTTTCGTGGGAAAGCTGTTGAAGCATTCATATAAGTACATGTATTGCGGCTCGCTCAGGTACAGCCTGCCGCTGTGCAACTTACAAGTTTGTCTGTGGAGTGTATTGATAGAGGTCTTGGAGTGTCGTGGATGAACTACCGAGTAAGCCTGATGGTGTCGACGGGAATGCAAGCGGTCTTATATACGTGAACGCACTCCCTTCTGACAGCTACATGTACATGTAATATCCAGGCCCCCTTGCCTACCCGTCGTGATCGGCTACATACCCACAAGCAGCACAGCACGTTTCGAGGCGATGCCGCGTACCCGACGACACGACTTCGGCCAGACCCCGAACCTATCCGGAGGCATCTGCGTATGTCGTCTGGTCCCTCCCCCCGCGGAAACGACAAACATGCACAGCCCTTGAACCGCAGCCGGTTCCAGTCCAGTCCAGTCCAGTCTCCATCGAACTGCGCACCGAGAGTTTGGGGCGGCACCAGACCCGACCCAAGCCAAGCCGCGACGTCTGCATTATGCTTAAATCGAGACCGTGACGGCACCTTGGCATTGCGCGGCTGTTGGAGGGGAATCTCACGATGTGCCAGGTAGTACCCTGGGCCGAGTTCCCGGATCTGGACATGGAGGGAAGGGGCTACGGGGGAAGCATGAGCACTACATGTGTGCCATCCTGGGCAAGGTTACGTTGCTCGAGCCCATCGAGGAGCGTACCTATGAGGATACGCAAATCAACCTCACGGACTGCCTTGCCCTCATGCGGTTGCCCGTCGTTGCCGCAGGAGGACCTTTTTTCTCCCCTTCCCACCCCATCGGCTTTGCGCCAAACGGGCTGCCTGGCTGGCCGCCGGTCATTGTCCGACGCGGAGGCGCGCGCAGCACGGGCGGAGGCTGAGCAACGGCCCAACACGGCCCGGCGACGTGCCCTGGTGCTGCGTGCGCTTCAAAAAGTTTGAAGTCGGCAAGATCGACGTGGCCGTTCAATGTTTCCGGTATGGGTTTGCGGCCGGGCGTGCTGCGCAGCGCGATTCAGTGGAATGCGGCGATGAGGGTGATGCTGCGGATGTGCTGCGGGCGCTGCCTCAACATGAATCGGGTGTTACGTGTATGGAGCCAGGCCGAAACTATCCACCACAGAGTGCACTGCCCCTTGGAATGAGTTCGCGTCGCTTTCCGACAACGAAGCTCTGTTGTAGCGGTCGTTGGCTTTTACATCGGAGTCAATTCATGATTTCATATTCCGGGGCAGGCATCGACTGCACTTCACGCCTCAGTGATCTTTGCACTTGACCAGGGATGGGCCGGTCGAGATACCAGTATTAACAAAATGAAGCCCTTGACGGTTGAAGACGGCTGGGTATGTACATCTGCGCTTTAGGTCAAGCTTGACCCCGTGCCGACTCACTACCTTGTCGGCAGTCTCATCTGACACAAGGCCGCCCGGTAGACCCCCTTCTACATCGATATATCGTTTCAATGACACCCAAGCAGGCAAGCTGTCTTTCCCTTCACCGGGAATCACAGGAGCTTTCAGGGACGCCAGTTTAGATACCAGTATCACAACAGAAATCCGTCCGACACTACTTCCATAAATGTATACGAAGCATGCAAGTAGCTGTAATGACAGCTCGAATATCACATACCGGCAGACACGAATTTAACAGGTACTAAAAGCTTCATCCAAGGGCCATTACAGGCCGGTGGCTTCGTGTCTTGCAGGCGTGGCGACCGACCTCATATCTCTAGGGTAACGCCCATAGACACAAATATAGACCAAGGTTCCAGGATGTCGTGCTGGTTGCAATAAACATCGAGCTCATATAGAAGAAGGACCCAACGAGAGACTATTCAAAAGTACAAGCATTCGCCATACATTACCTTAGGCTGCCAACCCTATATGCCTAGTACCTAAAGTTCAGACTATAGTACGGCTAAACGCCCGGGGCGGCCCGATCGGCGCCGGCTCCTGATAAACACCATCGCAAATACTGGTCCAGAAACTTAGCTTTTCTGCTCTCACAGATTGGCCGCCTCTAGTCTTATAGAAGTCCCTGTATCGGGGACATGACAAAGCTGGGGTGGATCGGTATGTGCCTCGATCTCAATAACGACAGTTGCCGTCATATACCGCGGTGGGAGACTGTCTCCAATGCCTATGTTCTGGCGGCATGGTGAAACGCAAATGAATTAACTTCTGTCTTGTCACATTATCTGCTGACTAGTTGCGGTCCCCGAATCAGTTAAGTAAACGGCCCGCTGGTGTCAATGGTGATGTAACCCTGTTGCACACTGGTCTTCCTTGTTCATAGGAACTCAGAAACCAAATTCCTCCTTCGCACATGGTGCATTCGTGCGTAACGGAGATTCCGCGAGATAATTGCGTCGACTTCCGCCCTCCGTCCAGTCCATAAGGGTTGACGGAGCACCTCGGTCTAATCCATCAGATAGGTGGGCGATTGCCTTGCGCATTGGACTTGGGGACAGAAGAATCGGCACCCCCAGGCTGACCGGACGGTCGTCAAGCAACCCTTGTAACGTGGCGATCGGGCGGGTTAACTGAGATGGCCATGATGAGCTTGGCGATTTTCGTACTACACATGAGGTAAGGGGCAGGGATTAGTGGCGCCTCAGTGCGGTCACCATGTCAAGTATGATTTACGCTTAGAATGTTCTTAAATAATTCAGCGGGCCACATAGGTTCTAAATTCAAATGACATCTGGTTATTCACATTTACCCGTGGGGGTACAAAGTGTAGACTTTCTCGAGCACTAAGCCGGCTGGGACAGTCCTGAACCCTGAAACTGCTCGAAATCCCCTGTTGATGGGTACGAAGCCCAGGCAGCCGCCTAAATCTCGCCAAATAGCTCGGAATATGGCAGCTCGGTCTGGGAATAGAAACTGAGTCGCTTTCCAAGGGCACCTTATCAAAGCGCTGGCCAAGAAACCGAAGTTGCGTAAGTTGTGCGGCATGAGTCTTGCGATGCTCAACCTCTACAGGGAGGGCGTCGGCCAAGATGCGCCGCGCTTCGAGACAGTGAAACGAGAAGATTATGCATTGAGTGCAGATGCGCTGGCGGTCATGAAGCGTCGACAGAACGCTCTGTTGTAGCCCAGACAAAGACGCCCATGGAGGGATGTTGGACAACGATGACACCGGCGGGAAGTGCGCGATAATTCCGGAGAACATGGGCTGCGAAGACACAAAGACTGATAGAAAGAGTATCAACGGCCGAGAAAAGGAGAACAATGTAGCTGATCAGGCGGACTACAGCCGGCGTCTGGATATTTCCTTTGGGCATGGCAGTACCTCAGCGCCTAGCCTCCAGATATCTTACATCTCCAACCATCGGGCGGGAAGCAAGCCTGGAAGCAAGAGCAACACTATTGCCGTCGACGTCGACATTGCCGCCTGTCGTGGAAACTAACCAGAGGAGAGGCGCCAAAGACGTGTCGCGAGCTTCTCGAGTAGCCCATTGCAAGACGACAGCATCTCGAAAAACCAATCACGACATCGTCATCTCCCTCCCTCAGGTACGGGGGCGGAAGGCCGGCACCAAGCTATGGGCGACGATAGAGGAGCACATTAGGGGTAGGATCACATCATGGCCGAGGAGAGCAAGGGGGCCGGAGGAATGCCATTCGTCGACTGTCCTACACAGTAACATGAAGGGAAGGAGGATGATGTGCCGAGTCGAGATAGTGTGTAAGTTTTCTACTCTACTGTGAGGAGTCGGCAGCTCGACATACACACAGGGGGAGGGGTTAGCCACGTTGGACCACGGTAGCACTTGTTTCTTCGGGTATAGTTCGAGGATCGGTAGATGGCTTGGAAACTTGGATGGAGCGCTAGGATAGCAATCCGAAATGTCGGATATCCCGAAATCCCCGCCGTCTCAACGTAGCATCTTTCCCGACGGGGCCTGGCACTTGTTGAGGCCTTCATGGCTAACTCGTGGCGCAAGCTATCCATTTGTGAGCTGTACTGCTGGGAAAGCCATTCGAGGAAAATAACCGCCTCTTCGTATCTCTGTAGAATCGGGGGGCGGAGAACAAAGCTCATCAGGTTGCATCGCTTTGGATGACCAGCGATATGAACCGGAGCCGACGAGCCCCTCGCGACCAACGCCCCGCAACAGCAATCAGGGACTTCTCTGCCCAGAACCGCCCCGAGAGTGCCGAGGGGACGACGCGGAGGAGCCAAGAATCGACTGACCGCATAGCCTGCTCGAATGCACTTGTTCTTTGTTACCCCAACGTCTGGTCCGGCCACCCCTGACCCTGACCGCCACCATGTGGGATGTGGAGTCGCGGAGCCGGGCGAAGGGGGGCAGGAGATGGATGCCATGCCGTGATTCCGGAGCAGCGCGTGCCGTGTAACTCACGACTTGCCCGATAGAGGCAACGAGCACGACGAAAACACCATCCGCTTGAACGCCTCCCCGCGCCAGCGCCCCAGGATTCCGCGAGAGCCACGACGACGGACGTGCCCCATGGTTGCATTTCCCCGGTCTGGCGCGCTTGCTATGCCCCGTAGTAATCGTATCGCTGCGCGGGGCCCCGTTCCTGAGCTCCGGCGGGGCGAAAATGGAAAATGTAACCAAAAAGTGCGCCGCCGGCGTCAGTCGCCCCGTGTAAGTCAGCCGCCGCCGTGTCGGGGCCTGGTCCTGCCGATCATCACGGCGCAATAAGCCTGATATATTCCAGCGGTCCAGGTCTCGCCACGGCGACGACGCCAGTCGTCTGGAGCCGTCCTTGGCGATTGATTCCACTTTGCAATCCATCTTCCCCCACAACGAACCCCATTCACAATGAGGACCGGACTTGGCTCTGTGGTCGTGGCCCTCGCCGCCGCGGCCGTCTCGCCGCTCGCCCTCGCCGACGGCGACGGCAATGGCAACGCTGGCGATGACCTCAAGTTCGGAGGCGGCGGCGGCGGCCACGACGTGCTCCGGCCGGGCTCCCCCGAGTCGGTGGGCATGCGCTCGCGGCCGCTGCGCGACATGGTGGCCAACCTGACGCACTTCACCGAGACGCGCAACTGGACGTCGCACTCGTACAACCAGGTGGTGCCCATCGAGCCCGGCGGCGTCGTGCTCGTGGCGCGCAAGGGCGTCGTCGTGAGCCACTTTGCGTTCGGCAAGAGCAGCCTCTGGGCGGGCGTCAACGGCACGCACGGCGAGCTGCTGCCGCCGCACAAGCAGGAGGACGCGACCGTCGACACCATCTACGACATGGCCAGCCTGACCAAGATGTTCACCACGGTGGCGGTCCTGCGCTGCCTCGACCGCGGCCAGCTCGACCTCAACGCCACGGTCGCGCACTACCTGCCCGGGTTCGCGGCCAACGGCAAGGAAAACGTGACGCTGCTGCAGCTCGCGACGCACACGAGCGGCCTGCAGGCGGACCCGTCGCCGGGCTTCGTCGACCCGTCGTACCCGACGTACCAGTCCAAGGTGGACGCCATCCTGGGCCAGAAGCTGCTGAGCGCGCCGGGCACGAAGTACCTGTACTCGGACCTCAACTTCATGACGCTCATGCTGGTCGTGGAGAAGGTGGGCGGCAAGAAGCTCGACGAGGCGATCGGCGAGTTCACGTCGCAGCTGGGGATGCGGCACACCTTCTTCAACCGCGGCAACGTCGAGGGCGCCAAGTTCCCCTTCTACCGCTCCATGGCGCCGCAGGAGTTCCAGATCGCCGTCGAGGGCGACGGGCCGACCATCCCCAAGCGGCCGCAGCCGGTGCGCGGGACCGTCCACGACGAGAACGCCTACGCCCTGGGCGGCGTGTCGGGCCACGCGGGCCTCTTCTCGACGGCGGCCGACACGGCGCGCTTCTGCCAGATGATCCTCAACAACGGCACGTACGGCGGGCGGCGCATCCTCTCGCGCCGCGCCGTCGACCTCATCTTCACCAACTTCCTCGGCTACCTGGGCGAGGACCACGGCGTCGGCTTCGAGCTCAACCAGTTCTACACGGCCGGGCCCATGGCCAACCTGCTGGCCGCCAGCCACACGGGCTTCACCGGCACGTCGCTCGTCATCGACCGCGCGAGCGGCACGCTGTTTGTGCACCTCGCCAACCGCGTGCACCCGTCGCGCAGCTGGGCGAGCAACAACATTGTGCGCGAGACGCTGGGCGCGTGGGTGGCGGCGGCCCTGGGCCGGGACGTTGAGTTTCCGCTGTGATTTACATCCCCCTTTCATGTTCTTGAGACTACTATCAAGACGAGACATAAGAGAAAGAGACACGCTGTGATGTGCGTACGTGATCGGCATCAGCCGCATTGCTAGTATATGATTCAAGGTATATTTAAATAGAAACACGAGAGCGTGCCGTTCCTTGCATGCATACCACATGTAAGAGAAGACCAGCTGGGGTAGTAGACCGAGACATTGATGGTCTCCCTCTTTCCCCCGTGACAAGCAGTTCCCCCTGGCGGCGATGCTATGATGGTGATGATAGGACCCATTGATCGGCAGTCATGCTCCGACACAAATCCCGATTGCACCTCCAACAAACGCCCAAAGACTTGTAAATGCCCCCCGGCCGCCCGTGGGCTGATTTTCCCCCGCTTACGGCCCTGCCCCAGACGGCGATAAACCACCGCCCCTAGTCCCACCCGTCAGCACTTTTGCTCCAGACAACCACACAAGCTTGATTCCCCAGGCGCCGCCGGCTCCTCCTCTTCAGCCTATAGTCCGTGATCCCCGTCCCTCCATCCCTCTCGCCCGGGCCGCCAGAACTTGGAATCTTGCCCCCAGAAGAGAGCAGGAGAGCGGAGACTCCGGCACGTCCGCCGACGGGGCAGGCAGGACTGCCTGGAGACGTCGTCGATAGGTCGGTCGGTCAGGGCGTGCACGGTATTTCTCCGCGCGCCCGCTGCCGCCACCACCGTCGGTCAAAGACAGGTCGGGGCAGGTCCCTGGAAGGTCCCTGGATGCAATGTTACATGGTGCCTGTGGAGGCGCTCGTGGGCGGGCGGGCATGGATGATGCTGGTGATGGGCCTCGAGGTTTCGGCAAGGACCGCGAGTGCAATGACGATTGAGGGTCGTTTGCTCGTCAATGCGTGCCAATGATAAGAGGCCGCTGCAGCTCTTTTCCTCGATGATGATGATGCCCTCATAGCCCATCACCCATCCATTCGGCAAAGCCATCCCGGTCGAGACTCCTCAAGATGCATACCCCCAGCCTCAGCTCCCTGCTCCAGCTCGGCCTCGTCCTCGCCGCCTCGTCGGGCGCCGAGGCGCGGCCGCCGCGGCGCTGCAACGACGTCGACATCGTCGCGGGCCAGCACGTCGTCTACTCGTGGCCGGGCGCCGCGCCGCCGCAGGAGCTGCTCGACCTGACGCGGCAGGGCCTCGTCGGCGGCGTCATCCTCTTCGGCGAGAACATGAACGCCAACACGACGGCCAACGTCAAGCTCCTCAAGGAGGCGTACGACGCGAGCCCGGCGCCCGGCCTGCTGCGCAAGCTCACGGGCAAGCGCGCCAACTTCTTCGTCTCGACGGACCAGGAGGGCGGCTACGTGCGGCGCATCGTCGGCGCCGAGCCCGTCCTCTCGGCCAAGCAGATGGGCCTGTCGGCCGACCCGGCCGCCACGGGCAAGGCCGCGGGCGAGGGCGCCGCCGCCGTGCTCAAGCAGTGGCAGCACAACGTCAACCTCGCGCCCGTGCTCGACATCTGGCGCGAGGCCGGCGACTTCATCGACGCCAAGGAGCGCTCCTTTGGCAACACGTCGGCCCAGGTCGTCCGCGCCGCCGTGCCCTTCCTCGAGGCCCAGCAGCGCGCGGGCGTCGCCGGCTCGGCCAAGCACTTCCCCGGCCTGGGCGCCGCCGTCGCCGGCTCCAACACGGACCTGCAGCCCGTGACGCTGACGCAGTCGCTGCGCGAGCTGCGCGACGTCGACATGAAGCCCTACGAGAGCGCCATCGCCGCCGGCATCGACATGGTCATGACCTCGTGGGCCATCTACCCGGCCCTCGACAGCAAGTACCCCTCGGGCCTGAGCCGCAAGTGGGTGCAGGGCGAGCTGCGCGACCGCCTGCGCTTCAAGGGCGTCACCATCACCGACGCCATGGAGGCCGGCGCCATCCTGCCCTTTGGCGACGTCTCCCAGACGGGGCCCCTCGCCAAGAAGGCCGGCATGGACCTTCTTCTCGCCAGCGCCCGCAACGTCACCCAGGGGGAGGTCATCCGCAAGGCCATCGTCCAGGGCCTCAAGAGCGGCTTCCTCGACCACAAGGAGTTTGACGCCGCCACGAAGCGCATTGCCACGATGCGGAGCAAGATTGCGGCCTAGGGCGGTGCTCGTCACAATCGCTGGAGCTATTCTGGTGGATGCCAAACGAGCTGCCGAGTTTAGAAACAAAAATGCAACAAGTGTAATGTCACCTTGTAACCCTAGCCCCTGAGCAGCAGACAACCGTCAAGGGTGACTGTATTGTCAACGTAGTAGACAGGCCTAAACCCTTCATGCCCATGAACCAAGATACAGCAAGAACAAGCCCAGAACGCATGTCATATTTAATGCCCACACGGTACACAAGTCTCCGCTCTGACCCCCCGTCATCGTGTAAGTCACCAAGCCTCCAGCACCCCATCCCCTCCCTCCCTCATACCATCCCATCCCTCATACCCTCATCCCCCAACTCTTCCCTTCCTCGCCCTCTCCGCCTCCTCCCTCCGCAGCCGAAACCCCTCCAGCAGCATGTTCCGCATCTGCATCACCGTAAACGGCAGCGTGATCCGGCTCCCGCACCTCCCCGCCCGCACCTCCTCCTCGCTCGCCCACACGAACCGCTGGTGCTCCGCCGGGTCCAGCCTCACTTCGGGCGGCGCGGTCGTCGTCGTCGTGGTGTTGTTCTTCTTCACCACACTGACCTCAAAGGCAAACTTGCAGTACGTACGCGTGCGCGTCTCGTTCTGGAACACCGACCCGGCCTGCTCGTACGGCAGAGCCGGGCCCCGTCTGTCACTGTCCTCGACTCTTTCTGGCGCTCCTGCCGTTACTGCTTCTCCTTCTACCACTCCTCCCCGCCACCCCTTCCGCCCCCATCGCCCCTCCGTCACGACCCTCACCACCCTCTCCGCCACCAGGCCCGTCTCCTCCCACAGCTCCCGCGCGCAGCCCTGCAGTATCGTCGGGTCCTCCGCGTCCACCGCCCCGCCCGGCGTCTCCCACAGGTTCGGGAACTCGTCGTCGCCCGACCGCTGCAGCAGGAGCACGCGCGTGCGGCTTCCCCCCCCTTCCCGCTCCCGCTCCCCTGCCTGCTCGTTGTTGTTATTGTTGTTATTGTCGTCGTCGTCGTCGTCGCCGTCGTCGTGGTAGTACACGAGCGCCCCCGTTGCGATGCCGTCCCACGCCAGGCCCCGCGCCCGCAGCCACTCCTCCTTGTGCACGTTCCACGGCGCGGCGGCGGAGTCAAAGGGCACGGCGAAGCTTGGGGGCGGCCGTGGCGGGCCGGGGGCGTTGTCGGCGGCACCGGCATCGGGGTCTGCCATGTTCATATTCCCGTTCTTGTCGTGAGTGTGTGGTGTGTAGTGACTACACTGCTCTCAGTTTAAGCACGCAGATGCTAACTGGTAGCGGAACCACGAGTCTCGCAAGCGACGGCGAGTCGTTCGCCCGACTTATACGCCTGCATATGCAGCTCCGGGTCCTTTCGACCAACTCGGCCCGTCAGGGTATCACGTGTGCAGATCAGAAACATCCTTGCCTCACTGCCACCCGAATGGATATGCTCATGATCCTAGGATCCCAAAACACTGTCTTATCGGCTCTCGACTTACAAGTCATTTGATATGTACATACACGCACCCCTCGCGCACTCGGCGAACCACGCTGCTGTCCCGCTCCTATAAAATCACAGCTCGTAGCGTCCCATCGTCAAGCATTGCCCCTCGTCAAGCGCAGAGATGTATCCCGGGAATTATCATCAAACGAACGAGGCGCCCTTGTCAGGTGCCACAACGCATAAGCAAGGCTGTCGCTGGAAGGTCTGGCGTCGCGCAACCAGCAAGCATTATGCGAAACGCCGCGCTTTTGAACATTGTATATCGGCAAACAGTCGGGGGAAATACAAGCCGCCGGTGCCACGCGAGGCGGGCTGGGGCATGTTGGCAGCCAGTCGTATAAACGCCCGTAAATGTCGTCAGATCGTAACATGGCTGGCTGGTGTAGCCGATTTTGACACCATAGCACTCCTCCATGCATGGTCCACTCAACTTCGGGGTATCTCCAAATCCTCGCCCTCAGTGCGCTCGATAGTTCGTGTCCACCGAATCTCTCATGCCCTGGAATTGCCGATCCGCTGCGCGGCTTCATCGCGCTCCCCGCAGGAGACCGGCATGCGCCTCTTTCCCCTCCCGCTTCTTAATCTGCCAAAACGGATTTTTCTGCTCTGATCCGCGTGTGGTTGGCATGGGCCTCGAGGCACTGGGCCATGAGTCGCGTCACCGGCCACACTGCCGCCTTGTCCATCATGGCCGCCGTCACCCGGAGAATCTTGGTGGCGTAGCCGCTGTGCCCGTCGCCCAGCAGCGCAGACTCGACGCCGTTCATGCCCCCCGACGACATCTCAAGAGCAAGCTTCATTTCCGCAGACGCCAGCACCTCGCGGATCTTATCCAGCAGCTTTATGTCCTCTTCTTCGAGAAGCATAATGGCTGGCACCTGTCCGAGGTCAACCGCATCCTGCCCAAGGATGCCCAGGTAGCGCCCGACACGGTCTTGCAAAGTCGCTACCCACTCGGCCAGGACCTGCGCGCAGTCGACCGCGCACAACGCTGACTGCAAAGGGAGCTCTCGGCTTGTGAAATCGGCAAAGGTGTTGTTCAGCTTGTCCGACATGGCCAGGGAGTCTGCGGCATAAAATGCGGCTTTTCGCAGGTGCTTCTCTCGGAGCGACATCGCTCGACTAGGCACTGTGAACCCGTTGCCGACGAACTGCTGGGGACCAGGAGACATGTCGAAAGATGAGCCCGGCATGGCTGGGGAGTCGATAAATACCGAGTCTGCGGCCGCAGCGTCTGCGAGCTCTGGTCCGAGGGGATCCGGGTTCGCCGTCGGGGAGAGGTCAGCATGCTGAGCCGCGTCGTCGCCACGGGCAAGCTCCTCCGCCATTCCCTCCCAGTTTCGCTGCCAGACCTTCTCCTTTGCGTGCGACAGATTGACGAACAGACGCACGTACGCCAGATCCAGGAGCGGGATGGCGTCCGCCGATATTGGCCCCTGGCCAAACGGGTTCGGCCGCTCCACGCTGTGGTTGGGATTGCTAGCCCACGCCACTTGCCACGCCTTGAGTGCAGGCTCAATGTGTCTATGCATCTTCTCCGTCTCCTCGCTCGTCCAAACCCGGTTGTGGTGCCGCTGACGAGTCTCCCATATGTAGTTGTGCAGGGCGAGGATCAGCACAAAGCACCCCAGAGTGCTCGGCTTCAAATCAGTCAACGGGGGCTCTGCTTCGTCAACCGAAGCACCCATGGCCTTTTGACTATTTTTCAGCGCGAGCCGCTTCTGTCGTCGCTCATTTGTCCGCAGCAACTCTCCCAGCGCGTCGTAAAACGTCATTCGGTTGTGGTTTGCGGCTTGGACGCCACCCTTGGCGATGAACGCCGCGCTGGACTCGGCTGCGTAAAATTCCTCGTCGCAGGGCAGGTCGAGGAAGATTTCTGAATTGGTCAACGCTGGTGTGTGGTTGTACGCAGCCATGAGGAGGCTCGATATGATGAAGACAGCGTAGAGCGTGCGCTTGCGCTCCTCCGTCGTCTTCCACTGCAGCCACTCCTGGTGGTGTGCTTCCTGTTCCGGCGGACGCGTCCAGCTCGAGTCGTCCGACATCTGAACGTCCTGCTTCGCTGACGCGTCGGCGCGGTTGGGCCGTAGCAGGTCCGCGGCTTGGGCGAGGCTCACCAAGGCGACGCAATGTGTCGAAGCGATGTCGCTGGCCGTCTTGTCCGCGCAGTTGTGACCGTACACGATGTTGATCAGCATGGCTTGGATGAGCCACAGCGGCACGGAAGCAGGGCTCTCGCTTCCGGCACGGTTCGGGTCGGCGCCATGGGCGCTGCGGCGCGCGTCGGCCTTGCGGATGTCCGATTTCCGTCGCTCTTCGAGGTAGGAGAAAATCATCTTCTTGGACATTTCGAAAAGCTCCCTCGACTGCGCGTGCTCCAGCTCAAAGAGCGCGCCGATGGCGGCCATGGACAGGAGCAGGCAGCCGCTGCCACCTACGCCAGGCGAACGCCCATTAAGAGACGAGGACAAATCAAAGGATAGCGTAGCAACGTGCAAGAAAGGAAGATGGGGGTGGAAATAGGTCAGGTAGGCTCGCACATATCGCTGCAGATCCTGTGTACTGGGCAGGTTCGTAGCCGAGGCCGAGGCCGTGTTCGTGCCGGGCTGGGCCTGAGGCGACAGCGGCGACGTCTGTGACGTGAATGAGTATTTACGGCCACCGAAGGGCGGGCACTGGGAGAGGGCGTTCACAATGGCAATCCGCGTGGCATCGGAGATGGTGGTCACAGGAGGCGCGCCGTGGTTCCCGCCGTTGAGGGATGACGGACTTTCCGGGCCGGCGTTGAAGCCAAGGGTCTGGGACAGGTTCTGCGTGCTGAGCCCGGGCACGGCAGACGGGCTCAGCGAGCTCAGTGACGGCGGAGGCGTGGAGAAGTACGGGTCATTGATCTTTTGAGTAGCTGGCTGAGGTGATAGAGGAGCTCCATTGAGGAGGTCAGGAAAGACCGAACCATTCAGATCCATCGCAAACGGGTTCGGCATCTGCGGAGGTCCCATAACCGAGGGTTGCCACATGGTGCTCGTCCCGGCCGGCGCAGGGTGGTTAGATCCATCCAACATCACATCGCTTATCCCACTCTGGCTCGTCGTGCTGATCGCAGACGGGCTTGACCCGTCGACCACGTTCTCGCTGGTATGAAAGGACATTTGGTGGTCGAAGCCAGTGAGCCAGTCCAGACCGTCGTCGAAGGGCTGGCTCGAGGCCACATCGTTGAGGCTTGCCCCGAACGGCGACGTCTGCTCCAAGGCCATGGACTGCGGAGAGTCGTTGTAATGAAGGGCATTGGGGTTGATGGTGGACCCAGGCGTGAAGAACATGCCCTCGAAATCAAACTCCGGGTTGAAGGCGGCCAGGGGTGGCGCGGTCCGCAGCCCGTTGTCAAAGTCATTACTGTTCATCTGCGTCGTCTCCAGCTTGGGCAGGCCGTGCTGCATCCCTCGCTGGCCCAGAGCCGCCGACATGCCACCAAAGATGTGGTCCAGGTTGTGGACGGGCAAGCCAACTAAGCTCGGGTGACGGCTGTGCGCGGCCATGCCTCGCGCGACTGAGGCGTTCGCAGACGCAATCATTTGCATGGCGGCGCCGTCAACATGGCTGATGGTGTTCGCCCTCGGCCGCATGGAGCCGGTGGCCGAGTTACCGCCACCCGTGGTACCAGCCACGCTATTCTTGCGAGCTCTGCTCTGGCCAGGAGCCACGCCGCTGGCGGACTCTCGGCGGTTGCGAGGGCGGGACGACGGAGTTGTCGTCTGGTGCAGCTTCTGCTGATGCCGGAGCAGCAGGTCACGGCGGGCGAAGCATCGCGCACATTCAGGGCACTCAAAGGGCTTCTCCTTGGTGTGCGAGCGCTCGTGCCGCTTCAGGTGCTCCAGGCGGGCAAAGGAGCGCTGGCAAGTCGCGCAGACGTGTGGCCGCGGCTTGTCAGTCTTTGGTGGAGGGAAGTTGGCCGGCGCCTTCGTGTTGACGGTGATTGTGGACGCTGTAGACAAGGCAGCAAATTGTCAGCACAGGTCGAGGAAAAAAAAAGGCGCACCACACGACGAGGGCAAATTCGGGCGACGAACGACGGACGACGAAATGCGCATCATCAGGGGGCGGGGAGGCGCGAGAACTGGAGGGGCAGTGCCAGAGAGACACGAGGCAGCTAAGCAGGGCGCGGTCGGGCCGCAGGGGGCTCACCAGAGTCGTCCGTGCTGGGCGGGTTCGCAGCAGCGGCGGCAGCAGCGGCAGGCGCCGTCGTCGTCGTAGGGTTGGACATGGTGGGAGCGCGCGACAGCCGAGGACCAGCGTCGTTCAAAACCATGGCAAGCAGCGAGTGTTATCTCGCCCGACGATGATGGTGCAAGGCGGCGTCGAGACGGGCGATTGCAGCAGCGGAGCAGAGAGCTTCGTGTTGGGGCGTGGGCTACGCGGCGCGGGTCGTGGGGCAGAGCTTCGCTGACTGAGGCAGAGCGATAGTGGGGGGGACCCGAGGTGTCGGTCGACGGCGGCGACGGCGGCGGCGGCGGCAGCGAGAGCTCGCTTGTCTTGTTGGGTCAGAAGGAGGGGCGGCTGGGGACCGAGGAAAAGGCGTGCTCAGCAGCCGACAAGAGCATGTCAATCCGGGGCGCAAGCGGCGACAGAAGAAAGCGTCACCATAACATCTGTCGTTGCGGGAGCTCGTCGGTGCCGGGCATGCGAAGCAATTGCTGCTTGGAGGAGGCGAAAGGTAGAGTCGGGGAGGGAGGAAGGAGGGAAGGTTTGGCGGTGCGGGACGGCGACAGGATAGAGGGCGAGCCAGCGCCGTACCGTGCGAGGGCACCGTGCGCGCAGGCGACACCTCACCTCACCCCCGGCCTCCGACGCAGGCGCTCGCGCAGTGGCGTGCCATGGGCTGGCAGCGGTACCGGTGGGCAGCCCGCCAGCGGGTACCGGTACCTGCGCGCGGCCGTGTTGCTGTCCAAGGTTGGTGGCTCGCAGGCCACGGCTCCCCGGCGCTGGCCAGTCCCAGCGCCGCGCCCAGCCGCGAGCAGGGAGGCCCGGGGGTGGCTGTTGGGCGGCTGCCGCGTATCCTTGTCCCTCCCGTGACGGCACCTGACCCATGCCGGGTACAGTACAACCGCCATGTATCTGATTCCACAGCGTCCCGTCGACGGCGGCCGCAAAGGAGCAGCTCCCAACAGCTCAAGCCACCGCCGACGGGTGCAGGGGGACCGGCCAGCCAGCGCTGTGGGAGGATGGTTTCGAGCGAGCGGGCGAGCGAGCGACGGCACAAGGTACGGCTAGTCACCTAGTCACTCGTACCTGAGGTGGCCTGTCGTAGCACCATCGAGGAGAGATTCATTCACTGCCCGTTGCGAGTCCACATCGCCATGTCGCGCCCAACCGCACTCGGACACAAAGGTACATAGGTCTGAGCGAGTACCTGCTTCCCGTCGTCAGCCACCTGCGCCCTCGCCCGGACGCAGCACCAAGCGCCGCCCAGGGCCGCCTCCTCGGGGAACCGAAGGGGAACAGCCCACCACGGAGCTGCTCAGGCCATGCAACCTCGAGCCGCTCACCAGTTCTGCGTTTACCAAAGAGGTACAGTACGGTTACAGTGCTGTCCCTGGCGGAGTACGGAGCGCGGAGGACGGCGTGCTGGGCTGTGTTCGTACTCGCCCGTCTCGGCGTCGAGAGCTTCCCGCCCGGAGAATATTGCCTGCATGCGTGCGCGCGCACAAATGTGCGGGCTTTCCTGCACACGCAACGCAGGCGACCCGTCGACGCTGCATCGCCGCGCATTTCATCTCACTTTGGATCAATCAATCCTGCCGCCGGCGGGAGGAGCACCGGCGGGGACTGGGACGACGCCTCCAGGACGGGGCCGATCCCCTGCTGATGGGCGCCGCCTACAGCGCTGCAAGGCCAGGCCTCGCGGTTTGCCGGCCACGCACCTGGATAACCGACAACTCGTCTGTGCACCGACCTAGCCAGCGCCAGCGCCCCTGGACAAGCGAGGAGGCACACGGACGCACAACATGGACGGACATCGACTTGTAAGTTGGGTTGACGAGATACTAGGTAGTAGGTGAGACGCAGTCGCGCGGTGGGCGAAATGCGGTGCAAAAAGACCGGCGGCCGCCGCCCGTTCGTCCGTCTCGACTGGGTTGCCCGATGGAGCCTCGCCATGATACCAAGAGATGGCTGTGCTGCGCTGGGCGGCTTGTTCTCTCGCGCGGCCGCCATCGTCGTCTCGTTCCTGCTGCTCATGGTCGCGTTGGCGTCGACTGGTCTCATGCGGCGCACGCCGTTTCCGGGCCTGGGAACAGGGGCTCGCACACCCACCCGTGGCGCATCTCCAGCGGGTCGCCGCTTGCCATTGGGCACGTCGGGGGAGGCCAGCGTGCTAGAGACGCACGACACCTCTGGGGGAGCTGCTGCCCTGGCCTGCCTGCCCTGGCCTGGCCGGGCCTGAGCTCGAGGCGGCGACGGCGGCGGCGGCGGCGCCGGGGTGACGGCGTGGGCGAGGATGGGATGGGATTGCATGGGATGGGATGGATGGCATGGGCTGGTCTGGGCAGGATGAGTCTGGCTGTGGCACAGCGAAGCCCGCCGCGCCCATCGTCAACAGCCAGGCAGGTACGATACTCGGCCGGGCGCGTCTTCATCGGTCCAGCCTGCCAAGCATCAACCTAGGTACCGCAGGCTGGGAGGGCTGTCGCGGGCTCGCTTCCCCCGAAGCCCCGAGCGCCATCGAGGACGGCAAAAGGCCGCGGCGCAGCTCCTCGAAAGTGGCTCGTCCACGTCTGCGTATGTCTGCGTATCAGCATCAACGACGGGCACTGCGTATTAGGCCAAGCCAAGGCCAGCCGACTGGGACAGCCCACGGACTATCCGTCCAAGTTCGAGTAATACCTGCTGGGAGGTTGGCTTATCGTCATGACGTGGGATCAGCGGCGGTGCGTGGCCCCGTCTGCGCCTGTCCGCCCACGGCCAACCGGCCAAAGGCACAGCGGCGGTGGAGCGCATTGCAGCGCGCGAACTGCGCTCCAGCGAGATTGCCGGCAGGCCACGCCACGCCATGCCCTGCCACCCATGGATGCTACGAGGCGAGCCCATGTCGTGACCCGACGCGAGGTCATTGGACTGCGGCGCTCGTCGAGTGCAGTGGTTCGCCGTCCAACGACTTCCACCAACCAGCCGGCCGGGGAGTCGACCGACCCAAGTCCAGACGCAAGACCCCAGGCAGGGTGACCGGCCGGCTGTGGAAGTCAAGCCAACCTCCACCACCTATGGAAGGGAAGGCTCCCGCTGGACCCATCGTCTGGGTCCTCTGGGCCCGCTAGCAGCATCAGACCTTAGGTTCCCCATACTATCCATCGCAAGCTCCAGGTTCCCGTGTGTGGCCTGTGCGCGGCTGGGGGGTTTGGCACAGTGTGTCTGCGACGGCCCAGACAGACAGGAGACCCTTGCCAAGGCCCATCCACCACCCGGGGCTATCGTCTTTTGCATCGTGACATCGGCCAACGGAGTCGTTGCTGCGTCGAGCGACGGCATCCTCGCCAACCGGTGTGCCGGGCACCACGGACCCAAGTAGTACCAGTTGTCCGTACTCCGAAGGTGCTTGCACGTACGAAGTACGAGCCTTCGCCTTTGCCGAGTCGGGCTGCGGTTCTTGACCTCCACCACCCCTGATATCCGCATGCCAGCCACGCCGGGCGGCGTGGAGCGAAACATTGGACACATAATAGGGCTTCGAGCGAAGTGTCAGTATCAGAGGCGCCCAGCCCGAGGCGCCTGCCGGACTGACAGCTCGCGCGCGCCCGGAGCTTCGCCCACGACGGCGGCTCAGCGTCCTGCGCGCGGGCCGTCCGTTGCCGAGCGACCGCAACTGGCTCTCACCTCAGGCTGGTTCTGGACGTTGTGGACGCCCCCGAAGGCGGCCTCCTTCCGCCCATTGCCGCGCCCCAGGCCGGGCCCAAGCTGGGCGTCGCACAACAACGCCTCTGCCGTGCAACGAGACATCGATGGCATCCCGCCGCGTTCGCGACTCTGGCACGCCGACCGACCAGCAGCGACGGCGTCGTCGCCGCGGGTCTCATCGTCCGAGGTTCTCTCCCGGGCGAGAGACGGCCGCCCGGCCGCATGGCAAACGCTGGGCCGCGAGGTTAGCGGCAGACGCAGACGGATTTAGCAGTCGATCGGAGCTGCCCTGTGTGTGCGGCGGGCAGGGGTCCCTGCTGGCACTCCTGGCTCCTGGTGCGGGTGTGCGGGTCGGGTGCTTGCAAGTGCTCGAGGTGGTGCGTGCAGGTAGGTGTGCTGGCGCTGGCACCGGCGCTGGGGCCGCCCGCTGATTGCTCCCATGGCCGGGCGGGTCTGGGCTTCGCTCGCGCGCGCTGTCCCGCGTTGCCTCCACGCCCACTAGCGCCATGCCCTGGATCTTCAGGCTAGGCGGGTTTGGTGGGCGAGGCTCACAGTGCGAGACGCACCCCCAGCCGCCGACAAGCACGGACGGCTGTCCTGCATGCCCGTCCGTACGAAAGCACGCACCTCCACGTTGGGGCGTGATGCGTCTCGTTCGACGAGACACACGCAGCGGCATCCGCTTCAGAAACGGGGATGGATGGGTTGCAGCGCACCTCGATAGGGCGCCTGCAATGCGTCCCTTCCCTTCCCTGACGGCATGCGCGCGCATGCATAGGCAGGTGGTAGTAGTTGATTTCATACCTGAGGCAGACAATTCGTCGACTGGCGTCCCTATGCTCGTGCCGTACTCGGTACCTCAGCTAACTGCATTATGCTCGCTGGTAGCTCATGTGGTTTGTGTTTGTGTCCCAAGCAGGAGAGCAAAGATATGTGACAGATCTGCTGCTCCTCTCGCCATGGCATCCGGCTGCCTCCCTGTGCTCGCCGTCATCCGGGAATCGATGCGGCAAGGACCGCAAGGCCAAGCTTTTCTGCCACCGACGGCGACACCTTGAGGCCGCCCCATGAGGCGCCGGCGCTCGCCTGGGACCACGAAGCCAATATCGCGCCCCCGTGCCTTTTGCCGCATTGCGAACCTACCGTCTCGCCCAAACATGTGCAAGGTGAAACGCAGGACAAAAGTTTGCTCGCCCCGAAGCCGCCATGCCTCGCCCATGTGGTCAATGCACGACACGCTCGATGCGGCGGTGCGGCGGCAGTGTCTGCCATGGCTTGACATTTGCCGCGAGCGATTTCTTCGACGAGGCATCCGTGCCAGGTGCAAGCACATCACCGAGGCCGGCGCTTTGAATGTACTTGATCCGGGGTTCAGCTGTTGTGGGTCGTCGCGGCTTCTGCCGTCTCGTTGCACCGAACACCGCACATCCCGTCCTCCCCTACCAGCCTACGCCTGCTTGCGGGCCGTTGACGGCATGCTCTGTGAGAACTGGGACGTCAACCTCGGGACAGCATGTCACGCCCATGGGACGCAGCGCCCGAAGTACCTTACCTGAGCTGTTAAGGCAAGGTATAGTACCCTGCTTCTGAGTTTGCTCTTCTACTGCACACTGCAAGTGCCTAAAATTAAATCGACGTGCCGCCTGCTAGCCGCTCTGATGCGTTCAAGGCTGCTTTAGTAGGTGCAGTTTGGACACTGCCAGCCTGCATCGCGCAGAATGGGGCTAGCAGTCCGCGGGGGCGCGAGGCCAGAGCTGGTTTGTTCATGACGCCGACGATTCTTCCGCGTCGGCAACGGGCAAAGCAGCCACAGCTTCCAGGTATCATAGGATAGGAAGAGACAGACGTCCGCGCATGGATCCTGTCCACGAGATGCTCTGCACTCCACTGTACGAGGATGGAAGCTGGTGGGTAACAAGAGCGATGCGGACACGGGGTCCCCTGCCGCACCGCGCACTGTGCGCTGGGCTGACCGGGCACTTTCCCGTCCAGAGTGGGCAAAGCGCTCGAGGAAGGAGCAAGCGCAAGCAAGCACAGTGCCAGGATCAAGGTCATCCAAGGTACCTTACGAGAGCCAAGGGACTTCGTGACTGTAACGTGATGGTGGCTCGCCATCCGACCTCGTCGAGCCTCCTTTCAGGTCCAATCCCACCACTACTGCAGCCCACGCCGCGCCACGAGACGGGCACAATCAACGGACGGCCGCACTTCCACAAGGCTCCCGCACATCTCTCACCCTGTGGATAACGGACTTGATACGCCATCGACAATTGGGGCCAAACGCAATGATCCACCGCCGCGCCAGATGGATCGCGCCTTGGCTTGGCCCTCCGCCCCTGTGGCCCTACTGGCGAATGGCATCTGTTTCCGCCTCCAGGCTTCGAAACCGACTTCTCTGCAGATGCTAGCGCCGCCTTTGCTGGCCTTGACGCTTATCACACAGGCCGGTGGAGCGCCCAGGGTTCGGCCATGTCTCGGGCCTGGTTCGCAACTCTCTCCTTGTACCGATCCACGATGGCTCTCACCGCCAAAAGGACATCGTGGTCGAAGTGGAACGGCGATATCGACTACAATTGGAGGCCAAGGGGAAATCGGCTGAAAAACAACCGGTATCCGGAGGGAATGAGGCTCGACGCCAATCGTCTCGACTCATGTGCTACCCGCCGCCCCAAGGCAGCATGGTGCGTGCCACCATGGCAGGCCCAACACACCCAACACCGGCCAAGCTGCCTTTCACGCGAGACAGCGTGCATGGTCCCTGTACATGCATGCATGTGTCGCCAGGCGGGTGCAAGACCTCCGTGCTGGTCTCAACAACGCTTGGCAGCGACGTCGACGACCGCCCCACGAAGCCAGAGCCTCTGTCCCGGCAGCGATATCTTGGTTTTTCCTGCAGGGCCAGTGTGGGCTAGCGTCTCGATGTTCCTGCGAAGAGCAGGCTCCACGCGCCCTGTGCGAGTCCGCCCCGTCGTGCAGCACCATGCCCCTCGACCGCTGTCAGTCTCGCCGCTATTGGTGTCGCAGATAGACGCGTGGTAACTCTCCACGGCAGGCCATGATGGACAGACACATCGGCTTCGGCGACCCGAGCAGCAGATCCAACGTCGTGCATTGAGGGCTCCATCACGTGGTGCTCAACCGGACCATTCGAAACACTCGCGACGGGAACAAGCATGACCAGGTGAGGGTGAGACGGAGAACGCCCGCCATGCTCCAACGGGTGACGACGTCTCATCGCGCCCGGATCGGGGTACAGTACCACTAACAGCACATAGGCTCGCATGGGCAAGCCCCGACCGATCTGCCGCAGACGCAGTTCATGATAACATGGCGCACCGGCACCGGTTGCTGGACGAGACACCGCCGCGCATCCTGGGCCTGTGCCCGACGGACCACTTTGTGCCAAATCATGGGATCAAGCCGTGGCGCCCTCCACGGCTATTGAGGCTATTTGATCCCTCGTCGCTCGTGCAGAAATGTCCAATCTTCAGCATGGTAGCCAGGCCAGGGAAGGAAGCGCTGCGTTGCCGTCTCCATCATTTGCACAGCCACCCCGATATGGGTCCTTCCAGCCGCGGGTGCATCGTCCACAAATCCGCGCCGTTTCAGCATTCCCGTCGGTGGTGGATCCGCTATGCCGCGCAGCGAGGGCCCACTCCTGGAGAATCATGGGCCGTGGCCAGGTTCGAGGCTTGCGCCAGGCGTGGACACTGTGCCCGTTGGGCGGCAATGTCTGGACGACGGTGCGGCCCCGGAGCCGGTCGGGAACTGGTGATAAGCCGGCGATGCCGCCGCCAGGCGCCATCAAATGGGGATCCAACGGCAAATTCCTCGACTTTTGTCGTCGCTTCCTCCCCAGCGACATGCTTGCGCGCGGCATATCGCTCAAGCCGGTCTGAACACAGCGCGGGATGGCGCATTGGGTTGCGTAGTGCGACCGTTCCAAAGCCCAATCACCCCAGTATTCGAGCCGCCTGGACCAGGCGTTCTTACTTGGGGGCCTGATAGTAGAGCTGACCTGGCGCTGCCTGCATGCAAGGGCAATCACAGCATCGCATCGCCGCTTCGTTGTGGCGAAGGCACGCACACCTCCGTGTGTCCCTTCACTGCCTGTGCAAACGTCGTCAGCGACCCTGGGGGGCCTCGCTGAAATGCATGTCCAGGCAGCGGAGACGCCCCCGAACGAATGTGTAACTGCTGCCAGTAGCCACGGGCGGCTGGGAGGTCGTGGTTCTGCAAGCCACTGGAGATGCCTGTCACTCGGTCGGCCTTTCATTCGCCCACGCATCCTGGCAAGAAGCGATCGGCAAGCTGCCAAAGCGTCCGATTTGCCTGCCTGGCAACAGGTTGCTCTTGGAGCTTTGAGTCACAGCTCTGCCGTTGGCTTGGCTTGCTGTTGCAGCGCCGCGATGCTTGCGAAGGCGAGCGCGCGAACGCGCAAAAGAAAACCGTTGCTTTGAAACGTGTCCGACCGGACACAACTTGCTCTTCTGCTCGCAGAAGCTCAAATTGTGGAATGCGGAAACCCTCCAGCTGAGGATATCCCGGCAGGTTCCGTCTCATATCTCAGTTCGCGCACAGTCGTGTACAGACGAAGCTTCACCCTGGCTGCGCCATGCGCCCTCTGATCAGGCTTGTTTTGCTTTCAGCCTGCAGCGTCCTGCACGACTTTGTGCCCCGTGGCTGGCGACCCTTGGGCAAGTCGGGGAAAGTCATTTCGATGCGACCAGGACCCTGGGCAGGATGGACACACCGGCCTCTCCGACCCCTGGCTTCCCCAGATTTTGGACACCATCCCAGTCCTCGGAGACCTGAAATTGCTTACTTCGTGGCAGCACAGCTTCGAGCCGCCCTCGCCGTGAGGGGACAGGCTTGGTCGTGCCGCCTCCCATCCATTGGTCAACCGAGTTTGGTCTCCAACAAGCAGGGAGCCCTGCGCTATGATGTCTTGGCCGCGGACGGCTGTGCTGTTAGCTGACCCCGGGGTCTGTCTTTCGCTATTCTGTCGGTTCTCCAAGAGCACTTTGCACGATTCGGGAGGGTGAATCACATCCCTCTGACACCGACACTTCGTCGAACGACGCAACGCCAGCAATTCTCGATCAATATGCCTTCCGGGATTCTCTTGGGGTTTCCACGACTTCGCCAAGGACATGTCGGCATCGAGATGTCGTTCAAGTACTGCAATTGCTGGCAAGCAAGCTCACCTCCATTCGCGCCGATCCACCCCATTCTACGCGATATAGATAGCACCTGCTGCAGCCTCGGCGGGATCGCCGGCTACAACATGCACGGCGGGCAACTCGACACCTTTCCTGGCTAGGGCATTGCCGAGCACCGCAGGCTGGTTTGACCGGCCCCGGACGATGGGTCAACTTGAGCCTCCGATGTCAGCTCCAAACAAGCGAAGCGAAGGTATCAGGAATCACGAATTACGAGCAACTACTCTGTTGCCACAACCGGATGGGTACTGTCATTGACTTAAAGTTATTGGATCACGCCAGTGAAGCCCAAGCACTCGTACCACGGGCGACCTATACGATTGGCCCGCCCGAGGTCTCCTTTCGAATCTCCATGCTTGGCTGAGCTGACAATTAGAAGAGTACCAGACGGAAGTCGCCGTTTCCATGATGTGCTGTACAGTACAGTACTCGTACAGTAATGCCACTCGTCGGACTTTCCCCTTGCGACGGAGCAATCTAGTCAAGAGTTGACCCACAAGCCCGAGGACCTCTCCCGAACAGTGGAACCACTTTGGCGGTTGGGGGTTGGGGAAAGTTGGGGGTTAGTCAGTGCTCTGGACGACGGCGGCGTTGGTCGTCATTTTCTGTGGCGGCCGCTGCCACTTGACCCGGCGGCGCTGGAGGCAAGGGACAGAGAGCTTGACGCCACCGGACGGCTGACAAGGACGGGGGCACCTGGCTCGAAAACCTGGGGAAGGACCTCCAGGGGAGGCCAGGTCGGGGTTCCTCGTTGGAGGCAAGTCAACGAAAAGTTGGGGGGTCGCATCGCCGGCCATGTCGAACTGGACACCGAGAGGCAGCCGGGATCCCGCTGCCCCTTGGGGTCGGACCGCGTCTCGAAAGAGACGACGGAGACGAAGCCGCGTGATGCGCTGCGGCTTGGGCGATCAATAGTCGGGGCGCCGACGGACATGCCATGCTTCCTCGGCTAAACTGGAGGCCGTTGGTGAGGGTCGCCGGCGAACTTCTTTGCGCTCGCGCTTTCTGTCGCTCTCTTGACTGCTCACACCATGGATTTGGCGTGCCCGTGGCCCATGGAGGCTTGAGATCCAGGCTCGCCACCGCCCTCTGAAGGAGAAATGGGCAGGCAAGGATCTTTGTCCGGTCGGCCGGGGAGAGGCCTGGGCCCACACACCCCTCGGGCTTAACACGTCCCGCCACCACGGATGGTGTGTAGTTGCGTGGGATGCAGGGCGTCGATGTTCCGTCTCTTCTGTTTCTAGGGCCTTTTCCGGGTGGCTGCAAGCCGCCTCTCGGAGGTTTACTGCACAGGAGAACGCCAATGGCAACAAGCTCGCCACCCCTGGGGCGCTATCCGCTGGAACTTTGGTACCGGCGCGGCGCTTCGTTCGAGCCTCTTTGCGATACAGGTTTTTGGCCAAGGGGGATGGGCGCTGATCTTGTCCCCGGGAGTCCATGGCACGGAACAGCCACAGGGCTGCATGCACCTTCGTGCTGTACTGTATGCATCATGTATGCATGGACATGGACGAGTACGATGCCGCCACCTGCGATTTGCCCGCGGCGGCCGGGATAAGGGACGGAGCCGGAGCTGTGGTCGGGCGAATCCTGGCTTGCGTGTAAGTCGGCGTGGCGAGAGTCCAGATGCGCCGGCCGTCAGACTGCGCAGGAGTGCCGACGTCAACAACGCCATAGGACTCGACTTGTGATGGGGCCTCTTGTTTGAGCCCAAGGGTCGTATGCCTCGCCTAAACACAGCTGAGAGCGACGAGCTGGAGCTGAATGTGTTTTCGTCGTGACATCTACTGATATCGTCGGCTCGAATGTCTCACCTAAACATGGTTGAGAGGGATGAAACTCTTTTTTGTCGTGACATGTAGTGATATCTGAACATGCCTTCTTCCGCAGAAACAGTCCGTTCCAGTAAAACATGCGAGAAGGCAACCTGTCTATAATGGCCCCGTCTCCGTCTCGTCAAATCACCCACCATGCTTGAGACGGCTCGCCTGCTGCAGCCACGCGAAGCGAGTTGCATATTCGCGGACAAGCTTGCCGTGCCGCCCATGTTCGATATCTTGCGCTTGGGGGACGCCTACTCGATCTCCTCGGCGTACTTTATATGTCTCACCTGCCACTACCCTGCCAGACGAGCTGCCTCTTCGCGGACGGGTCCGCTGTGGCCTCGCCCGTGTCCGTCGCCTTGCGCTTGGCGGACGCCTGATTAACGGGCTTGGTGTCGAGGATCGACGTTGTGGGCGTCGCTCCGTTTGAGGTCTGCTTCGAAGCCTTGGCTGGACTAGGGCCTTTGGGGTCTCTGAGCTGGCGATGCTCGTCGTCGGGGTCGGCCTGCTTTCTGATGCGGCCTCGTCTTCTGATGCGGCCTCGTCTTCTGATGCGGCCTCGTCTTCTGATGCGGCCTCGTCTTCTGATGCGGCCTCGTCTTCTGATGCGGCCTCGTCTTTTGATGCGGTCTCGCCGTTTGGTCGAGTCAACAGTAAGCACGAGTTCTGAAGGGGCCTCTTCGAGAGATACAACAGCGGGGGCATGTCGTCTTTCGGCGCATGCTCATTCTCAACGGCGAGCTCTTGATGGCCGTCCCTGACCTGGGTCTCGTCCTCGGTCTCGTCCGGGCCGTTCTGTTCGTCCAGTTCATCTTGCTCGGTGCGTCCATTGCTTACCGCGTTCCGCCGTCCTCGGGCCGGGACACCGTCGCCGTCCTCTTGTCGCGCGTTGTAGTTGTCCTGGTCCACGAATACCACGCACGACCCGGGGCAGTAGAAGATAGGAATCGTCCGCGTCACGCTGCAGCCAAGACCACCCCGGCGAGGGGTGATCGTCATGACCAGCTGGTCGGTGTGCTCCTCGTTCTCCGGCTCGTACCTGAGAGCGACTGTGCACTTGCCCTTGCACCCATACTTGCCGAGCTTGTGGAAAACATATGCCTTTTGGAGCTGAACCTCGTGTACGATTCTGCCCTGGCTGCGCCCGGAGCCGCCTACAGGGCGCCGCCCGCGTGGTGGGTGAAACGGGCCACAGACAATCTCACTTGCTGTGTTGAGATCAAAGATCGGGCCGTACCTGTCCGTGACGCCCACGCCCCGATCTAGTATCGCGAGGGCTGTCGAAAACTTCGCAGACGTGGCGTCCTTGACGGCGAAGACGGCCCCGTCCATGAACTCACGGACCGTGATGGCGTGTCTGAGAGCGAGTGCGGCTCCGACGCAGGCAATCGCGGACCTACACGAACCAGTCTGGAGTCAGCTTGACAAGAAATGAGTGAGAATGGGCCCGGGGAGGGGGAGGGAGGGAAGTGTGGACGCCAGTGAGCGCAGAAACCGCCAGATGTCTGCCTACCTGTTGCCCGCATCCCGGACGCCGTCTGTCTCAATGAACTTCATACGCGCTTTTACAATCTTGGCCTTCGTTTGAAGAAGTACAACTTTGTTGAGAAAGCTTCCCCCTGACAGAACCACCATCGTATGGGTGCGCGCATGCTCGTCAATCTTCTCGAACAAGTGTTGGAGCGGCTTACCGAAGCAAACGGCGTAGAACCGCCGGCATGTCTCCGCGCTGAGCTCAAACTCCAGGTCCTTTCCGTTCCTGGTCCTGCTTCCCCGGACCGTAAAGCTCTCGTCCGTCAGGTCCTCCCTCAGATTATGCCGGTAATACTCCAGGCACTTCTTCATAAGGTGCTGCCTCTCCTCATCAGTCAACTTGAGGTTGCGCTGCTCGATTTGTTCTTGGATGTGTTCCTTGACCAAGAGCGTGTGCATCTCCGAACCTCCGTACGTGCCTGGTCAGAATGTGAGAGTCCAGTCAGCGGGCAACAATCGGTCAGCTCTCATTTCAGAGGGGGGGCGCTGGGGGGCGCCTACAGGTAGAGTTGGAAGTGGTGAAGAAGGAGGCGTTTGAGCCGTCATTTTGCCAGACAAGCTCGAACGTGTAGGAGCTCTTTGATCTGGTTAGTGGAACACCACGGACCGGCACGAGCTGGAGGGTGGCTCATCATACCATTGTGTGGCCGCCAAAGTTGTTCAAGAGAAACGTGTCAATCGTCCCCCTGTCTTCCGGTTGGACGCTGTTGTTTCGCAACAGGTAATGCCCAATCGCTTCGGACTCTTCCAGCCAGTGGAAGTCGTCCGCTGGAATATCCTCCCAGACCTCTCGGAGCAGCTTCAGGTAGTTTCCCTGAGTCTTGGCGGTCCACGCGGGAGGCAGCGTGGCCGCGACGGCGACCACCTCGTAGTTCTCAAAGTACGCCCGCGTTTCGGCTTGTCTCTTGACCTGCTTAAGATGGGCAATGAAAATCTGGCGCAGGCGCGAAAACACGTCGCGCTGATAATCCGCCTTATGCCGCCCCTGCCTTTTCTTGCTGTTCACCTCCCGGAACAGGTCGCTGATAGGAGGGAAGAGCTTCCGAAGCTTTCGGACTTCGCCATGGTGTTTTCGGCTCTGCAGGTTGCGCCCCTCGACGGCGATCCAGTACAGCTTCAGGGGTATCGACATGGACCGCGCTTCAGCACCATAGCCGAGGCAGTCCTCGAGCTTTGGGACAGGGTCGAACGGGAAGGCGGTAGAGGGGAAGTCGCAGTCACAGTACCCTTGCCCTGTCACCCGTTTGCTCCCCTCGCTCGCTATTATGGCCGGGGCGTCGTCCCTGTCCAGAGTCAGGAGGCACGCCCGGGTCGCGGTCATGCCCACATCCAGGGCCAACACCCTACATCATGTCAGCAAGGGCGCTCTCAACTCCCGGGCTCATGAAAGTATGAGCAGGCACAGCGGTAGGATTGGAGGTGGGCAGCTGGGTAGAATGACGCACGCTGCGCGTAGGCGACGTTTGGGGCCCTTAGGGGCTAGACTGTCGGTTGGACTGGCCATTTTCAGGCAAAGGATACCCTTAAGGGTAAATATCGCCCGGAGAAGCTCTGGGGGGTAGGCGTGTAGATGGGAGCTCTCAACACAGAGAGCTCAAGCCGTAAAACGTCCAGGTTTCTTCGAATAAGCATGAAGAGGCCTTCGCAGATCGTCAAGTTATATAGTAAAATCTTTGGCACACCATGGCCCTGTACAACTCGAGAGCCCTTCACACTGCAAGATTGCAATGACTCTTCAGCTACTGCAAGTATGCCCTCCTTCTCTGATGCGTCCCAGTCCCGGACGGGAGGGTGGATGTGGTCTGTGTGCTTGGTTCGTCGTTCAGCATATTGGCTACCACATGGACTGCAGCTAACGTGCCAATTTCACAAACGAAGATGGCCCCACCAGATGGATCCCATGATACGCCATTGGGTTTGACAGCAGTTCTGGAACAGTGCGGATGGCAGAAAACGGTTGGTTGGGCAGGGCAGCTGTTACGGTCCAAGTAAGCAAAGTCAGAGCCTCCCGCCCCTCGTTACCCGCGGAAAAGCACACTCTGCTACGGGATCTACTTCTCTCTTCTCTCTTCCTTGCTCTACTGTGAGAGCTCGAGCCTGGTCCGTTCAGTGAGTGGCTGGGAGTCATCACAGCGGCCTCAGGGCACCCCTGCTGGTTGTGTAGCACAAGAGTGGCTGCGCTTTGTACCAGGTGGTGGCAAACATGACCAAGGAGGGTGGTTTGGCCAGCTGTTCTCTGTGCTGTTACAAAGCTTTCTGTATTTTGATATATACAGTAAAAAGCGCACGACATTATACTGCCAGGAAGTCGTGGAGGAAGGCACGAAGCACGATACCTCAGCACAGTCATCTTGAATCATGATGGCCAGATACGAAGTAGTAGTGAAAGGCTGCTCTTGCTGGGCAAGGGGAGCACAGGGGCCCGACGCCGTGACACGTAGTACATGTCAGGGGACCGGACGAACCGGCTCGTTCGTGCGATTCATGGTTTCGCCCAGGATGACGATCACGAATCAAGGGCACGGAAGACGCTGGGGTGCGCGGGAATCCGTGCGCTGTCATTTCTCGTCTACCCTGGTTCGTGTTGGCTGGAGCTTGCAGACAACTCACCGGGCCCCTGCTGAGCCTGGTCAATGTTGCTTGCGATGAGGCTCTGCGGCAGGGGATTGTGTGCTTCGAGGTGGAGGGGGAATACTGTAACAACGACGATTACTATTCGAAACAAGATTTGTCGGACTCAAGAGCGTCCCCCATCGGCAATATCTCGATTTCCCAAGAGTGTCTGCTACGTCCGCATCGTCACATCACTTAACCTCAACTCCCCTCCTCAACACGTGCTCACGTCATATAGCGCTGTGTCCGTGCCCGCTCTCGTGAGCCAACAAACACCTTCCGTCGAAGGGATCGGCAGGTTCTTCAGCACGTTCCCTCGGCGAATCTCCCATCGTCGAGGCCATGATCGACATTCTGCGTGGCCGCGTGCCCAGGCACTAGTTGGAATGTATGAGGCATCGGACTTGGGAATTCGCGCAACAAGACGACGAGGACCACGTCTCGTCGTCGCGTCGCGCCTGGCGCGCTGCTCTGGATGCATGACGAGGAAGAAGGGAATACGACACGGGGGAACCCCCCTCACGTTCCACCGCAGAGATGCTGTCAACTACCGACGTGCGCAGCGCGGCTTCGGCCCGCGCGGCGTGCTTGCGTCGGGCGCCTGAGCCGATGCCTGCGGGATGCCGTCTAGGACTGTACCTAAATCAAGAACCAATGACCACTTGTAAGGCCTCCATGTTGCATCGAAGCTAGCCATGAGCCTAATATTACTATTTCCTTCTCTCGACATCCAGAGTCCAATGTGGGTTCTGTCAACTTGTTCTTGTGGGTCGATGGATGGTCGATAGTCGCAAGCGCGTGAGCCGTCGTCTAAGACATCTGGCGTCGCTTGCTCCGGATTAGACCCGTCTGTCGACGATGTCTCAAGACTCACGACAGACACCCATGTCCTGGTCCTGGAAGCTTGGGCCTCCGAAACGAACCTTGCCCGTGGGCTCACTGTCAGAAAACCCAAGTTTCGTCCCGTATCCCAGAGCTCATGCCCACGGGCCCATGCGCACATGGCGTTACCCTGCCAAGCCGGCGCCCCGTCTCCCCACTGCCGGGATGACGCAGTCGGAACCTGGCCCGTTCTTTGGGTTTCACCTCTGTCCGAATGCAGAAGGTCGAGTGGCTTGCCGCGCGTGAGATGCCCAAGGACCGGTTTGCTGGAGCCGGAGACGTGTCCCACCGGACTTGGGAGGGAGGCGTTGGCACTTGGAGGCCCAACCAGCGTGCGTGGTGGGTGCAGGGCGCCGCCAATGCAGGTCCTGTGAACATCAAACTCAATTGGCGGCGCCACGATTTTGTCAGAATGCAACACGTTTATTGCGCTGATGAGTGCTACGAGGTACTCTGGGTCGTACGAATGGACGGCCCTTATATACTTGGCGGAGGATCCGGGGCCCCGATCTGGCAGGTCGACGGCCGATGCAACAGCCTCGGGGTCTCCTTGGCCCACGTCGACAGCGCCCCCGGCATCTCACAACGCGAGGGAGAGCGGCAAATGATCAGTCGACTGTGGGCAACACATGCCTCCTGACAAGGACTCCTGGCGGAGATGCGCCGAGCGGTGTACGAGGTAGGCGAGCCCGAAGACCATCGGATGGGATGCCCACCTGGCTGTGCTGCAGGCCTCACCGTGCACCTTGATACGCCACTGGCCCGTGCCTGGATGGATATGTCGGCCGAGTCATTCAGTCAGACCTGGGGGCATCTGGGTAGCATCTTGTGCATATAAATACCCTGAATCCTGTCCATCACCATGTCCCCAGACTGCACTCAGCTCACAGGCTTTCAGCGTACGAAAGAGGATCAACAATCGCCCAAACACTTATATCCATCTCGATAACCGTCCATCAGCCCACATCCCATCGCCATCATGAAGCTGTCCGCTCTCCTCCCCGTTGCTCTCCTCGCCGGCCTCTCGTCCGCGCAAAACGCCAACGACGGCCGCTGGACCAACCAGGCCAACTTCCAAAAGGACATCCTCGACACCACCAACAAATACCGGTGGGAGCACGGCGCCAACAACGTCCACTGGAACGCGACGCTCGCCAACTTCGCCAAGAGCTACCTCGACCGCAGCAACTGCAACTTCGCGCACTCGGGCGGCCCCTACGGCGAGAACATCGCCTACGGCTACCAGGCCCCCGGGGACGCCATCCGCGCCTTCGGCGACGAGCGCAAGGACTACAACTTCAACGCCCCCGGCTGGCAGCCCAAGGCCGGCCACTTCACCCAGCTCGTCTGGAAGAGCACAAACGCTGTCGGCTGCGCGGCGAGGCACTGCGGGAACAACATGCGCTTCTACCTCGTGTGCGAGTACTCGCCTCGCGGTAACATTGTCAACGCCGGTTACTTCAAGGACAATGTCGGTCGCAGGATCCATTAGACGTATTGGATGGTTTGGCGTAGGCCCGTTACGTTACGACATTGCGCTGGTTCCGCGGCGGAGTCAAGTCTACAAGGGCTTGTGACATGGGCTGATATTGTACATATATACTTCCACTGTATATGATTAGTATGACTGGTATTTATAGATACGAACAACGAACTTCAATGACTGAACCCTTTTAGTGCTCTACGTTATGTTTGCGTACCAGACCACTCTGATGATAGTATATACATGATAGTGTTACAAACATGACAATTGAGCGTAGTAGCTAAGTCCGGCATCTACGGGAGGGCTGTACTACTATAGTTACCTCCACTCACGCCAAACAGGAATTCCTACGCGAGGGAAAGTGGAATTACTTTCAATGCGTCGTGGTCAGCGTCAATTTCCAAGATGAAACCAGATCATAGGTACACTATCCTAACGTTACACTAGATACAGAGTATCACGCTGGGGAACTGCTCATACCAACGCATGCAACTAGGCTGACCTGTCAGACAAAGGGGGGATGAGACGCTGACAGCAACATAATAAATCATGCGTCGAATGCAGATTCAGATTAATCATAAATAACCATGCTGCGGCTACCAACCTGCGAGCTCCCGAGCGCGTAGTACATGCCATGGAGGCATTGCAATAAATGCATACGAATAGTGGTCAAAGTCGATAACGGGTAAAAGCGGTATTGAACGTGCTCGCTCCGCCGAAATACATTCATACAGTCATCAGCGCCATGAGCAGGTCCAACAGCATTAGCGGCACCTCAACCTCTCAGCCCAGCAACCGGGTCTTGCTCCTAAGAGCCAGCACAAGAACTACTGAAAGCTACACGGCAACAAAGGCATACAAAATGAGACAGTGCCCTGCTCGTGTTACCAGCACCACTTGTTGCGCAAGGGCACCCCGTACTGGTGCAGGGTAATGAACTGGAGACGTCGATATCAGAACGTATATCCCTGACAGTCGGCATGACGCAGCCTCACTTACACGAAACAAACTCCACCAGGGATATCACGGCCGTCGCAAGTAGACAGCCTGCGTACCGCACACAATGAATTGCGACGTCCCTTACACAAGTGGTAATATGTTGAAGTCTCCCTCCCTCGGAGCAGCCTCTGCCACCTCCTTGATCTCATCTTTTGGGGGGCAAGGATCTCCTCCTCGAAGCAAGGGGTGTCACTTCTTTTGTTGGCTCACTGCTTTCAATTTCGTGTAGCATATATGTACAGTCCTCATTTACTGCTGTCTCGAGGGGTATCGTTTTGAAACGCCAAACTCCAAGCTTGCTCGTATATCACAAGTATCGACATCAATTTCCCTCCACATCAACTCCGTACCGCGATTTGCCCCCGATGACTTTCTCGTCGTCACGCCACCACCTGAGGCTGTACAGACTGTGATTGAAGACACCATTTCGACGGAGTTCCGCGGGCTGCTTCCACTCCTCGCCCGGAGGCACGAATTTCCGTGTCGCCATTTCCGCCCCTGCCAGCAGAGCGGCCTTGCCAGCGATCGAACACGGATCGTGGGGCAGCACCTCGCCGACTCTCAAGAGCCATCTCGACACGATTGCACAAACAACCATGATGGCGAGCATCGCTTGCAGCGCAATTTTCGGTCCGCTGTTTTGATGCAAACGTAGCCGACCCGACGTAGTCAGCGTACCACTGTACGTTGGCAACGGCGATTGGCCATCCACGGGCTTCTCTCGCATGTTCAGTGAAATGGCCTGTGACATGTACACGCCATAGAGTTTGTTGGCGGCTTTGGCCAGGTCGTCGGCGTGCTCCTTTCCGATAAAATTGGTTATGGCCTGACCGTCTTTGGCATTGACCAGAGCGTTGACGAATTTGTCAACGTCATTGTTCCAGGAATCCGCGTTTCCAGGTCCCGGTATGGTCTTATTGTAGTATGAATCGCTCAGTCCCATGAGGAAAGAGTTCACGGCAAACGTGAACCTTTCGCCTCCACTCTCTGTCTTGAGTTTCCGACTGGTGCTTTCGTTTGTAATGGGCGGAGTTTTGGGGTCGATGACGAACCCTGGAAGGTGCCACGTAACGTTCGACTGGACCTCCTCCACGTGCTGATAGCATAGGAGAGACTCCAGGTTTTGCTCGAATGCCCAGCGTGTGCTGTTCCCCACCTTCCTTGCGGATTCCGCCCTGATCAGGCCCAGGGTTATTGCGAAGCTGGGGCACCCATTGTCAGGTATCACAAGGCCGCTGGCACCCATTCCAGACCCTCTTGATGGGTCCGTGTCGACTGGTCCATCTCCCCAGGCCATGTTATTGTTCCAAATCATTGTGGATGCTTTCCCGATGTAGGCAAATTCCGTCGTGTTTGGAATACTGAAATACTGCATCCACGTCCACTCACTGCTGTTGGACTTTGGCGGCTTGTCGCACCAGTCTTCAAGCTTGAGGGTTGTGTTGAAGCCAACATACATTCTTCCAGGTCGTGGGTTTTGGAACCCATTGCCGCCCGGTAAAGTCCTCATCATACTGGAATCCTGTGTAGTATCAACCAAGCTTATTCGACGAAGTCCTGTCGGGACGCGAGTGCAGTTGAGCACGGCTCTCGTGGCAGGAACGCTAACGGTCAATGGTGCATCAGCGCTTGCATTCTTGACTGAAACCGTTGACTGGTTGAGCTGATTGAAGGCAAGGTTCTTGTATGTCCACTGTGTATAATCGAGGCCGAGAAACTCGATCAGGCTATCGATTGCAGAGGCTTGATTGTCGTTTATGGACAAATCGACTCCCGTAAGGTTGAAATTGTCCAGTTGACGTACGTCGGCATGCTGTGTCAATGGCACATCGGATGCGCTGTAGAGGCCCGAGACCACAATGGTCAGGAATCCACCGATGAAATTCGAGAGGAGTGCCACGGCCACTGCTAAATGACGAGCCCTCAGGCTGGCGAACATGGCGACGGGGAGCAGTTTGCCCACAAGATTTGTGTAAATGGATCGGCCGGGCGGAGTCGAGCCTCGTTTGAGCGCCACATACGGCGCGAAGATGGCAGCCAGCAACTCCAAGCCCGCGTACATGCTGGCCACGCTGAGGGCTACCGCCGCAGGTATGTACGTTGCGAGTACCAGAGCGTTATTTGGCCCAGCATCGACGAAGCCGTTCTGCGTGTTCGAGAAGTGTTGGACAATCTCAAGCGCCGCGATGATGATTAAGGGAAGCGATATAGACAGTCCCAGAAACCACTTTGTTCCGGCGACGGGGCGCCACCAGGTAACTGCTTTAGGGTTGTCGTCCTTGATCATTCGCTCCGTGTCACTCTCGCTGGACTGGGTTGGTTGAATCTCGAAGCAGACGGTACCATTGGACTCTGCCACGGCACTTCGGAATGTGAATGTGGACAATGACCGCCGAATGGCACGCTGCGAAGATGTTGCCACGCTTGATAGGAGCTGCTCCAGACTTGGGCTGGATGCGAGAATAGTCGACGTGGCGGCCAAGGAGCCGGGCTCGTGAGGTGTCGCGGAATGGGGTCTGACAAAGATCATTCCCGCGGAAATGATGACAAGCAGTCCGAGAAACGAGCACATGAAGCCTGTGGAGAGTTCCTTTACTTTCAAGCGATTCTCTGTGAACCGTATCTCGCCCGTGACGTTTCGGTCTGCTGGTTGGACTGCTAGCAGGTGCAAAATCTGTGTGGCTATACCCTTAAAGACGCTGGCGCCGGTCTTGACAAGCAGGTCTCCATCCATGTAGTCGCCGATAGTCGGGCTTTCACTCTTGAGGGTCATGAGCTGGAAGAACGTTGGCACCTGCTCAGACAAGACGTAGTCTTGCCCGCCGGTGCCCAACCTCCAACTCCACGCACTCTGCAGGACAGCCATGCCAATAGCACTGTTCGAGAGTCCCTCTACCCGTTGATCCTTGGCAGTGGTAGGCGACGGGATGACCAAAGCAGAACCATTCAGAGCGCTTGAAGTATGGACATCGAACTGATTGACTTGATATTTGGGTTTACACAGAGCCCCTGTTAGCTTGTTTATGTAAAGGTATTTCGGTCGGTCGTAGCTCGAGTTGTAGGCCGCAAAACGCAGGTCAGCAACCGACATGAAGACTCGCTGGTCGAGACTACTGTTTGTCATCATGTTGATGTAGGAGGCGTTAGATCTACCAGGATACTGGCTGAAGTCCCAGTCGACATTGCAAGGGAAGGTCTCGAACTGCGCCTGGTAATTTTGGGTCCCGTTCTTTTGGTGGTAGTAGCCATGATCGGGTCCTTCGGCGACCGGCACGCCTTTGATCTTGCAGTCTGAAGTCTCAATGTCCGTGACAAAGAATTCTGCGAGGATGCTTCGCCAAGGCATGCTGACCGCCGAGCCATTCTTCAGAGGCAGCAGTTCGCAGTCGAAGTCAATCTTGATGCCCTCAAGTGAAGTGGTGAAGTTAACATGGCCGAGTCTGTTGTCAACGGGCGCTTCCAAGGTTGGGATGAGGATGTCTTCAGATGTCCCCTGTGGGAATTGGAGACCTCGAAAATTGATTCCGTAGTACAGCTGGGTCGCGGCAGGGCCAATATTGCTGAGAAGAGTGTAGTTCCACGCTCCGTTTAGCTTAAATTCGCTTTTGATCCTGAACTCGCCGCTTTCTCGCGACATTTCGGTTGGCTCGAGGATTAACAAGCCAGTTGAAAAGACGGTCTTGGTGACAATCAGTAGATGCGACGCGCACTTCTTTCCTCTTGTATCACTTACGGTTCCTAGTATCAAGAGGTGGCCAAGAATTGACATTGCCACAGCCCAGTGCCTGTTTTTCAACGCCATCCAAAGACTTGTCGGCAGGAGAGGGTAGATGTAGTCCAGGAGAAGAGACTTGTCGGCAGTTGTCGGGCCGTCTCTGAGCTCTTTCCAGGGCGTAAGGATCTTGTTGGCGTAGTCGACTTGTCGCCAAAGCGCGCCCACAATGACCAACACTGCAAAGGTGTCAGCCAAATAATCCGGAGTATGGAGTGAGATGCCTTACAGGCAGTTGGGCCGTATTTCCAACCATAGTGGTTGACTTCCTTCTGCACCCCGATGCCGTTGTTCTTTTGCGAAAAGTGGAAGAGAAGAGCAGTCGCCAGGAGCATCAAAGAAAACACGACCACGAAAATCACCAAAACTGTCTTTGTGAGCCATAAAGGAGTCCACAGCTTGGCGCCTTTGCCCCATGCCGGGTCCTGTGTCCATGCCGAGCTCCGAACAGTAGCTGTACCCTTGATCTGGCGGCTGGACGAGCTAGACGAAGGCACATAGGGCTGGCCCCCGTCGGCAAGCTCTTCCTCACTGGGACGTAATGGCGAGTTTGTTCGCTGCACATCGGTGAAGCCGATCTCTCCGTCATGGGGAACCGGGTCATATTGCCGGGATCGGTATTGGGCTTGCGGAAAGATCGGAACGTCAAAGTCTTCTTCTTGCTCGAGATCATCGTAGTCGTCGTCTTGAGGTGCTGGGCCGCTGTCAGCTCCTGCTGGGCAGCCATTGTAACGGAAGCCAAACCTGGACGATAGCGTTGAAAAGACTCGACCGGCTTGCGTTGTATACAGAGGTTTTGCGCGTCCGGCGTGGCGACGGGCTTCCTTCTGATAGTTGCCATGACGGCGTGGCCCAGCTATTCGGACTCCGCGACTGACAGCAAGGCCGACAGGGGACACATTGCTAATGAGGGACGTTGCTACTTTTTAAAGAGCTGCACTACGATGCAGGGCTGACTGAGATGCTGGTGATGAGCCTCCTGTAGCGCGACACGGCTTCCTGAACTTGTGGGCGCTCTATGCGCGATCGGGACCTAGACCAATCATCCTGGGGCGAGCTGCCTGAAGCGGCAGGATTAGTGGTGTCGAGAACCACCGACAGGGGCCATGGTTGGCTGATATTGATAGAAGATGTGGTGTGCCGTCGGGGCTGTCGATGGTGGTGGCTGTGGTGGGGGCTCCCGCGCTCCCTCCCGTGCGCCCCTCCCATTGTCCCAAGCCTGCCACCTGCCATACCAGGCCCTGTCTGATGGGTTTTGGAGTGTCGTTGCTCCTCATCGCTCTGCTTCACCTGGGCACGGCGGCGCGGCGAGGGGCAGCAGCGAGGACAGAGACGATCCAACGCCCTGTTGCGATGAACAAGACGTCGCAATGCCAGCGAGGAGGTGCGGCAGGGCCGCGATCGACACCACTTGGTCCTGCGGCTCGTGGAGGATCCTGTGGCGAGGTGACCTAGCAAGTGGTAGTGTGACCTGGGCGACTGGGCCAGGCCAGGCAGGACGACTAGCAGGCTGGCCGGTCAGCACTAATGGCGGGCATCGCGGTCCACGTCGTGCACATTAATAATTTGGCGTACATAGGCGCGGCAAGGAGGCTGGGGGCCGAGGGCTGGTGATTCGGTGAGTGGTGATTAAGGTGACAGGGGCAGACAGGAGCAGCTTCTGGGCAAGATTCATCGCCTGGGCCGGGATCTTGGGGACCGAGATGGAGAGATTGAGCAGGCTGGGAAGACATGAGACGTACACGGCCAGAAGTTGTTCATGCTCCGAATACCTGGCGAAGCTTGGCAGGCAGGTCGGGCTGCTCTTGCCTCCTGTGAAGCGCCAGTGTGGGCACCCAACGCGATTGGGTGCCAACACCAAGAAATGGCCTGGAGAGCATCCGTCTCCATACATCCACCCGAACATGTCGCTACAATGGTCCGCACGGATGTCATCTGGATGCTTGCGCTTCCCACGTGGGCCTCTGCAGAGCCGCATCCATTTCACGCCGCAGCGGATGACCTAATTGCGCCCTACGACGTCCGCCATCGTGCACCATGCAACCTGCCCGTTCGACAAACAACAAGACGAACCTCTGCGTCATGGCATATCCATTCCACGACCTCCAAGACCCTGCGTCAACGCCGGCTGTGACAAGAGGGAAATATTGGGGTCCTAGGGGACGACAGCCAATCGAGGCGAGGCAGACAGAGGTTGCCTGCAACAAGGTCAAACACGCCTCGTTTCGTTTTGACCCTGAGCCACCGCGGCCATTGGCCCCCCCTTGTTGGGTGGTTCGCCACCACCAGCAACGGGTGTCAGTCCACTGCTGCACCGCACTGTGATGCGGGCGTGGACGTGGTGTGACGAGATGCCGCTCTTCATCTCCTGTTGCGGCACCAGACGCTGCACCACAGCACAATCCATCATCCCTTGGGACGCCCGTGCAGCTCTCCGACAGGCCGCGGGGGTGGTGGAGCCTGGATGAGAACGCCGTACGCAAAGGGCGCCTGCGGCCTGCATCCTGCAGCTTGCCCCCGTGCAATGGCCAGCCAAGGCCGGGATGCGACTCAAAGGCCCGGACGGGCAGCCTCAGGGGAAGCTGCGCGTGTTGACCGAAAGAGAGCGATTGGCGACGGGCGACGGAGATCTCAGCTCCTCATGGCCGGGCCCGACGCGAGGGATGGCCGCTCGGCCTTTAAAGGGAAGGGACTGCCCATGTGCGCGTGGTTGGTTTCGGGCATGGCGATGCATTCCTGTCGCGCATTCCAGTCCATCGCCGGAACCCGCCATCTCTGCGCTTCCCACCCCAGCCTCTCTTACCCAAGGTACTTATCCTCGTGACCCGCGGCCGTCGCAGTCTCCTTGCAAAGTCTCACCTTCACCAACTGCTCCTTCCTGATGATATACGTTTTCAATCATCAGTACTTACAGCCTTACAGCCGTTTGGCTTGAGAGAGCGTCGTGAGTCGGTCGAGACCTCGCTGAACGAAACACATCGTGAAACTATCAGCCAACGCTCTTCCACGAGGGCAGGATCCGCTGCGAACCCTTACAGCCACGAGGACAAACACCACGGGCCAGGCGGCTCTGACGGAGATCCCGTGCGGAACTGTCGAGCCGAATCGATCGTGTCGTCACTTCGTGTCACCTGTGACGCTCCGCGTTTCGAATCGGCATCGTGGACGGGGACAGAAACGCCCGGGTCGCGCCACGCCCCCCGACCACTGCCCCCCGTGTTTGCGGCTCGACCCAGATCCAAGTCTCTCGGTCGCGCATCTCTCGGCTGCCAGTCAGCAAGGGCATTCCCAACCCCCGCAGCACCAGTCGGTCCTGGCGGCAGCTCTCTTAGAAACAACAACCGGCAAGGCGCTGGGGATATCGACGCCGACGAGGCTGACTCCTGGAGGAGCGCGTCAACGACACCACAATGCCTAAGCGACGAGCGCGGTCGCCTATCAGGCTGGTCGATGTGGTTTTCCTTGCCGGCACGGCGTCGGGGACGGTCTTCTCGCTGTCCAACTTCCAGATGCTTTCCGGAGGATCGGTGCCGCTCAACTGCATCTTGGCCTACAACACGCCGATTCGAGGATGCCGCATCCGCGACTTTACCGAGAAGACGTGCTCCGAAGAGTGCCGGGATAGCCTCAACGAGGTTCAGAACAATGTCCAGGCGTCGTGCGACCTCATCAGCGCTAGCGAGGGGACTCTCTTATCCAAGGCACAGAAGGGCACACTGACGGACTCGCTGTGTCGACCCGAAGACGTCAGCACGTCGATTGCTCCGACGCCAACGCCAGAGACGACAATCCGGAGCTTTTCCATAATTCCGTCAGAGACACCGCCCCCTCCGGAGAGCACATCGGAGTCGAGCACCATATCCAGCGTACCGTCTACGTCAGAACCCGAGTCGACGCCACTGTCGACGAGTACATCAAAGATTAAGTCCACGGTGAAACCAAAAAGCACATCTACGCCACCGTTGTCATCGACGACAAGCGAGTCGGCTTTGGCAAAGTCAACATCGACGACAACAACCCAGCGGCCGAAGCAGACGATCCCACCAGGAAGCGGGGGTGGGAGCCCATTTGACTTTGTCGGTGCCAGCTCCAAGCTGCGACCGTTGGACGCCGTTCTCTTGTTGAGCGCGGCCGGATGCGCCGCTGCTCTTCTGGTGGCCTGATGGCCGTACAGCATGGTCATGTGCAGCTGTTGGCTGATGTATCTTATATCCTGTTACCGCTTTTTGGGTGGGACAAGCACACGGCTGGGTGTCCGGGGTAATGCGGAGCATAGACAGAACATATTGGGAGGTACATGGATGCGCAAGGTGGGCTGGAAATGGCGTTCAGGCAGGGGAGCAAATGCGATGGACTCGGGCCCTGTTACCCCTTGCAGACGGATTCCGAAGGCGTCATGTGACGGAACAGACAGCGGCTACGAAGCATGACGGACTGGGATGGTAATTTGTAGCGAGATACCATATGCACGCCGGGAAGGGGCAGCGGTTTGCTTCTTCTCCGGCGCGCATACATACAGTACTGTACCAATTGACGACGAATGTCCACGCCACGCAGGGCTCGGTGTGAGAGCTGGGGCCACGGGGCCTCACCGCCGGCTGCCACGCGGTGCCCGGGGGAGTGCCCGGGCGTTTTGCAGGGTCGGGTCGGAATACCGGCACGGGGCTCCGACCAGCGGCGCCCGTAACCCCCGGTGTGAGACTGCAGTGCCCCCCAATGGAGCAGCTGGAGGCGGCGAGCGCAGGGGCGTCGTCGTTGCACGGCGGCTGGTGCTGCTGCTGTGCTGCACACATGTGGCGCGGCTGTGGAAGTGCCATGTACGTAGACGGAGCGTCGGAAACGTGGCTGCTCGTCTTTTGTTTCTCCCGCGGCCGTGCAGGGACCTGCGGGCACGATATGCCTATAATGTCAAAGAACGGGGAGAGGCCACGACGGAGGCCGGTCGTTGAAGGAAACAAGAAAAATTATGCGGCGGTGCCCCGTTGGTGGGTGTTGCTGACGGACCGACAGGGAAGTGCCTTGCGGGTGCGTGTGGGCATGGGGATCCCGGGCTGCAAAAGCCTGCCTGTGACAGGCAATAACACTCCCTCCTTGTTTTGCGGGTTATTGGGGGAACCAGACGCTCATCTAACGGCTTTGCTTGCTGCCTCCAATTCGAGTACAAAGGATGATCTGGTCCTAGGTTTTTCTGGCGGACGGACTCGCTCTGCAGCGATCGTCGCGCATTGTGCTGCGGCGAAGCGATGGCGGGCGACGGTCGACACACACACACATGGGGCCAGACAGACACCTGACAGACCGAGACCCAGGCCATGACGTCGCCGTGCATGGCAGCATCGCGGGGGAGGCAACTCGGTCTAGATGGGGGAGACAAGATGGGGTCTGCTGTGCTCATTGTCGTGCATCTCGGGTGGCACCGCCCACTGACACAGACATCGCACAAAGAGGACTTTATTTTCCGTGCTCGACGGACAGACAGACAGACAGACAGACAGACGCATTGGGCTTTGTTGCGTCTGCCAAGCGGGCCGCGCCCAGAAGGACAAGAGATGCGAAATCTCTTGGGAGCGCTGGGCAAGGGGTTTTGTGGACACGGGAAGCGGCCAGCCGGAGGAGCCATGCGGTGCAGCCACCACCACCGCCAGCTTGGCCATCGATGCTGCTTTAACGATGATGACTGCACTGCATCTTGGGGTGCAGATCAGCCGCCGATAATACACCGGATGCGCTCCTCCAGACGTCCTGTCCCCAACACCACGACCGCCCGTTTCTTCGCACGGCTGAGGGGCAGGATGCAGTAAAAACGAACGTGGATACGTGCCTTACTGAGCGCCTGAGTGGGTGGGTGCGCCGTTGCTGCCGGTAGACGCAGCCGCCGTGGTTGGCTGGTATTGGGGGGTCGGGCTGCGCAAGATTTTAAGCATAATAATGGGCTGGGTTGCCGCCGCCGCCATCGGGGGGCCTGAAGCCGCGCGTGGGCGGGGACGAGCTGCCAGGATGGCGACCTTGGAACAGCGACTCGCGCTGGCCTCTCTGCCTTGGTGTGGCCCATGGTCCCAACGGTAGGCAGCGGTGGCGTCGGGGCTAGAGGGCCTGCGGGCTGAGTGAGTGAGTGAACGGAGCTGGGATGATGCCGGGCTTGCTGGGGCGAATCCGACAGGTGCGTCAGAGATAAGGACGGCAAGGAAGGGCACGCACGTTTTTGTTTTCTTTGATGCCCGCTGGTCGGGAAGAACAGGGATGGAGTGCGTGGGCGGGCTGGATGCAGGATGGACGGGCGTTGTCGAATGCTTATCAGGGTGATTTCCTTCTTCTCTCTCACCTGCCGCCGTGACAGCTTGAAAGTGAAAGGCTCGTATCGCGGCATCGCGGCACCCGCGTCTGTATGCGCCGCAGTGAGTGGCGGCTGGGCGGGCACTTTATTGTCAGTCACCGCACTCGCCGGTGATTCCGGAGGCCAAGCAAGGCCCGCCTGGCCGTCCCTACCTGCCGTATCTTAGAGCAGCGCCCCCCCAGTCCCGCGGGGCACAGCGGATCCCCCAGCGTGCCCAGCCCACCCTTTGTGCTGCACGCCAAGAGAAGCGGTGCGCCGTCCATCCAAGGCGCCGCCGCCGTTTGGTGCAGCGGCGTCGCCATGGAACGGCATTGGCAAGGACGGTCGGGGGGGTCGGTCGGGTCCCACTGGCGAACGGGCGCTGCGAGCGAACCGGGGGGTGGTATGCTTGGTGTCCCGGCGCTCTGGGGCGTCGACGTTTCCCAGGTGCCAGGGTGGTGCGTTGGCCCCCAGGTGGTGGTGGTGCCCTGTAAAATGCAGGTGTGTAGGCGCTCCACACCCATTGACCAGTGGAGACGCCACCGCGCGTCCAACCGCCGGGGGGCCACACGTACGTACATCTGCGATCCTCATCAAGCAGCGCCGCTCCGAACGGCGGACGCGGTCCCCCGGATGGATGTCCCTTCTGCTACCCCATGTACAACGGCGCCCAGAGGCTCTTGGCTCGTGGGAGGAGGAAGCAGAGTTCTCTTCGTCCAACGCCAAGATAAACAAGGGCCAATCCCGGCCTGGGTTTTTCATAAAGTCGAGCGCCGTCTGCTCACGTCGATGCTGCCGCGTTCTCGTCTCGTTTCCCTTCCCCCCTCCCCCCTCCTCAGATCACCTTCCCGCCGGCTCTCGCCATCATCATCGTCACTCACCTCGCCGCCCGCTTTCGCCTCCGTCACCCGATCCCCCGTCGGTCGGTCGGTCGGTGTGTGCGAGTGTATCGGAGCCGCCTCGGGCATCCCAGAGTGAACCTTGCCCGGAGAAAACTCACCTCCCCTACCGGCACCCGGTTTGAACTGTTTTAGGTAACCTCGCGCCGCCCGCCAGCCCGGCCAGCGCCTCGCCCCCCTTCCGTTTGTTGGCGAGCGTCCCAGGTCTGTGCTCTGCCGCCTTCTGTTTTTGTTAGCCAGCGGACGCCCAGCGCGCGCCGCCCCATCCATCCCGCTAATCGGGTGACGACATTCGATCAAGGTCGCTCCTTCTGATCTTACCCGAGACAAAAACTCTGTTTTGTCTCTGCAAACTTCCCGTCGGCGGCGCGACCCCCGTTTTCCATTGTGTCGCTCTCGACAAAACAAACTCCGCTCGGAACTCCCTGGGCGTTTTCCAACCGTTTGATCTGCTGTCTGCGTGTCTTGCATTTTTCAGAGATCCAGCGCAGCACGGCCCCGTCCTCCGGCAGCGGCAGCACCAGCAGCAGCACCCGCCGTAGCCACCACAGGCGCGCCCCCATCCCAGCGCCGGCCCGGACGCACATTCGGCATTCGCCGCGACTGCGAGACCCTCGCCGTCGAAGTCGTCGACAACCCCGGTGTCGCCGGACACGCGAATCCCAACCGTCGATCTCCTGCGCACCGCGACTCTCCCGAAACCCCTCGTCGTTCCGTCCCCCATTCGACCTGGATGTCTCCAGTCCGCGCCGCCCTCTTCCACGGCTCGAGATCGATTGACCGCCGCGGCGCAAGGCGGACCCCCGGGCCTGCAGCAGCCCCGACAGCAACCCGGCGCCGGACGCGCACGTCCTCCTCTCCCGACGACCGCATGTCGCAGCGATAGCGTCCAGGCATCGCCCAACGTCTCAACCGCCTGTGCCGGTAACACAAAACAATACCGCCACCCGACCCCCGTGGTGACGGCAGCGCACCATGGCGTGGTCTCACCTCGACATCACCAAGCCGCACTTGGTCTACATCATCCTCGGCGGCTTCACCTCCCTCTTCATGCTCTGCTCCTCCTTCATCAAGGAGCGCATGTACATTGGTGAAGCCACCGTCGCGACCCTGTGCGGCGTCATCTTCGGCCCTCATGCCGCCAACCTCATCAACCCCAACGAGTGGGGGAGCGTCGACATCGTCACCGTCGAGTTCTCCCGCATCGTCCTCGTCGTCCAGTGCTTCGCCGTCGGCGTCGAACTGCCCAAGTTTTACATGGAGAAGCACTGGCGCTCCGTCGTCTTCCTCCTCGTCCCCGTCATGATGTTCGGCTGGCTCATCGTCAGCCTCTTCATCTGGTGGATGGTGCCCCAACTGAGCTGGCTCGAGTCCCTCGTCGTCGCCGCCTGCGTCACCGCCACCGACCCCGTCCTCGCCTCCTCCGTCGTCGGCAAGGGCAAGTTTGCCAAGCGCGTCCCCAAGCATTTGCGAGACTTGCTGTCCGCCGAGTCCGGCTGCAACGACGGCATGGCGTTCCCTTTCATCTACCTGTCGCTGTATCTCATCCAGTACCATGAGAGCGCAAGAGATGTCAGCTTCCACTTTGTCGTCTACGTCATCCTCTACGAATGCATCTTCGGCGCCGTCTACGGTTTCATCCTCGGATACATTGCCCGCCACGGCATCAAGCTTGCCGAGCAGCGCGACCTGATTGATCGCGAGAGCTTCCTCGTCTTCTACTTCGTCGTCGCTCTCTTCTGCGCCGGCTCGGGCAGCATTCTCGGCTTGGACGACTTGCTTGTCGGTTTCGCCGCCGGCGTCGGCTTCTCCAACGACGGCTGGTTCGGCGAGAAGACGGAGGAGTCCCATGTCTCCAACGTCATCGACCTGCTTCTCAACTTGACCTACTTTGTCTACTTTGGCACAATCATCCCCTGGGAGCAGTACAACAACGATGTCTTTGGCCTGAAGGCGTGGCGCCTCGTCGTCATTGCCATATTCGTGCTTCTCTTCCGTCGCATCCCCATCATGATGGCCCTAAAACCCTTTATACCCGACGTCAAAAACTGGCGTGAAGCGCTGTTTGCCGGTCATTTTGGCCCCATTGGTGTCGGCGCCATCTTCGTCGCGATTCTAGCTCGCGCCGAATTGGAGCACGAAGAGCCAGTGCCGCTGTCCGAGCTCCCGCCTCCCGGCGTCGACCACTACTCGCTCATCTACCTGGTCTGGCCGATTGTCACCTTCCTCGTCATCTCGTCTATTCTTATCCACGGCTCTTCCATCGCCGTGTTCACGCTTGGCAAGCGAATCAACACCCTCACGCTGACCATGTCGTACACGGCCGCACCGGAGGACGGGCCGTCGTGGATGAACAGACTGCCCCGTATCTCTTCCCAGTCTCGCTCGCAGGCTAAGACCATGTCCGAGGCCTCGTTCGATGATCCCAAGGAGCCCGACTTTCCGGCCGGTACGCTCGCGCCCCCCACCAACTTCTTGCGCCGGCAGCGTGACGAGGACAACTCTAGCCGAGCGGGTAGCAGAGCTTCGTCTTTGGTGTCGAGGAAACGCAAGCACAAGAGATGGGACGACGGGATCGGGCCCGGGGGCCCTGTTAGTCACTCTGCCATCTTCCCCAACAGGCCAGCCGCTGCCACCGGTGACTTTGAGAAGGACCCGTCTCCCCCGGCCCGAGAGAACACCGACTCGACGACTCTCAACGGAGACAGCCCGAAGGAAAAGGCCATCGATAGATCAGATGACACAGAGGAAGTGCCCGAAATGGAGAGAGAGTCTCGTCGACCTCGCCGCTCCCCACCGCACGTGGAAATCTACGATGAGGGCAACCAAATGGTTTTCGAGAATGAGGACGGAGATGTGCTGGGCGTCGAGCGAACCGATGGCGACGACAACGAGGAAGCATCGCATCCTGCAAACACGCTGAAGCCCGACGGTGAACCGTTTAGCTGGTCATTCGGAGGCCTGCGACGCAAGATGAGCGAGATGTACACTTCGGAGATGGAGAAGCGCAAGGACAAGGGCAAGGCCGAGCGGCGACACGAACCCGCTCGCGCCTATCAATTCGGCAACATGGTATGTGCTTCCTATGCCATTGCGTGAGACGGAATTTGTGCTGACCCATCGCAGATTATTGTCGAAGACGAGGATGGTGAAGTCGTCAAGACGTACGAGCTTCCATCCCAGAAGGCCGAGGGCCAGGAAGGCGGCGCCCTCATCGGAGCCAGCCTCAAGTACCTGGGTCTCGGGGCAAAGGGCCGCCAGGCGGATAGAGACCCCGAGTCGGCCGCCGAGGAGGGTCAGGCCGGCACGAGCAGTGCGCCGCCCAGCCGGCCGCCGTTCAAGACTGGTTGGTCGGGCTTCACCAGGGGCGGCGCGGAGCAGGCGCGGAGGAAGAGCGTGGCACAACAGCAGCAGGCCGACGACGACAAGAAGATTCGATTTACGATTGGCGGTGTCGGCCAGCGCATGACCAAAGAGGACTTCATCATGGAAGTGCAGAAGCTGGACGCGGGCACACGCAAGGAGGTCGTCGACCACTCCTCCGCATCGACTGCCCTTAAGAGCCTCGCCAGGCAGGATCCTCCCAGCAAGGCCGCCGGGCCGCCGTCCGCGCCCCCCATTCCCGTGATTCGCGAGCGCGGCAGCCAAAGCAGCAACGGCGAAGGCAGCAGCAATGGCGAGAGCAGTCGCGCGGGCCGCGGGCGCTCCGAGTCCCTCTCCCCCGGCCGTCGACCGGCCCAACCGGCGAGCCGATCGCCGACGTCGAAGGTTGAGCGCGCGACCGAGCAAGAGGAGACGGCCGTCGAGCGTAAGCGCAGGCTGGCCGTCCTCGCGAGCCAGACGGAGGGCAACGAGGAGGAAACGGGCGAGACACCAGCCGAGCGACGACGACGACAGGCCGCGCTGGGTATGGCGCATGGCGCGACGGCCGAGGACAGCGACAGCGACGACGAGGGCACGGAGCGCGTGCCACCCGCTAGGAGAGGCATTAGGTTCGCCGAGCCGCAGCGCAGCGGCAAGCATGACAAGCGTCGCCACTGATGCACGTCCGCCCAATGGAGAAGCGAGAGCGTTTTGTGTTGTCTGTTTTATCACATGGCGCAGCCTGAACAGGCGGCCGCGGCGGTTACACGTGTATGAAAATACGAAGCAGCATGCATTGGATGAACGGGGTCCGTCCAGATCGCGGAATGGAGATGCAGAAGGGGCCGGACCCTTCATCCTGGGGTTGTTGAATGTCGTCTTTTGGGGGGAAGGGTTGTTTTTTTTTTTTTTTTTTTTTTTTTTNTTTTTTTTTTTTGCATCGCGCACACAGACGCGCAGCGGGATTCACGTCATACATAGAATAGCATCCGAGAAGAATGCATCGACGAAATGTTGTTTTAATACAAGCACGCTACGGCCATGCAGTTCCATATCGTAGTCTTTCTGTGTGTCCTATGCGCGGATTGTTCTCTCTCCTTGGGCTACGTTGGTGTGATTCCGGGATGTGCTGATTCCTGATAATGGGTGTTATGAAGTGCCTGTTATGTATGATATGATGTCTTGCGTCTCTTTGCAATCAATGTGGTCCGTGTGGTGGACGTGCTCCCTGCTCGGCGGGAGAGGAGGTGGGTGGGCGCGGGACGGTCCGCGGCGACTCCGTGCGGTGTGATGGAAGGCGTTCCAACTGACTTCCGTCGCATGTAGCTTCGAGCCCGTCTGCTTTAGCCCCGTACTCCCCCTTCAACTTCGCGCAAGTCCGCCGACGACGCGACTTCGCTTGCCTCTCGCGTTCAAAAACCGCCCATCATTGTTACAGTGCTGGTCTCACAAATCACTCTGTACTCGTATTCAATGTTGCAGCAAACGCACATGGGGTGCAACATGCATAAGCTGTCACGTGAGGGTCAACTGGACACCTCTACCCCTGGTCGTCGTCCTTCTCATCAGCTAGCGCGCCGGCGTGCTGGTTCGTCCTCAGATCTAGTCTTGGCAACACCTTCTCCATTTCGTCATTCGTCTTTGTATTTGCCAGCCAGCGCCGTCCTACTTGCAGCGAGGGACACCAAGCACACACCATTGCAACAGTAAGAAGGGTGATGGAGTGAGAGACACGAGTGGTTGCACGGGGAGCAGATCATGGTCGCATAATTTACTACTACTTCTCCTGTATCACGGCAAAGACGCCGCCGCTCACCCCCAAACCCTCCATCACCGCATGCTGGCGCCATGGACGGCGGCGGCAGCAGCGGCCAGCAAGACTCGCCGCTGAGCATCACTTCCAACATTGTCGGGCTGCTGACCTTCCTCGTGGCGATTGCGGCGGCCGCCTACGCGCGCGTCGCGTACCTGCGCAACAGCGACGACGAGTACTTTCGCGTCAAGGCCTCGCTGTCGTGGTACAAGACCGAGTCGCGCTGGCTCTCGGACCTGCTCACGGCGCTGTACGTCGAGCACCACCAGCTGCTACGCCGCCAGCAGGAGAAGCACGGCACTCACGGCCAGGTCGGCCCGGGTGACGTGCCGCCCCGCAGCACCGAGTTCGAGATGTACTCTTTCGTCATGGACGACCTGCTCAACCTGGAGCAGCGGCTGCTGGACCTGGTGACTGAGGTGGAGGACAAGGTGTCGCGGGGTAGCCAGGGCGGCTTCACGCTGGTGCGCGGCGGGCGGCGCGCAGGCCTCCCGTCCGTGGGCATGGCGTGGCTGCCGGTGCGGACCAAGGCCCTCGAGCTCGTCCGGCAGCGCGAGGCCCTGACGGCGAGGGTGCAGTTTCTGCAGATGAGCATGATGTCGTCGCGGCTCAGGGACCTGGAGGCGAGGACCAAGTGGGCGGAGGCCAAGTTTGAGGAGGGCCTGATGAACGGCGACGCCCAGCACCGAGGGTGGATGAATGGAACCCATGTACCAGTCCGGGGCAGCCGCTGATGCGGGGCAGGGCCTCTTGATCGTACTTGCAACTTTGCACACAAATCCCATCAAGATCATGTTGATACGCCCGGAGCGCATGCAGGTCCCTGCTCCTCAGATCACGACAAGCGATGCGTGCCAGTCTGTCATTTAATGTCGTATCCGCCTTGCCAGAGAAAGGCGCCGGCAACGGCAAGGCTCGCCACCGCGGTGACGAGGTCGAGCTCCATGACGGCCCACAGCCAGAGGCAGCCCAGCGGAGGCGCCTGCTTCATGGTGGCCAAGTAGCCGTACGTGTTGGTGATGTAGATGAGGTAGCAGCCAGACACGACGCTCATGGCGAAGAAGATGGCCTGGCCGAGCGGGCGCTGGTAGCTAAGCGGCAAGCCAGGGACGATGACCGGGTTCGAGGCGTGCGGGTGGAGGAAGTAGAAGAGGAAAAGGAAGACTGGAGGTGGTGTAAAGTCAGCGGCGGCCAGTTGGTCGGGGAATTGGTCCAGGGAGAGAGTGTTTACCAAGCCAAGCTGTCACGCCGCGGACGCAGACGTCGTGCCAGGAGATCGTCGTGCCGTACTGGTGCTGGACGAGAACGTCAAAGGTAAAGTGCAGCATGGCGAGCGAGACGGTCCAGAGCATGGACTCGAGGACGCGCTCGGCGCCGGGCGAGATGGTGGCAGCCCCCTCGTCCTCGTCCTCGTCGCTATCGTCGCCGCTGGTGTCCTCGCCGCCATCTTGGCCGTCGGCGCGGCGCCTCTCCCGGGCCAGCTGCCTCTCGCGCCGCGCGGCCTGCTCAAAGAGGTTGCGCTCGCCGGCAAAGTCGAGCAGCGTCTTCTCCGAGGGGGCGCTGCGGTCGGGCTGCCGCAGCTTGATGTTGCCGGCGGGCGTGACGACCTTGCGCTGCCTGGCCATTGGGGGCGTGGGCGTGGACGTGGATGTGAGCGTTGACTGCTGGGCGGGATGCGGGATGGAGGAGGGCGGTTTTCGTGGAAGCGTCAAGCGTTTGTCGGACGTTGCGAGTGCGTTGGCAAGATCGGAGATGGACGGTTATGGTGGATGAGGTGCAAAGCAGGTGCTTGGGGAGCCCCACTTCGACAAACAGATTGTGGGAGCTTGACAACCACCTCGGTGCTTGTCAGCGTGCAGGTGTGCCCCTGAAGCGGCAGCTCACCTCAATCGCCCGCCGAGCTGGAGCCCCCGGGAAGAAAACGGTCCCCTAAAATGACATCAGGCCGGCGCTGCTGCTGCAACGGGTGCCGCCACCAACAGCGGCAGCGCTAGCCTCGTTTTTGACAGCGCCATGCCCTGCACCACAGCAGGCACCCGACGGGACACCAGCACCAGCACCGACCTTCAATTGCGCCGTTGCATTTTCAGGGGCTGCCCCCCCCCCTCCATCCCCAGGGCAGGCAGGCGGTCAACCTCCACCGCCCGGGCTCGTCGCCCCCCGGTCCGATTCAACAGGATGGAGATGCCCATCAGGCAAGGTAACTGGTCCCATGATCTCCGGGGGGGCTCGCTCGCTCACGCGTGTAGGTGTCCCCCAACAGAGAGCGCGCGCTGCCAAAGAAGGGCTAGCCGCGGCCGGCAAATAAATGGGCAAAGGGGACGACAGAGTCGAAAGGTGGCATTTCTGGACTCGTTGGACCGACTCCATACTACCTTACCTTTTTGCCCGTCCCGTCAACCCACTTTCTTCAACTCTCTCTCTCTCCATCCTCCACCCTCGCCGCCCCTTGCATCGAACGTCCCCTCACCGAGGTCCCTAGCCCTTGCTTCGCGCTCTGCGTGGCCTGCACACCAGCCCGGCTCGTCTGCCATTGGGGGCGGCCCCGCGGAGCATCCTCTCTGCACGACGCGAAAAGAGGAAAGGCGGCCGCACCCTCGCTCGACAGGAAATCGTACACCCCGTCGTCGAACTTGCATTGCGCCGCAGCAGCAGCAGCAGCATCCTCAGCAAAACCACAGCCCGCGCCCAAGCGCGCGCCGCCCGCCCGCCGCCATGGGACCGCTCCTCGTCCTCGCGGCCACCCTGGCGGTGCTGCTGCCCATCCTCTACATGTACACGGTCAGCGTCGTCGCGACGCGCTTCCCCGCCCTGCGCAACAAGCGCATCTGCCTGCTCATCGCCCACCCGGACGACGAGGCCATGTTCTTTGCGCCCACCGTCCTGGCCCTCACGCGGCCCGAGACGGGCAACCACGTCAAGATTCTGTGTCTCAGCACGGGTGAGTGGCCCTCTGCCTGCCGCCGGCCCGCGCGCCAATGGCTCGGGAGTCGGGAGTCATGACTTGGGAAAGTTTCGCGGGTCGCCAACTGACCAATTGTGCGCTGCAGGCAACGCGGACGGCCTCGGCGAGACGAGACGCAAGGAGCTCGTCAAGAGCGGCATGCAGCTGGGCCTGCGCGACGAGGACGACGTCTTTGTCGTGGACAATCCGTGCGTCGCCCTCTCTCCTTTCCAATTGCCGAACTGAGCTGACTTGCGGCCCCATTGCTGCCACTCCAGAACCGACTTCCCCGACTCGATGACGACGACGTGGGACGCGGACACAATCTCCAACCTCCTGTGCAGCGCCTTTGCGCCGCAGCTGGCCCGCCAGCGCGCCGACGACGCGGCCAAGCCGACGGCCAACATCGACGTGCTCGTCACCTTTGACGCGGGCGGCGTGTCGTCGCACCCGAACCACATCTCGCTGTACCACGGCGCGCGGGCCTTCGCGGCGGCCCTCGTGCGCGGCAAGGCGGGCTGGGCCGCGCCCGTCGACGTCTACACGCTGACGACGGTGGGCGTCGCCCGCAAGTACAGCTCCTTCCTCGACGCCTTCGCCACCATGGTCGCGTGGGCGCTCGGCCTGCGCCACCAAAAGGACCGCGCGCACCCGGCCGGCCTCGTCTTCATGAACCAGCTCGTCGGCGCGGGGGGGTTCTCCACCGCCTGCGGCGCCATGACGGGCGCGCACAAGAGCCAGATGGTGTGGTTCCGCTGGCTGTACATTGCCTTTAGCAGGTACATGGTCATCAACGACCTGCGGCTGGAAAAGGTCAAGGCGAAATGACTGCCGGCGGCGGGATGTCAAAGGGGCGGTTGCATTGCTTTGCGTCGACGGCGGCAGCGGGAGCCGGACGATAAAGGGGAGGAGCGTAATGACGCACAGGCTTTCCAGGCTAGACGGGTACATAGACACCACATATACATTCCCCCAAAAGATCCATCATCAGCCATCCTGCGTCGTCTTTTTAGACTGAGACCGCGGCCGGCCCTCGTCCGCTTGGGTGGTTGTGGTTGCATCCCGGCCATGCATGCAGGTCCACCCCCCTTTTGGCACCTGCAGCAGCCCACGTGCCGCTAGCACTAGCACACTGACTTGGTGTTACTCCCGCCTTCGTCCTCCCTCCTGCGGACTGACTCCCTGAAGAGAAAAAGCGCGGACGTGTCATGTCTGTCAATACGATGCTGCGCTTGGGCGGAGAGAATCTGCTCATGTATTCAATGCCCATAGGAGTGAGTACCCGCCGTCTGGCCGTTACGTGCCCAAGCCCCTCTCCGGTTCCTGCTCGGCAGGCAATCACGTCTTGGCATAATGTATTACGCGCCGCTGCGAAACTCAAGAAGGGCTCCCCTTTCATCCATAGTGTGCGCATCGCTTCCTCCAGCAGAACCGGATCCGTGTCCTGGACAGCATTCCCGACCGCAGTCTGTACAGCTCCCGTTCACGCCATGCGGTGCCGTGCCGTGCTCCGCGGTGGGGCGCACCGTGACAGCTCGGGGCGCCGGTCATGTGGGGCCGGCGTCGGCGGTGACAGGCGTCGATGAAGAATCAACGGGGCGGGGGGGGCCATGGCGGGCACCGGACCTGTGCGACGAACCCGGACCCCGGGCGCCGTGTGCACACACTCTCCGCACTCGGGGATGAGATCAAACCGCGCCCTTGGAAAGACTCTGTGTGGTTGACGAAACGTCGTGCAGCAGCAGCACCAGTAGCTTCGCCATGCATACCGCTTTTTCGCAGCAAAAGGAACTTGTTGCGCTGCCCGTCTGTCTGTCTGTCTGTGGCTCTGTGCTTTTGATCGGTAGGGCGCCCAACCAGACGACGACACCCACCCCCGGCCCGCCACACACGCACCACCACCAGCCCGTCCCTCCCTGCCGGCGACAATAAGGCGCACCCTCTATTCAGCACGCCCGTGCTGCCCTCTGCCCGAGTCCTCAGACACATCTAGATGTGTATAAGAGACAGGTCCCTCCCTGCCGGCGACAATAAGGCGCACCCTCTATTCAGCACCTGTCTCTTATACACATCTAGATGTGTATAAGAGACAGGGCGCACCCTCTATTCAGCACGCCCGTGCTGCCCTCTGCCCGAGTCCTCAGCCCTCCCCCCCCCCCCCAAGGTTTGCGCGCGCGCACGCAGGCGGGTGGCCCCTTCTTCTTTTCCTCTTTAGCATCGTAGCCGCTGCACAAGTGTCAAGACCGTGCGTGTCTCCTCCAGCTCGCATCTTTTTTCTGCACTACTCCATCATCTCTGCAGCACTGGCCCTCGGTTATTATTACATCTCTCTGTTCTGTGATGCGGCCCCGAACGCCATCCCGGCGATAGCACCTCGAGCTCCCTCTCTCCTCTTGAGAAGACGTCAGTCAGACCCGACCCAGAACAGGGGAGGCGGTTCGCCCGCCCACGCACGCACGCACGCAACGCAGACGCACACCACGTGCACAAAGAAACTGCCCCTGGCCGGGGCGCCGCCCAAGGAGCGAATGTTCGCCGGCGACCTCGTCCTCATCCAGCCCGCCGCCGCCGCCGCCGCCGCCCGACGACAACGACCACGCTCCGAGTCCATCCCCCTGCGCGTCCTGCGCCACGACGGCTCTGACGCCCGCGCCGGCGGGCCACGGGGATGGTCCTTTGCGCGCGACGAGGGCCCAACTGGTGCGCGGAGCACGAGGTCCTCGTCCGACTCAAGCGGCGTGAGGACGGCTGTGGAGGCGCGGAGGGGCGGCACGCCGAAGCAACGGCAGGCAGCTACGGGTGGCAAGCCCTGATCAAAAGTCATCCCGAACGACATGGCAGCGAAGAAAGCACGAACTCGGCACGGTAATCGGGCAATTTCGTGGCACCAGGGGCGAGATCAGGAGAAGAGCAGGGACACTCGACTACTCCGACGCCTCGATAGTATATAACAAAAGTTCATGGATTGGTGGATGTACATACGTGTACCATTGCAACCAACATGTCTATAGTCATCAAGAGATGTCGCCGTCAAAATCATACACGAGGCCAATACGCCCTCCGTGCCGCCATGCTCCCAGAAATCCCATGCGCTAGCCCATTCAAACAGCACGTAGGCAGACAGTCCTACAGCACCCGCAGCCCTACAAGCCAAACACCACACACGGCTAGAAATGCACGCTCCGCTTCTTCTGCACCTTCTTCCGCTTGTCCTCGTCGGACCGGTGGAAGAAGCCGCTCACGCTCGCCCCCGCGGGCCCGCCGTAAGGGCCCGGCATCAGCGACCCTAGGCCGCTGCCTGAGGGTTTCTTGCGCCCGCCCTGGTACTGGTCCGGCCTCGGTGGCGGCCCCACGCTGTTCGGGCGGGCTGGCTGCGGCGGCGCCGGACCGCTCATGGGACCGTACCACCCGGCGGTCGGGGGGTAGAACTGGCCCGGGTTCGGCCGCGGCGGCAGCGCGGGGGACGTTGACTGAGCCGGTCCCGGGGCGGGGACCCCGTACTCCTTGCGCAGCCGCTCCGTCTCCTTCTCCACCTCGGCCTCGCGTCTCCGGCGCTCCTTGTCCTCCTGTTCGAGCATCTTCTTGATGCGCTTCTGCTCCTCCAGGTCTCGCTTCTCGCGCTCGCGGGCCTTGCGACCCTCCTCGGCCACCATGGCCTGCAACCTCTTCGTCTCGGCCTCGATCTCGGCCTGCTGCCGGGCGTCTCTCCGCGGCGGCGGCGGGGATGTTGACACGGGCCGCACGCCGGTTGATGGCGGTGCGTCACCAAGCGCTCCCGACACAAACGCGAGCTGTGACGACGACGCGGCCTGTGGGTTCGAGCTCTTGCGGGTTCCGTTGACATGCGTGGGCCCCGCGCCGACAGACGCCGCGTTGAAGGGATTGTGCCGCGGGACGAGGTACAGGTCCCGAATCACCTCTGCGCTCAGGATGAAGGCGACCTCGAGCCCCTTGCGGTCCTCGACGTCGACGCGCGCCATGTTGGGCTCATATATCGTAACCATGCCTTCGTTCTTGCCCGCGCGGAACATGGCGACGGTGATGTCGGGCTCCTTGTTCTTCTTGCCGCCCACGCTCCGGCCAGACATGTAGCACGTCATGTCCTTGCTCAGGCGGCCGTCGCGCTTCCACCGGAACACGACCTTGGGCGTCAGGTCGGCTCCCTGCGCGGCGCCGTCGGCGCCCTCGCGGTCGATGCGGCTCGCGCTGGGCAGCCGGAAGCTGCGCTCCGGCACCTCAAAGTCCCAGGCATCCGACTTACCCCAGCTGCCCGGGCGGTGGCGCACGACGACGGCCTGGTCGGGGTTGTAGAGGGAGACGGCGAAGGAGTCGGGCGTGAGGGGCACGGGCGACGTGGAGCCGCCGTTGGCGCGGATCTCGGCGGCGGAGAGGGTGGGCTGCGTCCACGAGGGCTCGACGAGGACCTCGGCGTAGACGACGGACGGGTAGTGCGCGTCGAGCAGCCCGAGGGCGTACTTGTTGCGCGCCTCGGGGGCGGAGGGCCGCTTGAGCAGGTACTCGGGCGAGGGCTCGGAGCCGTTGTGGGTGAAGTAGAGGACGGTCTGGAGGGGGTTGTCGGACGAGGGCTGGAGGCGGTACGTCGGGAGGTTCTCGTCGAGCATGGCGGGCGGCCGGGTGTCGACTGACCGTGGGCGTCGAGCCTGTGGTGGGTGGTTGCGGACGATGCGCCGCGCTTGTCGAAGTCGGGATTGAAACGGCCGTCAAGCTATGATGAGGGGATGTAAGGAGTAAAAGGCCGCCTCTCCTCGCCGGTCAGCAGGTCGTTTTTGTCGTCAGCTACAGCAGGGTCGCAGCGTAGTGTTGCAGTCGATACGACGGTGCTGCGTATGTAGATGCAATTGCAACAGAGGGCACGTCGATAGAACACGACGAAAGTGGGATGGCTCGCCACGAAGATGGAACAATGCTAGGTTAAAGCACCAAGGCGAGGGTCCAGTGTTTGCCGTGCGCGCACGCGTTGCCGTGGATAAACATAGAATGGGCGGGCGGCTAGGCGGGATAGACTCGACCAGGAAAGGCAGTCGGCAAGGCGGAGAGGATGCGCATGGGCGGTTCGTCGAGACTCAAAAAGCGGTGGTGCATCCATCAACTGCTTTGGTGGTGGTGTTTGCATTGCGTGGCTGCTGGGGCCAGTGCGTCATTGGAGCCGTGGCTGCGCCACGACGGACGCCTCAGGCGATTGGCTCGCTGGCTACAGTGGGCGTTGCGGCGTGGAGACAGCTGGAGGTGCCCGCCCGGCACTGGCCTCCTGTTGTCGCCAGCGAGCGGGACCTGCCTGTGGACTCTGGACGGGAGTACGGAGTACAGTGGTAGTGCACCATCAGCCCCAAAGGTCAGCGAGGCTGTGCTGGCGCCGGGAGGAGGCAGTTCGCAGCCCGTGGAGGTGAGGCCGTCCAAGCGCCATCTCCCCGGAGTTCATGCCGGAGGGTGCGTGCGCGTCGCAGTGAGAGACGGTGTGAAACAGGGCAGTGAGGGATCTCAGCGCTGACGAGTCTCGGTGCGCGTCGTCGAGGCTGGGCGCTGATCTAGGACATCTAGGACATGGCAGCCATGTCTTGCTTGTCATGAACCGTTACTTGTATTATGTAGTGAGAGCTTGCTTCTTCTTCTCGGCCGAAAAGTAGACTTGGCGGCTGCTCAGCACCCTCCAGCTCGCACAAGAGAGACACAGTTTCAAGCTATCTGCCAGCAACACCGCTTGCTCCCCGATACCCTACTGAGTCCCCGTGACCGCTCAAAGCAAGCGAAGAAGCTGTCGAAAGCCCGCGGTCCGCCACATGCCAGCCAACGCCACCGCCCAGACGCCAAGCACCCAAATCAAGAAACCAGCCGTGTCTGAATGTATGCCTGTATCGATGGATGGATAGGCTTGTACGTGTGTGTGTACGTGTGTGTGTGTGTGTGTGTTTGTGTATGTGTGTGTGTCAGCCCGTCTCTTTCATGCATCATGGCATCGCAACGCCCCTCTATGCCCCGATCCCTCACGTCGGGTCCCTGGGCGGCGGGCGCGGCGGCTCCTCCTCTTCCCGTGCTCCATGCCCGCCGCCGTCGCCGCTGCTCCCTCCGCCGGCGCCGCCGCCGGGTCGACGGCGCCTCCGCAGCCACGGTATCCTGTCGTCGAGCGGCCTCCTCGCCGGCAGGCCCCTCCGCACGCGCTCCTGGCGGCGCCGCCGTCGCACCTCCTGCTGCCTACGCCCGAAGCACGGCACCCAGCAGCAGCAGACGCCGCCGAGGATGAGCCCCAGCGCGATGCCGATGAGGAACCCCCTGATGATCTTCTCGCCCGAGGAGCCCCCGCCGATAAGCTCCAGCACGCGCTCGCGAATGTCAATGTCCCCCGGGAGTGTGTCCAGCGACGACGGCGTCGCGGCGTGCGCGAGCGACGAGGTGAGCGAGGCGGGCGCGAAGGGCGGCTCGTTGGGGCCGGTGGTGGTGGCCATGGTGGGCCGTCACCGTCGTCGGCGACTTTGTGGGTGTCGACGTCGAAGGCCCGCCTTGTAGTAAGGGAATGAATGACTTTATTTTGCGGCTTGACGGATGTTGTTCGCAGGCGTCGTCGTGGCAGTCGTCGACGGGCGCGATGCCTCTCGAGGCGAGTATTTCAGTAGTATTTTTTGAGCGTCGAGAAACGGACGTCGTCGTCGCCGTCGTTGTGTCGTGTGCGCTGCCGCCACTTCCGGGCGCCCGTCAGGATTATGCGTCTGTGTGCGTGTGTGTGTGAACGGACGGGCGGCACGGGCGTTGCATGCCGCGGCCACGCGGGTGTGGCCTGGGCAGCTACAGCGAGAGCAGCAGCACCCCACGGAAAAGGGCGTAAGCAAGCTGGGCCGTCATCCACGATTCCAAACGAGCGGTTCGAGGTGGCGAGCAGCGAGGGGTGTGACAAAGAGGCGCCCGCGAGGTGAGAGGGGACGACGCCCAACAGTAAGTCCGCAGCAGAGGCGTGCGCGGCGATGTTGGTCGTCGTCGTCGATGTCGCCGTCCGCCTGTCCGTCGCCGCTGTGCCTCCACTGCCAAGACGAGCTGTCGACTGAGCCACAGGCTACCCTTGACTGCTCACTGCTGGGGTCCTGGAGGGCGGGGGGGATCGCAGCAGACCAGAGGGTTGGTCGTTGACGCTTCGCAGAGAGAAGGAAACGAGATCCGCGGGCCGGCCGACAAGACAGCCCAAGTGTGCGGCCTCGAGGGTTGTAAGGGGAGAGGAGGAAAGTGTGTCGAGAGGCGGATGAATGAATGGTGGCGGATTGGGGGACCGCATGCACTGCCGGGTTAGCCTTAGCTGGCGTAGCTAAGGTGAGGGAGGTAGGTATGGAGGGCAGTACGAGCTACGGCGCTGCTATTGGGGAGCAGGTATGTGATGGAAGCGCGCGAGGTCGGGCACACAAACTCCGGTCGACCCAAGCAAGCCTCCCAAGCTTCTTTTCTCCGGGTGTGTCCGTGCCTCCTGGCCGTCGCCCGTCCAGGACTTTTGACACTCGCTTGACACTCACTCTCTCAGCGAAGCAGCTCTCACTTGCCACTCATCGTGTGTATCCTGCGTGGTACAGCACAGCACCTCAATTGCTGTAAAATGTAATACATGCACACGGGGCACGATTGTCGAAGGGTCCGGCTGCCTCCCTCGGCGTGCATCGCTAGCCGCATGGACGCGCCCGCGAAGGGAAGCTGGTCGCCCTCTGCCAAGGGACCTTCTGGGCGTGATTGGTTCTTTTGTTCCTCTCGCCATGCTGCCCTCGAATACCTGAGGTATCCAACACGGCCTGGCATCAAATCATAGACTGCAACGGTCGGCGTGGTTGGTTAGGTCTGCCCGTCCAGCCAGGCGCCCCGTCCTGTCGACAACGAAGAGTCAATCCAGTCCTGGATGCAGGGCCACTCGGTGCGCTGAGAGACGGGAGGGTCGCCCGCCATCCCGATGCCCCCCGGCGCTGCCCTGGGCTTCCCGCTGTCCCGCCGCACCCACTCATCCACTGATGGATGGTGGGAGGGTCTCCACCCCCGCACCCGCAGGCACGCAAATCGACCAGGGGGGCATCGGTGGTTGGAGCCCCCCAGCACGTTTGGCGCACCGCCAGAATGGGTGCTCTCCCACCTAGAGGCCCAGGTACAGTACAACATGGGCACGTTCTTAACACCACCACCACCACCATCATGAACCCAGGCTTTACGACGTCGTCGCGTAAATCCCCCCATTAACATATCTGTGCACCGTCCGCCGCGAAAGGCACCACCAACTTCACTGAGAGCAATAAAGCTCAATTATTTAGCTCCAATGTCCTAGGTAGACAGGGATCCGGCCTGTTAGTCTACAGGCAGCCATGCAGGGCGGCCCTCCACTCTCTTGCAAGTCAGCCTCACGGCTCGCCCCAGTGCCGGTATATAAAACGGCGTCAAGAGCCGCACGCGTCAAGCCCAAGCCTGTTCCGCCGTGTTCTGTCCCATCCCATCATGGCAGCGGTAACGTCTTTGCCCGAGGTCATTGACCTCACCCTTGACTCCGACGATGACAGCGATGAAAACACCAAGCCGGCCTCCGTTCTCACTCCCACCAGCATCGTCTTCAACACCCATCCGCCGCCCCTCTCCCAACCCATCCAGCGCCTCCCCCCCTCCGTCGGCCCCTCCCTCACCAAGCTCTCCCGCGCAGACCACCGCACGCTCGTCGAGAAGCGCACCTGGCTGCAGACGCACAAGGTGGCCGTTCCATCCATCTGGCGCGCGGCTCCGTCGTCTTCGCGCGCGAGCCGTCACAAGGCCACTCCCTGCAACGACACCGTAGCCAGCACCAACAGCAGCAGCAGCAGCATCGCGACTGGTACCCCCGTCGACGCAACCCTCGTCTTCGCCCAGCAAGAGGCCGGCACCGCCGTCTGCCTCTCCCCGCGCGGTCTCCTCCTCACCTGCGCCCACTGCATCGCCGACTCCCCCGACGACCTCTCCTTCGCCCGCACGCACTGGCTGCTCTTCCCCTCCGGCGCGCTCGTCGCCGCCGTGGCAATCGCCTGGGACCCGCACCGCGACCTCGCCCTCTTGCTCGTCACGCGCTGCTCCGCGTCTCCGTCCCGGGCCCTGGTCGTCCCGGAGCAGCTGCCCTTCCCGCACGTCCGCGTCGCGCCCTCCGCCCCCCGTCCCGGCGCCCCCCTCGTGTGCATCGGCCACCCCGCCGCCGAGGACCTCGAGCACCCCGTCGCCGGCACGCAGACGGGCTACGACGTCCTCGTCGTCAGCACGGGGTCCTACCGCGGCCTGGCCCCAGGCCCGAGCCCGAATCCGAATCCAGACCCAGACCAAGACCTGGGTTCGCACCCGGGCCAGTACCAAGACCCCCAGGACAACGCCGACATTGGCGCCCTCATGCACGACTGCTGGACCTACTGGGGCCACAGCGGCGCGCCCCTCGTCGAGCGCCGCGCCGCCGGGGCGCTCGTCGGCCTGCACTCGAGCTGGGACGACGAGACGGCCATGCGCAGGGGCGTGCCGTGGGAGGCCGTCACGGCGTTCCTCGGCGAGTGCGGCGAGCGGTTCGAGGCCCAGGCGGCGGGCGACTGGCCTTGGTTCGTGAAATGAAGTAGTCTGTTGACCCGGCCTGTCGTGCAAGCCTCCTGTGTAAGCTGTACATCTCGACTCGTCGTCACATGCGCCGTTCTCAGTGGAAATCCCTGGGAAATGAGAGACGATGCCACGCCGCGTCAGGTATGATCGGGCGAATCGCATTCATATCGACATACAGTCCGCTCTTGTACATGGCCAGCCTGCCTTGCCCCTCAGGGTCCTCGCGTCCTCGTCCAACTCCATGTCCAAAGCCTCGTCGTTCTCCGCCCCTGTAAATCATGCAGTCCTTCTGCGATCCGGCTGTCGTGATGCTGCCACTGTAGAGAGCCTTGCTGGGCATGTCCCAACGGCTTGCGCTTGCAGCACCCGAGCTCAGCAGATTGGCAGTTGCCACGGGTAGACACGGCTTCGCGGTCTGGTAGCTCGAGGCTGCCCGATCCTCGCGTGGGTTGATGTCGGCCCCCGTGGTTCGACGTCTCCTCATCTTAGCGCCAGGATTGGGGCTCTCATATGATACCACCTGGGGGGTCGTATCCAGTGGCCGCCCCGCGTGCTGCGCCTCCCATACCGCCGCTCCCGGGATCGTCCACTTGCGCGCTGTTTGTCTTTCGCAACATGAACATGGGCTTCTTTCCTTCCTTGTCTAGCTGCTTGAACAAGATCAAGGGTTTCTCGTCCATGCCGAGACAGCGCTCTTGATCGCCGTACACAATGTACAACGCATACTGGTCCCACGGTGCATTGATTTGATACTTTTTGAGGGCGGCTGGAAGCACCTTGTGGCACGGGTCGTCCATGCTCACGCGGAAGGACTTGAATATCTCGACCGAGGCATTGCTTGTGCTCGGCGTGTCTGGTACCGGCGTCTCCCTTCGTCTCGGCGGCACCCCACTCGACAGCTTCTCGCGCCCACCATAGGTTGAGTGATCCGTCTCGTTCAACGTCGTTCTGTTCGAAGTGACGATGGAGTCGCCGCGATATGATCGAGAAGCCAGGGTCGCGCCGCTGAGATGGTTTTGCGGTGACGTCGGGGAGGGCATGTTTGGAGAGGGGTATGCTGAGTTCTGGCCGCCGCCGTTCATGGCTGCAAGGTGCGAGGACGACATGACGGCCCTTTCCGCCGCGCTGGCAGGATCCAGTGTCTGCTCGGCTATCGTCCTCTCGTGTGATGGTTGTGTCGGCGAGTTGCCTTTGGGCGTCGCCCCGATGAGAATCTTCCGCTGCGAGTACGATCGCATGACGCCGGGGCCGGGGCCCTGGCCGGGAGGTGGAGTTGGACCTGGTGGTGAGATGGTCGGTTCGAACGTGTATGCTCCGCTGCCGCTCAGGTTAGGCAGCGGTTGTTGCGCGTCTTTGACGAGGCGTAAGGCTGGGAGCATGTCTTCGCGAAGGCGTCGAAAGTCGTCCGTCATCCGCCGTAAATCTTGTTCCAGTAGACTCATCCGCTCGTCTCGTAGGCGCAGCTGCTCGACTAGATGTTTGATGTCTTTCAGGGTCGCCGTGGCGTACTGTGCTTCGGCGTCGGCAGCTACGTGGCAAGAGCACGACAAAGTCAGTCGAACAATCACGCAAAATCCGTTTTGGGGGGCGATGCTTACACAATGGCAGGTAGTGATCGCTCTCGATGGGTACGTCTTGTGCTTTCTTGACGTCGTAGACGCTCTTCAAGATGGTCAACCTGTGGCCGACACTAGCGATGCCCATGCTCTTCAGGTCGTCGTGTTGCAGCGCCACGAGCGCCTCGCCGACGATTTCGTTTTCTGAGTAAGGGGTTCCTAGTCAGCAATCGATCGAGCGTGCCCGGGTGCTTGGGCGAGGCGCAGCAGGACGCATGTCCAACAGAGGGTGGCCAACATACCGACGAATCGATCAGCATACTGAGGCAGGCCGATGGTGCCGATGAAGTCGGCGCACTCGTCAGCGGTCCACTCGGTGATGATGGTCTCGGGGAGCCTGTCGGCGCTGGCGCGGTGGGCATATGTGGTGGGCGTGTGTTCGGCCGACGTGGACAGTTCGGAGTCGATGGGGGAGGCCTCGGAGTCGCCAACGGGGGAGCGGTCCCCTATGCTTCGCTCGTACTCGTCGTCGGCGTCCGACTCGGCGTAGGCGGTGCCGCCATCGAAGTTCATCGTGTCGACCGAGGGCGGCGGAGCCACGAGGGCCAAGGGGGAGTGCGGTGCCGACTGGTCGTCGCGGCTCGAGGCTTCGGACGTTTTGTGGCTGGCAAGACGTTCCGGAGGCTCGGGAGGGTGCGAGGCGGGAATGGGTGGCACGACCTTGCGGGCGGCGACGGGCGGCCTCAATCAATCGGGTTGAGACAGGCGGCGTCGCTCAGGCGTGGCGGGTGTCGGTGGGCGACGTGGCCGTGGAAGCTGTGCTCGCTGAGCGAGGAGGTCGAGGTTGAGGTCGAGGTTGAGCAAAGGTTGATGGAGGAGGAGGGGCAGGCAGGGTCGGGCTGGCAGAGCAAAGCAGGCACCTCCAGCAAGGAGGCGAGGCGAGGCCAGTCGAGATTGGATTTGGATTGGGCAGGCTGGGCTGGGCCATCCATGTTCGGGCCAGGTTTTGGTGTGCGACGGCGGAGCGGGTGCCGGCGTCAGTGGAGCTTTGAGGGGGGGGGTGATGGGGGGGCTGAGCCCCCCAGCATCCCAGTGGAGGCACTGTGGCCGCGACCTGCAGAGCGCTGGAGGCCGGGCATCTGGGCCCCTGGACATACGGGTCCGCTGCCGGGCTGGCAGCTACAGCGGGGATGGGCGCTGCGTCTAGCGGCCCGTGGGAGCGGTCGAGTGCCTGAATAAGGGAGGGAGTGGAGTGGAGCTGCTAGGCCCCGGCTGAGGTGCAAATACGGCGGCGAGCGGGCCCGCTACAAAGCATACGGACAGTGGGTGAACGACGGCCAAGGGGCGCCGCCAGTCACCACCTAAAGACGCGCTGCGACCTCGTCTTGTCGGTTCGTGCTGGGCGGGCAATGGAGCCAGGGTCCTGTCCGTCATTCACATCCGTGGACAAACGACCAGGCCTCAGCCCCTAACTTTGGTCTCCGAGGCCAAAGTCGCTCAACTGTCCGTGGATGCAGGCACTCGACTCAAGTCCATGGTTTAGCCACGAAGCTCAAGCCCATGACGGTCTCATACCAGGTACTCATCCAAAGCCGCCAGCCAGCCCGCCCAACGCCCAAGACTCCAGTAGAAAGAAGGAGAAGTGCAATGCATCGAAGCCCAGCCGGGCACATCCATGCCACGTCCGGATCGACTCCACCGAGCATGACAGACTCGATCTTAATCAAGTCACAACTTGCAAAGTACCTGCAGATATTAAAGAAGGGTTCCTTTGCACGGCCTGGCTTCTCCAGTCGCACCCGCAGGAGGACGCCCGAGCGTTCGGTCCTGTCCTCTCAGCCCTGCCCTGCCCTGCCCTGCCCTGCCGTAGCTCACCTTGCCCACCTCCCGTGCCTGTGCCGTGCCCCGTGATGCCGGCCCCGAAGTAGAGTCTGTCTAGTCATACAGTCGTTGAGTCCATCTTGACTACTATAGTCTGTCATATCACATCCTCTTCGTCCACCACCACCAAGGCTACGAGGCGGCAGCAAACATGAGCAAGCGGGTCAAGTGCAAAAGCACAGCGATTCCACGACGACGACGACGACGACACCGACGACAACGTGTCTACCTGGCTCCGCAGCACCGTGCCCTCGCCATCCATCCATCCAAGCCATCCATCCCCGAGCTGCCCGCGCATCAACGCCCCAATTTAATAAACCAGCCAGATTCAACCGCCGTTGTCATGCAACTCCACCACCACCGCCGCCACCTGCAACCGCGAGGCCATGGTGCGAATCATGGAGCTCTGGGCCCAAGGCGGCCGGTCCCTGTCGGCTCTCTTCTCTCGTGGAAATGTCTCGTCTCAGGAGAGAGGCAACTGGTCGAGTAAAAAGTACCAATCGTTGTGCGTGCATTATATGGCACGGTACCTCGCTCCGACCTGATACTGCCAGGGTCAACATCGTTATGGTTGCCTTTGGTGGTAACATGTCCCAGCTGCTTGGGAATGTGGGCGTGTAAATGCCAACTCGGTGCATCTCTCGAAAAGGCACGTGTACATCATCGCCGGCAGCTCCTTAACCCACCGATGCCGGATCGTCGCCAGCACCACCACAGGCAATCGGCGGTTGGCCGTGTCCGAAATCTTCATCGGCAGTTGGCGAGATGGTTGGTCGCACGGCACAGCGCCGGCCAGACAGTCGGAGACCAACCACAGCTCGTTCTGTACGACAACCTGCCGTTGCTGCCGTCGCCTTGTCATCACAGGCCACCCGTATAGCGGGATGCCCACGCATGGCATCTTCGAATGCCGTGGCTCAACCACCTACCTTACCTGCCCTGCATTGTGTGATCTGGCACTTCGTAACAGCGAGCAACTTTGCTCCCTGTACCACAGTCATCTCCGACCTGACGTCTCGGCACAGGCCGCCTCATCGTCAGGTTACACCGGACGAGCTTGCATCAGCACGGGCAGGATGGTGAATCGCTAAGCTGCGCTTATACATCAAGCCACCAAGTTAAACCCCCCCGACGAAGGATGGCCTCGACCTATAGTCACCGCTCCCCAACACGTCTTCACCCTCAGGTCCAGCCGTCGTCAAGGAACACTAACCTGAACCACAACCGCCTCTTGTCTCTGCCTCCGCCATCGCCTTCGCCACCACCGACACCGTTTCCTCTCGGTGTGCCTTCGCCTACTCCTCCTACCTACCGGATCGCACCACTCTTCACCTGCCCCCTCCTCGCATCCTCACCGCCGCGCCAAGCATGTAACACCTCCTTCCTCTACCCCAAAGCCTCACACGTCCGGTATAGGCGAACAACCGTCAGGGGTCGCTCGCCCGATCTCTGTCGCCCGCCTGCCCATCTGGCACCCGCCGTCATTGTTTCCCCCGGACCCTGACCCGGCGGCAAACTCAGCGCTGTGGGCCGCCGGGACGCATCCTCCCAAGAGTCATGAAAGCATGCAGGCAGCAGATAGATGGATCGAAGATGCTCGGATTCGATGGAGAGCTGCGAGTAAACCGCCACCGCCGTCGTCGCCGCCGCCGCAAGACCAAGCCCGTCCGAACAACCCCACCATCTCCAGAGCCCAAAACCCCCCGACGACGATCATCTTCCCTCTTTCCTTTCCCTCCCTCCCCGCCGTCCACTCCACTGCTCCCTCTTCCGCCTCAGGAGTCCCCTCCACGATATGAAATCGTGAAACGCCATCACCTCGTATTCTTTTTTGTGTTCCTTGGTCGTCTCCTCCTCCCTGGTCCCGTGTTTCCTGGCCCGCCCGTCACCTCTGGCCCGAGACGGCGGTTTGCCCCCCCTCCTGCTACTGCTCCTCCCCGCCTCAAGCCCTTCACCAACCCGGTACCCCGGTGTCTGCGTTTCAGGTCCCCGAGCGTTTAGCAGATAGATAGACGGGCACTCTTTCGCTGCGGTGGACTGCCTGCCTTCTTTCTGCCTCTTGTCCCTCTCAACATGGAACAAAGAATAAAGGAAAATTATTATTATGGCGCGGACGGACCACCGCGCATCGCCGCCGCCGCCGCCGCCGCCCACGGACGGAAAGAGGAGCGATTCCAAATCACCATTCGTCCCCGTTGTCGTCGTCGTTGTGACTGCTCGCTCCCGTGTGCCTGGTGCCTGGTGCCTGGATGCATGCGCGCGCGTGCGTGCATGCATACGGGCGTGCAGTGTGCAGCGCGCAAAGGCCGATCCTCTGCCTGTGCCTACGTAGGACTTTGTGCCTAGACCTTTGCGCTGGTCTCTGGTCCTTGCGCCGGTCTCTGGACTTTGTGCTCTGTGCCTGGACCTCATGCCTGCGTCCGAGCTCCTGCCTGTACGCATCTCAGCTTAGACCCTTGCCTGTCCCTAGGACTCGTCCCTGAGCCCAAGTCCAAGCCCACCTGCAGGCCATCACCCATGGTTCGATCACCACCATCGTCATCTTTCGCTAGACATACTTCGTAAACCAGAGGGGGAATGGAAGGGACCGTTGACGCCATCGTTTGACGCCACCCCCAGGGCCCGGCGTTTCGGTCCTGACCTACCTAGCTTCACACAGCTCAACGTCGGCGCTTGTCACGTCTCAGCATCGTCCGTCGTCGGCGACCTCCAGGGGAGGCAGCCAGCTTTGGCGCCGTCTCACCCCGTTCAAGGGGAGGGTCGGAACACCGAGCGTTGCTTATCTACACATCACCCCAGCCCTGCCCTCGCGCCGTCAACCGTCATGCGCAGGAACCGCCATATGCAGGCCCCGAGTTAGTCGTCGTCGACTTCACTGTGCTGGTCCAGGCAGTTTATGTCCTTAGGTCGATGAGGTGTATGTTACACTGCTTCGTGCGATGCTATGCCTATGTACCGCCGACCAGCCCACTCTCATCATCGTCACTGCCTCGCCGGGCTTCGAGGCTCGAGTTTCCAATCATTACCGCCACATGTTCCGGCACAAGCAGTCGTCTTCGCATAGAGCTTCGCATAGAGCCAAGGCCCTGGCCCGCCCCTCATCGCATGGGGCTCCCGCCCAGTATTACCCGCCAGGTACCCAAATGCAAATAAAGCCTGTATGTGGAAAAAGTGCTTCGGGCATGGCCCGATTGGCGCTGTCTGCCGGCCGCGACAAACAGTTTCAAGAATGAGACTAGAAGAAGAGGAAGGTGATGATGCTGATCAATGCTCGTGGCCCTTGCGACAAGGGCCAACAGTCTATTCAGATGCGCCCCAAACACCCAGCCCATTACCCGTTTCATGCGTTACCGTCGTCGAAACGATGCCCCCAACTTGACGTCACTATTGGCTAGACCATTACCGCAGCGGAAGCTTGGCGTCCTGGACGCCTCGTTGGATGATGTCCTCGAGGCGCCATCGAGGCGGCTGGATGGGCACCCCGTTCGCGGCCCTCCACTCGCGCTCGTGCTTGGCATCGACGCCGGCGGGAAGCGGCTCCAGGCCTCCGGCCACGCCCGTGGAGAACTTGAGCTGCAGCAGGTCCGCCACCTCGTCGCACGCCGCCAGCAGCCTGTCCAGGTCGTCCTTGTTGTGCGCAGCCGAGATGCAGAAGCGGGCGCGAGAGCTGATGAGGGGCGTGGCCGGGTAGCCGACGACGACGACGGAGATCTTGCGCTTCAGCATCTCGTGGCTGAAGGCCGGCATCTTTCCGGGGTTGTAGAGCATGACCGGGATGATCGGTGAGTCGTCATGGCCGTACACGATGTACCCGAGGCGCTTGAGACCGAGGCGGAGGTAGCGGGAGTTGAAGGCGATGCGCTGCAGGCGCTCCTCGCCTTGGCCCGGGCAAAGCTCGCCCGTGATCAGCTTGAGGGAGGCCAAAATCTGCATGAGCACGCTCGGAGTAGGTGATTCGCCGTACTGCGTGCTCGCGTTCGTGACCCTGAGCTTGTCGATGATGTGCTTGTCCGCGGCAATGTAGCCGCCGTTGGCGCCGAAAGACTTGGTCAGTGTTCCCATGAGAATGTCCACCTCGGCAGGGTCAATGCCAAAGTAGTCGCAGACGCCTCGGCCACGCGGGCCCAGTGCCCCGATGGAGTGGGCCTCGTCGACGAACAGGTAGAACTTGTATTTTTGCTTGAGCGCCAGGATGCCGGGCAGGTCGCACATGCTGCCCTCCATCGAGTACAGACCCTCCACGACGACCAGGATCTTCTTCCAGGGTCGGTGCGTGCGCGGCTGACCCTGGGAGATGGCCTCACGGAGCACCTTTTCGAGGTCGCACATGTCATTGTGCTTGAAGGACTGGATGACGGCATTGGAGAGACGCGCGCCGATACGGATGGAGGCGTGGTTGAGCTCGTCAGAGATGATGAGGCAGCCCTTGGAGACCAGCGCCGGGAAGGAGCTGGCGTTGGTGACGTAGCCCATGGAAAAGACCATGGCGTCCGGCTTGCCGACGAAGCTGGCAACCTCGCGCTCGACCTCGAGGGCGAGATCCGTCGTGCCGGCGTCTGTGCGCGGGCTGCAGAAGCTGACGCCGTATCGCTTGACGCACTCCTCGACGGCATCTGCGCAGGGTCCCTCAGACTGCGCGAAGCCGAGGTAGTTGTACGAGCTCATGTTGAGCGTCTCGGTGTAGGTGCCAGTGTACTGGTAGTTGCGGTTGAAGTCGTCCGACTTGCGGTCCATCAGGGTGATGAAGCGGCCAGGAACGCCGATGGTGGTGCGAGCGAAGCAGTCGTCGAGCCTCATCTTCAACCTACGGGTGTAGAAGCTGTCAAAGTCGTCGTTGAGCGGCGCGTATCCATTCTGGACCTTGAGAGGGTTGTACAGTTTCTTGTCGCCGAATCGCTTGCCGAAGAAGTCGCGGATGTGGCCGAGCAGAATGAGAAGCAGGTAGCTGACGTAGGTTGTGAGGAGGAAATAATACGGGGGCTCGTCCTCGATGGGGGCCGCAAGAGGTTCGCCGTGAGACTTGCTAACATATAGGTGACTCGGATGGATAAGGGGGCCGAACTGGGCGTCGACGCGCCTGCGGTGGTCCATCTCCTCGGCCGACTGGGGCTTGAAGAGCGTCGTGGTGGGCGGCTCGACGTTGTGATCGCCGGCGACGGCCGTGGACAGAGAGATGGTGGGCAGGGAGACGGACGGCGGGGTGATGGTGGGCGCGGCGGCACCATTGAGTCCCTGCTGCTGCAGTTGCTGCTGCTGCTGCTGTTGCTGCATGGCGAGCAGCGCCTGCTGGGCGGCCGTGTGCTCCTTGGACTTGGGGCTGGAGGAAAAGAGCTGGGCGAGGCGGTTGCCCTTGGAGGCGGAGGGGCGTCTCTCTCCCGTCTTTTCGGACTGGGGCATGGCGGAAGAGGTCGAGAAGGGGTTTGCCAGTTTGCGGGGCATGTCTCCGGGGCGGTCAATCGCAGGAGCAGCTGGCAACAGGCGCGCGGCGAGGTAACGGTCCGAATCGGGACCTGGGTGGTAACGTCGACAAACTATTCGATGCAGCGGGCGGCCTGCAGGGAGTGTGCTGCACGTTGGGAGTGGTCAGCGCTTGGGGTTCGGACGTAAAGAGATGGTGGAACGGCGCGTCTGCCAGGGCAAGCCGTCGACGCGATGGCAGTGCATGACGGCCGCGTGGCCTGACGCATAATGCGTGCGTGCTGCGGCAACGACGAGGGCGAGGCAGGCCCGTCCTGGCCGGGATGACGGTGGCGATGGTTGCGCAGAGCGACGACTGTCCATCCAGCCGGTGCAGGAGCCGGGCTCCGTGCCTCCCCAGCATCCGGTCACGTCGGACAGCGACAGAAGACCGTCAAACCCCAGAGGGCCGCCGCGGCCGCCGCGGCGAGAAGGCGCGCATGCTGGCCGCAATGAGGTCCTCGCCGCCTTGCTCGGCGTGAGGCAGGAAAGCGCCCCTCGATCCAGATGCGCGCCACGCACAGAAAGCTCAATTGCAGCGGCCACTGGCGAGGCGGATCTGGCGGAACAGACGGGAGAGGGAGACGCGGGGCATGAAATTAGAACTTACCAGTAGCCCACGGAGTCGACACGGCGGTACCGTCGGGAGTGAGTGCAAAGGCGACGACGGTGTGAGGGCACGTGTGGTGTGCCTGTCACCGGTTCGAGATGGACGCGGGGGTTGAGGCGATTCCCTTTCGTGCGTCGTCCTTGTCGTCGTCAACGTCGGTCGTCAGTCGAACAGTCGTCGATAAGGCTGGCTGCTCGGAAAGCTCGCGGTGCTTTCGGGTCGGGGAAGACGGCCGAGCGAGACGGTCTCTCTCCGCACGGCAGCTGCGCTGGCTGCACTGCACGGCACGGCACGGGAGCGCGGCACAGGACACGACACGACACGCACAACGCAGCGAACGCGCCGCCCGATGAAGATTTGCAGCGGCCAAAAAGCAACGGCAAAAACGTCGAGCAACGGTTGCAGGCGCGGAGACGGGACGAGCGTGCTGGTCCTCGTTACTCGTACGGGGGGGAGGGACGTCGATGCACAGGGCAGAAGGGGGGGAGAAAAAAGCAGGAGTGAGTTTGCCGGGTGAGCGGGAACTGGCGAGATGACGGGCTCCAATCCAGGGGCTGGCGTGTGTCTGCTGCCACAGGCCGGCGGCGCGATCCATCGATCACGGATTGGGTGGATTGGATGGGACGGAACGGCACACCTGGGATTGAACCTTGCAGCCAGCGGCCAGCAAGCAGCAGCCGCCGGGGGGCGTCTACAGCAGTACCGGCGGCGGCGGCAGCGGCGGACGACAAGCACCTGACAGCACCAGCGGCGGGCAGCGCCTGTGAAGATTGGAAGCCTCCACTGCGAAACGGGCGCTGGATTGGACTCGTACGGGACGCGCAGCTCCACCCGCCATTGCAGGTGGAGCGTCCGGAGCTGCCGCCCGCCGTCCGCCGTAGGGCAGTCGAGTCGGGCGACGTGACGTGACCTATGGACGAGGTAAACTCCGGCCGCCGTACCGCCTCCTGAGTCGCCGCGAACAGGCGAGGACGGGCGTCCGGCCTACAGCAGACGGGTTTCTGGCAGTCTTGCGCCGAATTGACTTTGGTGAACCCAAAGGCAAGGCATGCAACGCACAAGGTGTGGATGGATCGAAGCAAGATTTCACTTTTACAGTGGAGTGGCCGCCTATGGCAGGCGCTCCAGGCCACTGAAGCGCAGCGGCTGGCCATGACGGTTGTGGCCTAGAGGTACGGTGCCGGGACGCTGACTGAGGCGCGAGACGGAAGGCCCAAGGCCCCCTACGGCCCCCTATAAGCACCTTCAGTTAAGGTCAGGACGGAAGCCCAGCTCTGGGCCCCACAGGCAATCTTGCAGTGGCTGCCGCGGCCTTGGCACCAGCAGTGGGGCGCCTTGCGATGGATCACGGTCCATGTCCACGGGTCATGGACGGCCTCCTGTCTTGCCTGTCTCCCATTCCCCAGCAGGGTGGGGCCTACCGACGGCAACCTTTTTTTTATGAAATTTTGATTGACTGAATTTTTCTGCCCCCCGGTTTCTTGCCCGTTGCCTGAGGGCGTGTGTCTCGCCTCCAAACTCTCCGGATACTCCGGAGCGCACGCCCGACGGGGGATTCCAACGTCCCATCGGTGATTTTCGGACAGTAGCAGTGCTGTGCCGAATCGTGCTTGTCAAGTCGTCTGGTGACATCAGATGCATGCACATGGGCACGCGCGCACCCGTCCGGCTCGGTAAATGTGCTTGTACATGAACGGCGCGACGTGATCGGATGGTATGGTTCGCGCGATGCCCTCGTTCACGTCGCCTGCAGTGAGGTCGCGCGAGTGAGGGAGTGAAATGCAGCGACTGAGTAAGCGGCCCTACCTCAGGTTCTCGGCTGGGAGGGCCCGAGACAGTCGCGTGAGAAGGGGCCAGGCTGCGGCCCCCAGTGGGTTCCCAAAAACTCCCCAAGCCGCACATCCCCCTTGCAGTAGCCGCGACGAACGGACGGACAAGCGTGGACGTGGAGGTGACAGGCAACGGCGCGGGCTCATTCAGGGTTCCGACCCCCGCGGGATTCGGTCCATTGCTCGCGCAGCCGGCAGCAGCCAACTGCAGTATCGAACATGCTCTTGTTCTCCATCATACAAACTACTCCTATATGCAGACTTTATTTAGGGTGTCCTTTGTTCGCGCAAGGCATGCACAGTCACTGTCCGATGCTCCGAAAACCTAAGTTAGTATATGACGGGAGCCAACGTCGTGCTGCTGCTCTCCAGCTGCGGACGCGGCCCATGCTCACGGTCGAGCAAGAGCTAAACTTGGTCGTGGCAATCCAGTGCAGCGAAGTATGGATTCTATAGCCCGTCCAACTACAAGTCCCATTGACGTGCTATACTGCACCTCACCTGGTGTCTGCCGAGGATATGTTGTGCCGCCTGTGACTGACCGTACTATTGGAGGAGAACTCGCTTGTGAAGAGCTACCCATGCGTCACCACACCAGCGACTGTGACCCCGTCCACATTATCCGAAGGCCGGACAGAGTACCTACGAAGGTAGTACAGCGTACGCCATGTTGTCCTCGTGGATCAGCTTTCGCGTCAACGCTTCCGAATCCAATGCCCCCCTTCGTCAACGCCCACCGAGCTTCCGGCCGAGCGTCTCAGCCGCACCTGCGGGGAGCTGGCGGACTTGACTGATGAGCTCCTTTGGCTGTTTGACATGACATGACAGAACGGTCCTCCGTCCCATGCTGGTCTCGGCCTTGAACAGCCGCCGTCCCAAGCCACACAAGAAGCTGTCCAAGGCCGAAAAAGGGGCCATTAGCTTGCCTGTCCCCTCATTCAGCCCATCAGCCACACCATCGCACACACGCACCCCCCGCCGGATCACCGTCCCACCGCGTCTGTTGTCCTCGGGCGGCGGAGGGACGAGAGAGGGTCCAGGTCTCGCGCGCGGCGGGCGGTGGTTGAGCCTCCGCGCTTCGCCCCGGGTTGCGCCGGGCCGCAGCGGAAGGCACGACAGGCACCACCACCCATGAGCTCCTTCCACGCACCACCGCAATCCCGAGCAGCTGCCCCAACAATTCTGCTTCGCCCGGCAGTTGGCCAGCTTTTTTCGTTGGCATATGTGCAACGAAACTAGAAGCCCTCCTTTTCCCACCGCTCTTTTCATTGTTTCCCTTCCTTTTCTGCGCCCCTGTCCATCTGTCTCCCTCGACTGTCGTGGGCTTCCGCAATTCCTGTCACCGATTCCGCGCGCGGCCGAACCCCCGGCCAGACCCGCTCGCTCGGCCTTCCCGCGGCTCTCATCGAATTCTGCCCCTCCCCCGCCATTCCTCTGCCCGCCCACGTTGCGATATCCAACGCCAACGACGCGCGGAGAGAAATTGGAGAGTTTGCACGCGCGTGTCTAAAGCGAAGCAAGCGACAAGCCAGCGGCAATGGGCGAGCTCATCAACGTCCACGGCAGCGAGGAGCTGTGGCGGCACCCCGACCAGGCCTCGACGCCCATGTGGGACTTTATCCAGCGCGTCAACAAGAAGCACGGCCTGCAGCTCCATGGCTACCCGGGCCTGTACAAGTGGTCCGTCGACAACGTCTCTTCCTTCTGGGAGGAGGTCTGGGACTTTGTCGGCGTTGTGGCCTCCGTCAAGGCCGAAAAGGTGCGTTCGCCGCGTCTCAATGCCAACGCGCCCCTCTCCCCAACTTGACCGTCTCTCAGTGAGGGCACCGTTCTCGACTTACACGTCTTGGTTATCCGTCCAGGCCCTCCCCGACGATGCGCCCATGTTCCCCCGCCCCGACTTCTTCTCCTCGGCCCGCCTCAACTTCGCCGAGAACCTGCTCTTCCCGCCCACGACGCCGCCCATCGACCCATCCTCGCCCGCCGTCATCACCACCACCGAGCTGCCCGGCGACCTGCGGTCCACGTCTTGGGATGAGCTCCGCGAGGCAGTCCGCTGCTGCGCCAATGCCCTCCGTGCCGCCGGCCTGGGCCCTAACGACGTCGTTGCCGGCTACGTCTCCAACCATGTCGAGGCTCTCGTTGCCATGCTCGGCGCGGCCTCGGTCGGCGCCATCTGGACCGGGATCAGCCCCGACAATGGCGTCTCCGCCGTGCTCGATCGCCTCAGCCAGATTGCCCCCAAGGTGCTCTTCGCCGACAACGGCACCGTGTACAATGGCAAGGAGTGGTCCAGCACCTCCAAGACTGCCGAGGTCGTGGTCGAGCTGAGCAAGTCCGGGCTGCAGACTGTCGTTGTCATCAACAACATCAAGGGCGAGCTGGGGCTCTCCGACCTCGAGGCGCATGGCGTCAAGGCTGTCGACTATGACTCGTTCCTTGGCGGTGCCCCGTCCGGCGATCTCGTGTTCGAGCAGCTCCCTCCCTCGCACCCGCTGTACATCCTCTACTCCAGCGGCACGACGGGCCTCCCAAAGGCCATCGTCCATACCGCCCTCGGCACTCTAATCCAGCATAAGAAGGAGCACCTGCTCCACTGCTCGCTGTCGTCGTCGTCCCGCATGCTCTACTACACCACCACCTCGTGGATGATGTGGCATTGGAGCATTGGCGCCTTGGCCGCCGGCGCCACTCTGATCGTCTACTCAGGGTCTCCGTTCCGGCCAAACTCCCATCTGTCGCTTCCGCGCGTCCTTTCCGACCTCAAGGTCACTCACTTCGGCACGTCGGCTGCTTACCTGACGGCCCTCGAGGCCAACAACGTTCGCCCGGTCCGCGAGGCCGACATCGACCTGTCGCATCTCCAGGCCATATACTCGACTGCTTCGCCCTTGCCTCCGTCCACCTTCCGCTTCGTCTACGAAGCCTTCCCCAAGAGCGTGAACTTGGCCTCCATCACGGGCGGCACGGATATCATCTCGCTCTTCGGCACCCCCTGCCCGCTGCTGCCGGTTCGCACCGGAGAGATCCAGTGTGCCGGCCTCGGTATGGACATTCGCGTGGTCGATTCGGTCACCGGCGAGCAGGTCCCAGCGGACGAGCCTGGTGACTTGGTCTGCGTCAAGCCGTTTCCCTGCCAACCTCTCACCTTCTTCGGCGCCAATGGCGATGCCAAGTATAGGGCGGCATACTTTGAGCGGTTCGAGGATGTCTGCGGAGTCAAGGGTCCCGTGTGGCATCACGGCGATTTTGTCAAGATCCCGGATCCGGGCACCGGTAGCCTGGTCATGTTGGGCCGATCCGATGGCGTCCTGAAGCCCGCAGGTGTGCGTTTCGGGTCTGCAGAGATATACAACATCCTCACGAGGTTCTTCGCGTCAGATGTCGAAGACGCCGTTTGCGTGGGCCGCCGCAGGGCGACCGACAACGACGAGACGGTCTGTCTCTTTGTCGTGATGGCTCCAGGCAAGACTTTCAGCGAAGAGCTCAAGGCCAGCATCAAGGCCAAGATACGGGGCGAACTGAGTCCGAGACACGTGCCGGGCGTCGTCGAAGAGTGTGGCGGGGGCATCCCCAAGACGGGCAACGGCAAAAAGTAGGTCGTGACATCTGCGAGAGTGAATGCGCCGTGGTTTGCTGACAGAATGTCTGCAGGATCGAAGTCGCCGTCAAGCAGATTCTTTCCGGAATGAACGTCAAGACCAACGCCAGCGTTGCGAATCCCGAGGCTTTGGAGTGGTTCAAGGCGTGGGCTGCTAGCCACTAATGCGATCGTCTCTGGGACTGAAATGTTGAGCAGCAAGAGAACAAGACAAGACCTGCCTCGGAGCAAGGGTGCCTGCAAGATGGGAGAGCCCGAGCTCCTCTGGGTGCATAGATGCCGAAACGCTTATGACGACATGCCTTCAGCGTGCGGGAGAATAGGACGTAAAAATAGACTTGAATAATGGCCGCCCTGCCTTGCTTGCCAACGAAAGCACGCAATGATCCAGGGGTATGTTGGCCGCTTCCTTCCTGGCTTGGTACGGACACAAATCTCATAAGCTTGTGATGAGCATTCATGGCCAAGGGTTTCTTTCCTGGTCCCGACAAACAGATGTTAGGCGGCCAACAGAAACGCCGACTCTACGCCTTGTTGGCATTGCCTGGCCAGTCTCGGGCGTGTAAGTCCTGTCCATACCCGTGGTACTCCGTAGTCCGCACGAAGTATTTCACAGAGGATAGCTGCGTCCGAAAGCAAGCCGGTGGCTTGAGGCACTGAATGGTCATACATCTCGTTTAGGCAGGACGTGTCGTACAGCGAGCGGCTAAAGGGCGACGAACTCGCATTTCTGCATGCGGTATCACAGATACTAGTTTCACCACGTCCGTACCACAGCCGGTATATGTAGTTTGCTCACCGTATTGTTGCCGAATGCACGAAACCTGGCGCTCCGCATGAGCGGATGTATATGTACTACAACGTAGCATGTTGCGCATGGCTCCATCTGTTGGGCGACGAGGTGGCCCGGGCCGAGTCACGGTTCCCCGATTCGTCACCAAGCCGCCACGGCGCGCTACCAGGTCCGAAGGATGGATGTTTCATCTCAAATGACCCGCGGCGGCCGTTTCTTCTGCGAAAACATACCTCCGAACCATGCAAGGACTCAGCGATCCGTGAACCAGAGGGCAGCGTGGGGCCAGATATCGGGCTTGTATGAGAGGCCTGGGATGTCGGATTCTCAAGGGCTTCACCGCCACAGGTCATGGGTCAAGCGGTGATGGTTCGACGGACACCCAGGCCAGCGATTGTCCGACGCGGCTGTTGACCACCGATCATGTCATCGAATACCACCACGGCGACGCCCCAGGCGACACCGAGCAGCGGCTCCATGACGGGGAGGTCGCATTCGACAGTGCATAAGTGCGTTCTGGCCTGGCCCTTGCCATGATCCTTGGGTCGATCCGTCCCTGATCGCAAATGAGTACCCATTTCGCACGGTAGCGAAGTGGTCTGCAGGCGACAGGGTTGCCAGCTCTCGTTGCAACGCGTCCGAAATTGGCTTGCGGGCTCGTGCATGCCCCCAAGCACAAGGACCCGAGTAAGAGCAGGCAACCAATAACACAATCTCCGAGGGTCACTGGATGTTAGCCAAGGCGCTGGCTAGTGGCCCAGAGCCGGGCATCATTGTGTGACCTGGCGCGGTTGACGTCGCCGTACAAGTTCGGCGCTGACTTGGCCTGCCCCCTCCTCATTAATCCCAGGACAGGGGTTTCGTCTCTGTTCGAGCCTTCGAGTCCGCCCAGGCACATGCAGGCTAGGGGGCGCCTGACCTGGAGCAGTCCGTGGCGCGCCGTGTGGGCCTTCGACGGCGGACAATATTCTCTCACGGAGGCGTGTGAGAGAGGCAGGAAATTCGCACTCTAGGGACGACGGAGGTTCCACGACGAGTTCGTAAAAGAGGCTCTGTCTCGCGACCGATCTCCCTTTTCCGAAAATGACAAGTCGTACTCGGGCATTGCTGTGTGGCGCAACCGAAGCTTTGTAGGCATCCGGATGCTTGGTGCATCATCATCATCACCACCCCCAGGAGCACCACCAACGCGGTGACCAAAGGGGCCCGTTTCCCGCCCAGTGAGGGACCGGACCTTGGCCCGGACAGGCCGGGGGTGTGTTGGACAGGCACACCGACCTGGCAGGGCTGTCAAACCACGGTGCTGACCTGTCAGCGACGTCAACGTCCTGCGCATGATGCCGTCGGGGCCTAATTCGGCGCGTCCGGCACGGGCGGGGGGGCGAATGGTTATTAGCAGCTCCCTGACCGGGCGACGCCCGGCCGGGGTGCAGCGCCTACTGCGTGTATTCGTGCAAGTATTGCTAGAAGCGACCTTGCATTGTCCATTTCACCAGAGTCGTTGACGCGAGATCCGGGGAGCGAAGTCCGAGACGGGGCGCGACTTGCATCAGTGTCTCGACAGGGAGTGGTGAAGTCATCGAAGAAGTCGAGACTCGTGCAGATCGGAATTGGCCAGGGCTCTCCGACAGACGAGGGCAGGGCCTCGAAGAGCCAGACACTCACTCAGGACCTGGGCGTGGCGGCGATGGTGGATGCGGGCCAGGGGCATGACTGGGTGTGTGGGTGGGAAAGTGGAAATTTCAACGCAAGACGATTTTCTTCGACACCACTACGTCTGGCCTCACTGGACCTCACTGGCGGACGTGTCGGTCAGCGGGCAGTGAGCGAAGCTTGTCCCCCGCAGCTGCACCTGGGTCAGCCCCCTGCCAGCGGCGACAAGGTGCTTTGCACATTGCTCAGCTTCATGTTCCGGGCGCCAGGTCGTAGTATGTTTCGCTTCAAGACCTCGGGCGGGAGAGGCTTGCATTTGCGAGATGCAGGTCCGCCATTCGTGTGTCGCGTCAGCCAGCCGTGGCTCGTACTGTGCTGAGGCTATTTCGTACGGAGTACATGCAGTGGCCAAGGTCCGCGAGAAAGCCGCCTGAGAGACGACTGCCCTGAGGTAGGTACTGGCCGGGCACCTACCCAGGCAGGTTGTTAGACGCCGCAGGGCATGCTGTGCTACGGGTGTCCCTTTTTAGGTACAAGACGGGAGGTCAGCTCGAGGGCTGCCGCACGGCGCAGCAAACCGCGACGCCCGAGGCAAGGTACCTTATGCCCCCAGTGCCTTCATGCTCATGGAACGCGAACCATCGTCGTAGATGTGACCTCGTATGCGCCGCAGTCTGCCACGTCTAATAATGGGCGGTCAAGCATCGCATTGCCCGAGACTCTGAACGTGATGCCGCATGATTTAAGTTGGCTGGCCAGCTTAAGGTACTTTCGAGCTCTGACGGCGTAAAGCCTGGCCAAGGCGTTGACGACGACTACCTAGTACGCCGCCGCCGCCGCCGCACACACGGACGGCTCTTGTTGCGCCTCGGCGCGGCGGCGGGATCGCTCCCAGCTGCAGCATCGCCGTTCCCACGGCTGGATTTCGTGCATCTGCGCGGCGCGCACGGGGTCGAGCGCAGCGCCACAGACTTGGAGATGGGACGGAGCCTTGCTCGCAGGCTGCCCCAGCGCGCGCTGGAGGTGTCCTGGATCGCCTCCTCAGTGGCCCCCGCGCGCTGGAGGTGGCGCCCGGACGGTCCTGTCGACCTCCGTCCGCCCTCCATCATCCTGCCCCATTTCGACAATGCCTCCGTCCGACCCGTGGAGCGTGGAGGGGACGGGAGGGTCCCTGCCCGCTTGACCCCAGCATCTCATACACCAAGTGGTGTACTTGGTACATGGATCCCAGCAGCTGGAGGGGCTGGGCAACCACCTCACCAAGCTCACTTTCCACGGCCTCCACCTCGGGCTCTGGCGGTGGAGCGGCTGGCGTTCCCAGCAGGGCCAGCTCCGGGTGCGACTGATGCAGCGTCAAATTACCAACGGAGCGCGCTGCTGGTCTTGGGACGCGGCCGGCGCCCACTTTTTAGATGCGGCAGCTCGCCGGCGACGCAAGAAAGAAATAGGTACGGATATGCTGCGCAGGCTTTGACGGGCCAGGTGGTTGTGGTACTTGTACTCGCACAGTCTGTAGCTCTGTTGAGCTGGCCTCCATGCCTCAGGTCAGCATCTTCTCGCCCACCCGCCGCCCCCAAGCTTGGCGTGGCGGCCAGCCGACCGTCTCGTAATTGTACTGTACGAGCAGGATGGCGTCGCGCCTGACAGATGAGAAAGGGGACGACAAAGAAAACACCTGTCCCGAGGCTCTGGTAACGCCCCTTCCAGGCGCGATGATAAATGATGGCGCCTCAGGTACCCCGTCGCTCGTATTTAGCTGTCGAGAGGAAGGGTACCTTACTTGGCCGCAACTGTACCTTAGTCTGCACCCCAACGCCGCGAGGCCGGCCGGGCTCCTAACCAGGCGACGGTCCATTTGCAACGTCCAGCTCCTGCAATTGCGCCCCGTTGGGCCCCCCGGCTGCTTCCAAATGTTGCTTCGTCACCCGGCCTCAAGCCCGTCCGTCGACTCCGTCCGTCCACCCAATGGGGCCGTCGCCCGATCGAGACAAACATGTATCCAGGAATAAATGCCACGCAGACGCATCTCGAGCGCCCGCGGCGAGAGATTCACCCGCGACAGCAGGGCGCTCTGCGGAGTGGCCGTGCTAAGGCATGTATGTCTTGGGCCCAGCCCGGCGTGCTCGTCGAGGTTGGCGGGTAATAAATAGCCTCGCCGGCCGTCGTCCAATCCGCGGCGAGGCACAGGAGCTAAGGTAGGTACGCACCCGAGGGGAGCTCGCTCGGCAGGTGGGCAGGTACCTGGCACCTGACTTTGATTGCCTGGGGGAGCTGACTGAGGTGAGCCAAGTAAGTACCTTACCCCGGGGGCCCCGTACCTCTCAGGGCCATTCGCAGCGCACAGCGAGGTGGGCTTGGGACCCGGGAGTGTGCAGGTGAGGTGGGTGTGGGCGCCAGAGTGGGAGCTACCAAAAAGCTGCCAAGGTACCGAGCTACCTACCTGAGGTGGCCGTCGTGCCCGCCCGCCCGTCCGCCCGCCCCTGGAACTGTCTCTTATACACATCTAGATGTGCCCGAGAGACAGCCCCTGGAAGGAGCTCGACTCGACTCTGGCCCGCCCGCATTCCCTACCAGAGGTACGAGTACCTGAGGTGCGCAGCGCGCCATCCCTCTGCCCTCCGCCGGCGGTCTCCCCCCCCCCCTAAACCGGCCAACAATCAACCGCCTGCACCCGACACCACGCCAAACTGGGCCAAACCACCCTCACACACCACCGCACCACCGCAACCACTCATTTCTCCTCCTCTCCTTCTCCCGCCCTCTCTCCGTCTCTCCACCCCCAACCCGTCCGTCAATTCCCTCGCCCGACGACGAGCATCGCTCACCCTCGCGGCTCAGCTTCCTCCTTCTCTCGCCGCCGACCACTTCGACTTGTCCTCCTCGGCCCCCGCTCGTCTCGAGTCGTCCCGTGTGTCGTCGCGCCCGTTTTGCCGTCCGTCCCCTGGTGCCACGCAACGGTCACGATGAATTCCCAGGGCGCCAACGATGTGTCCCCCGAGGCCATGCAGGCGCGGATCCAGCAGGCGCGTCGCGAGGCCGAGACGCTCAAGGACCGCATCAAGCGCAAGAAGGATGAGCTGTCCGACACCACCCGTACGTGCTCAATTGATTTCGTGACTGTTTACGCCTCGCTTCGCCGCTGGCTGTGCTGACGCCGTTGTTTGCCCCCAATTGCAGTTCGCGCCGTCGCTCAACAGGCGCATGAGCCTATTCCTAAGAACCAGCTCATGAAGGCCAAGCGAACACTTAAGGGCCACCTGGCCAAGATCTACGCCATGCACTGGTCCACCGATCGAAGACACCTCGTCTCCGCCTCCCAGGACGGCAAGCTAATCATTTGGGATGCATACACCACCAACAAGGTCCACGCCATTCCCCTGCGGTCCTCATGGGTCATGACCTGCGCCTACGCGCCGAGCGGGAATTTTGTCGCCTGCGGCGGCCTGGACAACATTTGCTCCATCTACAACCTGAACCAGCAGCGCGACGGCCCCACGCGTGTAGCCAGAGAGCTGTCCGGCCACGCCGGATATCTCTCGTGCTGTCGCTTCATCAACGACCGTGCGATCCTGACCTCCTCGGGCGACATGACGTGCATGAAGTGGGACATTGAGACGGGCCAGAAGGTTACCGAGTTTGCCGACCACCTGGGCGATGTCATGTCCATCAGCCTGAACCCGACGAATCAGAACACATTTATTTCCGGAGCTTGCGACGCGTTCGCCAAGCTCTGGGACATCCGCGCTGGCAAGGCTGTTCAGACCTTTGCCGGACACGAGTCCGACATCAACGCCATCCAGTTCTTCCCGGATGGCCACTCGTTCGTCACGGGATCCGACGATGCCACCTGCCGACTCTTCGACATTCGGGCTGACCGCGAGCTGAATGTTTACGGCGTAAGTTCAATTCCGCTCAAGCCCTGTGGATGATGCCACTGACGGGAAACGCCTGCTCTAGTCCGAATCTATTCTCTGCGGCATCACGTCTGTCGCCACCTCCGTGTCTGGCCGCCTTCTCTTCGCTGGCTACGATGACTTCGAGTGCAAGGTACGAAGCGGCTCTTTCTTGACGCCCCGCGCGTTTCCTCTAGCTCGGCAGCGGTAACTGACTGAGAAACAGGTGTGGGACGTTACGAGGGGAGAAAAGGTCGGATCGCTTGTCGGCCACGAGAACCGTGTCAGCTGCTTGGGCGTTAGCAACGACGGTATTAGCTTGTGCACAGGCTCGTGGGATTCTCTGGTACGGCCCCCTAGATCCGAACCCCCTTTCTTTCTGTGGCGCAGCTCCACGGCGTGCTGTCATGACGCACCCGCCATTTCCTTGCCTTGAATGCCGTGCTCGTCGCTAACCGGCACTTGTGCAGCTTAAAATTTGGGCGTACTGAGCAAACCTCGTCCGCGATATCGAATGGAGGCATGTCTGGATAAATCGACTCCAGCAGCACCGCGACCCAATGACAAACCCGCAATCTGCAATCGAACGACGACTAGTCCAGTCGTCAATCTCCGATGACGCCGCACGCATCATGCGAGTGCCGGCGTTCGCAGGACGAAGTGACGACACGCACCTCGTCACATACATTACCCCCGTGGTTCTTTTTTTTATCTTGTTGAAAACTCCGACGACGAAGCCTCGAGCGACACAACCCAGATGCGAGGCCAGTTGCCAGCAGCGGTGAGCCTGAGGGGGAAACTGACTGACACGATACCTTTTTCCTTGCTTTGGTCTTGTTTTTTGTTTTCCTCTTTTTTTCTCCGCCTTTCCCACGAGCCGAAGGACTCTGCACTATAGTTCCTCCTTCACTGAGACGCCGCTGGTCGTTGGTAAGGGGCGGTTGTATTACTTGACGGTTCTTCATGTCCATCGATGGCCTGCCTGTGTGCGCTGGTGGCCCTTGGGCGTCTGGGGTCGACGTGTCGCGCCAGGCACGGCCATGTGGATCAGAGGGACCTTATATACGCCATGCAGGATCACGAGCAAGAAGATCGAAGTTGGCGTGGACGCGTGGATGTTATGGCGGTGGGAAGCGGAACGAGTCAAGCGTGGTCTGAGAGGATGAGAGGAGCGTTGGAGTCTATACCATGAACAGCCAGACCTTGAAATAATACACTACGATGACCCAAACATGGTGGGGGTCGGGATTCAACCACGGGCGCTCTGCGCCTGCGCCAAGGGGACCCTGATGCCTCGCAGGACGCAGTGCGTGTTCCAGGCGTGACGTTGGCGTTCATGTATGTCGCGGGTAGCGAGGGCGATCCATGGTTGGTTGGCGTCGGAGGATGACCCTGCTTTACGCCGAGTCACGTCCCGGGCCATATTGACCGAAGAAGGGGTACGGTTCAAGCACGTGAAGTCCGAGTCAAGGCGCCATCCTCGCCTGAGGCCCCTGGTCAAGGCATGACACGGGGAGATTTACCTGCCAAGGCCCATGACGTCGTCGCAAAGAGAACACCTCAGATTACCACAACCACCAATGATGCCACAACGCGGCCGATTGGACGGCAAGCTCTTGTGATATTTGTGCCACGTGCATGTTCAATCCTTGGCCGGGGAGAATAGACGGTGGACAGCAATTTAGTCCTGACGCGGAACGCGTCCCGCTCACTCAAAAGCCATGGACGTGAACCATGCGCCGGCTCAAGGGCGTTCCCCGGCTAAGTGCGCGACGGAGTGAGTGCCAAGCGAAGCACTGACCTCGGCGGCATGCGAGCGAGGCGGCCATATATAGAAACAAGGGAGGGACAAAGCTTCCGAGCATGACGGGCTCGTCGTTTGCTCATTTCAGACAAAAGGAACACAAAACAAAAGTCCTGGGTGAAAAGGACGCCCTTTTGACCCGCCAGGTGCAGAAGAGCGAACCACAGTGTATAGTGTAGTCGGCGTGGCCGAAGGGAGGGATGGCTTCGAGTCCGCCAACCACGGCACTTCCATATTACATACGGACAGAGAAGAGAAAAGGGGGCCTGCAGCATGCACGTCGGGCTTGGCTGACAGGTGGTAGCGGTGATGATGATGGACGACTGCCGGCGCGTGGATGAAACGCGCTAAGGGATGAAACTGCCGCCGGCTGCCATCCATCCCGCGCCGTGGCAGCAGTTGGGAGAGGCTCAACTCAACAAGAGGCGGTCGCGCGAGCGTTGGCAACGGGGCCGCCGGCGTGTTGTTGGTTGTGTGTGCCTACAGCAAGTAATACCGTGCCATCGTGGCTCGTGCCCCAAAGGGATGGACGGATGCCGGTCGGGGGGTGGACGGCCGTGACTCGGAGCCAATGTTTTCGGGAGTCACGAGGCGCGCGATCAATGCAGCCCGCCCTGGGATCCCGGGCTTATTGTGTATAACACAAGCTGAAAAGCACGTAGGGCAGGAATGCTACCTTGGTGAATTGACTTGAGCAAAGGGCTTGCTTGGTGTTGTGACGATCCAGGGAGATGCTCCTCCCGGCGCAACGACACCTGCCGCCTAAGTTATGTACGAACAACGTATGGACAAGCATGAACAGCAAGGGAGGAGAAAAGGTCCCAGGCAGAGCACGCACCCGCATAGACGCGAATTAAGGTCCTTCACGAGTTCCACTTGTGCAGCCTGCCAGGCGGGACTGAACCAAAACGAAACGACGCATGTCCAGTTGAGCGATCAATGCGCAGCGCACTTCCCGGGTCAGACCCTATTTTGGCCGCCCATTGTCGTTTGCTCGTTCAGTAGGCCGGTCGGTTGGTGACGCATAGCACGGCCAGCCAGCCGGTCATGGGATGGGAGGCCGACGGCGCTGTTCCATACGGCTTTGCAGCATATGGCGATGCCCACCCGTGTTGCCTGACGAGGGAGGCGGTCGCATCGAAGAAACCGGGCTGGCTTCCAATTCCACTTCTAGGGCCAGGGGGCCGTTGGGAGGATTGGAGAAAAATGTCCTGCGAATTGCCCTGGTTAATGCTCCGCACTAGGGCGGGCGGCGCCACGAGGCGACGACGGGGAGCCCCTGGCCCGGCTGCTGCCCCTCCATCCATCCACCTATCCAAGGCTGTCCCTCCCTCTCGCACTCTGCGCCTGCTGATCTTCGCCCGTCGCGAGACCACACGCACACACACACACAACCACACCAAGCAAACAAATCCAGACCACCGGCACTACACTACCACCCCCTGCAGGGCCACACGAGCAACGAGGTGCCGTCTTCACGTCTCGCCGCACTCTCGAGCCCGCGCCACCACCGTCGTCGACCACTCATCAACCACTCATCTGCTGAAACGGGCTCTGTTGCGTTGCATCCATCCGCCCCCCTTTCCCTCTGCTTTCGCTCGACTCTCGCACGCGCCCGACAAAGCCACGCCTCTTTCATGCGCCCGCTCCTCGTGAACACGTCCCGGCCGCCTCCCTACTACCCCCTGCTCCACTCCTTCGAGAAGAGCCGTCCGCCGCGCGAGCCCATTGTTGCGACCGACCAACCAAGCCCGCGACACCGCCGTCCCCGACGCTGAGACCCCCCTCCTCGTCCCTCCCCGCGTGTCGCTACTTAAAGCCTGCCCCGGTCCGCCGTCGCCGGCCCCAGTCCCCCCCGGTCATGGCTTCCGCTGCTCAAGAAGAGTTCGACGATCTGGTCGCCAAGAACACTGCCCGCGAGACCCTCCATCCCGAGGACCGTGACGACCGAGACCGCGACTACGACGACGAGGACGAAGAGACGGCGTACCGCAACTCCAAGATCGACGCCGCCATGCGCGTACCAACCGCCGCCCCGGAGCTCAAGCTCCCTCCCGCTTCCTTTGATAACGGCCGCGCCACGGGTGTCAAGGGCGTCATCGCCGACGCCCGCTCCTTCCAGACGGCCCGCCGGTCAAAGTGGGTGGACCGCGCAAAGTCGGCCCGCAGTAGCATCTTTGGCCTCGCCGGCGTGACCAGCAGCAACAACAACGTCGGCAGCGGAGGCTCCTCCAGAAGCGAGAGCGAGACGGACGAGGACGCCCGGAGCGCCGACAACTCGGACGAGGAGACGTTTCTGCAGGAATGGCGCGAGACACGGAGGCGGGAGCTCGAGAGCGAGTCCGGCCGCGAGGTGCGCAACAGGAGGACGAGCCCGAGCGTGAGGCTGTATGGCCGGTTAGACGAGGTCGATGCCCTGGGATACCTGGATGCTATCGAAAAGGTCCGGCGAGAGACCAAGGTCGTCGTCTTCGTTTACGACAACGAGGTATGTGCCCGATATCAGTCGTCTGCAACCGACCATGCTGACAAGCGGCGACAGTGCGACGTATCGGCCACCATCGAGTCGGCCATCCTCCCCCTCGTCAAGGAGAACCCAGAAGTCCACTTCGTCAAGGTCCACTACGACGACATCGAGTTCGACCCGGCCGCGGTGCCGTCGCTCCTGGCGTACCGTAATCAAGGCGACTTGTTTGCCAACCTGACGGGGATCATCGAGATGATGCCCGACGACGACTCGTTCGACAGCGGCTCGCTCAAGCACATCCTCCAGGCACACGCCGTTTTGTGATTGCCGCTCCTCCTCAAACGTCTGATTATAACGATACCCCCTTATTCTGCCCACGCTTTTTTGTGGCTCGGCCGGCTCTCGTCGCGGGTACGGCTCTCCGGCGCTTTTTCCTATAGAGTTGCAACCATGACGCTTTTATTGTTCGACATTGACGATTTGGAACTGACGGAGCTGATGATGGGACCGGGCGGGGGGGGGGGGGGGGGGGGGGGGGGGGAGTGCGCGAGGGAAAACCGGGCACGCGGGACTGCTTTTCTAGAACATGATGCATGGATGGAGCGGCGGGACGGCTTTTCTGTTTCTTTTCTTCTTTGGTCCTTGGTGTGTGTACAATGATAATGGGCCTCCGGGACGGGGCGCCGTCGGCTTCTTGTTTCTTTTGCGCCATCTACGGCATCGGACCTGCGGGCGTAGTGTACCAACAGATTTAGGTTGTTAGCACATGTGTACAAGATTACGCCTTTCACGTCTGACGGCTATGAGGATTTATGAGTAATTACAGACAAAATGCAAGGTCACCTTGTCTTGGCCGCGAACGGAGGCCATCGATGATGCGGAGGGCGCCCTGACGACCAGGCGCTTGGTAGGATTTGGCGTTCGTCGGCCCAGACCCTGGGCGAGATGTGCGTTTGAAGGCAAGAAATCTCCCTTTAAAGTAGAAACGAACGTTGCGCCTTGGCACTGTGTTTTGCTGCGCAGCAAGCACGGGATAGCGACTTCAAAGAAACTCAACCCTCTGCGAGCTTCAACGCGGTCATCAAGCCGAGATGGTCCGTGCGGCGGCCCCCGCCATTCAATACGGAAGTGGTCATTGATTCCCTTTTGGCGGAACGCGAGCCACGATGGGCGTTCGTGGTGGGGGGATTGTTCCCGCCCGCAGACAAGCGCACCCACCTCTGTCCACTGGCCCTACTTTTAACCGCAGCGGCAGTGGGCAGCTGTGCGGGCTGGCAGCAGCAACAGAAGTGGGGACCTTGGCTGGGCGGCCCCCCCCTCCAAGACGGGCACTGGGGGGGGCATCGTCACGCTACTGGACCCTTGGGGCCGAAGCACGTCGCCTCATGACCTCGCACCCCGGGGCGCCGGGCGGTGGTGGTGGTGGTGGTGGTGGTGGCATCAAGGCCGGGCGGGCCCTTGCCCGTCCTCCGAGGCGTGCCATGCCATGCCATGCCACATGGACGAGAACACGTAGACATGTCGTGCCTGCCTGGGTATGCTTGCGGCGGGCGCCAGTTGAGTCAGGACGCTTCGCGAAGCAGCCCAAGTAGCAGGGACCAAGGAGCAGATAGAGGGAGCGAGGGGCTTGATAAGCCGAGGTGACGCGGACGGGCTTGTAAGCACGCAAGTGGCGCGCTGTCGTGCACTTTGGGATGTCATGCTTCGTCCATTTGCATGCTTTAGTCCACGCACGACTTGGTACTACTAATTCGTAGCGAGTATGGAACGTCCTGTTGTTACAGGCCAGTCACTCGCTCATTCACAATCCATCATTCACCCCGCCATCTACCTAAGCAGAGGCACTCGGTGTACCTGCCCGCACAGCGCCGCAGTGAAAGAACAGGCTCGGATTTCGCCTCGCCATTCACTGCCTGCCTGCCTGCCTGCCTCGTGGTGCCTGGCCGCCCTCCTTGACCTCGCACCTCGCAGAAACGGGAAAGCCAGCCAGGCAGGTATCAGGTACACACACGCTCACACACACACACTCGCAGCCGTACGTTCTACCTATCCCCCCTCCCCGTCTTCTAGAACTGGCTGCACTTGTTCGTTCCCTTCCTCCTCTTCCTGCCCGTGACTGCCTCGTCTCACCTTGCTTTCCTTTCTTCCCTTTTCTTTCCCTTCCTTTCCCTCCTCTCCAAACCCAGATTCCCGCCCGTCTGCACGCGACCCGCCCCGCGCAGCAAGCAAGCAAGCCCGCCAGCCAGCCAGCCAGCCAGCCGAGCATCATACCCAACATACGCAGTCAGTCCGTCATCTCCGAATAGCTGCCCTGCCCGCCGCCTCCCCCGCCGCTCGGGCTTCAGCACATTTCTCGACTTATCTGCCAAAGAAACGAAGCGCGGGCCGTCACCCGATCTACCCCGCCCCCTCCCTCCTCCCTGCCTTTGCCTGCCTGGCGTGCCTGCCTCACCCGTTTGGCCCAACGAGTCAGCCTCAGGCGTGCATCTCAACCGTGACCAGGCATCGGCGAGCCGCACCATCGACGTGCATGATATCGGGCTGGCATTCGTTCACCACGCCTTGACGCCTTTTCTGCATGGTGGTCAGTCCCTCCGGCCCCTCTGCTTCTTCCGTCTTTCGCGTTCGTCTCGCGTCGTCGTAACCTGTTCGTTTTTGATGTTCCCTCTGCGTTCCAGCTCCCGCGTTTCACCTTCGTCCTGAACCGACACCCCGCTCACGTCGTCATCCGCGCCCCTCGACCCCGCCGTCACCTTCCTGCCCCATCTACTTCGTATCTGTGTCCGTGCATCTGCCTGCCTTATCCAGACGCCGCTGCACCCTCGCCTTCGAGCTGCTTCATGGCAGTTTGACGGGCCTCTCTTTCGTCTGAGACGCTCGCCCTTCTCAGCCCGCTAACGCCTCGTTATGGAAGAGCAGTCCTCCAATACTGCCTCAACGCCGCTGCCCGCCAACGCACAGCCAGCTAGCCAGCCAGCTTCTGGGCTCTCCGCCTCCGAGCCGACCCTCCGATTTCCCCGGCCGCAAGGGAACAGGCGTCTGGCCAAGTGGATTTCCACGAGCGACCCAGACATCATGCGCCTCACTACGACGGCCGAGGAGTCCGGCCTGGCCGAGTCTACCTACGAGCTCATCTCCGGCACTGACAACGAGTCCCAAGATGGCAACTTCACCGAGTCCATGGACGAGTCTGTCGGCTCTCTCGACTTCCATCGCCCCGACGACGTCCACAGCCTTGCCGGCACAGAGTACACGCACGACGGTGAATCGGTCCTCGACGACGGAGACGCCCAGCTGTCCCAACCATCCTCTGACCGAGACAACGAGACGCAAGGATATGTTGGACAGATGGCTGCTGGCGACGACGGGTCGATGCCCGAGACGGATGATATGCAAGAAACGGACAGCTCCGAGTCCGACGAGGAAGCTCGCTCACGCTGCTCTCTCGAATATACCCAACAGAGTCTCGGGACCCCGTCCATTCTGACCCCAGAGGCAAGTCGGCTAGTCGATCCTGCAGAGCTCCGATCTCGGCCGCGGGAGATCAATATTGAGCAGAACGATGTCGAGGAGAAACCAAACAAAGAATTCGCCGGTTTGCTGGAGATGGCGGTCCACGCCAAAGACTACGTACTGGAGACTGTGGCTACCGCCCTTCCTGGCCTCCTTTTCGCAGCAGCCTTTGCCCTTCTCATCCCGATTCTCTACACTCCGCCCGTGGAGCAACCTCAACCAGAAGTCGTTATCATGACTTCCACTATCACCGCTACTACAACATCATATGTCACAACCAAAGCGCCACTCAATGCTCAGCCGACTGCGCTGGCAAAGAACGGCATGGGACTCATGCCCCTGGGTGAAGGCCTGCCCGAAGATAGCCTCTTTGGCCCAAAGAGGCCTCTGGTTTCTTTGACCCCCCAGCCCCACAGCAACATCCTTCTGCATGTCGCGAAGGAGGTAAAGCAAACCTGGCTGTCCAAGGGCTGCCTGGTTGCTACCGCTTCGAGAGAGGAGAACGATCTCATCAACGTGGTCCTGCTCCCAGTCGACGAAGGCATTCTCGTTAAATTTCCAAAGAAGGAAGCACATGGCGTGGTCAAGCTCTCACTGAAGGCTACATGCCGGCCCAAGATGCAAAAGGTGGTTAAGGTCCACTTTGGCAAGGGGATCCTGGAAGAAGCTCTCGAGATGACCAAGAATCTCGCCCATGATCTCTCCGGGCTCGTGCCCGTTGCCGCCCAAGAGGCGGAACGGTGCATTGAGGGCGCAAAACGATCTCTGGAGGCCGTATCTGACGCCATTGGAAACAACGTCATTTTCGTCTCGGACAACGTCTTTAGTCGACTTGGCCAGGCATTTGACACGGCCCAGCAGTCATTCGGGTCGGTCAAGACGGACGTCGTAACTCGCGTCAAGGGTGCCGCCGAGGAGGTCGCCCGAAACTTGGACACTGCCTCGCAGCAGGCCAAGGAGCAACTGCACAAGGTGCAAGGTGTACAGAACCAACTCCAGCTTGGGCTTCTCGACGCCCAAATCTCTGCAAAGACGTGGTGGCTGAAGGCCACAGGGCGGAAGGAAGCGCATGAGGAGTACAAGCGCAAGGCAAAGGACTTTGTCGCAATGAAGCACGCGGCAGCAAAGCAGCCCCGCCGGGCCAGGCGAGCTGAGGCCAAGGCTGAAGCGGCTCGAAGGTCGTGGTCGAGGCCTATGCGGCAAGGCGACTGCCAACGAGGAGCTCGACGCGGCAGGAGTAGCACGCACCAGTGCAAGGTGGTGGTCTAAGCAATACAGGTGGTTGTTTGTCGTTTTCTTCTTTGGACGCATGGGGTTCGGATTGGCAGCTTGTACGGTATGGAACACGGCTTGGGCTGGAGTTTTGAGGACGTCTGGGTTATGTCCGGCCTCCTCGCAGGCCTTCTTTACTTTACGAGAGCTGGGCGTAGCCACGATATGGACAACGTAACAAGGCCACAGCGGTTTTTAGTCTACTATTTGCGCCCGTTGCCGACTTTGTGATAACCCCAGTTGCGGGCGTCCACGGTGACAGCCGTGCCGTGAGGTAGTGTGAGCCGCCATGGCATGACGTCGAGATATAAAGCCGAAGCGGTGAGACGCATGCTAGCTCGGGCCTAGGCCGACGAGAGTCTAGGGTAGAGTTGATCAAGAAGCGCCCTGAGGAAGCAAGGAGTGTGTGCAGAGCACGTCTGCCGGTAGAGTATGATGTGAGCTTTCCGCATGTTTTCAGGCTTGGCCGCGTGTATGCTTTGGATGGCGGGGTTGGGTTGAGCTTGGAGACCCCCCGTGTTCATCTGCACGATGTCGAAACCGGTGGGCATTTCACGTGCGGACGGGTGATGCTGTGGGCAGTTGAGGTGCTCAGCAGTGTATTTCAGTTCAGGTACCGACCGGTACTTTTTGCCCTGCAGCTCAGGTAAGGTAATGTCAGGCCGCCCCACCCGGGCCCCATGTACCCGCGCTGCACGACACCACGGGCGAGTGACCTCTGGGTCTGTGGTGCTTGGCCCCCGGTTTTCATCTCCAGCAGCCAGCTCCTCCCAGTCAGTTAGTAGCAGGCAAGGCAGGATTGATGCGCTCTTGCCAGCCCTGGAGGCCCCCGAGGGCGCCCAGCCAAGGTACCTGGGAGTACCTGGGTACTGGACCCCAGCGCCGTGCCCGCTCCCCGCCGGCGGCGTGGGCTGGGCTGGGCCAGGGGAGGCAGGGAGGGGCAGCACGCACACGCACAAGCCCAGCAAGCTCTTTCCGCCACGGGCGGCCGGCATCTGCCTTAGAGGGACGGGGAGGGGAGGAGGGGAGGTGAGGTGAGCGACCCCCAGACTGTGTGCGTGCCCTGAATGGCGAACCGTCTTTTGCTGCGACTCATACAACCTGGACATCAACAACCCCTCCCGCCCCAACGTCGCCCAAGCAGCAAAAAAAAAAGTATCTCCCATCTTTTCCCTTCCACACCGCCCACGGACAAAGGCGAAAAGCACATAGAGTACCGGTGAGTCCTGCTACCCAACTGCCCCGTTCAGCGGCGCGATGCCGTGCCCCCCCTTTGCGCGCGCTCCCTGCTTTCCGCCCCCTCGCTGTCTGTTTTTTCTCCTTTGCGGTGGGGCTGCCTCGCGACCTGGGCTTCGCCCCTCCCCGCCGGGACCGCCGCGCTGGAGGGGTAAAGCAGACAGCTGCTGCCTTTGTGTGGGCGGTAGAATTTTGAGGGCTGCGATGACTGACCTGACGTCTTGATTCTCTCGTACTTGCAGGTTTATCCAGAAAGCGAAAACCCCCACGCACAGAGTCCGACACCATGTCTTCCACCGAGAACACCGATCCCAAGGTCGAGGAGCCCAAGGTCGAGGACCCGAAGGTCGAAGAGCCCAAGGTTGAGGAGGCCAAGCCGGCCGAGAAGACTGAGGTATGGAAACAGTCCACTCCCCCGATGGCGCAGCGCCGAGCGCCCGCACGAGATCCCACGCCGCTGCGGTTGCGGTCGCGAGAGCGAAAGAGCGCTACGTGCCGGCGTGCGAGCGAGCGGAGCGCCGAAGGAGGAAGCCATCCGCTGACCTATACCCCTTTGCGACGCAAAATAGGCTTCCACCGATGAGTCCAAGCCCGTGACCTCGTCCGCCGTCTTCTCGATGTTCGGCGGCGGTGCCAAGAAGGAGAAGAAGGAAGAGGAGGAGCGAGGCGACGTGTCTGGCAGCGCCAAGGCGCAGCGCGAGGCGGCTGTTGCGGCCAAGGGCGAGGACGGCGAGGAGGCTCCCGAGAGCGAGGACGTGCACTTCGAGCCCGTCATCAAGCTGACCGAGAAGGTCGAGACCAAGACCAACGAGGAGCTGGAGGAGCAGGAGTTCAAGATGCGCGCCAAGCTGTTCAAGTTCGTCAAGGAGAGCAGCGAGTGGAAGGAGCGTGGAACCGGTGACGTCCGCCTCCTCAAGCACAAGGAGAACGGCAAGACGAGACTGGTCATGCGCCGCGACAAGACCCTCAAGGTCTGCGCCAACCACTACAGTAAGTTTCCGCGCGTTGATGTGCTCGCGGGAGGCGTGCCCCGCTGACGCGAGACGCAGTCGTCCCCGAGATGAAGCTGTCCCCCAACGTCGGCTCCGACCGAAGCTGGGTTTGGAACGCCGCCGCCGATGTGAGCGAGGGCGAGCCCGAGGCCGTCACCCTAGCCATCCGATTCGCCAACTCTGAGAGTAAGTCGCGGGTAACTGTTACGCTCAAGTCGAGATTCAAGCTGACAGGATGATTACAGACGCCAACCTTTTCAAGGACGCGTTCCTCAAGGCCCAGAAGGAGAACGAGGCCATCTTCAAGAAGGCGACCGAGGAGGCCGCTGCCGCTTAAGCAGCCAGTCGCGTCGACCGCCCAGCGGATTTCGTCTTGGAGTCGCCACCGCTCCCTGCCGCGGACCTGAGGCGCCCTTCCCACCCCCCATATAGTCACATCAGCGCCAGCATCGTCACCAGCGATGATTGCAATCCCCCCAGAACCACAGAGAATCCCACCACAGGCAGCACTGAAACGAACCCGGACGGATCGAGGATCAGAAGGGGAAAAGGATCAGAGAATGTGAGCAGGATAGAGCACCAAGTGGTGCGTGTCAGGCAGGAGGTTTGACGGACGGAGGACAGCATTGAGAGCATCAGGTCACAACACCCCCCGTAATCACAAGCAAAATAAAAATGCATTAGAGAAGGCGTCATGCGTCGTAGATGGTGTCTAAGCGTGCTGTAGGGGGGCGAGCAGGGCGGGATCGGGCGTGCCTGGGCGGACGTCCGTCGTCGAGTCTGCGAATGCCCGAGTGTAAAATGTATTCTGGGGAATGTGGTCGCGCGGTGCATCGACCACGTATTGCTTGCTACGTAGGCTCTGTGCGTTGTGCCCTTTGCCCAGTAGCGGCAGGGAGGCTTGGTTTGGGGGGAGCCACATTCGCAGTGTACTTCGTCATGTGTTGAGGAATTTGAGGCGACATGACATGCTGCCCTGAAGCTTGGGGGCTCCGTGGATGCCGGCGTCGATAATAGCCCTACCTTGAGGCGTCACCGAGGGAGTTTTGTCGTCGTAATTGTACTATTCAGCGCCGAGCATAGAGTTGACAGCCGAGGCTGAGGCGGGAGCGCGTCAAAGTGCGAGTGCCTGGACAACCTAAGGACCCAACTTTCCATACGCCTGGAGGTACGAGTCCTGTGGGCGGAGCCGCTGGAAGGGGCCACGGACCTGAGGCGGGAGCCGCGACTGCGAGTGGACGCTAACACGGCGGGCCTTTCAGCCTCCAAACGTCCCGTCTGCGTCTACCTGGGCAGGGCAGGGCAGTCAAGTCAGTCTTCCCTCACAACCTGAACCTGCTGTTGCTGGGACCCGACCCGACCTCCAAACCCGCCGCACCGAAACCCATCCCCGACCCTCCGCGGCCCGCGTCGCATCAACCATCCCATCGCTCCAACGACCGCCTTTCGCTCGAGACGCACCGCACAAACCCGGCGCTCGCACGCACGCAGGCACGCCACTGCCTCCCTCCCTCCGCGAACCCCAACTCGAAGCGTGCTCTCCCCGTTTTGCTTCCTCGGGACGCGGACGAAAATCGGCGCTTGCTCCTGCTCTCGCTCCTGCTCCTCCTCCTCCGCCTCCGCCGCTCCGTTTTCCCCTGCGTTATCCCTTGACTGGATCGCAGCGTGTTAGGATTTTTCCCTTCACACCGACGCCCGCCGAACAAACCGACCGTCCACGCTTCTCGCCGAGACTCGATTCCCCCGAGAAAAGAGACCTGCCTTGCTTCTCCCCCACAGGGCTGGCCGAATCTATTATTACTTCTTTTATTTTACCCTTTCTTCCCTTTACCGCCCGCCGCCGCCGCCCTTCTTTGTTTGGCCGAGTACTAGCAGCGCGGAGGCGAATTAATAGTCACGACCGGGGCTAAAAGCTGCTGCTTGTTTGAAAGACGCCAGGGCCGAGGTTTCGTCGTCGGAATTCGTCAAGAGAAGGAGGATATTATAAGAGCGATCAAGAGAAGAAGGAGGCTGCAATCATGTTGGTCGAGGTACGTCTGGAATTGCGCACACGCAGAGAACACAGAACATGCACGAACATACATGCACACACGCACGCACGATGGGCGACCACGGCGCGCAGCTGTCGACCGACTGTCCCGCGCGGCGGCTGGCTGGTAGGCTGTCCGTCCGGTTGCTCGGGGAATGGCGGGAAGCAGTCGGCTGGGGAGAACAAAGTGTGCTGCCGCTGCCGGCTGGCGGACAGGCGGGCGGTATCGGGGCTGGCGGCTGCGCGCGGTGCTCGTACGGCGGGTGCTGCACAGGCTGTGAACAGCTGGAGCTCTGCACGATTGATTGTCGGGCCGCCCCTCGTCACCGCGGCGTGGGACGCTGAGCTCGTCTGCGTCCGTTGCCGTGTTCATTCACAGGTCGCGCAGCTGCGCCTGGTTTCCCCTCCGCCCTCTCTCCCATTCTGCATGGTTTCTCGGCCTTGAGCTCTCGCCATTTCTCCCCTTCACCGCAACGTTTCACACCGCTGCCAGTAGCAAGCGCATCCTTCTTCATTTGCCTGTTCGCTCGTCGTCTGCCCGTCATGGCGCCCGTGACGAGGGCCAGAAGGAGGATCATTCTGCGCGTTTCCGGCGATTCTGACCTAGATGTGCAGAGGAAGGTCAAGGTCGTCACCGACCAGAGCGTCATGTAAGCATACCCTACTCTCTTCGCCCATGCACCGCAAGGGCTGTTGGCTAACGACGAATGAACAGCGACAAGCCCTCGCCCGTGGCCGAGTTTCCCATGAGAGAATGGAGCATAAAGCTGCATTTGCTGGACGAGGACGGCAACGAACGGCCGGCGGATGTCTTCACGAAGGTCGTCTACAACCTGCATCCTACGTTCGAAAACCCTACTCAGAGTCAGTCTTTCCCCCTCTTGTCCCCGACGACCCGCAGCCATCCAGTGTTTCGGTAGCCTGGGGTTCAGCGGTTGGACTTCAAACGCCGTTTGCTGACGCGATGCACAGCCTTCACCAAGCCCCCCTTCATCTGCTCCAACGAGGGCTGGGGAGAGTTTGAAATCTCCATCGACTGCTACACGACTGAGAAGACGAAGCTCGCGCCTATCATTCACGACCTCAACTTCCAGCAGGAGCACTACGAGGCGGTGCACACCGTCACCTTCAAGAACCCTTCGCAGGCGCTGCAGGAGCGGCTGCGCGAGACGGGCCCCCTGCCCAACGACGAGGACCGCCCCAAGAAGAAGGGCCTGGCCACCAAGAAGGGCGCGCAAAAATACGACTGCGAGAAGATTGCCGAGGCCCTGCAGAAGCTCGACGACGAGGAGGACCTGCTGCGCGTGATCCAGCTCATCAACGAGAACAAGAGCGCGGAGACGTACATCAAGAGCGATGTCGAGGGTGAGTCTTTTTATCGTGTACCCCTCCCGTCTTTTGCCTGCCTCCCCTCCCCTCGACCGTGTGCCAATGTAGGTTTTTTGCGTTGATTCATGGCGGCTAATAGTGGACAATCTCGTTGAAGCCGGCGAATTCTCGATCGACCTTTACACGATGCCCGACGTCCTCTGTACGAAACTCTGGGAGCACCTTGTAAGTGAATCGAGGCCTTGAGGGGTAAGACCAAGACGTACGGATGCTGACGGCCTTGGGACAGTCCAAGAAGAACCTGATTAGCTAGGCCGCTGAATCAGCCCTTCGACGTTGGGAGTCTGCCAACTGAGCTGCGTAGCCGAACTTGGGCGACCAGACGGACCGGACCTCGTGTGGATGACAGACATGGACACGCGTGAAACAGCAGCGCTGTCAAAAGGATCGATCGTTCGGCGTTGGCGCGAGCCTCGACGAGTTTGAGAATGGGGGGTTCCGCATAGTACAGTGAGGACTTGGGGCCTGGAAGGGTGAAATGGGCAAGGAAGGGGTCAAGGGGCGAAAAGAGGCGCGAAAGGTGGTGTTGCTGCTCCTTTCTACGGTCTTTCTTTGGAGCCCGGGAGAGGAATGCCTTGTTGTCTTTTTTAATCATTGAGTTTTCACCTTTTTTGTGACCTTGCTAGGTACCGGAAACGCGGAATGGATGACCATGGGAAGGTCCCTGTGCTTTGTTTGTTTACCTGCCTGCCGCTGTGGGTGAGTCTTGTCGTGCTGTGTGTTCGTTCCTGGGCGTGTGTGTGGGTTGAACTGGATGACCGCTTTGTTGCTCCTGAGTCTTCAGAGGAGTGAAGCGGCGTCTGTCTGATCGCGAAGGGGGCTCAACGTGGCATATACGCTGCGAAACGGAATGCACCCGAGGCTATAGCTACCTGGGGATTCCCCTCTTATCGTACCGAGCTCATTTGAGCAAGACAGTGAGGACCATGGCCTGGCCTCGTGGGCTCGACGTGATAGGTACCCCTTGCGATGCGGACCAGAAGTAAGGCTGTAGTTGAATGCTTGTGTTCCCATTGTGCGGAGTTTATTCGACAAAAACAATGGGCGGCGGCCCGACCTCGTCGCTCTTGGGTTCTTGTGTGCTGAGATCGTGAATCTCCGGTCGCGGTGGGGGCTCGATGTGATATGTACGTCAACGAGACAGACCACGTACGAGCAACAGTGTAGCTGTAGAAGCAGCTGGACGGCCCGGCTCCACGGAGAAGGGGTTCATTAGCACACATTCTGGACACGGCGAGGACTCGGTTGTGAGAGAAATGCACCTCATTATGCAGAGTTCGTTCCGAGGACAGGGGGAGGACGGGCGGCACGCCGGCCGTGTGGCGTCGTGCCGTCCCGGAATATGTGCATGCTAGACGTGCTAGATACGTTGGAGGAAGGTTGATGGGATGATGATGGTCGGGATATGCGGGGGATGGACCATGCAGCAGGAAGCGGGGTCTCGGAGGACCAGGCACGGGATGGACGGGAGCTCAGGGGGTAGATCGACGCGTGAAGGGGATTCTGAGGGTCCTTGATTGTGCGAGGCTGCATGGGTTGTGAGAGCTTGTACGGGCGTTTTATGTGCGCTGGCAGAGGCTGATAGTCTGGCATGAACATGCATGTCCAGAGTCTTGCGCTGCGAAGACGGCATGTTCGGTAAGGATGCTTCACCATGTGCTATGATATTGTCTGCAGTGCTACTATATTCGTCGGCGGGCTGTTGTTGTTGTTGGCATTGATGAGCAGTCGTGAATCCATATTGATGAGTTCATAAATACAGAATGATGACTGGCAACGGATGGACGATCTGCGGCGACTCCTGCCACTTGTGAGACCGTGTATTATTAACAGCACTCGTGTGTTATCAAAGATCGCCATGGCCGTGGTTGAGCGTGGCTTACACTGCGTGTCGTCCGGCTCGCATACGCGCCGCCTCGAGGCACCTGATGAAGTCGATATGCGCGGGTGGCTTATACAATCAATCACCCACACAGACGAAGTAGTCCTGCGCAGAGCTGTTAGAGCAGCAAGTACCGCAGCTCGCACACAGAGCGGCACAGTATCGCACTGTACGGTACTTTGGCGCAGTCTTGGAGGAGAGCACGACACCACCAGCAGCCTTGCAGGCGGGGCCTCGCAATGCCGTCGCCGGCGCTATGGGGTAATGGAAACAAGGCTTGCGCACAGAAGCCTCCGGCGAGCTTCCATGGCTGATCAGAAGGGGGGGGAGCTCTAGAATGAGAGGCGGGACCCCCGGGACGCCCCTCCCCCTTGGATGGCGCTATGGGGTAATGGGAATGGCGACTGGCCATCACGCGGGTCGACAGGCTTGTTTGTTGTCTTGTCTTTGCTTGTCGAAGAGCTGTGGGATGATGACCATGTCCCTGTCGTGTTTCAACGGACTTCTTTTACCTACCATAGGATAATGCATTCAATGCAGATGTGTGCATTGGACGATACAGGTAAAGCAAGGTAGACGAGCAAGGTTGTCCGCCGCCTCAGGTAGAAAAGAGAAGGTTGTACAACGCCCGTCGCGTACGGCAATCGTTCGCCTTGGCTTCCTATCTCGACCGACTGACGTCCAGGCAAGGTTGGCGTACCCGGTAGGCTACGAGGATACGCGAGGGCCACGCATCAGCACGGGGCGATATCTGTCACAAAAAAAAAGATGCTGGGGCACAGCACCTGGCCTGCCGCCCCCCCTGCTCGCCCGGATAACGGACGCGCATCATCACCCAGTGGCATGGCGGCAAGGGGCCTGCCGACGACTCGATTGGCGGGCTGCACACCAACGGCTGTCCCTTTGTGCAGTGATATGTGTGTTACTCGTCGCTCGTCTCTTTGTTCCCTGGTGTTCGATGACGATAAGCGATGCGAGGCCAATGGAAGGTTGGGAAGCAGTCCACTTCGTTTGTGCCCGCTGGTGCGAATCCATTGGTGGCAGAGAGGGGGAGAGCAGGTATGGGGGGGATGTGCATCGTGGGCATCATGATCCGCGCCGTGGCGACCAACACGCGCATCTCGAACCAAGAGAGGCCACGTCAATGGGCACACGCCTCCCGCGGCTGGTGAGTGGGAGCCCGGATAGCTGGTCAGTTTCTCGCTCACGCTTCGCGGGCAAGGAAGAGCGGGTGTAATAGGACGGAGAGGGAAATTTCGAAGCGAACACATGACACTTTTCGGGGCGGATGATGGTATCGTGGGATGCTTCGTAGCGCGAGGTTGGGACGAGTCTAGGGGAAACGAAGGCGGCAGCCATTGCCCCGTACTTCGTACTTTTTTCTACGAGTACGTGCCTGGACCCTGCCGTTTCTGCGTCGTGCTCGCTCAGCGCTCGCCGCTCACCTTGGCCTGCCGTTCTGGACATGGGCTGGCCGTGCTGGCGCGTCGAGGCGCGGCCAGGGTTCGCCGATGGGCCTAGGCTGGATGGGTAAGGTATGAAATATTTCGGGCTACGAGGGGCGGGCGGACTGGACGGTTTGTCTTCGTTTGCTGCTCACTCGGTCGGCCTCTCGCGTTCTTTATTATGCGTGCGTGTGAGTGTGAGCGTCTGTGCGATCCTGTGTCCCTCTCCTTCTTTGCAGGCGCCACTTGCAGCACGAGGGCCTGCAGGTGCGTGCATCGCATCGCAGGCCAGCAGCAGCAGCAGCCCGTATGGTCCGTGAGGTGTGTGTGTGTGTGTGTCCCGTCTGTGCTCGCCGCGCGTGTGTCTGCTGCGGGTGGAAGCTAAGGCAAGCCCCGGCTGTGCTGTGCCGTTTCGACGCTCCGCAACGACTGCTACACCACCAGTGAGCAGGTACGTAGTTGGGCGGTGCATCATCTCGAAGCAGAAGTTGCAGCGAGCCGCGCTGCCCTCTGGCCGATCCATTGCGGCCTTCACGGGGTCGGACGTGACGCCGTGGGAGGCCCTGGAGCTGCAGCAGAGCAGCAAGTTTCGTCGTGTCCGGTGCTGCGACGTTGGTGGTTCGCGCAGATGGCCATGTATCTCGTACAAATCCCGTGCCGGTACGAGAGCCGTTGCACAGCATTTCGTCACGGCCCCGCGTCCAACCTGGCATGGAAGTTTTTGGTGCTGGAGTGCTGCTGGTACGCCGCTGGTACCTGCAATCCTCCTCCCCCCGGCCCAGCCGCCAATTCCAGCAGGGTCGAGGTGCCAACGTGACCTGCAAGACCCAGCATGACCCCGGCCCAGGCCAAGGTCCCCAGCTTGCCAACAGCGACGATTGGTCAGAGAAGCGTCGTGATTGGCTTACGGCAAGGCCATTGCCCCCTGCCATTGGCTCGTGTGTGGGGAAGGGCGGATCCCGGCAGGCCCTGGAGGAGCCCTTTTGGCCCTCTGGCCTCTGGGCGGCGCCCCCCCTGCTGCGGGTTCCCAAACGGCATCGTTCGCTGGCAGCAGTCCGCTGGGAGGGGTGCCAATTGCTGGTGCGAGGTCCAGTGCCAGTTGCTTGTCCAGAGATGTGCCCAGAGAGGAGTGCGCGCTGCCCCCAGCCCAGTCAGCGGCGGCCATGACATGCAGTGGACTGACTGTGCGACCCCTCCACTCCCCTCCGCTCCTCCTCTGGAAGGCGGCGGCGGCGGGGCACACAGGGCCACACAGGCCACCCACAGGCCACCCACAGGCGCACACTCCCCCCCAAACAGGCGCCCGCAAGCAAGGGACCGCTCGCCTGGCGCTGCGAACTGTGGTTCGCAACGTGCGGACTTTTGCGGCGGCGTGGCGGGGACGACGACGACGGTTGCAGGCCTGAAGAAACGCGCAACGGCATGGTATGAATGTAGGTACCTTGCCGTGCCCCGAGACGAAGGGTGTGCCACGCACGCCGCCACTGTTGCTGCCCTCTGTCGCTCTCTCGCCCATCACTCACTCTCTCGTGCGTCGTACGCCACCCTGACCGTTTTTGACGACACCTCGCTGAGCCGGGCCACGCTCTCCGGCGGGCGCACGCAAGGTACCGACCTTCGCACCCCAACCAAAGAGTCTACAGTGCAGCACGGTGCTACGGTACTTTCGTTAGCACACCTACACCTCTGACGCGCGCTGCGCCTGGAAGCGAGCAAACGCTGGCGAAAAAAAAAGGCCCAAGGGTAAAAAAAATTGTTTACCTCCCGAGTACCCGGTACGCACGCAGTTCAGGTACCCCCAGCGTCGCCCGGCCGGTCGTCATCGTGGCCAAAGGTCCCCCCCCCCCAAAGCCCGTCCGCGTCCAGACACGATAGGTTTCGGGTGTGCTTTCCCTATCAAACAAACAGACTTTGGAGCGGCTTCCTTCTCCTCCTCCCTCTCCTCCTCTCCTCTTCCACACTCTCACCCCCTCCACTGCGAATCCAGGGTCCTCGGGACAAGGTTCAGCTTTTGCGAGCCCCCTTCCTCTTGCAGCAGCAGCAACCGTCGTCGTAGGTCGCCGGCGTACCCTTCTTATATCCTTTTCGTCTGCGTCCGCGCCGGCCGCCGGCCGTGTTAGTCGCCCTCCCTCTGGTTGCCGCTGCGAACCGCTGCGCGACGCCCGCCTGGACCCCGCTCAACAACCCCCCCGATCGCTTCACTTCGGCTCTCGCCCTCGTCGTCCTCGCCAACCCGCCGCAAGCCGAATTGCCATTGCCATCGCCGTCGCGAACTCGACCTCGCGGCGGTCTGGCACTGCCCGCCATGGCCCAATCTCAGTACGGCACCGCGCAGTCCAGCCCGAGCATCTCGGCAGCCACGCCCGCCGCCCGCCCGCGCTCCAACGAGCAATCCCAGCCGCCGCGCTCGCAGTCGCAGCAGCGCGATGCAGACGCCGACGCCCAGCAAAACGCCCAGCACAAGCGCGTCTACCAGGCCTGCATCCCCTGCCGCCGCCGAAAGGTCCGCTGCGACCTGGGCAGCGTCGACAACCCCCACGACCCGCCCTGCGTCCGCTGCCGCCGCGAGAGCAAGGAGTGCTACTTCTCGGCCACCCGCCGCAAGCGCAAGACGGACGACGGCGAGGGCAGCGACGCCGACGAGTACGTCATCCGCAATGGCCGCAAGAGGCTGCACGCCGCCGCCTCCCCGCCGCCTCGCCTCGACCGCCGCTTCTACAGCGACGTGCCTTTGACCCCCGGCGGCTCCCATGGCCGGAGCCAACCCCTGCGGCGGCCCGACGGCTCCCGCGTGAGGGACAGGAGGAATGGCGAGTTTGATGGCGAAGGCGACGCAAACCAGCAGCTCGAGAACCTCGAAGCCCAGACGGTGATGCGTCGCGAGATGTATGGGCCCCATGACGCCCTCGACCTCCTCTACAAGGCAGCAACGGACAGGTTTGTTGTCGAATCGTCCAGCAGGCCCTCAGACAACGCTGACGTGACCAGCCCGGCCGCTAACCACAGGAGAGAGGGGAGCACCGCCTCGGGCACCACGGTGCCCGCGCCCCAGCCCACGCCGAAAGAGCCTACTGGCCGGGAAGCTCCGCGGCCGACCTCCATGTCCGTCAAGCTGGAGCATCAACAGCAGCTGCACCAGCAGCAGGCTGTCCAGCAGCCCATCGACCCCGATCTGGCCCAGCAGCCCGGCATACGGAGCAACCCTGGCTACCTCAGCGCCCTGAGGGCCTGGAGCCGCTTCCGTTTCGTCCGCGCCGGCTGGTTCACGTCGCAAGAAGCCATTGAGTATATCGACTAGTAAGTCGCGTCTCCTGTTCCTGAGTCGGTCTCGCGGCGGTTGTGCTGATCCTGCTGCCAGCTACTACAAGTATCTCTCGCCGATGACGCCCATATCACCCCCGACTTTTAGCGACCCGTCCTCGCATATAACGTTGTTGACGGAAGAGCCCATTCTCACCGTGACGCTGCTCACCATTGCCTCGCGGTATCGCCAGATGCCGGGCACCGGCGGGCACTGTCGATCGCACGCCATCCCCGATCAGCTATGGAACTACCTGAGAGGCATGATTGAGCGTTGCCTCTGGGGCCAAGAAGCCTTTGGCGGTGGCTTCTGCGGCTCTGGTGGCTCTTCAGCGCTCATCATGGAAGAGACGGACACGAGCAGCACCGCCCCTTGGCGCGGCATGCGCAAGGGGAGCCTGAGGACCCTCGGCACCATCGAATCCCTCTTGATCCTCACTGAGTGGCACCCGCGGGCGTTGCACTTCCCTCCCCAGGAGGCCACCGACGAGCTGATGCTCCCCGACTACGACGCGACACCTATGGTGGGTGTCGATCCCACGAGAAACGTCGGTGCCGGGTTCGGCGGAAAGCGAATCGAGAGCTGGCTCGAGCCTGCGTGGAGGAGCGACCGGATGTGCTGGATGCTCCTCAGCACGGCAATGGGGCTGGCGTACGAGCTTGGCGTCTTCGACGACATCGACGAGATGCTCAAGGACGATGCCATCACTCGACCCGAGTTCCAGGACGAAGGCTACCGGACGAGAGCGAACCGTATCAAGCGGTTGCTCCTCATCTACACGTCTCAGCTGGCCGGCCGTCTCGGCTGGACTAGCATGACCCCTGAGCATCTGCGCAAGGCCGATCCCGCCGTGGCGAGGAGGCGCACAATGTCGAGCGACGGTGCCACGCCCAGCTCCTCGTCCTTGGCGAACGGCTTCAACTACGTTCCAGACCTTGAGCTCGATGACCAAATCATTCACTGCTGGGCAGGCATCAGCAACGCCATGCATCTTGGAAACGAGAAGCTGTTCCGCTCGCGGCAACATACCACGGAAATCATACAGACCGGCAAGTACGTCGAGTTGCTGCGAGAGTTTGCTCCCATGCTTCGAGACTGGTACCGCGAGTTTGAACTTTTCCGTCTGCCTCAATTCATCAGGCACATTCTGACCATTGAGTACGAATACGTGCGCATCTACGTCAACTCCCTGTCGCTGCAGGCGGTCGTCGAGCGATGCACCAACAATGCCGGCAACACGGCCGCAGCTAATGGCGACGGACAGGCGACGAATCAGCAGCTGTCGCCGCAAACCATGATAAACTACGGCAAGCTCCCGCTCGGACAGCTGGGCGGCTTCACCGTGCATGATCAAGAGTACGTTCGCGAGGTGGTGGACGGATGCAGGAACTTGCTTCGGACGGTCGTCGAGGGTCTGCTCCCTGGCGGATACCTCAAGCACGCCCCGGTGCGCACATACTTCCGCATCATCAGCGGCGCCATGTTTCTTCTCAAGACGTTTGCGCTGGGTGCCCCGCGCTCCGACGTGAAGCTGAGCATCGATCTCATGGACGCAACGGTGGAGGCCCTCCGCAACTGTGTTGTGGACGACGTCCACCTTGGCATCCGCTTCGCGGACCTCCTTGAGACGCTCACGAGCAGGCTGAGGAACCGCTTCATTCAGGCCCCCACCATGCAGCAATCCTCGGGCAGGGGCCAGAGCCCCCAGCCCGAAGGCGCTGGTGCCGCAGGACCGAACGGGGATAGCACCGCCAACTGGGTTGGCGGGCATGCCCAACGGCTGCGGGAGGGCCTCAATGGGCAGTGTGAGTTCCCTGGAGGCGGTGACCTGTTGAAGCGAGCGTGTACTAACAACCTAGCCCCAGACCGCGCTGGGTCTCCCACTGCCGAGGGGAACAACATCTCGGCCACACCGTTTGACCTGTCAGCGGGCAACTTCCCCTACCCGGGCACCACCTCGATTGGTCCGTCGACGCCGGCGGCTCATGTCGACAGCCATCATCCGCCAGGCGGCGGCATGGACATGCATATGTTTGAGGAATGGAACAACGCGGGCAACGAGATGTGGTACCTACCGCCGGGCCCGGCCTTCTTCCAGAACATGGAGAACAGCTCCGTCGCCATGACGGCCGAGGGAGTCAACGTCGGCGGGCTGGACCTGCTCGAGTACATGGCCATGGACCCCGTGCAGTTCTCGGGCATCGGAGAAGGCCCCGGGTCTGCGAATGGCGCCAACAGCGGCAACAACAACGGCGGCAGCAGCGCCGCCTAATGAGGAGCGCCAGGATGAAATGCCGACGGTATGGAAATCGGCAGGTAATGAGTTACGAGCCTGAAGAAGAATGCGCAAGCGACGTTTGGGCCGACCGGCAAGCGAGCCTCGCCTTTCTGCCATTGATGCGGAGATCGAGAACAGTAACCCCCAGAATCGTGTCCCGCCTCTCCCCGCCCAGTCTTTTTGGTTGGGCGGGAGTGGCCTCATCACCAGGGGGGAGGAACCACATTTTTGCATAATTGGAGTCTTAAAGCACTGGCGAATTTGGAAATCAAAAAAAGGGAGGGATTCTTTCTGGGCGTCTTTTTTCCCATTTCTTGTGTTTAATATGTTGCTGGCGTGGGTCTGAGAAGGGGGTGAAGAGAGTGGTGGACCTGAGAAGGCAGATCGGTGGCTCGAAACTCGGGCACCGGCACCGTTGCCGCAGCTTTGGGTGGCCCCCAAGCGCGCGACGTTATTATTTGTCTACGTCTTTTGTCGACGAGCAGCGTTCCAGGGCAGTGTGTATGTATGATGGCGAGCGAGGGAGCGAGTGAGAGAACTCGAGCAAGTTATCCTAAAGGAGAAAGTCGGCCAGCGCTGCTGGTTGGTTTCGACGTGGTAGACTACACGGTAGCTCTCAATGGCAGTAGTTGAATATTCCACCACGGGCTGCAGTCTCAAGAATGCACGTGTGACCATACAAACAGACAAGTCACCTCACCGGGCAGGGGGCAACGTCATGATCCAAAGCCACGCTCCTCGATTCATTGCCGCTATGATGCGTCTCGCTACGAAGTATTGTATGTACATGGCATATGCGACCTCGGAAGGGGGCCGTTGATCCAAGGCACTTCCTGACTGACTGGCTGGCCTGACTGACCGATTCTTGGTCGCTCGCTCACCCCACGCCTCTACCGTTCATCCTCACGCACGGCCGACCCAGCTGTCGCGCCTCCGAATCCCCCCGAAGAAGTAGAGGAACAAGAAGAACAAGAAGGGGACTAATGGACATGGGGAAAAGACAAAAAGGGGCAAGGACCTCATTTTGTGACAAAGAAAACCTCGGGGTGAGAGAGAGTGCGACCCGACGAGACTCTTTTCAGAGCAAGATTCATGGTGAAGAAAAGGTAGAAAGAGTCTGATGAAAAAAAGACAGAGTCGACAAGCACAAGGCCACGCAAAAAGAACAGAAAAAGAGGCCCGGCCAGACGACCGCATGGTATCATTCCACTTATGACTTGCCCCGTTGAGGGAGGCGATGCAGCCGTGAGCAGTGCAACGACAACATGGTGACAAAATCACATCTTGTAAAGGAAGAACAAAACAAAAAAAGCAACAAGATTTGAGCGCTAGACCTGGTAATGACAAGAGCGAAGTGTGCCGAGGCATGGCCACGGCAACATGCGAAAGGTTGAGGACATGTCGTGATAGGAAGAGGAACGGCCGATGCTCGTGGCGAGGTGGCAGAAGAAAGGGCCCAAACTGGCGAGAATTCGGCCGAACATGATTTTTTATTTTTCATGGTCGAGTAGGAGGAGGTCGCATAGGCTTGGTCGAACCCAGACCAATCCTTAGGATGTAAATGAGGAGTACGGCGCTTGCAAACGTCTACAGGCCGTATGTCCCGCTACGCGTGGCATGGGCCTCTTGGAGGACTGCAATCAAGTTAGTTTAACCCACAGCATCACATTTTGGTGAGATCCGCACGTACTGTTCAAGACATTCAGCTGCCCGGCCCTGTCCTCACACGCAAGCTGGATGCTGGCTCCCTCGATGAAGTCGAGCACCACACTGTTCGGCAGTTCCTGAACCTCAACGTCCGGTGTATACGGCGTCCGGAACTCGGAGAGGTGGTATCGCTTCGTGCCCTGTGCCTGGCGGCCGCTCTGGGCGGGCAGAGCGCTGAGGATGATGAAGCCCTGGGAGTCAAGGCACATGTTGCGGCGCTTCCACAGCAGGTTGTCGGGGAACTGCACGTTGACGTCGCCCATGTAGGACACGACTGAGGGAGACCCTGTCGTGGCTGGCCTCTGGGTCGCCGCTTCGGCAGCCCGGTCTTCTGCAACTGAGGGCGAGAGTACGGTGGGCGAGTTCTTGCCGCGGGAGCCGGAGAGGTTGGACAGACGACGCATGAAGCGTCCTGCTCTAGACATTTTCTTGTCCCCATTAGCCGACTTGGCGTCGTCACCAAAGCTCCCCTCGGTTGGTGACGTGTGGCCATCGCGGTCCCCGCCAACCGATGAGCGGCGGCTGCTTATAGACAGCCGAGGTGAGAAGGAGCTGCTCTGATTGATAGAAGGGGGCCGAGTCGGCGAGCGTGACGGGTTGGAGCTGGTTGGCGCACCGTACCCATCGCCTTGATTTGACGTCACAGACCTGCGACGCTCCTTGATGAAGTCTTTGACAATGCCCAAGGACGACTGACGAGGCTTGTCGGTCTTGATGGGTTCTTGATTCACAGATCGCTCACCCAGCGGCGCTTCTGTGCCAGGCTGCGCTGGCCCGCGCACGGCTTTGTGATGGTCAACCAGCAAGGGTGACTGCTTCAGATCCAAATGCCCGTACTCGGAGGGGTCCTTTGAGGGATCAAATCCAAAGCCGGCCTTGTCGTTTGGATCCCGGATGATCCTGGCTGTGACAGACACGTATTCTGAGCGTCCTCTGTGTATGCTCGCGGGTGAGCCCCGGCTAGGAGCGTTGGCTGTAGTAGTGGTCGGGGACTCGAACACGGACAGGCGGCTGGTGACGGAGCCGGATCGTTCTTGCCGTACGTGCATGCCTTCAGGAGACGACTCGTTTGATCTCGAAAGCGGCTCGGCGGTTGACCGCAACGAGTTCGCCCGGTCCATAACAGACGGCGACCTGGACGGCTCCCGCTTCTTGACCGCAAAGAACGTCGAAGACGGCCGCTCGCGCGAATTGACAACTGGCGGTGCATCGCCTGACGACGCAGAAAGCTTCTCCAGCGCCTTGATGCGTTGCGATATGCTGGAGCCAAGGTTGGACTTCTTCAGCAGATTACCGCCCTGCTGCGATGATTGTTGGTTGACATGTTGCAAGTAGGCCGCTCCTGTGCTTACAGATCGCGTCGAAGGCTGGTTGAAGCCCGTCGGAACAGTCAACTTGCCACGGACCGGGTTTGATGCGGTCCGGATCATGTGAGCAGTCGGCGCACCCGTCGGCGCAACCCTCTTGACGGGGCTGGGAGGGAACGTAGCCGACACGGGCGTCTTGGCTACGGACATGTGTTTCGCTTCTTGCACCGTAGCACTCTGCAGTTCGTTCATCAACTCGTCGTCGTCTGAGAGATTTGCCTCCGACGACGGCTTGCTCGGAGTATGAGGTGAATCGGTGTCGATAGGCTCGATAAAAGCCCTCCGCTTGTTGCTTCTCACAGGGATGGGGATAGTATCGGCGTCGCTCTCGTCTTGTTCGTCGACCTCTCTGACTTTCGCTTGAGCTGCTGTGATGACAGGGCTCTCCTTCAGCGATAGTCGTGGGCGCTCGGAGACGACAGTAGGCTGTTCCGCGAGTTTGTCGACACAAGGCAGGTCCTGACTCGAGGCCTTGCTCTCCAGAGTCGTCGAGTGCGCAGAGGGGGCCGTCTCATTATCACTTGTTGATGTGGCGGGCTCCGCGGTAGCGTCCCTGTGAGGAATGTTGCTTGTCTCGGTATCCACGTTGGTCGACAACGGCTCTTGTGGGGATTTTGGTGACGATGGAATGCCGGCCGAGAGCTTGGAATCTGACAGAGCAACCGACGAGAGGTTTTCGCCAACTTCAAGCTTCTGTTCACGCGCATCCTGTTCATTTCCACCGGGCGACACGCCGCCCGAAGTAGGGTCCACAGCTTCGGCGGCCCGTTCCGACGGCAAAGGTTGCGAGTTCTTCGACTCAGCAGCTTCAGATGGGGCTTCAGAGGATATCGCTTCGGTAACGACTGGTCCTCTCTCGTCAACTTCCGACGCGGTGGCGCTATTCTTGACAGCTTCCTCGGCTGACACGACCTGGTTCTCGGACTGCGCTTCTTGCCAGTCATCGTCCTCTGAGATAGCATCTTCCCCGTTCCGCTCCTCGTCCGGCGCCGCCTCTTCATCCTTGGCCCGAACTGTCTCATCGGTAGACTCAGAGATCGACGAAGCCTTGGTTGACTGCGCAGCTTCCGAGGAGGCCACTATTGGGCTGGCCGGTCTCGAGTCGGATTGTGTCAAGTCTGAAGTTTGATCAGTAAGCACCGAAGAGGAAAGCGTATCCATCGCCGACGCAGTATTGCCCGCCTTTACTTCATCCTCGACTCGTTGCTCGGTCTCTGATTGTTGACCTGCCTCAGGCACTTGGTCCACGACAGTGTCGGCCGCAGCATCTGTGCTCTCTTCGGCTGTGGCCTCACTGATGCTTTCTGCTGCGGGAGGCTGCATGCTCATCTGCTTCTTCTGTTCCCTCAGCTTCATAGCCTTCATAAGCCTTGCCTTCTCAGGCGTGATGGTTGGCTTCTTCGGCGCAGTCGGCGGCGACATCGATACTGGTTCAGGGACAACGCCCAAGCTGGTGGATGGCCTCGCGGACGCAGGATCCTGGGCCTGCAAAGTCCCCTCGGCAGCAGGTGCTTCAGATGGAGGAAGGTTCAAGCTGACGGCGTCATCCGCAGGCGCAGCAATGGTGATTCCGTCTCTGCTGCCCTTGCCTCGCCGACTTCCCTTGCCAAACAGCTTGAAGCCCGCTGGGATGGCTGAAACAGGGCGAAAGTTCCCAGCGGTCTGTGGTCGGCCACCGCTTTCGAGAGAAGGGCGAGGACCAAGCTTGACCTTGGGCTTGGTGTAAGGGTATGACGAGTAAGTAGAATAGTTGTCCGGACGGATCGACTCCGCGTCGCTCGATTTACCTGGCGATGTGGGGGGCTCGTCAACTCCCACGAAAGTTGGCAATTCGGACGTTGAAGCGACAGAGAACTTCCTATGTTCGGGGGATTCAGCCAGCTGGGAGTTGAGCGTGACCGGCTCGACTGCCTGACTGTCGCCGGCTGGCAGCTGCGGACGGTCCCCATCCCTATCCTGCATGGACTGGCGCTTGACGGCACGCTGCTCCTCCTCCTCCTCCTCCGCAATCTCCACCAAACGTCTTCTGCGAAGGGAACTGGTGGATGAGGATGTCGAGCATGAGGCAGCGTGCAGGGAGCAGGCTGCGGAGAGTTTGGTATCCTTCAGCTCAGCGGCTGTTGAGATTTCAAATGCGGTATCGTATGGCGAGAAACGCTCACAGACGGCAGTGAAGTGGACGGCCACGCGAGCTGCAAAGAGTAAGAAAACTGGTTAGCAACTCAAGAGCCCAGGAAGCGCAGGCAATGCGCATTCTCCGTCTCATCCAGGCACGGATAGTTATTTATGAATAACGCACCTTGAATGATTCGAGAGCAGTCCTCCGGCAAATATTTGATGATGACGTTTCTTCTTCGATATCTCAGGAAGCCATAAAGAGGGCTTGTCTCGTCGTATTCGTCGATGGCATTGCGTACTTCTACAATGCCTCCGTTGCCGCGTTTCAGGAGCTCAACCTCGTCACGAGACGTATACTGGAGGAGGAACCTGTCAGGCGAGGCGCACGAGCGCGCGCCGAGTCAGCCAAGCGTTCAGTTGTAAGGGGAAGCAGATGTTTCTGCAGCGCAGTGGGGGTTGCATTCCATACCATCCTCCCGGCTCGGATGCAGCCGTCTCGTGCGCTTCCACGACCTTGGCCTCGTCCAACCCATTGAGAGACATTGTGCCGAGTATCGCCGTCCGGGAGGCACGATACGCCTGCCGTTATTGATGATGCCGCCACAGGACAGCGAAGAGGCCGTTGGTCGCGAGCCTCGTGGAGAAGCGCGCGGCGGTATTCGACGTCGAACACGGCGATCCTGGACACGTAGTCTCAGGGACACAGTTCGCCAGCTCGGCGTGGTGGGCGATGGGCGTTGGTCGGGTACATGGGCAACGGCCCGACACAAAGAGGCTGGTGGTGGTGGTCCAGACGTCCTTGACGGCGACGTCAGGGTTGAGTTCGTGGGGAGGATACGGTGCCCGCCGAGGCGGTTTGTCGCGATTGTCGCTGGCTGGGGGGGAGGGGACCAAGACACTGCCCAAAAAGCAACGACTGCAGGACCCGAAGGGGGCAAATGTGTTAGCTTTGCCCGTCTTGGCGGGTGTGTTGCAACCCACGCGTGGGCTCTAGCACCGGCAAGGGGGAACGGATTGACCGGCGCGGCGGGTTGAATGGATGGGTTTTGGGTTGCACGTACCGCGTCACACAGGCAGGTGGTAACTTGGTACGACCACGAGGCTTCACCTCGAGAGCTCGGTTGCAGCCGGCGGTGTCCGATAAAGTGGTGCCGCCGAAGTTCAGGGGAGAAGGAAACGGGGAAGGGGGGCAACAGAAAAGGATCGAGGCTCACGCCAGGGGAGCCCGAGAAAACGAGTGGAAGCTGGCCGCGGGTGTGCCTGGGCTGGGCTGGGCCCTTTGATGCTGCACCGCGAATCGCAGACGGGCGCACGCAAACCAGCAAGGGCAGAAGGGCAAGGCGTGGTGCGAGCACAAAGTAATAAGGAGAAAGACGGCGACGACGAAGACGAGGACGACGATGGAGCCGAAAAAGGATGGATGGATTTGGTGCCCGCTGCGAGCGAGCGCGCCCACGCCCACGCACAACGCCAGGGGGGGCCCGGGCTCCTATCACGGTGGGCAATATAGGGGCCTGAGCACCCGCACCTGCGGCTCCCACCAGTTGCAGGCCGCACCGACATGAACGACCCCGGACCCCTGGCAAGATCCATGGATGGACGGATTGGATGCTGTCGGCGCGCCGGCCAGGGGTGCCGTCCGTCCCCCAATTGTAGGTTCCAAGGTTCCTGGGCCTGGCCTCCAGCAGCCGCAGTAGCAGCAGCAGCAGCAGCTGTAGCTTGCCCCTCCCCGCCCCGAGGTCGTCCAGCACCTAGGCGGGGATTGGACGCAGCGAGGAGCAAACCTGGACGAGCCCGCGAGTCCGGGCGCCGTAAACCCACAAAGGCCCCTGTGAAAGGCGCTACCCAGGGGCCGCGCCCAGGCACCTGGGAACGCCTGGCGCCACAAACGCGAACCTCCATGGAAGCGCCCGCCATCGCCCGTCCACCCCAACGGCGTCGTCGCGCCTTTGTGGCCGTCGTCTTCATTGTCTGTCTCATGGTGCCAGCGCTCGGTACACATCGCGTCACAGAACTCCATCACTCACTTACTCAAACACACCCATACACCATCGACAATTCAGCTTCCTCTGCCCCCCTTTCAGCTTTTCGGAGGGACGGGTTCGTGAGATAATTTCCCTTGAACATTTCCTTTGCATTTACGTCGCAATGCGCGCCGCGCAACCGCCCATAAATTGCGACCGGCCGTCGCCAACCTGCGCCGAGTCGGCGAGACCGGGGCACGCTCCGCGCGGCGTCAGGCTCCCATTGTCGTCGCCTCGCCCAAAAGCGGGCCGAAACAGATCTGGAGCTTTCGCGTCCGGGCCGAGCTTCAAGTCGCCAAGCACACACCTTTTCTTGTTCTTCTTCTCCGTAGACGCGAACGGGAACTGTCGCACATACCTACAGTACTACTTATCTACAAGTTTACGTACGTGTCTGTACAGTATGTATGCGCCGGCGTCCACTGCCGCCTGCGCGGGGCGCCTGTCTTTTTTTTAGGTTTGCCCCTCGACGCCCGGCTTCATTACCGGGCGGCGTTGTGTAATTATCTAGCATGTCACTGCCCGCGGTCCCCGGATGCCGTGAATGTCGCCAGCTACGCACTATGGAGTATCTTCCCATGTACATAATACACGATTGAGATCCATGGGGTATCGGCCCCCATCAAACCTTCAGACGAGGCAGCACGTGCGTCACCGTCGCACAAGGCTGGATGACAGGTCCTGGACGGCCCCAACCCAAACTCCCCCTCCACTCGGCCTCTTGAAACTCGAAACTTGACTCGGACACCGACGTCACCCATCTCCATCAATGGGAGCTGTGGCCACCCCGCGAGGAGGTCAAAGCGGCATCCCGACTCGAGAGGGCTTCGTACTTGGTCTGCCGAGTGCCAGGTGGTTTGTATGCCCTCATGCCGTCTCATTGTTGTATGGAGTACGGCCTCGGTATCGATCACAACATCCATCACAGTGCAATGCTGCTGGCCCAGAGACACACGGACACTAGCCGCCTTTGTGGGTTTCTTAGCTGCCTCGCCCTTTCTCATGAAGAGCACAACTACATATACACATACACGTGCCTGGTCGCCGGCTCCACCGTGGCAGAAGCCACTACGGCCAACCTCATCTTTCTGCCCGACCCCATTCGCTACGATGATAGCTCGACGACTCACTATCCGATACTCACATGGCCCAGACATCCCGCGGCGTCTACTTTTAGTCGCACAGCCTGCTCGTGGCGCATGGCACCTGTCACTTCGGTCCTCGATTGCTCTAGAATGCTTCACCGGAGCCTCGTCACCAAAAAGTAGCCGAGTCCGGCCGTTTCGCAGCAAAAGCAAGCGTCCTGGGAAGAAAGAGAATCAACGTCATGTTCAGCTCTGCTGTCGTTTCAATCCGCTAATGCGCCCGCACGAGACGGGGCCGCAACATGGACCCCTATTCGCTAGGAATCCGTCGCCTGTTTGTCGACGGGCTCGTTGCCCAGGCCGGGAGTCACTTCTGGGCTATCTCCCTCGCCAATCGAAGAAGGCTCCTCCTCGAGCGTCCCGTCCAGCGCCGTCGGGATAAAGTCGGCTTCCTCGGAGCCAACCGCGTCGTACCCGCGACCGCTGTTGCTGGCGGAGACTCCGAGCGGCGGGGTGCTTCCGTCGGCAATCTTTTGCTTCGTGTCCATGACAATCTTGTCTGCTTCGCTGACCTTGGACGCCGCAGCCGACTCGCCCGTTTCCTTGGAGCTCTGGCTCTGAGCCGCAGCTTCCTTATCAAAGCGAACAATCATACATGAGAGGTTGTCAGTGCTGAAGCGGCTAAGCGCGTGGTCGACCAGCAGTTTTGAGGCCGCGTTAGGATCCTGTACATTTCGGACCAGGTCGACTGCTTCCTGATCGCTACAAACGTCCCAGAGCTAGAGGCAGTCAGCGCATGGCCAGCACGGGAGCAAAGGGCCGGGACTTACGCCATCGCACGCGATGATGATGAACTCGTCGAGATCGGGTTGGATGACCGTCTCCGTGGTGTAGGGGTGGCCGGTGACGAGATCCTTCATATAGGCGTCGCCAAGGGCTCGCGTTACAGCCAGGACACCGTTGACTCGATTGTTGAGAATCAAACCGCCAGCGTTTGCAATTCTCCTGCCCTCGTTCTCGTCGCTTCCCTTGTGGTCGTAAGAGAGTCGGAGGGCACGACCGCCACGACACAGTATGATGCGGGCGTCGCCGACGTTGGCCGTGTACAGGACGCGTTGCCGGCTTGCCGAGCCCTTTAACCTTGCCTGGGCAGCATCCGCGGAAGGCTTCGTGTCGACCTCCGTGACGGTGGTGGTGACCTCCTTTTCCTTTTCCGACAGTTCCGACAGTGCCTGTTCGTTAGCCTTGGCCGCCTTGGCCGCCGCCTTAGCTGCGGCAGCGGCAGCAGCCGGAGCGATCGGGACAGAGCCGGTGACCGATCGGTCGCTTGGCACGCGGTCCTCCCAGCGCAAGACGGCGATAGCTGCCGTGCAGCCGCTATTTTTCAGGGGGAGCTTCTCAAGCTGTGCATCGACGGCTGTGAATGTCTGGTCCAAGAGTTCCGGGATCGCAACATTCGGGTTCTTGCGTATCATTTCCTCGAGGATGATGTGCAGTTTCTTCCCGCACCAGTCAGCAGCGAAGGTTCCGGCATGTCCGTCGAAGATGGCAAAATAGCCGTTGTCTGACTGCACAATTTCTCGCTCGGCTGTCTCGGTGGCGTCCTTTTCCGACTTGGCTCCCTTGTCGCCAGGCTCCGTCGAGGGGTCAGGAGTATCGAGAAAGTTGTAGAGAAAGGCATGCGTGTCCTCCATGGTGCGCCGGCATTTCTTGTTTCTGTCCTCCCAAACACCGACGCGGAACGTGGATTTCGGGCCCGGAACCGACTCGCCTGCAGAGTTATTGTGCTGACCTTGGGGAACAGCCAGAGCGGGATCCTGCTTGCCAAGCTTTTGTAGCGGCGTCTGGGCGCTGAGGTCCGAGTTACCACGGCCACCCTGACCGAAACTCAAGGAGTTCTTGGCCGAGGCGAGTAGACTGCTGGCTTTGCTTCCAACGCCACTACTCCTGCGCTTCTTGTCTGTGTTGGCGCCATTGTCGTTCCGGCCGGGCGGGCTTCCATTGCCGCTACGCTTCTCTCCGCTAGCAGCCTGGTCCGTCGTCTTGATGGGGGTTGCGGCGCTGGAGCCGGGGCTCGAGTCCGGGGAGGGCGACTTGCCCTCACCCTTGGTGTCGCTCTCGGTTTTTGATCCTGAAGAATTGGAGCCGCCGCCAAACATCCTATTCAGCAGGCTTCCTCCAGACGAGGAGAGACTGCGACGCTTGTTGCCTGCCAGCTTGTGGTTGGGAGCGTGACACCGCTGAGTCGAAGCCGAGCTGTCGGTATGGCGCTAGATCAGGTACTGGCTGACCACTATCCAGGTAGGCTGGAGACGACGGGCGATCAGGAGTTGCAGATCGTAAGGCGCAACGCGAGAGCTGGGCGCTTAGTTAGAGACAGGCAAAACGCGCTGGGGAGTATCGTGCCGGGCGTGTCGTCGTAGTTGCAGTCGATGGGGTCGGCCGGGACGAATTACACACCTATCGGAGCTACAAGACTGGACGTGCGCTCGGATCCTGCTGCTGAGAATGAAGGTCAGTCACCAGCGCTCAGATCTCAAGGGTACAGTGGTGGTAGAGCATGACAGAGGACAGGGCAAAGGATGGGCGAGCCTAGATGCCTTGGTAGAGGCAAGGGCAGATAACGAAGTAGGTACGTGGTATGAAAGCCCGGCAGAAAGGCAGGTAAATCGGGGCAGCTCAGACACTTGCTTGCTGGGCCGGCCCGCTGCGCAACGGCACAATCAACGTCGAGCTCAGGCGAGGCTGCGAGCGATGAATCACCACGGGAGACGTGGCGCGCCTTGCAGCCACCACGACTGGGGCCCAGTGCAACGCGGCCACAGCTACACGCGGACGGCGAGATGCACAATCGCGGATGAGAACCGGCAGCAGGAGGGGGTGTGATTGCAAGACACGTACCTTAGCCGAGGCGAAGCTGGCGAGTCGTTGGTCCGGTGGGGGAGCCGTTCGGTGATGGTAGGGGAACGTCGAGATGCGCTGCGCTGGGGCCGTGGCCTGGACCGCGTCGTTGAGATCAGCGCCGCTGATAGAGAGCAGCGTCCGCGATGGCTGTGGTGGGCGAATCGGCCGGCTCGACGGAGGCAGCGGGTGGTGTTGAAGGCGACGACGGGAGCTGGTCAGATGGAGGGGGCTGACCGTTGCAGAAGGCAAGTGGTATGGGATGGGCGCGGAGGCGGCTGCGTATGTCGTTGACGGAGGTCGGGTTCTAGCGCCGCTCGAATGCAGGAGAACCTTGGGGACGGATGGAGGGGGTCTTGGAGGGGGGAGGGGGGAGGCGACTCTCAATAGACGGGAACTTGGCTTCGGAGCTGTTGGGGGTCCCGGGGGGCGGCAACGCGCTCCAGCGGCAGCGGGGAGCACAGCAGAGCACAGCAGAGCACAGCACCTCACTGGGCGGGCGGACGGGCTGACCGAGCACAATCGCCCGCCCAGGCGGGCTGATGGCGGGGGAGAGCGCCACCTCTGGGTCCACGGATTGGCAGACCGACCGACTGACGTCTGCGACGGGCAAGACGGGCAAGACGGGGCCAGTGCGGCGGCTCGCGGTGGCTGGTGGGGCCACCCCTCTCCCGGTGACAACGGGGGGAGCTTCAAGGTTCCAGTGGAGGTTGGTGGTCGCTGATTACTGAGGTGAGGTGAGGTGGGCGGTGCCGCTGCCGGGCTGGCGCCTCTGACAGCACTCGATCCATTCATGTCCGCGTCCTCCACGGTTTCATTTGGTACAGTACGGAGTCCATAGCAAGCGGCAGGAACAACCCAGACAGGCTGCAATGCGATGTGACAAGGCCCGGAGAACGCATTTCTATTCACATTGCTCCGCCGCAGACCAACCCAACCAAGTCAACATGTTGTTTGCTCCTCGCATACGCGACCCTTGCACAGGAAGAGAGGGCCACCCAGGGAGGGCTCTGCCCGCCCGCCTTACGCCGAGACCCCGCTAACAAAGCCAAAGGGCGTTGCTCCCGTCCTCGATTTACATCATTCTGTCTTCAGCGCGCCTCCCATACCACAGCAAAATCAAAGCAAATCAGCCCACCAAACCTATCATGTACATTGCCGTGCATTGTTGCAAAAAGACCTCGGGCAACTCGCACACGGTCAATGTTGCACCCAAGAGCGAGCCACCTGGCAAAGGGACGAAAGGCCACGCACGCAACTCGCGGGAGTTGCGGATGCCCGTCGTCAGAGCTAGTCTCTACCCCGGGATCTCTAGTAGTACGACTGAGGCATGTCTGTCAGTGCCAGGGTGCGCGTGTGTCTGCCTGTCTGTGACAACAACCATAGCCCGATTGTTACCCCGAACTCCGGGCTTGACGAGCCTGCTTGTCCGGCGCCAGCCCATGCATTCTCTCTGCCGGTCACTGTCGCCAGCGAAGTAGCCTCGCACTCACAAGCATAGGCTTACACCGTCCCTTTCCCTTTCCGTCCGATATGCCCGAGCTGTTGGAACAGTGAGGCGACGCCGTGGTGGGGAGACTGAGGTCACCTGGTCTGCAGCGGTTGAGCTAATTAAGGCGGGGACGCCGGGACCGATCCGCTTCTGGACGATCTTCGACAACGACGCGCCCCAGAGTCATTGTGATGAGAAGAAGCACGAGAACAGGGCGAGTCCCAATGAGCCTGGCATGTTGTGATTCGGGTATGTTTGTTTCTGTACAGCGACCCAACGGCTCGTCTCGTATATGCGAGGCTGTGACAAGGCGTCCGCGACCCCGTGGTGTGTGCTCATTCCACATTGACGTATTATCGCAACCGCTATGAACACTGTCGAACAAAACATGAACCAGAAAAGAAGACAAAAAACCATGCCACTGCGCCAATCTCGGGGCAGGGCGTGCATGGGCGGTGGTGCCCGCGCCCTTCCCGTCTAGCCAACACCGAGACAAATCAGCACAGCCCGAGTGTGCGTCGGGGAAGATGCAGAGTCTGTAACGCCAGGGGCATCCGCAGCAGCGTGCGTGCAGGCGCGCGAGGCCCGTACGTGGCGGCACTGCTCCCGTGCAACGCAAGTACGTGGACCTTCATCCTTCGGTGTCATTTCTTCAGGCTGTCGAACCGAGCCTGGAGGTCGTCGTCGACCGGATCGCCGCCGCCGCCGCCGCCAGCCCCAACCGCTTGTGCAACCTTGCCCTCGGTGACAGCCGAATTGCCCAGTGCCGTAGGCGTCTCGCCCAGCTGTGATGCAAGAGTTAGTTCCCACGAGGTCGGCGAGACAGGTTGCCCAAAGGAAACTCACTGCTTGGTTGAAGTCGATGCCAATCTCCTCCAGGACCTGATCGACGACCTCGTCCCCTTCCTCCTCTACGCCAACGTCCATGGCGTCGTCCACTGCATCGTCCATCATCTCCTGTCTCTGCTCCATGATGTCGTTCTCCCGCTCGAATTCCATTGCAATCCGTTGCAGCTGGGGTAAATTCATTGACTTGTTCATGCTGCCGAGTGCCATGGTCGCGCCCTTCATGGCCTGCATCATCTGCTCGTTCGTCCGATATGTCTGCATTGCGACAAGCATCCTCGTTAGCCTCGATCGGCGGCGTTATTGGCCGCAACGGCCCGTCTTCTTCAGCACAGTCGTACCTGCAGTCGCAGCGAAATCTTCTGGAGCTGACTTCGCATGGCAAAGAACTTCTCAATGTACCGCCGTGTGCGTACGAGATCCTTTGCTTGGATCTTGCACGCGCCCATCTGCCCGTTCTTGGCGCTCGTCTTGATCTGTTGGATAAGCGTCTTCTCCTGCTTCTCGAGCTTAACGCGCGTTTGGTCGAGTTCCCGGATCGCCTTATCGAGCATGCGCTGGTTCTTGCGCAGACGCTCCGCGGGCGTCATGCGCTTGCCAAAAGCCCATTCTAGGATCTGTAGTCGCAGAGCGGGTAGGTTAGTCGTCGCACCGGGATCGCATCAGCCAGGACGGGGCGCCGTACGTTCATCTTGCTCTCTGCCGTGCGCGGGTGGTCTTGGGTGTGCCAGAAGGCGGCGGACGTGAAGGGACTCGTTTCGACGGCGGTGTTGATGAGGCAGAAGCAGACTGCGGCGATGACGCGGAGGGGCGCGAGGATGCAATCCGTCTGCCTGGCTGATGGCAGCCAAGGATGATGTCCAGGACGAGCCCTACGTAACCGCGGGTCGCGGCTCGACCAGCCAGTTGCACGTCGGCGGGAAGCCCAACCGCAGGCGGTACATGCGCGGTGGCCCGCACCCCCCCTTGGGCTGGCAGAACTGCGTGGTGGCCACGGGCGGACGGTGCCTCTCAGTGCAAGACTGCAGGTACCCCCACTGAAACCAAGCTGCTTCCCAGGCCGTGCAGGCGTCATTCAGTGACAGCTGGTGGAGGGGCAGGGGCGACATGCCCGCAGACGCCCGCCGCGGCGTCGGCCTCCCGAGCTTCTGCCGCCTGGTGCGGCCAATGAACGCGTTTCCGCAAGCTTCCGGGCGCTGCACCCAAGCGTTCTGCAGCGACCAAACATTTCTGCTGGCCGCCACCCCCCATCGTGCCATCATCACTCCTTCATTCATTTGTTTGTCCTGCATCGGAGAGAGGTGCCCTTTCGCCCACCTCTCATCTCCCTAGCCACGTCTTCTCGATCATGCCGCTCTGGCGACGCTGTTCGAGATGAGCCAGGACTACTTTTCCCCCAAGGGCAAATCCCCCGCTCGCCCCGACTCCGACACCGATGCGCCCAAGGATGCCGCCTCGCCACCCTCCGCGGTCCCCGGCTACATGACCGTTGGCAACGGCTCTACCTCTGAACACGCGGCGCGTCTTCAGAGCCTACTCGACGCGGATTCTGGCTACGGCGGGAGCGTGACTGGCGAGGACCATCACCACACAACCGCGCCGGCTGCGTCGGGCCACACTTGGGACATGGCGATGCATCACGACCGACCCCAGTCTGGCGCGCTGCATCAGATGTGGTACAACTCGCAGCGCGCGACACTCGGCCGCTCCATCAACAAGGTTCTGGAGCTCCTGGAACATTTGCAAGAGATGAACGCGTCCTGGCCGGCGCACTACCCCTCTGTCCAACGAGCCGACACCTCTTCGTCTTCCGAGCGGCCCTCGTCCCGCCCCGGCCTCAACCATGCGCACTCGATGATGGGCGACGGACCGGCCGCATCCGCTACGGCAGACCCCCCTCCGGTCCTGCGACGATCCATGACTTCGCTGGAGAACGCTTCAGCCGAGTCTAGTCGAGCCGCCGAGAACCGGAGCATCCCCGAGCCACGGCTTGTGTCGCCTCAGATCGCCCAAGAATTTTCCATTTTGAAGCTCGACTTGAAGTTGGGCGCACTACACCAGGCCGAACTGGTTCACTCGTTGGAGAAGGGCTCCATTGCGTCGCTTCTAGACGGCAAAATCAGCTCGAGCATCAAGCATCTGCTTTCGCTCCGGGAGCGTATCGAAGACACCTCCAGCAAGGTCCTCATCACGGGCGACCTGAATGCCGGTAAATCCACCTTCTGCAATGCGCTCCTGCGACGCAAGGTGCTTCCCGAGGACCAGCAGCCCTGCACTGCCATATTTTGCGAGGTGCTAGATGCGAGAGAAAACGCCAATATCGAGGAAGTTCATGCCGTCCACAAGGACGCCACGTACAGCAGGAACGACGAGTCTACCTACGATGTGTTTAGCCTGAACGAGTTGGAAAAGATTGTGACGGATAACGAGACGTATACCCAGTGCAAGGTATACGTCAAGGATGTGCGGACGATCGACGAGTCGTTGTTGAACAACGGCGTCGTGGACATTGCGCTCATCGATGCACCCGGCCTCAACTCGGACACGACAAAGACGACAGCCATCTTTGCGCGCCAGGAAGAGATCGACGTGGTTGTCTTTGTCGTTTCGGCGGCGAACCACTTTACCCAGTCCGCCAAGGAGTTCATTTGGGCGGCTGCTGCGGAGAAGGCGTACATCTTCATCGTCGTCAATGGCTATGACACCATCAAGGACAAGGATCGGTGTCAAAAACTGATTCTCGATCAGGTGGCCGGCCTCAGCCCGCGCACGCACAAGGAGTCATCTGAGCTTGTGCACTTCGTCTCGAGCAATGCCATCCCGGCGGGGCCGTCTCCCCCGGGTGGTCCCGGCGGAAGTGGTGGTGCAAGCGGCAGCTCCAGTGGTGGTGGTGACGACCCGGGAGACGACGGTGGCAAGGGTAAAGGCAAGGATATGGACAAGGTCCGGGACTTCGAGGCTCTGGAACAGTCCTTGCGCCGATTTGTCCTCGAGAAGCGGGCTCGGTCCAAGCTGGCGCCCGCAAGGACGTACCTGCTGAACATCCTTAACGACGTCAACACCTTGGCGACAGTCAACCAAGAAGTCGCTCAGTCAGAAATGGAGCGAGTCACACGGGAACTCAAGGAGCTTGAACCTCAACTCGAGTCCAGCCGCAAGGCCAGGTCGGAAGTGGGCGAACAGATCGACCACAACATCGAAGATACGTGCAAGGAGGTTTACGACCACACGCGCGCCGAGCTGAACCAGGCTATTGGCCAGGCTGGGAGGACCAACTACGACGTTCCCTATCCAGGCTTCCTAGGCGCATTCCAGTACGCCGAGGATCTGAAGGAAGCAATGCTTTCTCACATCGGCGACGCGGTCACGAATTGCGAGGAGCACGCGAGATCCAGAACTGTCAAGGGAGTCAACGCAATCAAGCAGCTTGGCCTTCTCCACGTTGGAGATGAGTTTCAGAACCTGCAGTTCCGCCCGGACGTCATGTTCCGCCGCAAGCGTGACGCGCTCGCCCGTCAAGTCGACATTCACACCGAGCTGTGGGACTTTGTCGACTGGTCGACTCTTTTGCAGCGCCAGGAGAAGTTTGCGGGAACAGGCATGGCTCTCACAGTTGCCGGTGCTGTTGTGCCGCGAATGATTGGGATGAATACCTGGATGGACCAGGCACTGACAGCCACGCGCGTCTTGAGCAACGACAACCTGCGGCAACTCATTCTGCCCGGGATTGTCATAGCCGGTATGTTGAATCGAACTCTCTACCCCTTGAGCTCCAACTAACATGGTTTGCCTACATAGCCGTTGCTGCGTCCGCCTACATTCTTCAGCAGATTCCCAACTCATTGCCACCCCGTTTGGCTACCAAGATCTCTACTCAGCTCGAAGAGCTCGATTACGTGCACGCCAACTCGTCACGAATCTCCTCCTCGGTGCGCAAGGTCCTGCGCTTCCCGGCTGACAACCTCCGAGTTGGGCTGGATCAGAGCGTCAAGGACCTGGGCACCCGGCGGGATGAGACGGTCAAGGTCAAGGCCGAGAGCGAGCGCGCAAGCAAATTCTTCCGAACCCTCGTCGGCGAGAGCGAGGTGCAGCGCAGCATGGTCGAGGGCGTCGACCTGGACGCACCGCCCCCCGGCATGCACTGAATGACGAGTTTTTGATTCACGAACACGACGTTGACGGCGTTTTTGGAGAGAAAGAGAGAGAAAGATGGGGCAGCTTTGCGATTGCCCTTCGTATACATTCGGATGGGCCGAGACGACGGACCCCGTTCTGCACGAAACTTAGACTTGATGGAAAAGCTCTCCCCTCTGTTGTGGGCTTTGCTTTGCTCCTTCTTTTGTAATAGCATAGCTTGCTGAGCAGCAGTCTGAAGCATGCGCGCCCTTTGCGTCACCCCTACCTTGGCATACAAGAAATATACCCGTTGTCCTTGTCATGCTTGCTACGAAGGTGCCTGTCTGTCTCCATGTGATTTATTGTGAGCCCGGGCCGTCTACGCCGTCAAGGTGCCAAAGGGTCCGCACAGCACCGATGGTATGCTATGCTCAAGGCCACATGATGTCCCGCAGCCTCTGCTTCTCGGCCTCGCCGCCAAAGATGGAGTCTATGGCCTGCCGCGCGAGGGCACATATCTGGCCGCGGTCGAGATCGAAGTGCTGCGCGACGAGGCGGTACTCGTTGGAAAGGGGGCTGCCGAAGACACCCACGTCGTCGGTCTTTTCGCTTCCCGCGTCAGCACATGCCTATTCTCTTGCGACCTTGCGTATTCCGGGGGTCTCTATCGTCTTGTTTCGACGCGCCCCCGGTAGCTCGACCTCATATGGAGTTCGCTCAAGGGGGGAAGAGGGAAAAGGGGGGAAGGCTTCTGTCCAACTCACCCCGAGGGACAGCCGCGGGCCGTCGACGCCGCGCCAGTGGCCAAAGTGATGGCCCTCGAAGCCGCCGCGCACCATGCCCGCCTGCACGTTGCAGCTCAGGCACAGCTCGAGGCACAGCCCGCGCCGGGCAATCTCCCGCCGCGCCTCCTCGTCCTCCCAGATGACGTGGCCCAGCCGCCCAGGCCGCCAATCCAGCAAGACGTCCAGCTCGGCGCGCGACCCGCTGGCCTCCGCCTCGGCGAAATGCACCGTCAGGCCCAGCCCGTGGGGGGCCCGCGCCGCCGCGCCGAGAACGGGCGTGAAGACGGCGACTTGTCCGTCGGGGCGCGCGGTCGGGTCGCCGCAGAGGTCGAGGGCGACGATGCGTGCGCCGGCGTTGGATCCGTCGTCGTCGGGAGGCGCTTCGGAGCGCAGCCGCGCCGCCAGCGCGAGGATCGACTCCGCGGTCGCGAGGTCGTGCCGCCTGTCGACCGACAGGATGAGGCGCACGTGCATGGCGTCCCCGTGGAGGGCCTCCCACGCGCGCATGGCGTCGAGCAGCAGCCGGACGTACGCCTCGGCGGAGAGCCGGGCCGTGGCGCGCGGCGTGGTGCGCAGCTCGAGGTAGACGACGCCATCGGCGAGGAAGTCGTCGAGGACGGATGTGACGGCGTGGCGGATCGACTCCTCGTCCGTCAGGAGGTTGTAGATGTAGCTGCTGAAGAGCGGGAAGAAGCTGCGCGCCGGAGGTTCCCCGTCCGAAGCGTCAGCGTCATGACATGGGGTTCCGTAGGTTGCCCGGAGATGAGGGTGCGGGGAGCGGATGGCCTACGTTTTGAGATCGTAATCGTGCTTGCCGTCTGGCATGACGATCAGCGGGTCCTCGAGGTCAGTCTCCCCGGCGGCCTTCTTCCGGAGCCATATCTCGTGCAGCGTGCGTCTTGACACGCTGCCCGTGATGTGGGCGTGAAGCTGGAGTGAGAGATGTCATGGTCAGTGTCAGGTCTAATGCGGAGTTGTCACCGGAACAAGGGCCAATGTAGCTTTGAAAACCGTTCGGGACGCGGGGTACTTGCCTCAATCTTGGGCAGGGCTATGTAGTCCATTGCATCCTCTTGAGACCCCATGGCGACTTGAGCTGAAGGAGAGGATGTCAGCTGTAAGTCGTGGTACTGAGGCACTTCTCGATCGTCGGTCAGCAACCCCACCTCTGGACTACCCTACATCGAATGCGATGATCGTCGCGCAACGTTCGTCCACGAGTATGGCTCGGTGCTGCGTCTACAATACACGTACGTAACAGGTCCTACCGTTTGTTAAAGGGCGTAGATCGGGCTTGGCCTCGAAACATTGTAACTCGGCGCCTCCTCACGATCGATGTCATTCAACACGCCACGCACGTAGCCACACAAGTCTCAGACTGAGTCTACTATGCAATCCATGAGAACCAGAGTCTAATATAGCTTGACAAATTACACGTGAACCCATCTGCAGTGGAGATGTTATTGCTGCAGTTGCACCCTGATTCTGCATGATGCCCCGGCGTTATTGTCCGTATGCTCCTCCGTGTGCATGCTCACCTGCCTTCAAACCCCCATGAATGTCGTCCACGAAGATGACGGCACGGTCTCGCCCATGCCGCCCCTCATGCTATTGTACAGTTGGAACCTAGAAAAGGTCCCATAATACCACATCATACATACTGATGTCACATGTCGTCGCCCATGTCGAGCCGCTCCGCTTACAGAGCAGGCTTGGCGGCGTTGTCACCCAGCGCAGCGCCGACCCTCTCAGCGGTGCCCTGCTCAGACCCGGCCGTCAGCAGCTCGCTGCCCTGCTGGCGCATGTTGTACTCCTGCTCCATGGCGGTGAGCTGCTGGTCCTCGGCGAAGGAGAGCGCGAAGGGGACGCCGAAGAAGAGGGCAGAGGTGGTGATGACCCAGGCGCCCTTGCCGCTGAAGGACAGGACGCTCCACGCCTTGCTGGAGATGTTGCTGACGTGGCCGGACACCCAGCCTCTCGTGGTAGGGGGGATGATGTCGCGCAGGGCGTATAGCCGCTCGGCGAGCGTCTCATTTGTGGGGTCATAGTCGGACTCGTTGGAGATTTCGGAATCTGCAGGCTGCGGTTAGATCACTATCTCGTTGCGCGGACGCAGGCGCCGTTTGCACGCGATGGATATCGGTTGCAAGGGGAACGAACCAGTGTCGGTGAAGTCCTCCTCGTCGACATCAGGGCCGGCCTGGTTGGACTGGAAGTGCTCGTCCTCGACTTCGGTGAGGGTGACCATTTTGGCGGATTATGAGAGAAGAGGCGTATGAGATGATATTAGACGCGCCAAGTGAGGGTGTCTCGCTGGCGGATGGACGAGAATCAGACGGTCGTTCGGCTGTCGTCCAAGGGGTTGCGCCGCTGGAGGATGGGGAAACGGGCGGCGGACGAGGTATTTGCAAATGTCCTGCCGGTTGAGGATGGGAGGTATAGGATGGCCCGGGAGCTCAAGGTGGAACCTGCGCGAGGATGCGATGCGTGGTCGTTACCGGATGGTTGGATGCTTCGGCAAGCTGCGTCACGACAGAGCACCTTGGAAATTTTTCGGCCGGCCTGCACACTGGGATGTCGTTCGGCTTGGGCTGGCGCCGGCCGCGGTGGCGGTTTAGCCGAAGAAAACGCGGGTCATTGCGTCACGTGCCACCTTGGCCGGCCATATCCGTCCGCCAGACTTCAGCATGGCAGCTCCAGATGCCCATACGGGGGTCCGCCCAGTCGCGAGACAGGTCTTGCCTACAAATGTGAAGCGAACGGTTCGCATCATCTATTTCCGTCGCTTGTTCGCAACTCTTGGCCGGGAGGCTGAGTTCACAGTTTCAAGTGAGAGATGGAAGATTGCGACTTGCGTCAAGGCCTGGTCCCGTGACATGCGCCAGTCAGAGCTTGGCCGTCAAGGGAAGGGAAGGCGCTGGGCGTGGAGCTGGGATCTGGTCACGGGACCTCCCCAGAAACTCACGATAGATCCATCGAGACCGCCAAGTAGCCGGCGAGTACAGTACAGTGGTACTTTGCACGTTTTTTGACATCGGGGAAGCATTCCGCTGAGACGACCGGGCCCCAAAGGTTGACGCACACCCCCTGGCTGGCCCCTAGCGGGCTCTCCCTACTTTCGTCTTCGGTGAGCAGGAACGCAAAGTACTAGGCAGGTGGTTGATGAGTCGTCGTCGCAAGCGTCAGGACTGCAGGTCACGGGGCCAGTGCCTCAACCGAACTAACCGAGGAATGGGCCATAGCTCGCGGGAACGGCCACGGCGGGCGGTGCGGCCGTGCCTGACGACGGGAAGAGGCTACGGCAAACAAACGAAACGAGCAAGTGCCTTCCTTGACTTACCCCAGCAAAGGGGGGACGAAAGAGCCGTGCGGCGCAGCATCGTGACGGGGTACTATCAGGCTGGCTGCCTCTCATCATCCATCCATGAGGCCTGACGCATGCAGCAGTCTGTGCCTGTGCCTTAGTATGCCGTCCCCGAGGTGCTCGTCTAAAGAGATTCGCCAACCTCCGCGAGGGGCAAAGCACCGTGCAGCAACGGCGATTGTCGCGAATCTGGACCGGACACCTGGCGGCACGACGACCGCCCACCGCATCGTGTCCGCACCTGAACTGCACAGTAACGCGTACATACTGTAGCTGCTCCATGGCGCATCGCATCATCGCATCACATCACACGACGACACGATGGTGAATCACGGGCCCCTCCCCGTTGCCGCGACAGGCGCAAAGTTGTGAGAGCGCGCGTGCGCGCGCAAACACCCAACGGAATGAGGTGCTTTTGCGAATGCTGGGCCGACTGGAGCCATTGTACGTAAGAGGGCATCGGGAGGCCGGACGCGGCGGGCAGGGCAACCAAACAAAGGGAGGGAAGTGATGATGAAGCCCCTTGGAAGCATCGTGACCTGTCGGTCGGCCAAAAAGGGGCCACCGGGGGGGAGGGGGTGCGGCGGCTGGGGGAGGGAGGAACAAAGTGCGGATGCGGAAAAGCTACTAGCTCTCAACCCCAGGATGAGGCGGGTACTGCACTGTACAAGGAAGCAAAAGAGCGTTCCCATGTCAGGCTTGTCGCGGGGAGTGAGAGCCATGGAAGGCATGGAACACTCTGGCAACAAGTGCGATTTCTGCCGTCCTCGTGATGCACTGCCGGCGCCAGCTCCCCTTTTTTCTTCGGGGCCCGGGCTTCGCGGGGGGGAGCTTTGGGCGGACACGGCGGGTTCAAGGTTGGCGGGCAGCCTGCATGCCAGGGCTGGGGTGGGTTTGGCTGGCGCGCGATTAAGTAATTGGGGGTGGGGCGGCCTTGCACGATGCACGCCGCGTTGGTTTCCAGCGTGCGTCCGTCCAGCTAGCAACGCCGTATGGGCCTGGGGACAGAACTCCGGTGGGGCTGCTCGCCGGCTCGAACAATACCGGACAGGTACCTGGCAGCGCACAGCGGGCGACGTGCAGGTTGGCGCGTGTACAAGCGCTATACCTTTGATGGGGCCCGGGCCCTCCCTCATGGACCTCACACCTCCAACCCCAGACTCCTCCCAGGCGTACGTACGTGCCTTGTGCGGGAGGCAGCTCACGGCAGCTAAAGGGTAATGAGGCGAGAAGACGAGGCCACGAGAACCGTTTGCTCCTCGTCGCCTGCGCCGGGGAAAAGGGACAATGGCTGCCCGAGAGCGAGAGGGGTGCGACGCGGGCGCGGGGGACTTGCCAATCGGGCAGTCCCGTGGCCGTGCCCATCAGCACGATCCCGTCTCAGCTGCATGCTGAGCAAATCAACGAGCTGCCCAGACAGACATTCATGCCATGCCGTCTCTTGCGAGGCGGTTGCCGCTCATCGATAAGGCGCGTTGTGTGCTTCTTCGCGCGCCCATCCATGCCTCAAAGTGCATCGTACAGGCCCAGTTGCTCGTCCTTGCATGGGTATCGACTGGCCGTGGCTGCGTGGTTTATCATCCCGGACACCGGCATCAAGCCTGCACATACACCCCAAGTACGTAGGTACGGCGTTGTACAAGATCCAAGGTTTCTTGTACCGTGAGTTTGCTGCAGCCGCTTGCCGCAGACGCATGGACGTGTCTGCATCTTTTTGCGCGCACAGGCTGCGCCCGCAAATCCCGCCCCCCCGGGCCCGGCTCTCCTCTCTGGGCGCTCTGCGTTGCGCATGACTTGACTCTGCAGGCTCATCATCATCAGCATCATCCCACGCCCGGCGCCATCATCCTTGCACCTTTGCGGCGTCGCCTCGTAACCGGCACGTCGAAAGGGGGCTTTCCAACGAAAAAGACGAGAAAGTTGGGCACGCCATGCGCAAACGATTGGCTCCCGTCCAGTAACCCGGGGGTAATGGAAACCGCGGGCTGAGAAACCTGGGGGTAATAGAAACGCCAGTAACAGCCGGAATGGGGCCATCAGACCTGTCTGGAGGGGGTCGCCTGGGGGACACTTGCAACTCGGAGCTGCCGGCCGACGGCCGTGGTGGGGCCTGCGCGTCCGTCTCTTGACGCCTTGGGGCGCGACTCGGGCAGTGGAAGCCTCCCTGTGGTGCCCCCGACGGAGCCCGGAGGTGGAGCCCGCCCCTCCCCCGAACCCTGGGAGGTGGTGATGAGCCTTTGCCTGCGCCGTTGGGACTCACTGGATCCCCCGTTACGAAGAGGTTGGCGATCCGACCCAGAGGCTGGCGCCATGGGGTGTCGTAGGTCTTCCATTCGATGTCATTGTGGTGCGTCGCGCAGCCGGTGAGATGGCGTCAGCAGCGACAGCAGTCGCGACGACGACAACAACAACAACACAAGCATCAGCAAGAAGCCGGCGGCCGCCTCCATATCCATGCGGTATCCGGCGTCCGGTGGCTCCGACGGTGGCTTGTCGACCTTGCAGGGTGATCCAGCCCCGGCGTCCGCGCCGCCCGCCGCCGACACGCATCCACCCCCGCGCTCGTCCTGCAGCGTGGCTCGGACGGGCGAGACGCACACCGGTCACGGTCTGTGACCGAGAGAGCCAGGGAGCTGATACGCGCCTTCGCCGCGTATCTCTACCATCGCGGCCTGCTCGCGGCGCGACTCGTCAAGGTATCGCGACCGCCAGGAGACGCCGTGGACAAAGGGCGGTGGGCAAGTGACCAAGCCCATTGTGACGAGTCCCCCCGGGTCGCGCAGCGGCAAATACTCGTGTTTGTTCGTGCTTTGTAGCCGGGCCCCGTCAACGTCGTCAACATGTAGCCGGCGGGTAGCCAATGCGCGCGCGGCTTATAATCGCAAACAAGACAGCCCGATGCAGCACGCATGCAGGGAGGTTCCACGGGCCTCGTCCAAAGCATCGGCGGATGACATGCATCCCCCGGTTGCGTGTAAGTGCCCAGGAAGGGAACGTGACCCCCGGAGCTGGTCATCCACACGTCCTCCCAACAGCGCAGTGCGTGCAACGGGTTTGCCCGTTTGAGGAGCTCGAAGAGCGTTCTGGGCATCGCCGCACATTTCGTCTGGCAAGTCTGGTTGCATGCAGCGTGCTCGCCAGACGCCTGCCCCATTGGCCTGGCCTCACCACGACGGCGGTACGGCTCATTGCGACACCATCGTGACTATCAAGCAGAACAGGTGCAATGGCTGCTTCGTGTTATTTTTGGGCGCTGCGTCGGTTCCATAATACCACTGACGATCGCCGGGGAGTTAATTCGCGGCAACGCGTGCGTCGTCGAGTGCATTAAAACCGCAGTACGATTCAAATATCCCTCGGATCGTGTTGCCGAGACGGCCTGCCAGCGGTACGCCGATGCTCCCAGCAACGGTCCGAAACGCACGGCAGCAGGGCGCAGACGGCACGGCTGACGGTGCTCGGGACGCCCCACGGCGTGAGTCGTCGATTGGCCGGGCCGGCGCCTTATCTGCGTTGCCATGTCTGCAACTGTCTGCTGCGGCCGCGTGAGCTCTCACGAGGGTTGTGGATGACGGCGTCAGCTCCTATCAAAGGGATGGGAGACTCTGGGGATTCCGGGGGAGGGCGCGCGCCAGGATCGACCGGAAAAGCTGGGGGACGGGGGAGCAGCCGCAGACGGCTTCGCAGACGACGACGGGGCCACGGCGCAGGGCAAAAAATCTCTGATCAGTCTGCTGATGCACTCGCAGGTCCAGCACAGGCCAGCCGTCAAACCCACGATTTCCAGGGGGGGTGTGGATGAGACGGGGCCCCGATCAGGCTAGCATCGACCCCAATGCTGCGGCAGCGAGGCCCAGGTCCCAGAGGGTGGTGGATGCGGGCGCGAGAGAAGCACCAAGGAACATGCCAGGAAAACTCTGCAGAGCCTCGAATAGCCGTGCCATCGTCAACGGCGGAAACTGGCGCGCGTCGAGGTGTGTCTGCGTCGCCGTGTGTGTGTGGTGCGGGCGGCCGTCGTTCGCGGGGCACCAGCCCAGGTTCAACTTGACAACTTGCAGCCTGGTGGGGTGCGATGGGTGCCTCCCGCCTATCCACGGTGCCAGGATGGCCCTGAAGCGAGCAACGTGGGCGCAGGATCCGGCGAACTGCTCGCTGTAGAACACCTAAGGTACCTACCTGTGGCCGCCCCTCCCCGCCGCTGCAGGTGCCGCGGGCAGCAGGCCGGGGCTTCTGAAAACCTCTGCCAGCCACACCCCCAACCCCCAAAATGCACCCTGGGCGACTCGTGCCTGGCCACCTGAGCGAGCCACGCGCGGGCGCCTGGGCCACACCTGCTTCCCCCTTGGGCCTAGTGCCAAGGCGGTATTTGGTAATACGCTGGGGCTTTCTGGGGCAAAGACGCAATTCGGCTGAGGTCGTGATCACGATCCGTGGATCGTTGGGGATCAGGATACTGTACAGGATACTGTACCTGGCCCCGGGTACCGCAGGTATCGAGAACCTCTGCCCGCGGCCCCCCGCTTGACGTCGTTGTCCTGGCATTGCCGTCCTGTCTCGGGGTGTTCTGGGTTGCCAGCGGCAGTGCAAAAGCAACCGTTTCGAGCGGTCAAGGCGAGCAAGTCGCGGCGAGGTGTCGTTGATAAGAAGAGACGAAAAACTGTGGGTTCGGTGCAGTCCCGATTCTTCTAGGCGGCGTCCAGGCTTCTGCGAGGCAGACGGGATCCATTGATACCGGCCGTGTCGTTGGGCCAGCGTGTCGGGTACCTCGTACCTGGGCCCGTGCTGATGGGATGCCCGTGTGAGGTGTGTGGGAAGCGGAAAATATTGCTCCATTGCACCAAGCAAGACACGAACAGCACCGCACTTGGGTACGAGAATAGCGGCAGGCGCAGGCGCAGCCCAAAGCCACTTGCGGGTGGCCACTTTGCCGTTGCCCCGGGCTTGGCTGCGGCGCGCTGACAAGGAACCTGGAACTCAACTGGAAGCTGCTGCTGCAGCGGGCTCTTGGCCCAGTCCGGTACCGTACGGTACCTCTGCCCGTCTGCAGAACCGGCGTGCGGGACGAGGTACAGTACCGGACATGTACTGTGCCACCCGAGAAGGGGTGGGCTGGGACTTTCATCCCGCTGAAAGCCCATTGCAGGATGCCCGGGCACTCGATGGGGGGCGTGCGGGTGGTCTGGCCCACCTCCACCCTCCCACTCGTCCGTCGCCTCACCTGGCCCACGCCCTCCCCACGAGGGGCGGCAGGTACGGCCAGAGTACCTGCGACGCGAGCCGGTCCAGCGCCTGGTACCTCGCCGTACAGCCCGCCTTCCTGGCGCGGCGGAGAGGGAGACGTGGAGGGATGATCTTTTTTTGGAGGGGCATGATGCGAAACGACGTGGGCAAGAACGGCGGCAGTCTTTGCCTCACCAGAGGCGGAGGTACTTAAGGGTAGCGTCGCCGTGTCATAGCTCGTCCCGTGAAGTGGCCCTCGAACTCGTTGACCTTTGACATCCATCCTCCCTCCTCCCTCCCCGAGACCCAGCCATTGCCGTCTCGTCATTGTCAATTGGTGTTTGTTCGCATCATTACATTGCATCTGCTACGCCAAGCCAGCTGTTGCTGCTGCACTCCCCTGCCCTCATCTCGCCTGTTGTTGCGCAGCTTCAAGATCCAACAAGCACTGCACGCACAGGTTGCTTTGCTTGCCCGGTCCAGGTACGTCAGCTGAGCCCCAGTCTCCCTCCCAGTCGCCGTGAGCCGCAGGGCCTTGCGTCTCGCTGTTGTGCCGTGCGTGCCCCTCGGGTGCCCCTCCAGCTGAGCCGGGCTATTTCCACCCATGGATGACGCTCCAGTGAGCTCAGCGCTGGATTCGCGCTCCCGGCGCGGCCGACGGGCGGCGGCGAGGCGTGGCAGCTGGGCGGCGCAGGCCCCTCAACAATAGACGAGCTTCATCGCTGACAGTGCCAGTGTCACAGACACCCGTCCTCGCAATCTCAGACATCAAGCCGCGTGTTTTTTTGCCGTCGCATCTCGTCGATTGAGCCTCGCGTGCCACACCACACCTGCGCGGCTTCGAGAAACCGAATTTGCCCCGCCACGACCCGTGCCCCGCCAACTCGGCTGCCACATTCCGAGTTGCATTGCAGCGATCGCCCCCCGACCTGCATCCGGATAGCCCACCCTGTACGTCAGCGCGTCTCCACGACAAGCTGGCGCAACCACTTCTGTGATTTTGACTGAAGAGCGGTTGAACGTCGCGCTACGGCACGGACGGATCATCTCAGCTGCAGCTGGATCAAAGGTACGTGGAATTGGCTTGTCACTGTGTCATGTGGCCTCGTCTTGTGTCCGTCCTGGGGTGGCACGGCCCTGAGCCCCCGCGGTAGGGGCATCGTCTCTACCGTGCCCCCGGCACCCGGCCATCCCGGGGAGCCGGACTCGAGATGACGGCTGCTTTTTCCGGCCCTGGCTGGTTGGTCACGGGATCACTTCGCTCGCATGCCCCTGTGCCCCTTGTTGGGCTGGCTGCGCCTCGATTGCCATTCGTTGGCGCGGGAAGGCCGCCTCTGCCGTCCAACTTACACGAGGTCGGCCCGGGCTGTGCGCCGTACCTGGCAGTTCGTCCCGTGCCTCTCGATTCGAATGCTATATAAGAATCTGGCAGAGCCCGGAACATTCTGTTTATATGGGTGTCATGTCTGAGAGTTCTTGCAAAATACCCTCCTCGCCCACCGGCCATCTTTTCTGGACAACATCACTGTGCCAATGAAGGCAAAGACGGCTAACATGTCGCCTCCTACCAGGTTCCCCGATTACGTTGATCCTCTCCGCAAGAAAAAACGACCCAAAATGGCGACATCTCTCCCAAAGCTCAAGGCTCTGGCCAATGTCCAGTCCGAGGAGTCTAGCCGCGGACCTTCACCGCAGCCCACCCACTTCAGCGTGCCCTTGATGTCCAATACCAACGGCAATGGCAACCGCATCCTCCGGTCAGCCACTGTCGGCTATGTCGCCCCAGAATTCACCGGAAAGCTGGAGCAGATGAAGGCTGGTAAGTGGCCCCTACCAGGTCGTGCTCCCAGTTTGTAGAGTATGCCCCCTAACGCTATGTCGCTGCAGTCAAGGACATCATCGTTCAGGCTGGATGGATCCCCGAGTCCCTCGTTGAGGAGCAGATTCGCTGGTTCTACGAGCAGCTTGGCATCGACGATGTCTACTTCCGCATCGAGACCCCCGATGTCATCGCTAGCCAGATCACCTCGCTCTACGCTGCCAAGGTGGCTGCCTACTCGAGAGAGGACAAGCGGGAAGAGATCCGCCTGGACATGGAGGCCAACGACCACGCCATCTACATCGACACCAGCGAGCCTGGAAAGGGCCACGTTGCCGGCCCCAGATATGAGTCGCGCCTCGAGGCCAAGTACCTCGACCACCAGGGCAGGACCAAGTACCGCGTGGAGACGTTCCGTTCCCCAGCCGTCATTGGTGCCAGCCCCAACTCCAAGGCTACTCTGCGCTGCTATTTCGTCTACCAGTGCCAGTTCAAGCAGAGCGTCGAGGCCACGGACCCCAAGGAGACCAACATTGAGCTCATCTCGGACAGTGGCTTCTGGCAGAAGGCCACGGACAACACCAAGCAGATCTACCAGGAGATCATCGAGCTGGCTGTCAACCGGGCTGGACCCGTCATCGAGGTCTTCGACATCGAAGGCGTCGCAGAGAAGCGTCTTGTTCTCGCTTTCCGGACACGCACCGCCCGCGGCATGTTCTCCGCCCTTAGTGACCTGTACCACTACTACGGCGTTACCAGTTCCAGGAAGTACGTGGAGCAGTTCTCTAACGGCATTACCGTCATGAGTATCTACCTCCGACCGGCCACCCACCTGGACGGATACTTCCCGCCTCTCGACGAGTCGATCCACCAGATCACCAAGGAGATTTCTCTCCTGTACTGCCTCCCCCAGAACAAGTTCCACAACCTCTTTGCCGTTGGCGACCTGAGTCTCCAGGAGGCCGTGTACGCTCACTCGGCATGGGTCTTCGTGCAGCACTTCCTCAACCGGTTGGGCCCCGAGTACGCGTCGCTGTCGGAGATTCTGAGCATCACCGACACCGCTCAGGCTGCCTTGCTCTCCAAGCTTAAGAGGCGTCTCCGCACGGAGACCTTTACTCCGGACTACATTCTGGAGATTATCCAGAGCTATCCCGGCCTCGTGAGGTCACTCTACGCCTCCTTTGCCAGCATTCATCTCAGCAACGGAACCGACGAGCAGATCCTCGCCCCTACGCCCAAGGTGGAGGTCCTGTCTGACGACAAGCTCAAGGAGACCATCTCTAAGACCGTCTCCAACGAGCACGACGAGATGGTCATGACCGCGTTCCGCGTCTTCAACAACGCCATCCTCAAGACCAACTACTTCACTCCTACCAAGGTTGCTCTCAGCTTCCGCCTGGACCCCTCCTTCCTGCCGGAAGTCGAGTACCCCAGGCGCCTTTATGGCATGTTCCTTGTCATCGGTGCCGAGTCGAGGGGCTTCCACCTGCGCTTCCGGGATGTTTCTCGCGGAGGTATTCGCATCGTCAAGTCTCGCAGCAAGGAGGCATATGGCATCAATGCCCGAAATCTCTTTGACGAGAACTACGGCCTGGCCAGCACCCAGCAGCGCAAGAACAAGGACATTCCCGAAGGTGGCTCCAAGGGTGTCATCCTGCTGGACCCCAAGCAGCAGGACAAGGCTCAGGAGGCCTTTGAGAAGTACATTGACAGTATCCTCGACCTCCTCCTGCCGGCTGCCAGCCCGGGCATCAAGAACAAGCTCGTGGACCTTTACGGCAAGGAGGAGATTATTTTCATGGGCCCTGACGAGAACACGGCCGACCTGGTCGACTGGGCTACCGAGCACGCCCGTGCCCGTGGAGCCCCGTGGTGGAAGTCGTTCTTCACCGGCAAGTCGCAGAAGCTCGGCGGCATTCCCCACGACAAGTACGGCATGACCACGCTGTCAGTCCGCGAGTACGTCAAGGGTATCTACAGGAAGCTCGACCTCGACCCTTCCAAGGTCCGCAAGATGCAGACTGGTGGCCCTGACGGTGACCTGGGCAGCAACGAGATTCTTCTCGGCAACGAAAAGTGGACTGCCATTGTCGACGGTTCCGGTGTCCTGGCCGACCCCAACGGCTTGGACAAGGAGGAGCTGCTCCGTCTGGCCAAGAAGCGCGCCATGATCAGCGAGTACGACATGAGCAAGGTGTCCAAGGACGGGTACCGCGTCCTCTGCGAGGAGAACAACGTCACTCTTCCTAACGGTGAAGTCGTGACGAACGGCACGTCGTTCCGCAACACCTACCACCTGCGGGACACTGGCATGACGGATGCCTTTGTTCCTTGTGGTGGCCGCCCCGAGTCGATTGACCTCATCTCGGTCAACAGACTCATCAAGGATGGCAAGACGACCATCCCGTACATTGTCGAAGGCGCCAACCTGTTCATCACCCAGGACGCGAAGCTTCGTCTCGAGGCTGCTGGCTGCATCCTGTACAAGGATGCCTCGGCGAACAAGGGCGGTGTCACGTCCTCGTCGCTTGAGGTCCTGGCTTCGCTGTCCTTTGATGACGCGGGCTTTGTCGAGAACATGTGCGTCGACGCCAAGACGGGCCAGCCGCCTCAGTTCTACAACGACTACGTCCGTGAGGTGCAGGCCAAGATCCGCGAGAACGCCCGTCTGGAGTTTGAGGCCATCTGGCGAGAGCACGAGGCCACGGGCACTGCGCGATCCATCCTGTCGGACAAGCTCTCCATCGCCATCACGGATCTTGACGAAGAGCTTCAGAAGTCTGACCTGTGGACCAACCCCAAGATCCGCCGCGCCGTGCTGCAAGATGCCCTCCCCTCTCTTCTGCAGCAGAAGATTGGCCTCGACACGATCATTGAGCGCGTGCCTGAGAACTACCTGCGCAGCATCTTCGGCAGCTACCTTGCCAGCCGGTTCGTCTACGAGTTTGGTAGCGAGCCGAGCCAGTTTGCCTTCTTTGACTTGTGAGTTGCCCCGCCTTGCCCCGAATTGTCTTGTCCCAGTTGACTGACCTGTCTGCAGCATGTCGAAGCGCATGGCCAAGATCACGGGCCAGCCCAACGGAGCCGAGCAGGTTCGCAGGATGTCTGTGAGCGGCGGTGTTGATCTGTAGAGGAGACGATGATTGGTGCAGATTTTGTCATGCTTTTCTCCAGCAGCAAAGCATGTGGTCTCGATTGTCGGACACGGCAACATGGCCCCGACGATTGGTTGTTTGTTTTTACTGCGTCGATTACGACTGGCACTTTGTTTCAAAAAGCATGGCAGCCGGGAGGCTGATAGCATTGTCTTTGGGTTTGGGGGATCGACTGGGTTGGATCACGGCATGGGGCGCTGGCTCACGAAGAAGCCAGTCGCAGAAACAGAAAAAGCACCGTAAAGACGGACTAGACTAAGAAAGACGACTGGCATACGACTAGACACTTTCGACTACTAATAGCACCATCATAATGACCTGATCACACGATGTCGTGCCTTGATTGTGAAAGGGCCGTTGCCATGCTCTGTGCTTCGTACCCAGCCGGACAAGGCCGACATGGGACGTGCTTGATAATTTACTTGCATCAAAGTGATGAAGGGGTGAGTGGGCCCCCGATATGGCTGTCGACGGTTCTTCGGCACTTGCAAGCGGCGTCTGGAGCGGGACGCAATCACAGCGCCGTGCCTTGCAAGGGCAGCATGATGAGTGAGCAAACAAGACGAATGATGGATGGCCGCGGAGGTTGTTGGTCCGGCCCGCGACGCCGACGGGGAGCAACAGAAAACACCCTTGAAAGGCCAGAAGCAGCAGAAGGGGCAGCTGGCCGGTTGGGCTGTTGGGCGCCCAGAGCGGCGGACGAGCCGGGGGCCCAAGTGGCCACGGCCCCGAAACCCAGACATGCATCCACAACATGCATGCCGTACATGTACTCATCGTGTGTGCATGTGGGATGGGAGGGACAAGAGAGTGCCGTCGGGAGCGCGCCGGCCGGGGACGACGGATAGGCCAAACGGAACCAAACTTGGTCAAGTTGGTGGTGCGGTAGCACCACATGCGTATGCTGTATAGTAGTATGCCCGTTTGGGGGACTGCTATTGTTAGAGCTTGGTTTCTTTTAATATTTACTCTCCGGGGAGCGAAGGGTTGCAGAGGTAACAGGCTGGCAGGCGCCGCCCGAGACAAGTCGCAGGCGGGTTTCTGTGCGTGCGTGCATGCGAGCCTGCATCCGCCTGTCCCATCCGCGTCGCGGGTTGCGGGCGCGGCAGGCGGACGGGAGCGTGGCGTGAAAATACCACGACAGATAAAGAGACAAGAGACAAAGCGAGCCGACTGAATGAATGTGGGGAGAGACAGCAAAGGTTAAAAAAGCAAAAGGCAGCCTGAGAAGTGCGGCCGGACAATCTCAATGGCCAGACATGGGACGACACGTCACGTCACGGCGCGGTTTGGATGAAGCGGGAGAGAGCGTGCGAGGAGAGAGACGGAGAGCGAGAAGGTGAGAGAGAGAGCGTGTGTGTGCGTGTGAGGAACGTAGGAAGGAAGGGTGATTTTTGGGGCGATGAAACGGATGTTGTTGAGAGGATGGGAGGCAACGGAAACGCCATGCAATGCAGAGGCAACGGCGACGGCGACGCCTCGCGCTGTTCCCTCCGTTGAAGAGGTGGTTAGTGGCCGTTTCGTTGCCGTGTGTCGCCCCTTGGTCGAGGCATGTCAAAAGCTGTCATGGCTTGCCTTGTGGCCACGGACCAGCAGGAGCTTTGAAAGGGGAAACATGCTGAGAGGAGCGGATCCTCCTCCATTGTCTTGCTCTGGGACGGGACAGCAGCCGCCTGGGGGGACTGCCGCAGGGGGGCTCGCTTCCATCGCTGCTGCGCACCAGCCACACAGCCACCAGCTTGCGCAGGCGCAGCCACCGCTGCATCAGCCATCAGCCATCGACCACCCGCCACGGCCTTGGGATCCCAGCAGGCATGGATCGATTCCGCCCGTGCTGCTCTCTGCCCCCAGCGGGCCGGCGCCTGTAACCCGGCCAGACGCGCGCCCCTGGCCCGCCATCAATCCCACCTGTCCATGCGTGCCCCCCTTCAAAGCGCCCTCCCCTTCAGCGTCCTGCCGCTCCCGCGTCCCCTTCCATTGCTGCTGTACGTGGGCCAAAGCCTGGCACGTCCCTCTCCTCCCCCCCCTCCCCCTGTCCTGCCTCCCCTTCCCCCCTGCCTCTCTCTTCCCACTGCTCAATCCCAGGCGCCAGGGACAAACCGAAATCGCCCAATCCGCACGCTCCCTCAGCCAGTGCACCGACGGGGGGTCCCTCACAACTCGCAACAGACGGATCTGCAGTGCCTGCATCCCACAGCACCTCAGCAGAGGCGGCAAGAACGCCATCTTTTTTTTCCTCTCCTTGCCCCCTTCCTTGTACCACCGCGGCCACATGGCTCCAACCTTGCTGCGTGCCTCCTCCTCCTTCGACCCGCGATCCTCGTAGCACCACCACCACCACCGACACAGCAACGACCGGCCGACCGACCGACGCAGACCGAGCTGCCTTACCCTCCCCGTCCCGTCCTGGCGGTCGCGCCCCCCTTCCCTCCCTCGTACCCCAAATTTCGCTTCATGTCCACCGTGGTTCGCCTGCCGGGGGTATCTCGAGTCAATTCGGAATAGCCTCAGCCCGACCCAGCGTAGGGGAGCCCGGCCCGTCGTGGCACCCGTGGCACCCGTGCCACGAGCAGGAGGCGGCGTTTCAACTTTCCCACCCGACGACAGCTGTCTGGCGAATCCCCCGCCGCCCACGACAATCACCACCGACGGGGGTCTCCATCCTGTCTTGTCTTGGCTTCTGCCCTTTGTTCCAAGGAGACGGCAGCCCGAGCGCCCTTCTCCTTCTCTCCTGCCCTCGCCGCAATGACGAGGCCAACAATTATCCGAGCCGGTAAGCTGCGCTCCCCATCTTCCTTGATTGCTTCCAATTCGACTCCAACGCGTGCGTCGACCCCCCTGGCCTGCCGTCTTCGTCACCGGCCCCTGCCATCCGTCTGCCGCCGAGCGGACCAGTCCTCCTCCTTGCAGAGCGCCGGGCCCACGACCGGCCAGCCAGCCAGGGTTTTTGTCCTCGCATCCAACCGACGTTGTGTCGAAGCCAATTTTGCGCCCTCTTGGCCTCGTGCCACGCCGTTGAGCCTCGTCCCGACCCGCCGCTAACGTCTTTTCCCTCTCGTTGACAGACACGATCGACTTGCAAGATCATCACGCTCCTTCGGCCAAGGATCACCATCACGCCCCCGACGTCGCTTCAGGCGCCTCGTCCCCCGCGCCCCTCGCTCCTCACCAGGCCGAGACCCTTCGCGAAGTTGCGCACGAGACGGCCGAGGAGGAGGCCCGCAGCCCGAGAGTTTCGTGGTCAAACGGCAAGGGCGGCGCCAACGGCGACGCCTTGCAGCAATACGCCCCCGACAACGATCTCGGTCCCGACATGTACCATCACGACAACCAGCAACACCACGAGGATGCCCTGGCCATCGCTCAGAATGGCGGCGTGTCGTCCTCGGACGAGGGCGATCTCGATGGTGATGCCGACGGCGACCTCGACGACGACATGATGGACAAGATCTCCAGTTCTCCGTCTATTGAAGATGGTGCGTTCCGCCCTGTTGCGGCCCCCGCGGCCTGGCCGCGTCGCGTCTCGTCTCTCCCGTCCAATTTGGCATCTTCCAATGTCATGCAAGCTTCGCGTCCCCGCAGAATCATGCTTCCAAACCCTGCTGCAACTGAAGTCCCACCTCCACTTCCCAAGACAAGTGTACGCCTCCAAGACCTTGGAATTGCAGCCGCCGAGTGGCAATGCAGACGTCATCATCTTCCTCGTGGTAAGCCTACAGAATCGCGAAGACGCAACTTCGACAACGGACGGAACCGCTCCCATGAGCGCACTAACCACGGCGCAAACGAAGTCAACCATGATGCCGACACCGACGGAGAGGACTCGAGCTCGTCTAGTTTGTCCGACTACGAACGTGGTGTACAGGAATAGAATTCCATGACACACGCGGGATCCGACTTGGGACATTCGGGTCGCGAGCTTGGACCATCAGTACATGCACAAACCGATACCCCTCAATCCTCAAGCCTGCACGGGCTGATCGAGGGGGGTGACACTGGCGACTACGACTCCGACGGGACGCCGCTCACCATTCCATATGAACCGTCCTCCGAGGAAGATGATGATGGTCTTGACTTTCCTGTTCCTGGCGAGACGCGCTCAGTTCATCACAGCTGCACGGACGAATGCTTACAGAACGCAGAGGACATTGATTTCGAGTTTGTCTATGCGCTGCACACCTTTGTGGCCACCGTCGAGGGCCAGGCGAACGCGACAAAGGGCGACACCATGGTCCTGCTGGACGACAGCAACAGCTACTGGTGGCTCGTACGAGTCGTCAAGGACAGCAGCATAGGTAATTGGAACCCATTGTGACGCGGTTACCCGGGCGGCCATTGACGTTGCTCGATTTCAGGCTATCTGCCGGCAGAGCATATTGAAACGCCGACCGAGAGACTGGCACGGCTCAATAAACACAGGAACATTGATGTAAGCGGCCTCTGCGCCTCTGCGCTTCCGTTCTGACTGACCGGAAATAAAAGCTTTCTGCGACTATGCTTGGCGATCAAGCCCAGAAGCAAAAGAACTCTTTCAAGTCGATCCGGAGACGGCGGAAGACCGTGACCTTTGCCGACCCGACATACGTCGACTACTCTGATTTTGACTATTCGACCGACGAAGAAGACATTGAAGAGCTCTTCGGGCCACATCCGACAGCGTCCGCGCAGAAGAAGGAACGCCAGAAGCAGGATCAGCAGCAGAACAATGAACACCTGTCTGCCGAGGATGAAGTCGAGGAGAGTGCCAGAGTAGAGCCCCTCAAGACGCGAGCAACCAAGGATGATGTGTCCACCGACCTCGTGAAAGAGGAGTCCGGATCTCAGAACGAGGCGCGCGACAGCGATGAAATCGTCGAGAAGCTGGAAGGCCCCAGCAGGTCAAGAAATGGCACCGTTCGCAACACCGACAGCTTCTTTAAGGACGAAACTGTCGAAACCAAGAAGATCACACTCACGCCGAACCTGTTACGTGACGACAACACGCCACGAGAATCATCGGAGTCAATAACCAGGGACGGCAAGTCGAGATCTAGCCTGGACAAGCTGGACAAGGAGCTAGTCTCCGACAAGGACAGGAAGAAGGCGGCCAAGGATAAGGACAAGAAGGACAAGGATAAGAAGCCCAGCGCGATCAGGAGCTTCTTCTCACGAAAGGACAAGAAGAAGACGTCAGAGGAAGATGATGAGTCCTTCGGAAAGCGATCCATGGACATGGTTTCCGATTCCAGAGACAGCGATGAGCGCGTGGCGGAAGACCTGGTCGCGGACAAGGCTGCCGGTGCCCAACGAGCTTCAGGGAAGCTGCAGAAGACTGCCCCGTCCGCAAAGGCAGCCAGCAGCACTGCCGGCGCGAAGTCGGTGGAGCTTTCCTCGTATCTGGCTGAGGGTCGGACAAACGACGTTTCCAACGTACCCCCGACCTCGATGCGCATCGTTGACCCGGAGTCTCAGCCCGCGCCGGAAACGACGGCCGCAAGCCAGCAAGCCGGAGGAGAGGTCACTCGCGAGCGATCCTCATCCAACGCTGCCCAACAGGTCATCGCCAAGATCATGCCTACTCGAACAGCGAGTACGACCACGGATGCCAAGCCGCAGAAGACGGTCAAGGCGAAAACCCGCATGGAACTCGACGCGTCCGACAGCTCCGAGGTTGAGGATGCGCCGACGGATCACAGCCAACCCATGGCTCCGGAGCCCTCAAAGGGAGACGTGAAGGAGAGTCGGGAAAAGCCTACACGACCACAGCTCCCAGGTGCCTTTCCTGATAGCTATCAAACAATCTCGACGGTGGCGAGCGACAACACGATCACCCCGCAGCAGGCGCAGCAGAACTTTTCGGAGGACCCCTATATGTCACCTTCCAACTCATCAGCAACCGCCTCTTCCCATCCCCCGGCTCTTGTTGTCGACACTTCGTCGCCTGAGGCAGGCTCCCCCGAAGCCTCCCCGTCGCCAGACCAGACCCATCATGCGAATGGCAATCAGAAGGACAGCCCAGGAAATAGGGAGCCAACCTGGGACGACAATAAGCTGCGAGCGTTCTTCGACGAGACGGATCACATTCGCGACTTGTTGGCTGTGGTCTACGACAAGACCGATGTTGAGCCCGTGAGCAGCGATCACCCTGCCATCGGCGGTCTGTTCCGCGAGCAAAATGCCAAGCTGGCCGAAATAACAACAGTAAGAGACTCTATGTCCTCGGACCACACCGCATGACTAACTTTGCGTCCCCTTAGCAACTGGACAACATGCTAGGCGACTGGCTGGCCAGGAAGCAACGTCTCCGAGGCACCATATAGGTGCAGGGAGCCAGGTGCCTCAGCTCCCGAGCGACGGCCGCAACCGTGGCGTATTCGGTCACTACGAAGCCTTGCACAGTGTGACTATCAAGCCTGGCGAAGAGTTACTACCAATTCGGCGCTTCTCAGGCTCGACGGCCTCATCGTGCGAGGTCTTTCCTCTTTTTAGTTCCTTTGGCACGCCGATATGACTTACAATGCATGCACGAAACGATCTGGAAAGGTATTATCTGCTTCGCAGCCGAGCAAATGGGAGGTCCCATGGGACATCGACATGGATTGGACTCGCGCTCGCTTGTTTTGATTCTATCCTTCCCTGTATTTTCCTTTCTCCCTTGCATTGGTGCGAGGGCGGGACATTGTGGTCGGGCGAGACTGGCTGGGTTTCGTCTTGCCTGTCCTCTTGTGCTCACCGTTTGTTGGGTTTGTTTTTCTTTTGATGATTCATGGGATGGGACGCCGCCGGCTTGGCTAGGGCGATGAGAGGTGCGGTGCTCGGTGATACCCGATGTGGATCGTGCAGGTAGATGGGCGGGGACGCAAGAGAGGAGCGGGATGTTGTGCGGTATCTTGTCTGTGGCTTGTATAGTATTCTGCTGCATAACGCTTCAGAGAGGCGTTGGTGAATCAATCACCCGGAGTGGTGTTGAGTGAAACGCACGAGAAACGGCATCGGTGTGTTGTGCGTAGATCTGTGGAATGCGATGATCCGTGCTCAGGAGCCAAACTTGGCTCTCGCGTGTCAGTTTGATGAGCGCGCTTTTGTCAGCTGACTCGATGGCACTGCGTCGAGTTCACCAATCGTAAACTTGTTCGCCCGTTGGCTGTCCAAGATTAACAACAGGTCATGAACGCAGTGCATGTTGAGAATGCAGAGCATGTCGTTTAAAGGGGCGCCGTAGTTCACCAGTAGCTGGACGAATGCAACGAAACCGTTACTTGTACAAAGTTCAACACGTCATCAATGCGGTGCCGGCCGAGACTGTCGTTCATAGGTGCGTCATATTCTCTCTAGCAGTTGGACAAATACAATGCCAGGAGGTTCCGTGTCCGCGCCCGTCAAAAGTGCGATAAGAGCAACGTTTTACCCGTCAACGCAACGCAAAACCCCATTCCCGATGCAGCCCGTTTGTTTGTTTTTGGTGTGCCGAAGCAAAAGGAGGAGAGTCCCAGAGCCGGAAAAACTTTCTGTTGTTGATTTTCCCCAATATGAACACCCCTTTTGCCCCGGCTTGTGGTAAAACACCCACCCCTGCCACCCGTGGTTCTCCAACCGCCCAAAAAAGACCCTTTACACCTCGGTGGTGACCTTGGCCTTGGCGTTGGTGACCTTGACGCCTAATTGCTTGGCGCGGGCGATGATGTCAATGCGCTTCCGGGACGAGACGTTGCTGGCGATCCTGTTGACGACGGTGTTAGTTTGAAGAACTGATGATGGCCAAGACGGGCGGGCTGGGGGGAGGTAGGTCGTACTCAGCGGCGTAGGTGCGGTTGTGCATCATCAGGAGCTCGACGTCCTTGACGTTGCTGACAAGGAAAGCCTTGTGGCCGGAGGGCATCATGAAGCGGGTCTTCTTGTTGGAGCCATAGCCAATCTGTCGAAGAGTTGTCAGCATTTTCGTCTTCGTCGCATGTGTCGATGCCGATCCTTTGTCAAGTCTGCGCTGAGCTGAGGCTGCGGTATCCCCGTTCCGTACTTCATCCCCATGAATGACGAACGATCTAGCCTCGCTGCTGGCAGGCCGGGACAAAGGACGACACGTCGGGTGCAACGTACCGAGGGCATGGCCTGGGTGCCACGGAAGCGTCTCCGGACACGGTTGTCGATACCCTTGGGCTTGCGCCAGCTGGCATCGAGGCGCATGAACCGGTCACTCTGGTGACGGAAGAAGCGCGTCGTGCCTGTATAAGTCCGTCAGCATTCTGCTCCCCGCTTGCCGCGAATTGGATGCCCAAAACGCCCTGCCCGTCTTTGTTCTCATCTCTCGAGGCAAATCTTGTTCTTCATCCGCCTGCCGCTTCCGGACCCCGCAAACGCTCGCCTCGAAATCTCGTTCAATCGCTCCCACCCGAGGAGATTCTTGTGCTCTTGCACGTGGTCGTGAACCGTCGAGATATCGAGAGAGGCGCGGGAGGAAGCGGCAGGGGCAGGAACTGTGATTTTGCCCTTCGAGATGCGGAACCGAGGCGGCGGTGGTGGTGGCTTCAAACGACGACGCAGGTTGGAACGTACGCTTCTTCACGATGGGGACGTGCTTCTTGGCGGAAACCATCTTGACAGAGGGTCAGCATGACAATTGCGCTTTCGAATTTCGAATCTCAACGTCGGCTGAGCCTGGGGAACGTGTCTTACCTTGACGGCGGTTGCTCCTGGGTCGGGATGGCTGTAAAGGTTAGCTGTCCGGCGTGATGTTCGCTCGATTCGAAAATTTGGCGGAGGTGCCACAACCCGGGCCACCGCTAAGTCGAAGGGTTTAGGGCTGCGGTCACGTGTGGGCGCAATTTTCGCCCGGTGTGCTTCACTTGTTTTTTGTGGTTGGGCGTTTGAGGCGGGGCACGTCTGCGTCTGCCCATCCAGCAGGCAAAGGGGGAAAAAAAGAGGGGTGCCAAAATGGGACTAGCGCGCTTCCGGAGGGCACAAACCCTCGCTCTCGGGCGAAAAAATCCGCCCAGGCAAAGCAGAGCATCAAACAGGCCGCCCAATACTCCATCACGACCGACCGTCCCGCCCGATTGTTGCCAACTAACCGCCACAAGTCAAATCAGCAATCATGTCGACGACGCAGAGCGTGCAATGCTTCGGCAAGAAGAAGACGGCCACGGCCGTCGCCCACTGCAAGGTTCGTCGTGTGCCCTCCAGCGGCGGCAGCAGCATCATCGAAGGAAGGATGCTGTCTTTCGTCGTCGCCCCGGCGATCCGAGAGACGACGCGCTGCCGCCGCCGGCCATCGATATTCGAAACGAAAGCTGGAGGCTGACATTTGTCGGAAAATAGGCTGGCAAGGGCCTCGTTAAGGTCAACGGCCGTCCCCTGAGCCTGGTTCAGCCCGAGGTTCTGCGCTTCAAGGTACGACTTGGTCTTTTTCGTTCACGCAACCCGCTCGACCACCGCCCGAACATCCCGCCTGCCCGTCTACGAGACACACGCGCACACAGCTTGGAGCGTCCGAGGGAGAGGGAGGCGCGCCGTTCGCAAGGAGCCTGAGACGGACAATTGCACGGCACGGCCTCCTCCCTGCATCTGGGCGCGTGTCGTCTCGTGGCAGGCGACGGGAACATTAGGCGCCATCCCGCGACACCAGAGAGTTTCGAGAAGAAGCCCCATGTGCTGAGACTTTCGTGTTTTTAGGTCTACGAGCCCCTCCTCGTTGTTGGCCTTGACAAGTTCGCCAACGTCGACATCCGCGTCCGCGTCACCGGTGGTGGCCACACCTCCCAGATCTACGCCATCCGCCAGGCCATCGCCAAGTCCCTCATCGCCTACTACCAGAAGTACGTCGACGAGCACTCCAAGAACCTGCTCAAGCAGGCCCTCGTCCAGTTCGACCGCACCCTGCTGGTCGCCGACAACCGCCGCTGCGAGCCCAAGAAGTTCGGCGGTCCCGGCGCCAGAGCCCGCTTCCAGAAGTCTTACCGATAAACGCCTCGGCCGGGGACGGACGGGCGTGGACGGACGGACGGGAGGAGGAATGGGGAGTTGCGAAAGGGGGGCGCCGGGGCAGCCGTCGGATCTTGACTTTTTGGGCAGAGAAAAGCGGAGGTCCGAGGGAGTCTGTCCTGGTGTGCGCAGCGAAAACACACTGCTACCCCGTGCTGCTGCTGCTGCTGCTGTCGCTGCGCTCCGGGAGATCGCCCGTTGCGCGGCGGCGAGGAGGGTGTTGTCACGTCTCGGTGTGGACAAAAGGGATCGGAGTCTCATATCCCCTGGCGCGGGGATAGGTTTCCCATTGGCATTTGCATGGCCTTGCTTTGGGCGGATTGTAAAGGGTCTGACAGGCAAATGAAAACTTCAAACGTTCACGATACTGGCTTCCGCGTTTCATTGCTTTGACTGTCTTGCCTCCTTTGACGGGGTCCTCGTCGTCGTGCTTGCATCAGAGAGCGCCACGGCTCGCTCCATCTGCCAGGAGCCCCTGCCCCCGAGCGCGACTTGCATGCGAGCAATGAGATCGGCCCATTACCATGCACCCTCCACGAACCATGCACTGGTACCACGTGGGGCGCGAGTTCACATCAGCATGCGGGTACAAGTATAGATCGCGGTGGCGTCGCACATTCCCAATCTTGGTTGTAGTTTCGCCCATGACCAGGATGAGACCTCCAGCGGCGTGATATCTCGCTTGCAGTGGCTGACTGACTGCATCAACAGTCAGCAGCCGCTGATGTGGATTACTATTATAGTACAGAGTCCTACTACTACTACAACTATGATACACAAGCAGCCATTATGTCGTTTGTGTGAGACAATCACTGTATAGAATGTCCAAAACGCCGCTGCCACCACCACGTCCCAACGCCGCTGCCCTTCGTGTTTCCAATACCAACTCCATTGCAAAAGAATAAGTTCAACGACGTGTTTGCCGAGGACCAAAACGCCGTCCAGTATTACCACATTCCGCGTCTAGGCTTGAGTGCTTGACCCCAGGGGCTTGGAATAAACGCCGCGCATTCAGTCGCTCCACGATACCAAGCCAATCTGTCGGCCCTCTTCGTCGAGCTCGACGATTTCGGGAGCCCACTCGCCTCGTTCGTCTTCCTCCTGTAGCTCATCCATGCCGAGCTCAATCTCCTCGCCATCTTCCAAATTCAGCTTTCCAACCCGAAGGTAATGGCCGTCAATGTCCCAGCCAAGGTCTGTGGTAACAAAGGCCTGCACCCTGGCGAACGCATTCCCGACGTCGATGTGGGCGGGGGTGATGCGTTCCTTGTCCATAGCCTCCAGCAGCTCGTTCAACCGGCGTTTGTAGATGATGAGAGCAATACGCAGGTCCCGGGTGTTGGGCTCGTTCATATCCAGAATGGACGTCTCCAGCCAGCTGCTGCTGTGAGCGAGCTGCGCGCTCAGGGTGCGAAAGACGCCAGCAACGAGCTTGGGTCGTCGGATGGCAAGGCAGTACGCCCGGAGGAAGAGCGCCAAAGTCGTATGCCACCACTGCTGGATACAGGCGTCGTTTCCCAGATACATGCCTACGATGTAGGCGAACTGATACTCTCCGACAACGTCCTCTTCGGTCAGGTTGTGGCGCGAGCCATCGATGGCCGTGAGGACGTAGGAGGTGGTGTCTGTGGCATTGACGGTCCGGTCACGGCCCAATGTGGAGACGTCATAGGTTCGATCCTGCTGCCGAAAGCAAAATTTGATCTCGTGGGACTGGAAGACGGGGTGCTTGAGTCTCCTGTCCAGGTCCAGCTCGGAGGGATGTCTGACGGCACCGTAGACCCGGTCGCCAGTGTGGACGTTCCAAGCGCCGTCCTGTTCGGCCGTGAGGCGGTCAAGAACAGACTGAGTGATGCTGGAGGATAGCTGCTCCCACATGTGCTGGTTCGCCTCAATCTTGGACCACGCCAGCTGCCCGCGCAAAGCCGACGTGGCAGTCGGGTCACGATAGAAAGGGAGGTCGGGGAAGATCTCGTCGACATTCTCGGCCTGGATGCGCGTCTCGGTGCGGGTCGGCTGCACGAATACCTCGTTGTACTTGTGCCACTGAATGACGTGAACTCGGTCGACGCCTGAGCTCATGACCCAGAAGCCAGAGCGAGACGACGTGTTTTCTGAATTCGCCGCCCAGAAGAAGTGAGCGCCTGGCGGCAATCCCCTGACTCCGGCGAAGTCGGTGGCAGTGAAGGCCAGAGCGTCGTAGCCGACTATGTAGTCCTTGGGCATTTGAAGAACGACGACGACGTCGCCGCCGCCGAGCGAGTGCGCCATGACATTCTTGGGCGACCGAGAGTGAGACTGCCTCTTTGGCTTGGGAGCTGATACTGGGGGGTCCAGCGGCGGAGGACCGCCGTCTCCGTCGTCACCGGACGACATGCGGGGAGGATCGTCGTGGCAGACGACGCGTAGGCTGCCGAGGGCGAATGCTCCGAGGACTTTGATGGAGTCGTACGACTTGGTCGAGCGCCCTGAGGCGGACGCAGTCGAGTTGGATTTGGAGATGCCGATGAGAGGAGACGACATGCTCACGTCAGGTCTCTCAGGCGCCGGGGCGAGTCGTTTGGCGAGTGAGCTAGCTAGCAGGCTGCCCGCTAGAATAAAATTCTGACCAATACCGTAATTGGATCCTCTGGTGGGTGCCTGTAAGAGCAACTCCCAGCAGCAACGCAGCACCTCGAATAGGCCGGAATCCAGAAGAATGTTGGAAGAAACTGCCGTGAGAGCAATGCGATACGTATTGCAGAAGCTGAGCAAAGGACTTGGTGATCGAGAAGGCTTGGTGCGTGTTACGCAGACGGACGGCGGCGTGAGGGCCCTGCGGCGAGGATGCAAGCGCAAGCTGTGTAAAACGGGTGGACAAGCTGAGGTTGCCGGGACAGTCGCGACTGGGCGCGAGACGGGCCCGGCGAGGCGGGTTTATACCGTCGCCAGGTGCCAGAGTTGAGTTTCCCGGCGCGGTAGGCTTGGTTGCCATGACCATGGAGGACGCAGAAGGTTTTCGACGTGAGGGCCGCGCCTGCCTCGACTGTCCACCTGCCGCGCCTCGCAGGTGAGTTTGCGGTTGCTGCAGACGCGGGCGACGGGCGCTACGGCAGGTGCTCAGGTGCCGCCTGCCCCGCCACCGCCGCCTGCCTGCTGATGTGCTCGTACAAAATACAGAGTGAGAGACTGTCTTGCGTGCTTCTTGCCGATACTGGACATCTACTTGCCAGTAATACCTACCGGTGTAGGATTCGCAGCCACTTGCCCTCTGTCTGCCGCATTGCGCTCCATGTGTCGCGTGACGCTCGAGGAGTCTGTCCACAAAGGTCGACATGTCCGACAGCAAGTACCGATCATCTTGGCGATGCGGGTGGCTGCGAGATGCGCCCCGCGATGCCTGCTGCCATTGGAGGGGAGTGCCGGCGCGTAGGCATCTCCGAAGCATAAAGTAAAAAGTGACGAACGCGATCCTCCTTGAGCAGATCGATCCATCTGCCATCTGCTTCCACGGCGTAGGGCCCTGTGGCGGTGGGGTCGGTACGGTGGACGCATCCATGCTCGTGTGTTGTCGTCGGTCTCCCGGTCGTACAAAGCACGCAGGGGGCGGCGACGATGGCCTCGTTTCTGCTGCCACCGTCCCGCGACGGTCGCGTGTCGAGGAGCAACTAGCTGAGGTGAGCATCACAATTGTAGACGAGATTGGTGCCCAAGGCTACATGGCAGTAAACAACGGGAGCGGGAAGAGACGCCATCGTCATGCCGGCGCGATGTCAATGTGCGCCTCGGCGGACCCTCGCACGGCGTCTCGAATGTGAGCAAGTCAACGCCGTGCGTGCGGCGGCGGGGATACGATCAAGTCGAAGTCCCTCGGCCGTCAGCGCCGTCCGCCATGCGCTCCCTTGTCGATTCCGTCCCGTCGGCCAGCCTCTTCATCGGACATTCCCCATGTACCTGTCCCGCGGAGTTGAGACCTCTCCAGGCGACACCAATGTCAGCTCGTCGCAACTCAACTCTGTTCGGCCGTAAGGGACGGGCGCAGAGCTGCATCCGAGGCGGCAGGCTGCGGGATCGTGAGCTGCAGGCGCAAGTAATTGGGAACGCATTGACTTGATGTTACGAAAGAAGAGGTGTCTCTCCCTTGCTTCTAGCTGCATCTCAAAACCACCGCCCTTACATGTGCGTACCTACAGTTCTCGCTCTCGACGATCAGTCAGGGCTGGCGGACTCGCTATACCTGCCTGAGGGGCGCCGAGGACAAAGGTACCACCTATTTCCCGGCCTTCTGCGCTTAGGTAGTACGTATACGTTCGTTGGCACACACCCCGTCGGTCGCACAAGCAGAGCCCGGCCCCCAACCTGGTGGTGGTTCAGGTTGTTGGTGCTGCCCTGGTCATTCATTCATGGCCGGGTCCGGGTCCCTTGCCGACGAGCCCCAGCGCTGGCCGAGGAGGGGCGTGAGAGCCACCCCGGACCACTGGACCGGGACGCCAGCCGGCGGCAGGATGACAGATTCGACGGGCGTGTCCAAGTTGGGGGAATCGGTTGGTCGCGATCGGGGCACGGGTCGCATCCGCGTGGGCGGCATCAGCATCAGCGCCAGCGGCAAGCAAGGACAGGTTGGGGGCCAGGGGTGGCGGTGGTGGCAGGTGGTGGCAGGTGGTGGTGGCGGCGGTGGTGGTGGTTGACGTCGCTATGGATGCAGTATACCGTAACTACCTTATGTAGGGGCTAAGGCAAGGTACGTGTGCCGACAGCAAGCCCGCAGACAGATGCTGCAGACAGACGGGACAGACCTACAGTACGAGGACGGGCGGCTGAGATACGGTGCAGCACAGGGCGCAGACTGCCCACCCGCCACCGCCTTAGCCTCGAGCGACTAAGGCACAAACAGTGCTGGAGCCATGCCGGGCTCGTGTGCTGTGCCTCAGCCCGGTCGGTCCTTCGCGGGCTGAGTAGATGGTCTGCCCACCCACACCCGGCCGGTCCCCCGTCACATCACCTCGCATCGCGTCACATCACCTCACGCGCGACCACATGGCGGGACGGGATCTAACGTAGTGCGCGCTTTCCCTCCCGGCCTAGCTCGACCGCAGCACAGCACAAAACCGCAGATCGGGTTCCAGCGAGCCGGTCCAGGCGCTAGCGACCGTCTGGCGCGCGTGCTGCATCCCTACCGTCATCACCCTAAAACCCGACACTATGCACGCTGCACCCCCCGCGGGTAGGCTGCCTTAGCGGCGCTGGTCGGGCCCGGCGTCGTTGTCGATTCGGTGCCGCCCGCCGCCCGCCGTTCGCACCTGTTAGTGCTGGGGCCCAAGGTGCGTGGGTAAAAACAACTTTTCGCTTCCAATTGACGGCCGGCTGCCGGTGCTGCGCTGCGGTTCCGTTTCTGCCCTGCAAAGTGCGGCCCTAAAATGTGAACGAGTTCCGTGGCGAGGTTCCAGTTCTTCAGCGCCTGCCACGGTGGGTACTAGGTACCATGGAAGGTGCCCGGTAAGATACCTAGGTAGCTCAGGGACGGAGTACTTGCCTACCTAGCACCCAGTAGAAGTAGAGGTTAGTGAGTGCAAGTACGTTACCCGCCCCTGCCGGCCGGCATCAGGGCAGTGCCTGACGATCCCATCGCCACTGGACAGTGCACTGCCGGCTGTTGAGCCTTTGAAACGACCCGCAGCCAAACCGTCTCGTCGCATCCGCCCCGCCCACGACGGCGCACCTCGGCTGTCCGTCGCGGCTCACGGCGTCGCCTGTACCCTCGTCTTCCTTGGCGTTTGCCCGCGACGCCCCCTCGCGCATTGCCCGAGCGTCATGTGGCTTGGTCCCCAACCGACCACGGCCAGCGGGCTGCCTGAGCGCCGGGATCCAGCCTCATCCAACCATCGGCGCCACTCGATGGAGAAGTCTGACCTGGTTTGCTTCCACGAAGGCCGGTACCTGCAGAAGCTGAGGTACAGTACAGTATCTCACCTGGCAAATAATTAGTATGGCACGTAGCACGGTCTTCGCGGGGCATTCGGGACCACCTCGACACGGCCCCTTGCAGTCCCGAGCGGACGCCGAGGCTTCCGCTCATCAGCGTACACCCTCGTCAAAGACGTCACGGGGAGCCGTCACCGGGGGCGTCACCGGGAGCCGTCACCGGGAGCCGGCCGCCAGCAAACATTGACACGGCGGGCGGGACTGCTCTGCCAAACATCCAACACGGGCCTTTCCGAGACACGGCCCCAAAATCGACCACCTGGCCAACGCGCTCTACCAAAGTACGCACCCCACGTGTGACGCGACGCCCTTCTCCAGCCCGTGCTGAGATCCCTCGACGGGTGGCGGCGCGCCCTCGATCGGAGACATGTTGGCCGCCGCAGGCTGCGCTGGGCACCACGACCAGAAAATGCGCTTGCGGCACGGCCATGTGTAATGGTTGACCTGACTCTTGCGGGGGCCTCTGCCAAGTAACTCACATACGAGTCTGCGTCAATTGCCCGAATAGGAAATGTATTCAAACCCGCGTCTCCCCCCGCCGTCAGCACCGCCCGCCTGTTGCCGGCAGAGTCCAGTCTTTGCTAACACGACACTCGCTACGTTTCGCTTGGCCCGCACATGGCAAGGGGCAACGTGGCTGGTTGGCCATCGAGACACGCCTCGCCTTGCTGGCTGCCTAATGAGTCGTTGGTGCTGGTTGGTGCCGAGCACCAAGGCTGGTACAGTGCGTTGCGCTTGGTTGTCGACGAATAAGTGACGGCCCAACTAACGTTAGTCGGTCTTTTGCAGCGAACTAAGATAGTCGCGGACCAAAGAATTGTCCCAAAGCCACTTGCGACCACGCCCGCCCGCACACACACCATCCCAACGGCTTGGAGATGGCTCCCGATCTTAGTGCCGTGGCTCGACGGTTGACTAGTTTTAGCCAGATGCCGAGTCCTGACGCACGCGGCCCAGAAATGATGCTCGGGTCCGTCGCGCGCCACGGCCCGTCGTTTAGCAACCACATGGCTTGGCCGCCGACTTTACCCAGAAGCATGCTAGCTAGCCCAGCGCAACGCCATCTTCACTTGCAAGCCCAACCGCCGCGCCCGTGGCTCGATGCGGAAACCGCCCGGCATTGCCCGTATGTTGCTCGACACTGCGAGACAGAGCCACATCTGTCTTCCACTCGAACCCCCTAAGCCACCCCTGCGCCCAGCCCGGAGACGCGGCCACCCATGTCGCTGGCTTCCTTCGCTCGCTCTCACGTTGCACAACATGAAGCTAGTTACCGTACGACCAGCCCCCAGACAGCAGCCAACCCCCGTGCCAGATCCTCCCGTCGACATGGCCATCCCGTGCTGCCTCCCTCATGCCATCAGTCAGCGACCACCAGCCACCACACCAGGCTCGTCCCGTCCTCCCGGATGCGCTAAGCACGGGCGGATGCACGCCTCGCCTTGTCCAGGAACCCCTTCTCCCTCCCTCTCCCTTTCCGGCCCCCACCGCACGCCTCCTCCTGTCCTATCCCGAGGCTGTCCTCGCTGCCGGGGCCCTCCCGCGCCTCCCTCGTGGCCGCTTGTCCCCGTCGTCACGAGGCCGACGTCACACAGGCGCCCGCTCTCGCGAAGCCGTCAGGTCGTACGAGCCAGAGCCACATCGGCGGCGGCCCCCTCCCCATGGGCCACCTGCGCACGCAGGAGGGGGGCCGAGAAAAAAAATAAGGGTCAAGGGTCCTTTTTCTTTCCCCAAACATGCCACCCCCATGCAGGTCATCTCTTTAGAGCCCCTGTCCGACGCTTTTAGCTCCCGCTTCTTGTGCCACACTGTATCTGGCCCAACAGTGTTTGTACCACCTTCGGCAGTGCGGGCCGAACGACGCAACACGCCCTGGATAGGCAGGCATGTCATGGCACTTGCCGACGACCTCGTCGCAACTTGGACACGCTGCCACGCATGCGACTGCGCTTCTGCCCGCTTCTGCCGCAAATGGCAAAGGGCAGCGCTGCTCCGTGAGAGCAGCTGCGCTTGCAATAAAGACATTTGGCACTGCTCCTGTGCATACATGCCAAAGGCTACACATCACAGCCCATTAAACGCCACTTCTGCTCCGTACTGTTCTTGCAACGTATATATTGTACTTCGTTTTTGCTTGAATCTGTAGACCGCTAGCCGTGGCAGGCCCTCAAAGGCCCGCCGACACCGACACCGGCGCTGACACGCCTTCGCCCCCGTCCCTTGTCGTATCCTATGCCAGGGTCATGACTTCAGCTCGTTCCAAATCATGCTTCCATGCATGCCAATCGCCTCGCGGCATGGCAGTGCCATTGAAAAGCTGTCAAAGAGTCTTGCACCCTCCCTTCCCCGCCCTGTCCAAAACTCCACGGCAGCCCCTGATAGGGCTCTTGCACTGGCTTCAAAATGAGCAAACCGATGCGCCTGTAAAGTAAAAAACCAGCCAAGCCGCCCCCGCCAGTGATGACCATCAAACGTTTCTCCTGAATGGACCGGTCACAATGCAAAACCCCGTCACGCCCTAGCGTATGCGATGGGCAACACAAGACAAAGGAGACTTTAAAATCAAAGACAAAAGGGAAGACGAGGAAACAATCATAGCATAGAAGTCGAACAAAGATTAAGACGAAACATCGACTTTCGACTCGACCAAGCTCAATCGTGTGCGTCTTGGTCATCGACTTGCTGCCTCGCTCGAGCGGACTCGCTGCCGGGCCCCGAAGAGCCGAGGCCTGGGCACTTGGCTCCGCGTCGGGCAAAGGTCTCTGGGGTGGTGATTATCCAGTGAATACAGCCATGATACGATCCCTTGAGCCCTGGGTATATCCGTTCATCAAGTTTCGCGCGATCCACTTCCGCACGACCGGGGTTTCTCAAGATGGCGTTGGTGCCACGGGTACCGCCCGTCGCTTACGCCTAGTGACTAGGAGGCTGCCCACCGTTTGCTTTGAAAAAGTCAGCCCCACGTTGCGCAACGGCCAAACCTGCGATACTTTAGACGAAAACTTACACTGACTGTAGATGTTCTGGTTCGGCTGGCCGTACGGCGAATGAGGCTGGTAGCTGGGGTACATGTGGCTCGTGCCGTAATCAGGCAACTGTTGTTGAGGGACGCCACCAGATGAAGGGGCAGGATACGGCGCCGGCTGGTAACCGATGGGTGGAAGCTGTACAGGTCGAGACCCGTAGGTAGACGTCGGTGTGCCGTCCGGACCCTGCGGCTCGCCACCGCCGTTCTGGGCTGCTGCGGCCGCCTGTTGTCGCTGGCGTTCCTCTTCCGCCTTGCGCTGGGCCTCTTCCTCCTTCTTGCGTTGCTTCCACTCCTTGCGGATCTCCTTAAATTCTGCAACACAAGAGGTTAGCAAAATAGTCATTTGCAGTGCTAGGAACTGAGCGTCATGTGGTAGGCGCATAAAACATTCACTCGGCAGGCCGCCTGCTGGCCGAACGCCTCTCTCAAAATCAAAGATTGAGTTTGATGTGCACGGCGCCTTCCAAATGAAAGCCGGATCATGGCTCACAGCGAAGATGTGGTGATTTACCTTCAGGGGTCCGCTTGGGGCCATGCGACTGCATCGTGACATGAGCGTTCAAGTGGTTAAGAGTGCCGTAGGCCTTTTCGCAGCCGTTCCAGCCACACTTGTACATGCGCTCGATCTCTTCATATCGTCTGCGGGGTCGCTTGTGTTGCTGGGCGCCTGGAATGGGGACGAAAGAGTACACCTGTGTCATGAGTTAGCTCAGTCAGCTCACGTCAACCGCCTGGGCTTGGGGTTCTCGCAGCAAGCGCGCGACGCCCCGTGTGCGGACAAGGCCGGGGCACGTAACGCCCTAGCTCGGCAACGGGGCTACCATCACGATTGGGCGCGTCCCTCTCAGTTCCCCAGGCGTATCGTTTCACGGGTCGCATACCTGGTTCGGCCTCTGCTGAGGCGGTGCCGACGCGGGCTGCTGAGCGTACACTGGGTGGCCTGGCGTCAGGGGGGGTCCTCCATGCTGCCCATACCCCGTCCAGTCCGGGCGCGGTTGGGCGTACATGCCGCTGCTGGGATGAGAGTAGCTGTGCGTCATGTCAGGGTTGGGCGCATATGGCGAATGCTGCCCGTAGGGGTATGTTGGACTAGGCGCCGCGATGGACGGATCTATAGGTACATCGCTGTCAGAATTGACCGGATGGGCTTGATGGTTTCGCCCATCCTGCTGGGGCATTGACGGACTGTTCTGTTGCTGAGCCATACCGCCGCCGTTGGTGGTAGTGCTCGCTGGGTGGTAAGACCGCTGAATGTGCTCCGGGAAGGATCCTGAACGCGCCGACGGGGGATAGACGCCGTACTCAGACGTGGGAGTGGCCGAGGTCGGATAGTTGACTTCTGGCTTGCCGGGATAGTGGGCAGCAGACGCGTGATCTGCCGACGAACCTTCAGAATTGGCGTCGCCGAAGTTGCTGGGATAGGGCGAGGGCAAACCTGACTGCGAATATTCGGGTGCACCGCGGTCCATGAAGCTGAAGCAGTCGGGGATGCGCGTCGACGGGTCGCCTTGGATTCTGGGGGGAGGAATTCGAGAGTGCGGAGGCGAGGTGATGTCGCGCAGCCGGCCGAGTGATGATGGTGAAGGGAGGTAGTTCCGCGACGGCGCCAGGAACGCGGGAGAGTCTCCACAGAGCGAGCTTGCTTTTAAGACGGACGCAGGACCAGGGGACCTTTTAGGTTTTCCGAGCCACTAACTGTGTGGTCGGACTAGCAGAGAACCAGAGGGTTGGCGTCCGATGGGCTTCTTGGTTCTTCCGGGGCGAGCAAAAATGAATGCGAGGCAGTCGGAGCAGGCCTCGAGGGTGGGACTGGGGTGAAGATGTTGTATGTATAATGAAAGTCGGGCTCCCGTCCTCGTTCTCGGAGGAAGCAAAGTGGCGCCGGCCGCTTTTTTTTTTGTGTGCGATGGCGGATTATGTTTTCAATGAGGGCGAAGGACACCAGGAACTAGACCGAAAGGCCTGGCGCGGATCTCTTCTGGGGGGGAGGCCAAGGATGCTTGCGCTCGTCCGTCCGTACCCGCGATCAGTGGGAAGGAGGTCGAGAGAGGCTAAAATGGCCCTCGTACAGATTGGGGAGTACCGCACTAATATAGTGTGGTAAAGAATGGGGTCTGCCGAGGACCCAGGTTGAACTGAGTCTAGCGCCTGACTCGGAGATGGAAGCCAAAGGGGGGGGGTGTGTCTGGAGAAATGGGCGAGAGGCTGATGAAGCGCGCGGGCAGGCGAGCGTGGAGACAGGGACGAGCAGCGTGTCTCTGTCGGCGCAAACACTATGCTATGGCAGCGGCGGCCGCGATGGACCGTTGCGTCCCGAGCGACACACGGGCGCGGGTGCGTTGGTGCCAAAGTCTACCCAAGCGTGAGCGGCCTCGAGCTAGTGGGCGTTGTTGACCTAGCCAGGACGCCAGGTGCCGAGGATGAGGGTAATGGCGAGGGAAGCCGATGGCGATGGACGACGGACGACGGCGATGGCAATGGCAATGGCGACGGCCGTGACGGGGGGGAGGGTCAGGGTTGTGAACAGCAGCAGGACGGGGTTGCCGCGGCAGAAAATGCGACAGAGCGGTACCCAAGTCCTCGTACCTTGGCCGAAAATTCTTGCCCTACGGTGCCGGTGACTTGCCGCAGGTTGAACGGATGATGGGGTAATGGACGGGACGAGCGAGGGCCAGTTCGACAGGTGACGGCGACGACGGCGACGGCGGCGACGACTCAGTGCGCACAGGCGTAATGGACAGGCGCAGGTGCAGCGCAGGCAGAGGGCGAAGGCGTGGGCGTGGACGTAGCCGCAGGCGAAGGCCAAGGCGAAGGCAGAGGCAGAGGCAGAGGCGGCGCAGGCGCGCAGGCGCAGGTAGAGGCAGGCACGGGTTGTAGGGCAAGGAAGCCGAACAGCCGCTCCAAGGCGAGAACGCAGGCAGAGCACCAAAAGTTGCGTGCGTGGGCGAGTTGCGCGAGTGCGTGAGTGAGTGCTGCGCGAGCGCGAAGAGTGGGACTCGAGCCGTGATCAGACAGGGAGGGCTGGCCTGGGACCACGGTTCCGTGCTCGCAGCGACGTCGAGACGTGGGGGGATGGGATGGTGGATGGATGGATGGACGGAGTGGATGGAGTGGATGGAGGGATGGATGGATGGATGAAATAGCGCCCACGCCAGCCCGGACTGGTGGGATTTTGCGCTTATCGACGCTCGCTGTGTGGCGGCGCCGGCGGTACGTACCTTACTTGTGTACCTACTAGACGTACCTCACTGGGCACCTTCTGGAGGAAGGTACCTACAGCCCCGGGGCAGGCAGGCAAGGGCCATCAATCACCTTTTGGGAAGGCTTGCCCAGGCCAGGCCAGCCAGGCAGGGCCATTCGACTCAGGATGGATGGTTCGCCGGGCGGCTCGACTGTTGTTGCTGCTACGTACTATAAACTGCCACGAACGGTTGCTGCTGTTGCTGCTGCCGGTGCCGGTGCCGGTGCCGGTGCCGCTGCTCGTCGCCTCCGCGAGGTGGGCAGGGCATGTAACTTGGCTGCACTTGCACTCAGTTTGCCTGGGCCCGGGTGCGGATCCGACAAAGTACTTGCTGTGGTACTTTCGTACGCTGCGGAGGGGGTCAAAGGCCAAGGTCAAGCCGTGGCCGGTGGCAGGTGCCGCTGCTTTCTCAGTGTGCACGTTCGTGCTCCAACGTGAATGGGCAGAGCGACTTCCACCTAGACATACAGGCGAGCAAGCCTGGAGGCCGGCATCGAGGTAGGGAGGGGGAGGGCGGCCGCACGGCGCTCTCTGTGGGAGAGAGG